TGATTTAAGTGAACGTTCAGCCTCAGTTCCTTCTCGAGAATTATGACTTGTGTTTTCTTTTTATTCTTCTAGTCTTCTCCATTGTGTTTGTGTACGTTTTTTATTGACCATCATACGTTCTGTTACTTAACCGAGGGGATAAAGGGAAAACTTATTGAGTCATTGGAGAATGAGTTTCCTTAGGTTGGCTAGATCCTTCTTCTAATGGTTTTCTTCCTGTTATGTCTCTCTTATGTATACAAGGATGCTCAAAGGGCGTAGTATTCCAGGTAAAGTCTTGCTAACCAGGAGGTCGCCAGCAGAGGAGGCAAGTTTACAAGAATATTCTCCTACTTTTCAAAGAAGCTTTTCTGAAAATGATGCTGGTACAAGTAATCGAACTGACACATCAAAAGAGGTAAGATTGACACAATTGACTTGCAATTTTCAGTTATTACCCCTGATAAATTCTTAATCTATCATGCGTAATGCAATTATAGAATTGCTAATTTGCTATCTAAAATAAGAGACTCTTCTTGTTGTGCAGGAGGATGTGTGGACTGCAAAGAAGCCAAATAGTAGTTCCGTTGCCAACAAACTAAAACCTAGTACCCCCAGTATAGAAGTTTCATCCGGAGAAGTTCAGAAGTCAAGTGTGGGTGCTAGAGCTACCAATTCTGCAAGAGTTACAAAGTTCACCAAAGAATTATCAGGAGCAACTGTAATGTTAGGTATGTTAATTTTGTTGAGATAATTCTTTGTCTAATTTTTGAGTCACTACCCTAAAAGTTAACATTCTGCTCAGAATTGAATTCGCAAGAAAGATTCTTCTTCCAATGTTTTAATCATAGAATTACAGCATGACTGCTATAACGTGAGAGGCATATACGCTTGAGCAAGTGGATAAGCTTTGTTGATTGAATGAACATGATGGAGACAGCTTGTAGTGGCTGTAGTTAGTTGATGGAGTTTTTTTTTTTTTTTTTTGCCCCTTTAGAGTTTAGATCTTCACTTGTATTGCATCATTGAGAAACGAGAATGATGCAATGACTTCAGATATAACTTATATTGTGGGGATGAGAGAATTCCTTGTAAGCGAGTGTCTGAAGTGGTACTTTTAAAGGTGAATATTGATAAATTACTTTTCTTGAAGAGCTTTGTACAAACAGCAAAACACACTTCTTTTGTGCCTTTTCATTGTTTGTTTCTATATATTGCTTCTTCTAATTCAAGAGATGACTCATTTTGCTGTTCCCCTTATAGCTTGTAGTTCTGCTGCTGGTAGTTTTGTCATGAATCTAAACTCACGATTCTCCTATATTCCACATTTATCTGCATAATAAGATTTTCTTGGTTCTTTCAGTTTCAGCTTATTTTTAAGCATCTCCTCTGAACATACCGCTCGAATTTCATGATCTAATTCTCCTTATTTATCTGATCTCTGCATAGATAAACTTCGTGAATTATCTTGGAGTGGTGTACCTCCATATATGCGCCCAGAGGTTTGGAGGCTTCTCTTGGTAAGCCTTATGAAAATTACTGCCTGCCCTTCTTTTAAAAGACAACGATACTATTATCTTCTTTTTTCACATAGTTGCCGTAAGGTATTGGGTTAGCTAGTGGTTATTGCATCTGGAAATTTGCTGTGAACATATTTAAGCTTCCAATATCTTCACCATCAGTTAACGCAATGTGTAGTGGTGGACAATTCGTGGTCCATTTATACCTATACTGCTGGTTTCTTAACTGGTGATACTTTGCTTCATGAGTATAGGTTTTTTGGCTTGTTTTAATAAAATATGAATTGACCACAGGGATATGCACCATCTAATTCAGATAGGAGGGAGGTAGTTCTGAGAAGGAAGCGGCTGGAGTATTTTGAATGTGTCGCTCAATTTTATGACATCCCTGATTCCGAACGTTCAGATGATGAAGTCAACATGCTTCGCCAGGTTTTGCTTTTATTCAATGGATTTCTGTTTTGATTTTAGATTATCCTTCTGGTATAGCTCTTAAGTATAATATTGGGTTCCTTTTGTAGATTTCTGTTGACTGCCCAAGAACCGTGCCTGATGTTACATTCTTTCAGCAGCCACAAGTTCAGAAGTCCTTAGAGCGCATTCTCTATACATGGTTAGATATCTGTGCTCTTCAAAGTCGCTTGTTTGGCAAACGCATCCCTTATTTGTGCTCTTCTCCACCTAAATGCATGCCCAAGATCTGTTATATAGCTGCTTGATTGTTGCAATTGTACAAAAATAAAAAGATATTTGCTGGTGGTGTTGTATCTGTTATTTTTCTTTTCTGTTTACAGATGTGCTCAATTTTGCGGGCTAATGTTCTAGAATCAGGTTGGGTTGTGAAAATCGAAAGTCAAAAAAGTGAGGGGCTTCTAAATTGGGCTAGTGCGTGTATCAGCTTCATTTCCATTTTCTATCTTAGTATGTGAAGTGAGAAAAGGAAAAAACAAAAGAGAAATTATGAATGTGGTTCTGTTACACTGCCTCACCTTGAGGATCAAAGCTACTCATGTGTTCGTCCATTGTCCTTAAGGTTGTACCAGTACCTTTATGTGGTTGAAGTTTTGTTTTTAGATTTTTGTCGAGTTTTTCTTGCAATTTATACTTTGTTGGTGTGATTTGAAGTGCCTGTGGTGGTAATGCAGTCTCCCTTTGAGGTTTTTAATTTCTTTGTTTCTTTGTAGGGCCATTCGGCATCCAGCAAGTGGATACGTTCAGGGTATAAATGATCTTGCCACACCGTTTCTGATTGTTTTCTTGTCCGAACACTTAGAGGGAGATATAGATAGTTGGTCCATTAGTGATCTCCCTCTGGAGAAGGTCTTCGATGTGGAAGCTGATTGTTACTGGTGTCTGTCAAAGTTACTGGATGGCATGCAAGATCATTACACATTTGCTCAGCCGGGGATACAGAGGCTCGTGTTTAGGCTAAAAGAGCTGGTTAGGCGCATTGATGGTAAGTTCTTAAACCCAAGCAGCAACCGTGATTTATTATTAGAGCTGCCATTAGTTGTTAATATGGTGAAGGTTGTCTTTTACTTTAATCCAGTAGGTTTTGCTACTTAAGTTTCACACTCATTCCTTGCGCATATGTTTTTTTTTCTTCCTTCATTTTTACATGTTATATGCCGTCATTTAGCCCTCATTGAGGAGTCTGTTTTTGGAATTTCTCAGAATCGATTTCAGCACACATGGAGGAGCAAGGGCTTGAATTTCTTCAGTTTGCATTTCGGTGGTTCAATTGCCTGTTGATTCGCGAGGTCCGATCACTCACTTTCCTTGCCTTAACCTTTGATTATTGTATTATCAGGCGTTTCAATTGCATGTTTTGGTGAAATAGGAAATGACCTTTAGAAGCAGTTTAGAATAATATCATTGCTGCATTGCTATTGTTTTTGTTCCAAAGTGCAGCCTCTGGCTAACTGTGGTATCTTTCTAATTCCACAGATCCCTTTCAATCTTGTTACCCGACTGTGGGACACGTACCTTGCTGAAGGAGATGCATTGCCCGATTTCCTCATCTACATTTTTGCTAGCTTTCTTCTGACGGTGAGTAAATGAATAGCCTGACTCTGCACTTTGGCACTTCACCTGATTCATGGTTTTGAATGGTCCCCTTTTCAAGGATGAGTTGTTCTTTCCATTCTTTCTTGTTTCCGAAACTAAATTTATGAACAATGATTCCTGTGATGTTAGAAAATTGAGCCACACTGCACATAGATTTAGCATCCTCCTTTGATCATTGCCGTTAAGTTCTTGCTTCTGAATTGGCTTTGCGTAGTCTTGCAACGTATGAGTGAGGCCAGTCACAGACTACCATTGCTATCTGGGTATCCGAGATAAATCCAAAGTAGGCAGCTTTGCAAAAAATAGTTGCATCCTAAACTGCAGCGTGTAGGGTTAAGTTCGGTCGCGATTAACGATCCAAACAATGAAACCTGCTTCTGCATGTACACACCTAGTCTCTTATGCTTCATGCAGCGATGTTCCATTGAGAGAATCATTTCTGAGTGCTTACAGCGTTTTTGCAGTGGTCGGACAAGCTTCAGAAGCTCGATTTCCAGGAGCTGGTAATGTTCCTCCAGCACCTGCCGACCAATAACTGGACGGACCAGGAGCTCGAGATGGTCCTCTCCCGTGCTTACATGTGGCACAGCATGTTCAACAATTGTCCCAGCCACTTGGCCAGCTAGGACTGCGACTTTGTTGCGATCTTGTTTATTTCCCTGAGCGCTGATTTGCTTCTCTTAGCTACAAGGGGGAGGAAAACGATAGAGTTCCATAGTAATGGATGAGATGCTTTTTCCCGGTTTGTGTGTGTTCTTGAAAGATTAGAGAAATCATCCCAAGTTGTGTATTGCCGTTCCTGTTTTTTTTTTTCAGTCTCCCCTCAGGTGTCTTGCTGTAATATTTTTGTATCCTTCTTGTACACTAAAAACTCGTTCTCGCTTTGTATCGATTTAACAGACAGATCGAAAACTATTCAAACTTGCTGTGCCATAATAGAATTATCATCGTGATCATAAGCGTTCCGACTGATCAACGTTTATTCCCGCTCTGAGTTCTTGCAGTGGAAAGTAACTATCAGAATTGAAGAATGTAGTGGTAGGCCATGGAATGCAAGTAAGTTTTGGAATCCGCATGTCATTAGGAATACTTCAGTCCCTTAGGTTTGGAATCCGCATGTCATTAACAAATTGTTGAGTGTTTTTTAGACAGAGATCGACAACATTTATCTTGTTATCGAGAGGCTTGACTAAGAGTCGATAATGGGTATCAACTTCCGACCCGCCACGTTTTTTTTCTGTCCGTTTCAGGTTAATTTCTTACGTCATCCATTCATATATCTTCTATTTTGACTGTTCTTCAACTAGTTAGACTTGGTCTCGCAACTAGATAGACTCAAGTATCTAAGCTATCTGTTGTTTGAGTGCTTGTAAGGATTATCTCGCGATATGAAGGAATTATGGGTGGATTGGTTGTGAATATATATATATATATACACGCATGTAAGTTTTATGATCGTAGATTAGTAAGAGAATGGTTAAAACATTTTTGAACCGTATCATATTGACGGTTCGATTAGAAAAATCTGTTATCAAAACCTAAATCGGTAAGCGGTTTTAGCGATAAAAAAACAACAAAACCCTTATCAAACCATATTATCAACATAAAATATTTTACCGCTAAATTTTCCGACCTCCATTACAATTTTCGCAATCCTTGCATTCCCATTTATGCACATAAAGTGTTGCACGTTTTTATTTTATTTTCAGGATGTGATATTTTTCTGCATCAAGATTGGACAACCCTTTACGAGCCCAATAGGTGGTATACAATGGGCCTGGCCCGCTTAGCCTTATGCCGTCGGAGGATCCACCGGCGAAAACACACGCCGTCCCCTCTCCGACTTACTATTCTCCGCAAACTTGAGGCTCCCCTCATGCATCCCTCTCTCCTTCTCCTCCTCGCTCCACTCCGCTCCATAATACCACTCCTCGCTCCCCTTCTCCGAGCCCTCACTCGCCGCCGGGAAAAACATGCTCCCCCACTGCGGGAAATGCACCGCCGCCACCGGCAGCGTGCACGCCACGATCATCGCCCCCATCAGCGACAGCCCCGCCGCCGAGGAGTACTCGGACCTCGTGAAGAACAGGTACTGTGTCAGCCCGGACCCGAAGTTACCGCCGGCGCCGGTGAGCCCCGAGATGACGCCGAGGGAGCGCCGGGAGACGAACGGGATGATGCCGAACGTGGCCCCGCAGGCGGCCTGGGCCCCGATGGAGAACAGGATCATGAAGACCACGGATGATAATAAGGTTTGGGCCCGGCCCAAACAGATGCAGAAAAGCCCGCCCAGGGTTTGGAGGATGTAGAGGGTCCAGAGACGGCCCCGCATCCCCACGTGCTGGGCCGCCACGTCGGACAGGAGGCCGCCCAGCGGGCGGGCGAAGACGTTGGCCATGCCGAACGTCGCTGCTATTGTCCCCGCCGTTCGAAGCTTCAGGTTGAATCTGTAAAATTATCGATGGTGATTAATAAAAATAAATAATAATTTTGTAGGGATTATGAAATAAATAGAATATATATATAAGTACCTGTCGAAGAAATATTCAGCGATGACGTTATCCGTAGTCAATTCGACGCCGAGGGACATTCCATAAAGAACGAAGAAGATCCACGTTCTGTAATTTGTGATTGCACACCACAACACCTATATAGAGTAACACAATTAATGATAGGGCTGAAAATTTGTCTGTTTCGTCTCTGTTCTTGTCTGACCCGTTCCTGAAGGGTCAAGATGTATAACCGTCTCGTCCCGTCCCTGTCTCCTTCTTGACCCTGTCTGACCCTCAAGGGACGGGACGGGCCGGGTCAGTGGGTCGACCCTAATCAACACACTACTTTTTTATAAATTACCTTTTGGTACACAAAATTATTTTTTCTTACAATTTAGTACCTAAATTTTATTTTTTTACAAATAAGTCCATAAATTTTGATGGTAAAATTACGTTTTGGTATCCAAATTTTTTATTTTTACAAATTAGTACCTAGACTTTTAAAACTTTCAAAAAGGTCCAATGAAGTATGAGATATTTGTTGTTACTAAGGGTCACAGGATCAAAACGTGACCCGTCCCTAAGTTGTCCCGACCCGTCCCGACTCTTACAGGGTCAACAAATGACTCGTCCCTAATCTGTCCCTGTAGACAAACTGACCCGTCCCAACCTACGGGTCGGGACGGGTCAGAGGGTCTTCCGGGACAAGTTCTCACCCCTAATTAATGAGATTATTATGGTCAATTTAATTAAAAAATGTAAGTATTTAACTCTTATCCAATGTTAATTAATTCTGATTGTACATATATGAAAACGATAAAAACAAGAAAACAATTGTATCATTGTCTCAATCATTACTCATTAGCCATATCCCTTACGATTAGTATCATAATTTTAATATAGACAGCAATTTCATTGGTTCTATCAAGAACAATGACACGATTTATTAACTTAATTATTTTTGAAATGACAAGACATATAATTGTATGGAATTTGTCAAAAGACTAGTTTTTAAATTTTACCTTGGGCAGTTTATCCTTAGCCACGTCGCCTTTCTTCTGCAAGGCGCCAAGGTTCCCGTCGGGCAAATCCTGCCCCAAGCTCAGAACCAGAATCCCCATCACCACATGCAAAACCCCGGGGACAAAAAACGCAATCCTCCAAGCAGTAAACGGCGTCGCACCGCACCTCCGAATCACGTCGTAAACCAGCGGCATCACCAGCTGCGTCACCCCGCCGCCCATATTCCCCCACCCTGCCGCCGTCCCGTTCACGACCCCGACGATCCTACCGCTGAACATCGTGCTCATCCAGTACTGGCACGACACGAACGTCGCCAGCGAGAACCCGATCACGAACCTCACCGCCACGTACCTGCAGCCACGGAGAGAGAGCGTTATAAGATCCATAATATGTCCCTCTAGTATGTCGTTTTATAAAAAATGTCATTCTACTATTTTTTACATTAAACATGTCCCTGTACTTTGAAAAAGTTATCAAACATGTCATTCTGTTGAAATTTCTATTGAAAAAAAAAGTCATCAATCATAGTTGAATCGAAATTTAGACGACCCGACATCGACAACTGGGAGGGAAAATGTTAGTTTTGTCTCCTCTTTTATTAGAATTACTTGGCTATATAAAAGAACCAAAAAAAAAAACTCTAGAGTGAAATTACTAGGAATATTTTGGACATTTGTGTCACCCAAACCAAAGTTTGGCCGTGGTTAACCGTTTTTTTTTTTTAATAAAAATTTTAACAAAAGGATATGTTTGATCATTTTTCCATAATAGAGGGATATGTTTGATGTAAAAAAAAATAGTAGATGATCATGTTCGATAAAACGTCATAGTAAAAGAACATGTACACCTATAACCCTTAAAGAAATTTCCTAACAATTCGAGTTATCGGGATCAACGGTATACCCTGCCGGGGACTCCACCAGCGCCATGCAGAACACGGCGGGGGCCGTGAGCATGACGAGGAACGCGGCGGCGTATCGGGGCCCGAGGAGGTCGCAGGCCGCCCCCATGACGAGGCGGGAGAAGATGCTGCCGGAGACGGAGGCGATGGAGGCGGCGCCGATGTCGGGCTTGGTGAGGTTGAGGTTGTCCCTGATGATGGGGACCAGAGGCGCGGCGGCGAAGGTGGAGAGGAAAGTGGTGAAGAAGGAGAGCCAGGCGAGGTGGAACGTGGACATGTGCGGGTGGGAGATGGTGAGCGGGTTGAATGTTTTCGACTTGTGTTCTGAGTCCACCGGCACGGCGAAACGAGGGGACTCCGGCTCCGGGAGCTTTGCCGGCAGGGAGGAGGCGCCGCCGCCGTCGTCGTCGTCATTGTGCTGCTGACTGGCTGCCATGATGAGGTGGAGGGATCCTTAGGGTTTTCTGCACATGGATATAAAATTAATAAGCTATTTGTAGGATGGGAAATGAAATGTTTAGGGTTCCAAATGGTGCAATTTTTTGAGGAGCATAGTGATTGATGGAGATGGGATTTTTACCCCTTCGAGGGTGCTAAGAGATCATCCATTAAAGTAATTTGCTTTGTACAGAGAAATTTGGCCTGGCTCGCTTATACACACTTTGGTATTGCCGATTTCCGCCGTGCGTGGATGGATGCGGTATATTTTGACAATTGTTAGCTCTTATCAATCGATTAAATTGATGTTATGGTTTGGGTTCGAAAAATCGGGAATTTTTCGTCTTCTATTCTTTACTTAGATATCAAGTCAAGTCGAATCGAGTCGCACTTAAATTGGAGTGGGTTTGGCTCCATAGTCAATCTGATGGGTCTGAATGAGTTGGTTGGTTGGTAGTTTCCTTTTCTACCACCAATTTGCATCTTGGCAGTTTCCCTGTCAGTTAAAAGGAGTTAAGAACTTTAAATAGATTCTCCAATAATGATGAGCAAGTTGAGGGAATGCGTTAGGGTGGTTATTAAATGTTGAGTAACCACGGTGGCTACTAACATCTACACCCTTAATTATATCTATTTCATCCTATTTTTAAGTTGACGGTGAAGATTATATGAAGGATAATTTTGGAAACGAAAATAATACAACACCTGATTACTATTCTTTAAAAAATTATTTTTATATATTGTACCGCAAACCCTAATGCAATCTCCTCCTCCTTCTCCTCCCCTTCTACCTGCCGACGACCCTTCTTTCTCCGGACAAGAAATTGCAGCCGCCTCCTCCCTCTTCTCCCCTCCCACCCGACAACAACTCTTCTTCTCCCCAGCCTCCCGCCTTCTCCCCTCCCCCGCCGTCCCCACACCACCCCTCCCACGCCGTCCTCAAAGAAACCGTAACTCTCAATTTCCCCTCTTAACAAAAAGAAATCGATTCTCTATCTATTAGCTGGAATTATTTGAACATGTCTCTACCAACAACACCAGGTTATTTTCTTTTCTTTTTGTGATTTTGTTTGTGTTAGTGACTAGTGAGGAATGATGTGTTCTTGTAAAGTTGCTGCTAATAGGAATAATCTTCCTTGATTCTTCGTTAAATGATTTGTTCTTGTGATTTTTTTTTTTACGTTTTCAATTTTGATATTGAGGAACTATTTTTGGTTGGGTATATTTTCCATGTATTATTGCTTGCTTTGATACGAGTGATCATTCGATCATTTTGTTGCACTATAATTAGCTCTTATAATTTTAATTAGTATTTGTTATTGGTTTATAAATTGTAATCGTATTCCTCCACTGTCTGCAATTTTTTTATTTGCATAATGGTATTGCTTTACTAAGCAATGGTATTGGTAATGACATTCGTTAAGGAAAATCGCCTTTTCTTTTGGTAGTACACTACTATTTGGTATTGTTTGTCCTTTGTGTAATGGTAGTCCTGCAATGGTATTGATTCGATGTGCAGTGGTATTGGTTATATAACAACATGATATTCATTCATCTTCGTTTGGTAGTGACATTTTAGATTGGTATTGGTTCATTACACGTGTATTAGTATTAACAATGCTAGTCTGGTAGTTCTTCAAAGTCTAATGGTATTGGTTCAAACCTCAATGTTCATAATTCTCTTCATATATGTAATGGTATAGATTGTTTATATTGGTAGTTTTCGTGTAATGGTATAGATTTATTTCTGCAATGGTATTGATGTTAGTGGTTGTCTAATGGATTGGTAGTGATTTCGTGTTTTTTTGTATGGATTTTTTGTTTTGTTTTGGTATTGATTTTGTCGCATTAGTATTATTTTTGTCGCAATGGTATTGTTTTTATCGCATTGGTATTATTTTTGTCTCAATGGTATTGTTTTTATCGCATTGTTATTGATTTTCTCGCAATGGTATTATTTTTGTCGCATTGGTATTGGTGTTTTTTTGAAATGGTAGTGTTTTTATTTCTCGAATGATATTGGTATTTTGTGCAACGGTAGTGTTTTTTAATGGATTGATATTATTTTATTGTTGCAGCGGTATTAGTTCGACAGAACGAAATCAATGGGAAGATTGAGAAAAGGAAGGAAGAAGCATATGGCTGAAGATTGTGAAAATGAGAGAAAAAGAGAGAAATGGTAGTTAATATAATTTTGTAATTTCCTAAAATGTACTTTATTAAAAAAAGTAATTAATAATGGTACGTTTTTTTATAATGGTATTGATTTTCTAGACTAGTATGGATTTTTGGTATTGGTATTGATCTTTCTTGGATTGGTATTTATTTTGTCTAGATTGGTACTAATTTTTCGTATTGGTATTGATTTTTTGTTAGGTAGTCGAAAAAAGTACAGATGGTTACAATCGTTGAAGCACAAGGATGAAAGGATCAGAGGAAGGCAAAGAGGTAGAATCAAATAGAGAGAGATATATAGAGCGAATAATATAGTTTTTGTATAAAATTATTTCTCCACTGTAATTAATTCAATGCAATTAACATAAATGCAAGTAATTCTTTTGATATTCAATCCCAATCCATCCAAACAAATATATATTAATACCACAACGTCAACACTACCAATAAATATATGCACCACTACCAAAACAATAAGCATCAGAATATCAGAATACCACTACGTCAACACTACCAATAACCATATGCAACACTACCAAAACAATAAGCACCAAAATACCATCACTACCCTTAGTAACCACGGTGGCTACAGGGACCAAGTTACCACCGTAACCGCTCCCGCAAGTTGAGTTTCTCTGGTCTGGTGGGCTACTTGATGCTTCCACTTTGCTTTGCTTTGTTGCACCGATGTCTCTGTACTAGCTAGGGCAGTGTTACACAGCTGACAATAATGTTCAAAGCAAAGGATAATATCAGGGCCGTCCCATGATATTTGGAGGCCCTGTTCGAAAATTTAAAATGTGACCCTAATTTTCCCCATAAATTTATCAAAATTAAAAATTAGTAAATAATTGTAAAAAAATACTTAAGTTCAGAAAAAGATTACATCAGGAATAAACGATCTCGTTTCCAGTTTGACCAAGAAACCAAGACCAAATTCCCAGCCCTAGTAGGGAGGAAAGTAAATCTGGAAGAAAGAGAAAATGGATATAGCACAAAAATTGAATGGAGAAATGAAAATAGTCTAAATTGATCGAGAGATGGGTGCAGGATTGTCTACTAGATCGTGGAGACCCTATTTCAAAATCTAGACGTGGTCCAAATCGACCTTTAACTATAATAAAACTAAAATGATTATAATAACATTATTCAAAATGTAATATCTTTCTATATTGTTTAAATTAAAATTATCTATTATTTTTCAGATTTTCGTATTCTCCATGAGATCCTTTTCAATTGTTATTATAGCTAAAATTATCTATTAAACACATCATCATACTCATAAGTCATAATCAATCAATCATACACTAAAAATACAACCTACGATCGGTAACTAACGAATCTAAGTAGAGGCCCCTAATATTCTGAGGCCCTGTGCCGGAGGGCGGGCCAGCACACCCTCTTGGCCGGCCCTGGATAATATTATTGGAGGTGGAAAATATATAGCAAATTGGTATTCTAGTCCTAGCTAGGGCTCGTATTAAGGTCCAAAAAAGATCGAAATTTACCGAGCAAAGTTTCTAATTTCAATAAGAGTGGCATGCACGAGCAATTGGGTGCGTTGAAACGTGGATCGAGAGCTAGACATACTATTTTTATGGGTTCGTCTGTGCTCGAAGAAGATTGACTTGCATTCATACACGAAACTCGTTATTGATCCAGCTTGCGAGGATTAGTCGGAAACATAATATAATTGGTCAATCAACACTGATTGACCAATGTCCATATGTGAAACATGAAATCACACGAGATAGAGACTGATCAACTAAATTATAATAAAAGCAAGTCAAATAAGTGAGTAACAGTGCTAATGGATCTCTTTCGTCACATTTTTCGAGATTAGTAATCTCTTTCAACTATTTAATACATCTAATAAACCAATTGATCTCAATTCTTCGAATTCTTGGGAGATATAAAGTTAAACCATTTCATACAATACCAGATTAATCAGACAATGACTCAAATTTTAATGAAAGCAAGCCAAATAACATTACAATCCATCAAATATAGTAATGAAGTATCCACATAAGCTCCCTTTCCTTCAAAAGTTCCACGTAGATAAAGAAAGAAATAGAAAGAGTGCTTTATTGCGTGGCTTATAAAAAGAAGGTATCAAACCTTGGCCCAAATAAAGGTTGACAGGGGATGTATCCTGGAAATCTAAAACGAACAAGAGCGCCGACTTGGGTATGAAAACGTAGTTTTCCCCAAATAAAGAACAAAGGGACCAAAATTTCTGATATTCTCCTAAAGTGTTACATTAACATTATTAAGCCACTCTCTAGTCTCTACTCTCTAGGTGATAGGCTAAATTCTAAGTGTTCTTGCAACGATCTTCGGTTCTTCAGGAATGGTGTCTGCCAATTGATGTATAGGCTATTTCGGTCTAGTTTAAAATTGACCTCTATTTTAAATCATGCTTCCTTGTTAGCCGAGAAACCCCCTCCTCTATCTATAAACCAGAGAAAGATCGATCGAATGCAATAGATGGAGTTCCTAAGCTAGTCTAGTGGATTAGCACACGATATCCGTGTAAAGTCTATCACAATATGAGAGGACTCGTGCAAGTTTGATTGAAACGTTGTTTATGACAAAACTCGTTTTCGGAATGAAATATTTGTTTAATTTATGTCGTTGTCTAGTTTGGTGGAAGAGGGTGCAGTCGAATCAGGTAAGGACGAGATGTCAGTCTTATGCGGCGGACTTCGGTAAAAGGTAAATGGAAGCTTAATTATGTTTATGATGTGAAGCAAGCAAAATAGTACCAATAAGAAGAAAAAAAAGATTTTTCCAAATATTAAGGATCATTACATACAATCCATCCATTTGTGGCACATTCATTCTCAATGATTGTAGCTGCAATAGGTAAACATCTAGTTTCAGTGTAGACTACTACAAGTAACGGAGTGATATATTTTTTTCATAAATTTTCTTCGTTGATTTGTAAGGATTGGTTATTTGTCGTTGCTTCTAATTTAGTAGAGAGATCCGTTTGACAAAAGATTAGCTCCTATCTTGATGATCCATATGTACACGAGCCAATACGTTTGAGCTAACTCACACACTTACAAGGAACGTATAACTGAGCGGCAACTACTTTGCTAACTACGATCATTCCTTTCATCTTGGTTATGATTAATTCATTTAGGATTTTCTACTCTTAAAATGATTAATCACATGATAACTTAAAGACAGACTACCTTCTGTCACAAAATAAATTATGATTTAATAGGTTTTTCTACTCTTCTTGTGATTAATGATACAATTTAGGACGTGTTTCTGCATTTTGCTTTCCTAGTGAAAATACTCATTAGACCAAACTTCAAGTGGAAATACTCAGTTGAATTATTTTGATAATAGAGGGATCTGAAAGGACTCATGTAAAGTTTTAGGGATTAAGTAGGCCTCAGTAATAAAAATAAAGGAGAAGATGGAAATTTTGTAAAGATAAAAGGAAGAAAATAAATATTCTCCCTTTCACCTTCCGAAGTTCCAACGCCGACGAAACAAAAAAATTCCGGGCTCCCGAATCTCTCTTTTCTTTCCCCGGCCTCCTTACTCCTCCTGCTAGTTTATCCGGCCGAAATCCATCAATTTTCCGGCTTCTCCCCGGAAGGAACTCAATTCACCTGCCTCCTAATTTTATAGCAACTTGCTTTGTTCGTCCTCCCGGTGGCGGCGGCGGGGGTTTGAAATGGCGGGAATTCGAACGACGGAGTGATTTGCCATTGATAGTCAACGAGATTTTGAGCTGGGCTTGGTGGGCAACCTTCCTGGGTTTCGTGGGAGAGGCAAAGGTGGAGGCTTTGGGGGAGGTTTTGTCGTTTTTCTTCGCGGCTGTCAATGGCGAATCCTCCCGGTACGCATCTGCAACACCATAATCAAGACGCTACGAATGCAAATAGCAACGCTCCTTCTTCTACGCTCAACGGAACCAATCCGGCCAACGGCAATCCGGAGAGCTCGACTTCGGCTTCCCCTTTGAAGCACAACCCCGGGATCTCCAACGATTGGACGGCGGAGGAGCAGTCAATACTCGAGGATGGCCTAGCTAAGTGAGTTTCCGTTCTCAGAATCTTGGAATTCGTGTGTTGAATGAGTAGAATTGTGTCGATTCATGATTGAATTTGGTCACTAGCCTGCCTGAAGTAGCAGAATTTGGTATGTTTTTGTCCTGTTTCTGAACCATAGAAGACACGAGTTTCGATTCTAAGACTATGGTTATGTGAAATTTTCTGGAAGTAGAGCAAGTTTTATGAGAAATGGTGGATGGGATTGAGCAATTTCTTGCATGTCAGATTGAATTTCATAAATGTGTACTGTGTTATTGATATTTTTGCTCAGTGGTAGTCCAAATTTTGGATCTTTATTGGAGTAGAAGGCCTTTCTGTATAGTTAATTTGTTGGACAATTTGTAGTTGTGATTCTCGGTCTGCATTCATGCTGCTGCTTCTTCAATAACCATTTGTGGTTTTTGGGTGTTGGTACAGATATTCATCAGAGTCAAACATACTCCGCTATGCAAAGATAGCCATGCAGCTGCAAACTAAGACAGTCCGAGATGTTGCCCTGCGTTGCAGATGGATGACTGTACGATCCTTATTTTTCAATTTTGTTGCACAATTGTTTGGACTCTGACTCTGTTTTCATTTTGACTTTTGGAACGTGCTATTTTGAATGCATTAAACTTGATTTCTTGGGTATATTAGGATACTTGATTTCTGTATTGAGTTCCACTAATGGGTCCCTTAATGATTTCTTGCTTCATCTAACGTCGTGTGCTCTGTTTCCTGGCTACAGAAGAAGGAATCTAGCAAGAGACGGAAAGATGACAATTTAGCACGAAAAAGCAAGGATAAGAAGGTATGATTTCCTTTCAACTGTTTTCCTCTGTTTACGGTGTAGGCAACATTTGGAGTTCAATGAAAAGAGAAAAGGGTGTATGACTCCAGCCTGTGGTTTTGTTTTTTATTCTGAGGCGGGAAGGAGAATGAAAACCGAGATGCTTGCATGTCAATTGTCATACGTACAAGCCAAGTATCTGGAAAATAGTTTCATGTTAGCAATGTTAAGATTGTCTAATATCTTTTATTGGACACTAATGGTTCCTGCTCTTTAGAGAGGTTATGTTCATTTGTTAATCAAATTCATTCGCAAAGCTATGATATCTACTGGCAGGACTGGTGGATTTTGAGGTCTTAAGGTGATTACTGTTTTTCCGTCACTTGTGCTCATGAAATTGTTTTTATCTATTTTTTTTTTACAGGAAAAACTTACTGATGCTTCAACAAAGCCATCTTCTTTCATTACCCGAGCTAATGCTCCTGCATATACAAATACTGTGGTTCCTATCGACAGTGACGATGGCATTTCTTGTAAAAGTGAGGTCCCAGCTCACCAGATCCTTGTTTTTAGCTTCCAGTTAAAATAAATTGGTTTTTGATGTGCCGTTCTCTTCTAGTTTTTACATAGAAATTGGCTCTTTAAGCTCGTACTGCTTTTTATTATGGAATGATAAATGTTCATTTTGCTTCTTCCAGCTATTGGTGGAGTCACTGGGGACCTCCTTGAGCAAAATGCTTTGGCATTGAGCCAGATTACTTCTAATCTCTCTACAATGCAGGTACTACTTTTGATGGATGGTTTAATTGTTGTCACGATCTCATTATTACTGTTCTGAGTTTAGTTTCATTCGGTTATGTTCAAATGGACAGTAGGAAAGTGCCTGTTATGTGACAATTATATGCCACTGATTATTTCCTCCAATTCCCGAGGTTTTACTACATGAATGGGATACTATGAGCTGCATCATTTACATGGATTTGCATTGATGTTAAGCATTAGATGCTTAACCTAGATCCATATCCCCATTTGTAGCAGCATATTATCTGCGTAGCTATTACTTAGGAAAGTCTACTTTTACTCAACTACTTGTGCAACCAAGCCAAGGAAGGTTTTATATTTTGTTTGTGATGACTTTCCTTCTGCTGGTTGAATTATTTGATCATTTCCATTAGTCATCCGCTAAGGTACATAGGCTGCAGGCTTTTTTTCATACTATTTGTTGTTCTTTAGCTTGCTTTGAGTTTATATTGTACTGAGTAATTTATGCTTCATTGACATAGGATCGCATCCAGATCCATTACTTCCATCTCAATGCTGGTTCATTACTGTTAGTTACACCAATCCTTTTTCTTCTGCAGATACAAGAAAACATCAACCTACTTTGCCGGACTCGTGATAACATCCTCAAAATTATGAACAAGTACACTTCTGAACTTATCACTTCTATTATGATGCTCAAATATGTCTTGTTGCTCGGTGCAATTTTTCCTTCATCTTTTTAACTGCATGGCTGCTTCATGTGACTCAGATGTGTTAGTCTTTTTGAACACTTTGTGCCTATTTGAGGCCTCTTTATGCAATTTCACATGGACTTTTGCATTGTGACATGCTGCAAATCATTTTCTTCTCGTGCAAGCCTGAGCTTTGGCTTCAGCACGCTATTGTTTGCTATATTCCGTGGCTAAAATGAAAATAAATTGGAAACATACTAGTACCCACCTTCACGAGCTAGGGTCTTGTTGTTGGTTCTTTGTGTAATCTTGGTGAGCTGGGTGTCAATACGGATGGGAACCTGACGAATTGACTTCATAGTTTATGATATAAGCATTTAATACACAGTGGAAGCACTTTGTTGACGATCCGGACTCTCTCTCGCGTTCTATACTTGTATTGCAGCTTGAATGATGTCCCGGAGGTGATGAAGCAGATGCCACCCCTTCCAGTAAAGATGAACGAAGAGCTTGCCAACACCATCCTTCCGCGCCCAAACATCCCCATGAAATAGGTACCTGAGGCGAAATTCAGCTGCTGCAAAATCTTCTCAGCATCTCAAAGCCATACTTGAGCCTCTTTTGTAGTCGGTGTAAAATCGTTTTGTTGATGGTGGTCAACACCTAGTTTGGTTGGTTGGTTTTCTTCTAAAAGCAGTCCTTGGTAGGAAGAAGAAGATTTCTCAGAATTTTACCTTTTCTTTTCCTGGGTTTGTAGGCAATTAGGCTTACACAGAATAAACAATAAGCAAAATATGTGATCTTGTTGCTAATCTTCTCTCTTTACCCCCCATTTTGGGGCCTTCTGTGAATATGCTGTAGCTTCACTTCTTTTGTCATTGCAGGATTAGTGCTTAGTAACTTGGAATTTGTTCTTTGCTTATTTCAAGCAAGTAGCCCTTGGAAAGGAAAGAAGAAAGGGTTGTTTTGTTTGATTAGTTTATCTGGATATTGAGTTTATTATGAATGCTATATAATAATATTTTTTTTTTGGTCTATCAGGAATTCTATTGGATTCAATTCATACAAATTGGCACCCATCTTTTGTTGAGTTTCTAAAGTCCACTTAAACTTTGAAAAAGGTGGGCTGCTTACCACCAAGGCAAAATCCAGACTTTCTTGTTAGCAAAAAGGACCTTTCAAATTTTCACCCCCATCTACAAGCTTCAACCTTCTTCGAAGTACAAATACTTCTACATCATCAAATTAGTATTATTTTATCTAAAAACACTACGAGCATAGATGGTCTGATCCTGACTGGCATTGAATCATATTCATGATAAGAGTCAGATAGAACATAAAAGGAAAAACTGTGATTTCGTCTTGAAATCATATTCATGATAAGAACCAAATCGAACGTAAAAGGAAAAAAATCTGATATCGTCTAGAAATAAATCATATTCGTGATAAGTGCCAAATCGAACATAAAAGGAAAAACGAGATCCGTCAGTCAGAAGCTCTTCTAGTCGAGTTGAGTTTTAATTCGACTTGCTTTTCCTTTTACCTCTCAAAGAATCCATGATACCGACTTTCATCATATCCAAATATCGACACGGTGAAATATGGACCAAAACGTTCCACACCACAGTTCTCATGAATCAAGAAGTTATGTTGAAAGCAAAAGGTCATGAATTGGACTAGACTTTTTAACGTATGCTTTGTAATTCTTCTATTTAGGGGGCTCTGAATAATTCATCGTGACCACAAAAGTAATCTCAATCTAGATACACACGTTGTTGATAATTGACCAGTAAAAAAAAAAGGAATTTGGTTGCAAAAGGAGGCTCCCAATACATCATTATTACGACTTTATACGACGACCCATAGCCCATGAGACTAAATACTATTATCAGAAAAAGTTTACTATATTCATATCTGTGTAGGAAAAGTCTCTTTTGTTCTTTGCTTGCATGAGATTATCTATATATGTAACACAGAAGCCGCAGGAGAGAATATTAACCTTCTTCGTGTACAAGCAAAAGAACAGAGCATATCTAGAAGCAGGTTTCCTGCCTGATAGATGTGCATCATTTCATTACATCTACTACTTTAATCCTTCTTCTTCTTCTTCTCCTTCGACGATCGAGGACAACGTAATCATCTTTCGATCGCGCTTAATTATGTAAGCGCGAAACTCGATCCATCTTCTTTGCCGTGCGAATGAGTGGTGATTTCCATATTCTTGACATCGTCCCCTGTTTCTCTGTTGAGGTTTGCAGGTTGAAGAAGAACACATCTTCATCAGTTGGCACCTTTGCTGTGTTGGGCATAATAGTCATCGTAGCAGCCTCCTCTTTGGACTTCGTTGCAGCGCAGCCAGCAGCCGTTTCCAGCAATGAAGGTTCGTCTGATTTTCTTTCATCTCGTTGTGTTCTTTGGCGACCACTTGTTCCTAAATACTGGTGCGCAAGCAAAGAACATTACGGTGCATTAGCGACGAATGTAGCAACCGTATAGTGCCCGGTGGCTAAAAAAAAACTCTGCAGAACACATGTCGCGGGTATTAAGTCGTTACTAAGTGTTGCGAATTAACGTGCCAGCAGTATTGTATATATCTGATGTATCAAGTTATGTGCACAGGTAATGGTAATTGGAGTAGTGGTGACAATGATGGCACGGTGAGGATTGACCCTCTAGACAAGTTCAAGAAATACAGGGGAGGGTTTGATATCACTAGCAAGAACTACTGGAGTGTAAGCAAAACCAAACAATGTATTTCCACGCGCGATAAAATTTCGCGCGATTCGTATAATCCACGAACTTATTTGAATTATTTTCTCTATACATATGTGCAGTCGACAGCATTTACAGGCATATATGGCTATGCCATTGCTGCCCTCTGCCTCCTGGCTGGAATTTGCTACGGAATTTTCAAGCTTGTCATTGTTCTCTGCTGCCAAAATAGGAGACGGAATTTGAAAGGAGGCAGGAAATCGTCACCACATAATGACGAAAGTTATGTGATGTACAAACGCTTAGTTATCCTTGTCCTCCTCACTCTCGTGGCCATGTAAGTAAGATCAAAATGTTCGTCGTGGTTGATTGTCTCGTCTAGATCGAATACTTCATTAGAAACCGATCTTATTGTAACCGAAATTGCAGAATGGTTGCAAGTGGAGTAGCCCTAGGAGGGAGCTCGAGCTTCCACAACAGGGCCAAGAAGGCAGTGGACATCATCATACACACCGCAAACAATGCCTCGCGGACCATCTACGATGTCACGTCGGCGATGACTGGCATTTCTCGTACTCTCGAATCCACCGAGGCCTCGAACCAGTTCCCGACAGCGATGACCGCCTCGAGGTTCCTGAGCTCCACGTCGCGGAGGCTGGATCGTGAAGCTGCCAGCATTGAGAAGGAAGCCAGAGACAATAGGCGACGGATCGATGTAGCCGTCACTATTGTGTACGTTATAACCGTCGTCGCTATTGCTCTCAATTTGGCTGTCACCATTGCTCTTTCAGGTCTATTTTTAGCTTGCATTTAACTCGTTACTAATTCATTTTTTTGGGGTGATATTTGATTTCTATGTTGAATTGTTGCCCTTGCTAAAGGTGCTTTTTGATGATATTAATGCAGTTTGTGGGGTACTGAGGATTCGGAAAGCAATTAATTGGTAATTTACTTTAATAAGTCTTACTTTCTGCTAGATTATTATTCGTTAGTAGTCATTATTAACTACATAATTATATCTCATTATTAAAGATCCTGTATTTTTCATTATTGCAGGCTTCTTGCATTATGTTGGTCGCTAATAGTCCTCTGCTGGTTGCTATTTGGCATCTATTACTTCTTACACAAGTAAGCCACATTTACTCAATCGATTTTTCATCTCAATTTCAAAGCACATTAACTAAACCGTTAAAACATTTTTTTTTAATGTAATGATCTGAATATATTTATCTCTCTTTCTCACCAGTTTCGCAAATGACACGTGTCGAGCACTCGAGACATTCGACCACAATCCTCAGAACAGCAGCCTCAGCTCGCTCGTGCCCTGTGACGATTTAGCCGCAGCGAAACCAACTCTGAGACGGGTCAGGGAGGGAATTTACGACCTCGTCTCCCAACTGAACGTCGCCGCCGCCAATGTATCCTCGACGTTGGGAGTGCCTCCCAACTTCATTCAAGTTTGCAACCCTTTCTCGTCACCGCCGAATTACCATTACCAGCCACACGATGATTTCACTTGCCCTCCTCCTTCGATCCCCATTCGCGACATTCCAAAGGTACAAACACACGTTCCTTTTTCGTCAAAGATCAAAGATTGTGAAGCCGTACCAGAGGTTATACCAGAAAATTCAATAGTAGAATATTTTGTGCTGATTAAAATCATAGGTTAATCTTGGTTCACCATTTCATAGGTAGTGAAATTGGTGACATGCTCAGACGACGGGACATGTAGCAACGGGCAATTCGTATCCCCTGCCGATTACAGACTAGTGGAGGGCTACGCCAGTTCGATCCAGAGCCTCGTCGACGCCTTCCCCGAGATGCAGAGCCTGGTGGAATGCGAGTCCGTCAGGGCTTCTCTGTCTCGAATTGTCGACCGCCATTGCCAGCCATTGAAGAAGAATGCAAAGATTGCTTGGGCATCATTGATTCCCCTCTCTGTTCTCAACATGGCCCTTCTCGTTTTGGTACTAGTAATACAGAGGATTGGACCTTTAGGAACCAGCGGTTCCGTGGGTGCCGTCGCTAAAGATGAAACGGCGCCTCTGCCTCGCCATTCTTCGTCGTTGGAGATAGCCGGCTCCGGCGGCCACCATCAGTTGGTTTAGTGAATACTTCATTCTTAATTTATTTGTTTGTATATTCCCACCTCTTATATTTTTTTATTTTAGTTTAACTATTTTTATAGGTTACATAGGGGTAGTATTTTTGTTTACAGAGGATTCATATTAATAGTTGAATCTATATGGTGTACAAAATTAGATGGTTACTAAAAAGTACAAATAATACTCTATGATATGGACCCAATCAAGGGGAAGAGAACCATTCATAGTAGTAAGTAATTGTATCCATTCTTTTGTTTGATGTATGAAGATGAATGAAATTTCGATTTTGGTTGATTGTTCGTAGATAACAAATTGAAAGATACAGAGCTTTTGAGTTTTGACTATCGAGCCAAACTTTTTGTGTCAAACGGTATTATGCTGCATGTTAATAATTCATTTGTAAAAAGTGACATGTTATCCACCAATATATTCGAATACTTAGAGCCAATTCGATGTTTTGATGATGAAATGTGATAATGAAATGCGGTTTAAATATGTAAGAAAATAACAATGGATATGATTTTGTGTGTATGCTTTTGGATTCACTAGTAGTTGGTAGGAAGAACAAGCAAGCGAGATGTGGTACCAAATGCTTCAAATCGAAATCAAACACTAAATTCTATACAAGTAGGATTAACGGTGAATTTCGTATTTATATTTAAATGCTGAATTCATATTTCATGGATGTACATTCTGTGTCGAAGAACATGGAATTAGAAAACTAATCTAATAATTTATAATTGGATTTAAAACTTCTCTTTACAATTTTAAATTTTTATAAACATGTTCTTAAATGAAAAATAGGCTAAATTAAGGGGCAATACAAAATTTAGTAGCATTATGATTTATGACCAAATTTAAGAAATTGGTTCTTACCTAAAAAATCAAAGTCAACAAATTGGGGCGCATCCCGTCAGTTGAGACTTGAGACACATGGCGCCAAAGAGGCTAAAAGCCTAAAACCCAAACTGCCAGACTCTAGTCGCCATTGATGCTTTCTTCGCTCACTCCACAGTCCACACAGCAAACTGTTCTGTATCCTCTCTCCGATGAATACGCGCACCTCTGAGGCAAAGACGAACTGATAGAGACAGCTTCCGGCTTCGGCCACCATTTCTGCATCATCTCGAAGTCATCAATTCACCATGAATCGGCTCGTCTCATTTCGCTCCAAATCGAGAATCAGTACTATCTCTTGCAGCTCCTCCTTCTACGCTCGTATACTGGGCAACTCAATCGACGCATCTCGCACTCGTTCGCCCGCCAATGCATCCGATTCCTTGGCTACGCTCTCTCGTTGTTCTTCCTTGGTTCCAGCGCGAACCCTAACGGGATCTTCTCTGTTCGGGTTCCGCAATAGGAGCACGGCGAGTTGGAGTAATTTGACGGGGCACGAAGGGAGCCAGGACTTTGCTAGGAGATTCTGCAGTGATGCGGCGGCGGAGAGGGAGTCGATGGAGTATGATGTTGTGATCGTTGGAGCTGGGCCTGCTGGATTGTCGGCGGCGATAAGGTTGAAGCAGTTGTGCGGCGAGAAGGGGGTGGATTTGTCTGTTTGTGTTGTGGAGAAGGGTGCCGAAGTAGGTATGTTGCTATGACTCAAGTTCGCGTGCTGTGTACTTGTTTGCTGGTGGTGAATTGAAGTTTGAACATCACTATCCGCCATTTCTGTTTTTTCTTGAATTGGTTAATTAGGTGCTCATATTATATCTGGGAATGTGTTTGAGCCTCGGGCCCTGGATGAACTTCTTCCGGAATGGAAAAAAGAAGAGGTGATTTCCTGTACTCACTTCCCCGTTGATCTCATGAATTCACCATTCATGTCTTTGGCTTTGATGCTAAGAATGAGTAGTTGGGGGTAACCAATTCTTTCGATACTGGAACTGAAGTTTGAGAACTGTTATCATTTTCGTTGTTTGTTGTTTAATGTCATGTTGATTGGAGAGCATAATGAAATGATGTAGTTAAATGGGTTTCAGATTCTAGCAGTTCTTCTTAATATCTTTGTATGAACTGTACTGTGATATTCGAAGCCGATCAGATGGGCAAAGAGAACAAGCTGTTAGTATTTAGAAACCCATCAAAATTCAAGTGATATGTAATCTGCAGTGGTCTTTTCTTTTGTTGAATTGCAGGCACCAATCTCTGTCTCGGTTTCTTCTGATAAGTTTTGGTTTCTCACAAAGGATCGTGCATTTTCATTGCCAAGTCCGTTTGATAACAAAAATAATTATGTGATAAGGTAATGAATAAGCTTGCTGCTGTTGTACTGAGCATTTTGCATGAGCCCTTAATATTCTCTTTAACATGATTTCCTTGTTTTGCTTTCCAGTGGTATTGGGATAGAAATCTATCAATGGGTTGTACAAATTAGAAGCTGGTATTTTGAAAATGTATACCACTGTGCATTTCTTTTACCTAACTAATTTGATTACTACTGAATGCGTTTTGTACATGAAACCATGGGGAAGATGTCAGCGAAAGACGTTCAATATCTTATTTTTGAACACTCCTGCTTTCCTCCTCTCTATATTGGGAATATTTTCAGATGTTTGTCTGATACATACGTTATAGAAGTTGGACGCTGTTCACACTCCTGCTTGCTTTATTGAAATTTGACTGGAGTCAGTAGTCAGCAACAGTACTCAGTATCACCTTTTCTTGTTTCTCTGTCCTGTTTTCTGTTTCAGCATCCCGTGAAATATATCAAATGGAAGTCTAATGTTCATATTGTCTGAGGGAGCTAAAAAAAAGAAAGAAAAATGGGGTGATGTAATGCTACATCGATCCTAAATAAGTTTGATTGTGAAAAAGTTGCGACTAATGATAGGGAAGTGTGGTAATTCTTGAACCCAACTCATCACTGTAAGTCTCTGTGCAGCTTGAGCCAATTAGTGCGTTGGATGGGTTCGAAAGCCGAAGAATATGGCGTGGAGATATATCCTGGATTTGCTGCTAGTGAGGTATCTGAGGCGGCTTATTTTACATTCCGTGCTTATTATCAAAAAAATGAAGTAAATTTTTTTAATGTTTGCAGATACTATGTGATGATAATGGTAGTGTAATTGGAATTGGAACTAACGATATGGGAGTTGCAAAAAATGGATCTAAGAAGGAAAATTTCCAGCGTGGTGTTGCTTTGAAGGGTGTGTCTCTAGCTTTCTCTGGAAACAAGATGATTCAAGTTCTTGCTTCAAATATACCTTGGCAAATCAAATGATTCCTCTTCGTGTAGTTGATTGATTTGCTATCAGTGTTGCTTTATGAGGGCGATAAAACTTGCAGGTCGAGTAACACTTTTTGCCGAAGGTTGCCGAGGATCATTGTCAGAGGTTTGCAAAATTAACTTTGTGGCGTAGTTACATTTTTTCATCAAGGTTAACCATTTTTTGAATTATACTAATAAATGACATCTTTTTCCTATTATCAGAAGATAATCAAGAAATACCATTTGAGGGAAAAGCGGAATGCTCAACATCAGACATATGCGTTAGGAATCAAAGAGGTAATATACTTTCTAATGAGCCTAATGTTCACTGTGTTTGATGTTTTACAACTTTGTTTCTTTGCTTATCAATTTTGTTAGAATGTCCTTATAGGTTAGACATATATCCAGATTGAATTGATTTATGTTAGTATTATTATGAAATCATCAAGATTGTGAAGCTCAGTATAAGTCCACTCTTACCGATTAACTGTAATTCACCTCACACAATCAGCCCTCACCCATCTAGTGCATTTTATATGCTTCACACATTGATGGATGTTTTCAGGTTTGGGAAATCGATGAGAGCAAACATCAACCTGGTGCAGTCATTCACACTTTGGGTTGGCCTTTAGATCAGAAAACATATGGGGGTTCATTTCTGTACCACATGAGTGAAAGACAGGTAACTACTGTTCATGCTGCATTCCCTATCTTAACTTGTAATTTTATGTCAGGGTAAATTCCATGCAGTGATCCAAATCCTGCTTGCCTGTTTGCTAGTTGTAATATCATTCAACAGTGCCCTTTGTTTTACGGAGTTCTATATTAATGTCATTGCTTTCCCTGTTGAGTATGCAGGTCGCTATAGGTCTTGTGGTGGCTTTGAACTATAAGAATCCTTATTTGAGTCCTTATGAGGAATTTCAGGTAAAATGGCCATGTAGGTCTTTCATATTCTACGGTTCATATTTCTGATTCTAGTGGTGGCTTTGAAGTAGTAGTTCAAATTCCTGGTCCGCTGCTGAAAGCAAACATGATAAGGCATGTATGCAGACTCGTGCATATTTGAACACATAAGCTGAAAGAGCTTCTGAGTTGGTTTAAAACCTGTGCTATCCCTTGAGTGTCTCATTTGATTCCAGAGAACAGGAAGCATAATACAGTTATTTATCTTTTCAGCATTAGTGGATCATATGTATTTGAGGATCTTGTGAACTTTCCTTTACTGTCTTTATCTTAGAAACTGAAGCACCATCCTGCCATCAAGCCAATTCTAGAAGACGGGACTGTTATTCAATATGGAGCCCGAACTTTAAATGAAGGTGGTATTCAGGTGAGTATATGCCTTCTTGTGTAGAAATTATATCCGTCGTCATAACTACATTTGTGTTTAAGAATAACAAATGTTGAGAAGTGTTTTCTGTTAGAAATGTAAGGTGCATTTTCCACATAAATGAGATAGTAGTTTTAGATCTGCTTATTACATGCTATACAAATATGATTGTGATACTGAAATAAATTTCAGTCCGTTCCATATCCAGTTTTTCCTGGAGGAGCTATTATCGGGTGTTCAGCTGGCTTCTTAAATGTACCGAAAATAAAGGGAACACATACGGCAATGAAATCAGGTATGAGGTACCTGCTCCATGTCTTGGCGATTACTGTCTTTGTTTTACTCTCAGGGATTCCTGCTTCATCCTCTTTTTGTATCAACGAGTACAAGGTTTCATAGTTGTACTTGATTTTCCTATTTGGTGAAGAACGTCCTGATTGTCCTTCTTTGAGTAAAATAAGAATAGTTTCTTTACATAGAAGCTCAAGTTCTTTACTAGAACAGACTACCAACTACCAAATCGCAGTACTGTTTATAACACATATCTTTTGTCCATTTGTCTATCCTTGAAACATTAAGACCATGTTTTTCTACAGTGAATCCATAATTGTTCAAGAATTGGCAGAAATAAGAATCCCAGAATGTTCGAAGCAAAGAGCTGTCCATTAAATCCTTTTTATGTTTCTGCAACTGCCCAGGAATGCTTGCAGCAGAAGCTGCGTTTGGTACACTTCTAGAAGGCTCAAACTTAGACTCCTATTGGACAACTTTGCAGAATTCTTGGGTATGGGAAGAGCTGCATAAAGCACATAACTACCGACCTGTGAGTGAAAATTTCATCGCCATCCTTTTCTTTTTCTTTGCATCACGTTATTACAGTTTCTCAGCAAATTCAGACTTATTTCTTTAGTCTAATCATGTCTTCAGCCTTCCTATTTCACGAGCCAACTTATATGACTGTAGGCATTTGATCATGGGTTCATTCCTGGAATGGCGATCAGTGCAGTAGAACAGTAAGAGTTCACTCTTCATCAAATTTCCCTTTCACTTGGATTCACGGTTTCACTCAACCGTCTCACTTTGATGAGTTTTCTGCCAAGCAGTTACTTGTTTAGAGGGAAGTCCCCATTTACATTGAAGCATGGGAAACCTGATCATGAAGCAACAAATGTAAGTCGACATGTCTAAATAAGTCTTTATGTGTTGATCGTTGAATTCAGTTATACACATTATGTTAGTCCGATGAGGCCGCATAATATGGTTAGTACTCTACAAAAGAGTTTATGATTCTCACCTACTATATTCTGTGGAAATATGTCCTACGTCAGACATTCATTTAAGCTTCTACATGTTGAGGCCTCGAGTGATCTTTAGTTATTAGTAATTCTGTAAATTTAACAATGAACAACCAGAATCTCATTCTGCTATGTTTCATTTTCATTTGCTGCCTTCAAATTTTCCGAGACTTGGGTGAATAGACAACCAATATCCAGTTTGCATGACAAATGGATGATGATTAGCTCACCCTTGTGACTGCAGGTGGCAAGGTCACATTCTCCAATCGAATATCCAAAGCCTGATGGAGTTCTGTCATTTGACGTACCCACCTCTCTCCACAGGTTTCCGAACCTATCCTTACAGAATGTTCACATATTGATATAGATATACTTGAACTTTTAATACATGTTTGCTCCAAAACAGAGTTGTAACTTGTAAATGATGCCAGATGATATCCACTACCACCCTAGTTGGCATATAATGAAATAGCAGATGGTTCTTCCGCGTTTGATGGTGGCTGACCTCATTCTACCTGTAACTCCTCTGGGTTTCTCTTTTTTATGCTGTTATTCCCCATTTGCAGGAGCAACACAAATCATGATCATGATCAGCCGGCACATCTGAAACTCAGGGACCCTGAAATCCCTACTCAACTGAATTTGCCAGAGTATGATGGACCAGAGTCACGATACTGTCCTGCTCGTGTGTACGAGTATGTGCACCCTTTACGATCCGGTTTCTAAAATTTGCTTTCAATTTCCATCTCTTAATGGTAGAATGTATCTAACATAAGAATTTCCCCCAATCCCGGTGGGTGGTTGCAGGTACGTCCCTGAAGAGAGCGGTCAGTTGAAGTTACAGATCAATGCTCAGAATTGCCTACACTGCAAGGTACTCTTAAAAACTCGAAATCCCCGTGGAACATATGATTTGTACCCTCGAACAGTGCATGTTATACTAGAGAAAGAAAGCCGCTTGTCGACGATACAGAACTATGTCTGAAAATCGTCATTGCGAAAGTACTTCTTCTGATGAGTGCCCATAGATATAATGTTGCTGGAAATGAAATAGAGCAATCGCATCGGATAGACCCTCCTTTGATGAGTTTGTGAAACACCTGACGTTTGGTTTGATATGATTTGCAGGCATGTGACATCAAAGACCCAAAGCAAAACATTGAGTGGACAGTCCCTGAAGGGGGAGGCGGCCCGGGCTACTCAGTTATGTAGTAGTTTTCGTCGGAGTGATGCTAGATTTACTGAAAACTCGAATAAAGAAAAAGCCTTGTATCATCCCGTATACTAACTTCTATTCGTGTAAGTTGTAACGAACTTGTTACTCAAGTTTGTACATATAACATAGTAGTAATTGCGCCAGGTCTTTGGTCCAGATTGTTCATGTCAAGCTTGTGATGCACCAAAATGTTGATTTCTGATATTGCGAGTTCGAGCTGGACCAAGTAACGAGTTCAAGTTAACATGTGTCGTACATTTTAGCTAATCAGGACCTGATTGACTTATTTTAGAATTTGGTATTCTAATTTGTCCGAGAAGAATGAATTGAGTGACTACTATGAATGATAGTCATACTTATAGCAAGTGAATTTGTTAAAAAATCAAAGTTTGATGATTGATTTGTCACAGATCACAAAGTTTAGTGACCATTTTTGTAATTGATCAAAAATACGATCCATGGGCAAAATAACCGCGGCACAAAGCCCTTTTAGTTAGTCAGTTGTTTACCAACAACGAGCGAGCCTTCCCTCTCCGTGGAGTCGCCGCCGGTCTCTTCGATTAGAGCGGAGACTGTAGCTGCAGAAGGAGGACCCCGGAGGAGGGAGAGAAATAGACGGCTGAGGCGGAGGTGGAGAAACGTCTTTCACGAACAGTGAATCAAATCCTTTAGCTTCCCAGAGCTTCACATACATTAGGAACTATGCAGCAGGTCTCCCGCAAGGTACCACAACTACTGCTACTTCTCATAACCATCAACTCTCTTCGCAACGTGACCGGGTTCAACAATGTCTTTTTGAATTAAGATGCTATCGTGAGATAATAGTAATAATTCCTTAGCTGACGTAGAGACGTGTGTGTTATAACGGTGGGCATTGTTTGTTAGATGCTAAAGCTGGGATTTGGGGTTCGGTTTCGTATTAGGAAGTTATGCTCTGTCTCAGGCATTGCCCGAGCTGATTGTGAAGACTATTCAATACCAGATGATGCTGCGTCTTCGAAACCCAGCATCCAGATTCCTCCAAACATGGTGGAAATCAACTCTCAGTTGAAGCTGCTGGTCAAGACTAAGCGCTTGACAGATGCCCGGGATATGTTCGACAAAATGCCTTACAGAGACGAAATTTCATGGACCACAATTATTTCTGGCTATGTGAGTGCCATGGACAGTGCCGAAGCATTGAGATTGTTTTCGAGGATGTGGCTTGAGCCGTCGCTCCAAATGGACCCCTTCATAATAAGCATTGCGCTGAAAGCTTGTGGGCGGAGCTCGAGTGCTCGTTTCGGCGAATTATTACATGGATACTCTATCAAATCTGATTTTGTCAGCTCAGTTTTCGTGGGGAGTGCTCTCTTGGATATGTATGCTAAAGTTGGTAAAATTGACAGATGTCTCGTGGTGTTTACTGATATGCCTCTGAGAAATGTGGTCTCTTGGACTGCTATTATAACTGGACTTGTCCGCTCTGGTTCTTACAAGGAAGGATTGATTTACTTCTCGGAAATGTGGAGGTCAAAAGTTGTTTGTGATTCATACACGTTTGCAATTGCTTTGAAAGCCTGTGCTGATTTGGGTGCTTTGGATCGTGGGAGGGAGATTCATTGTCAGACTATAAAGAAGGGATTCCATGTCTGCTCATTTGTGGCCAATACTCTCACCGTCATGTATAATAAGTGTGGGAAATTGGAATATGGTTCATGTTTATTCGAGCAGATGGAGTTGAAAGACGTTGTTTCATGGACCACAACTATAGCAACATGTTCCCAAAATGGGGATCATGAAAATGCGGTCAAAGCCTTTAGAAGAATGCGTGAAACTGGCGTAAGTCCAAATGAATACACTTTTGCAGCAGTGATGACTTCTTGTGCTAGTCTTAGTAGACTTCGCTGGGGTGAACAATTGCATGCTCATGTTTTCCGCTTGGGTTTAGTTGATAATTTATCAGTGACCAATTCCATCATAACCATGTATTCCAAATGCGGACAGCTCGACTTAGCTTCCAGCATCTTTGAGAAGATGACTGAAAAGGACATCATTTCGTGGAGCACTATAATTGGAGAGTACTCTCAAGGAGGCTCTGGAGAGAAGGCTTTTGGTTACCTATCTCATATGAGAAGGGAAGGCCCACAACCAAATGAGTTTGCTCTTGCTAGCGTTCTAACTGTTTGTGGAAACATGGCGATTCTCGAGCAAGGAAAACAGCTTCATGCTTATACATTACGCGTTGGTTTGGAACTGGATGCCATGGTACAAAGTGCTTTAATCAATATGTATTCCAAGTGTGGTAGTATACCAGAAGCTTTGAAAGCGTTTTCTGAGGCTGAAGTTGATTGCATTGTGTCTTGGACTTCCATGATCAATGGTTATGCTGAGCATGGGTTGAGCGAGCAAGCAATTAGTTTGTTTGAGAAATTTCGAAGAGTAGGTTTAAGACCAGATTCAGTGACCTTTATCGGTGTTCTCTCAGCCTGCAGTCATGTTGGACTAGTTGACCTTGGTTTTCACTACTTCAATTTGATGAGTGAGGAATATGAGATTTTCCCCTCAAAGGAGCATTATGGCTGCATGATTGATCTCCTTTGCCGAGCCGGACGTCTAAATGATGCTGAGAGCATGATTGAGAACATGCCATTTCAACAGGATGATGTTGTTTGGTCAACTCTTCTTAGTGCATGTAAGGTCCATGGAGATGTAGATCGTGGAAAACGTACTGCTCAGAAGATTCTAGAAATAAATCCTAATTGTGCTGGCACGCACATCACCCTTGCTAACCTGTATGCTGCCAAAGGGAAGTGGAAGGAAGTAGCCGAAGTGAGGAAAATGCTGAAATGGAAGGGTATAATTAAGGAGACGGGATCGTCATGGATAAAGATGAGGGATGAGGTTTCTACATTTGTATCTGGCGATGACTCTCATCCACGGGCAAAAGATATTTACAATGTGTTAGGTTTGCTATCCGTAAGAGAAGATGAAGATGCTATGGGGATAGGTTATGATCCAGTTAATGTTGATGATCAGCAAATAAATGCTTTCTTGTATTGATCTGCTCAGGAGGATTAAGCAGGCTTTCTTGCATTAATCTGCACAGGAGGATTAACCGTTTAATTGTCGTTATGACTTGAGCAGGAGGTCTTATTTGCTAAGGATGTCCTGTGAGTATCTCAAAAGCTGAAACTTTCACGATGGTTGAGATGAAGTGCGCGATAATCATTGAGCCATTGGACAATGGGTAAGGCCTGGCTCGAGAAGTTCCCATCATCAAGCAATCTTGATTAATCCATATATCCACATTCAGCATCAGAGAGGGGCAGTCTGCAGTTTGCACATACCGAATTCTTGATCCATCAACTTTTCTAGCATACTATCAAGAAGATGCTTCTTTAATGCAGGAGCTAGAAATGCAGAGAGCAGAACTACAAATAGGTAAGCTCTCTGGCAAAACACTGTTGTTATTCAACAACTTTAAATTTGCCCTTAATAATATGTTTTTACTCCCCCCACACATGATAAGGCAAGAAGTCAGTTACCCATAATAGTATGTTCTGTGTGCTTGTTATTCCCTGATTTTCGCTCTCGCCTCTCTGAGACCAGTTCAAATTCTGCAGCGTAATGTTTCTGCTTTAGGTGTTTATTTAAAAATTTGAGACAGAATTATTTGTAATCTCGGCATTAGCGGGGTCTTTCTTTTTCCGCAGGCTTTAGAAAGAGCCAACGGATACTCTCCCCCAGCGATGGTGATTGCTTTCTGGCCTGACACGAGCAGAAGCTCTGTGGATGGGTCAGCTCCTAATGCGAGATCTCGCTCCACATGGTTGCTTCAGGCTTCCTTTCAGGTAAATCAATTCACTGTATCTCTTGTTCTCTTACTTTGTGTTGAACTTATTCGACTCCCAGATGGGGTTGAATCATTTGGAGTTGCTCTCGAATCTTATGTCGCAGTTCTGGACTAGGTAGAGGACCTAAGAACGGAAAAATGAAGTTGCAGTGATCCTCCTCATGGTTAGTGAATCTAGTGCATCCTACATATCTTCCATCTGTAAATGGGAGCAATCGCCAAATTGAGATTTGGGAACTTCGTTGTCAACGAATGATTAACCTGTCTCCTGTCCTATAAGATTTCCAAATTGATAGCTACTTCCTTCTGATTTCTCCTGGCTCCATACGGGTCAGTAAGTGGGTTTTCAGGGATCTAGCACATTTGGTTGGCATCTAATTCCGGAATCTCTTTGGCCAGCTTTGTCGACCATGGTTGGCATCTTCTTCCGTCATGTTCTGGACATCATCGTCATTGATCTGAAGTGAGGAAAATATGATACTCCTTCCCTGTCAGATTGAAGCAGAGAGCAACTTGTCCAGCATGACAGAGCAAGTGGCAAGAATACTGTCAAAGGTTACTGAATATGTTCTTAGCTTTAGCTGCAATACATAATCATTGTGTTTATAATTCGATGTAAACATGAAAGAGAACCAGTAACGATGTGTGCAACATTCAGGACGCGGAGTCTGGCAGCCCTAACTGATTGGTCCTGTTGGGAATGGGTCGAACTTAAGGAGCAAACTTAGTACACGCCGCATAAACCCTTTTGTATGGTTATGATAAAGATAAGAGTTTGTTTTCTCCGGTTAATAATGATGATGGATTTTGAAGTTATTACGGGATATTATTACATTAAGCACAGTCTTGTCTATCCTTTCAATAAGTATGAGCTAGTTGAACCCCTTTTGGAGATTGATTGAATTTGCCGAGAGGATTTTCTTGGGGTCAGTTTTCCCAGAAAGGTTATTCGTGATGAAGACCCTTAATGGAGTGGGTCTGCCCTTATGTTACTCGGGAGGGGTTACTGTGCTAATTGTACAATAGTTAGCACCGTCCTAACCAAGGGAAAAACTACTACTAGTTTGAATTAGTAGTGATTTAGTTTAGATGTTGTATTGATTTTATAATAATTCATAGTGATTTTTGCTAGTTATCACGGTGCTAACCCCTATAAGGGTTAGCACCTAATCCCATCCCTATGTTACTCTGGTTTGGGTCGTGTGTTTTGATGATATCTTTTTACTAATTCCTATATCTAGCCGGTAGGAATCTGTAACCTCTGGCAGTTTTGCCTCCCTTTAATAAAAAAATTATGTTACCATGTCGAAAGGTAAGCATTATCATGACTATTAACGGTTGTTCAACAAACTCATTAACGACAATAAAAACACACGTATTTATAACCCAAATACCCAATGCCCATGCACAATAAAAAGAAAAATAAAAAAATCAACCAAACCCTAAGAACAATGAAGACACCCCATTAATGTAATATAGAGAGAGACCAAAAGAAATAAGAAAATGCCAACTTGCATATGATGGTTGGGGATTTGGGATCACAAACTCTAAAAACAAAGAAGTATGGGGAGACATGTGACATTGTTGTTCAATGTTGGGTGGAAGACCAAAGCTATTCACATTCAACAATGAATAATATGATAAATAAATGTTTCTCTTTCAACATTTCTCCATTCTTGTCAATTTTCCCAAGTTTTCAATTTTCTCATTTTTATTTATCAATGGCTTGCAAATTTCTTTCTTGGTCGCGTAAGAAGCTCTGGGCTGGGCTGTACGATAACAATACTTCTATTCTGGGCTGCTCTTCATTTTTTAACAGACTTCTCTTCTTCTGAAAGCTTCGCGGGTTTCCTCCCCAGCAAAACGCGTGGACTTTGCTCTCCATAATTTCCCTTCGCGTTCCGTGGTCAAATGGTGGTGCTAGCTGCTCGAATCAATCCATCCTTCCTCTACCGCTAACGAATTCAGATCTCTGCTTCCTTTACTGGGTTAAAGCTTCTTCTCCCGCTCTGTTCTCCTCGGTCGTTTTCAGCTTCTGGCTTCGCGAGTCTCGTCGTCGGGGGTTTCTTCTGGTTTGTTTGCGCAGCGGGTGGACTGTGAATTAGGGTTGTTGTTACTCTGCTCTCGCTCCGGTAGCGGTAGGGATTTTGATGCGGGAAGCTCTCCAAATTGCTCTTTGAAAGTACTGGTTAGGTTTTGTTTCGGTGATGGATAAGGATAAATCGGCGCCTCATGGCGGGTTACCGCCGACTCCGACGGGCGGTCGTTTCCCGAGCTTTTCTCCGTCGGGAAGCTCTTACGGTGTGAAACCCGAGCCGCCTTCGTGTTCTGCCTTCCCGCCGCTGGCATCGCCGGATTCCGGCCGGTTCAGCCACGATATTAGCCGAATGCCAGATAACCCGCCGAAGAACTTAGGCCATCGGCGGGCTCATTCGGAGATTCTCACCCTTCCTGACGATATTAGCTTCGACAGCGATCTGGGAGTTGTGGGTGGTGGCGCTGATGGGCCTTCTTTCTCCGACGAGACTGAGGAAGATATACTTTCTGTGTACCTTGACATGGAGAAGCTGAATTACTCCTCTGCGACGTCTGGTTTTCAAGCTGGGGAGTTATCAAATCCTGGCTTTGCATCAGCAAACTTGCAAGGTGGGTCAGCTGCCATGTCAGTGGATGGTGGTGCACCGAGTGAGAGACCGAGAATTAGGCACCAGCACAGCCAGTCGATGGACGGTTCGACCAGCATCAAGGATGAGATGCTCATGTCTGGTTCCGAGGATGCCTCTGCTGCTGACTCCAAAAAGGCTATGTCTGCAGCCAAGCTTGCTGAGCTTGCTCTTATTGACCCCAAACGAGCAAAAAGGTCCTATTCCACAACTTGCTCCTTTGTATTTGCTGTTGTGAATAGAATTATGATTCTCTTAAGCTTGCTTGATTTGATTTATTTGGAAGAGTTGAGTGATAATTGACGCAAATGTATCGTTTGACACTCTTGATTCTCTTGGAATTGGAAATGCAGTCTCAAACACTTGTGGTAGGAAACATTTGAAATGCACTCTGGATAATAGCATGCAAAATGAATAATTTAACATGTAACTTCAATTTACAAATACGTTGAAAAACACACTATTTAAGAGGGTTGGATAACAGTTGGGTTTTTTTTGTTGGCTTGCTGTCGAGGCGTTACGGTAGAGTTTGCTGCCTTTTCTGTAAACGCTAGACAGTTTTAACTTTCCGCTCTGCTCCTTGTTTGGTACGTATGTTTTTCTGTCTTGTTTATATTCCTTTTCGACATGGTGTAATAGGATATGGGCAAATAGGCAATCAGCAGCAAGGTCAAAGGAAAGGAAGATGCGATACATTGCTGAGCTCGAGCGAAAAGTGCAGACATTACAAACGGAGGCAACATCGTTGTCTGCTCAATTGACTCTTCTACAGGCAAGTTGGATTGGCTTGATAGTTCACTTTTAAATATGTGAAGTATGAAAACTGTTACTTGTTTATTACAAAAAAAGGTTAAAGCCTAACACTTTAATGATTCTGTACCTCACTCTCTTTCTTTCTCTTAACAGAGAGATACAAATGGCCTAACCTCTGAAAATAGTGAACTGAAACTTCGGCTACAGACTATGGAGCAGCAGGTTCATCTGCAAGATGGTTAGTACCTTTCTACTTATTTGAAAAAGCTGCATTCTGGCTAGTTTTAATCGGTGTTTGATGTTTTATTTGTGTTTTACTCTTATTCCTTTTATTGGCTAAAGTCATATACAATTGTTACTGCTTTATCATGTTTTAGTTGGACATTGTTGCTGCTTGGCATTTGCGTGACTCTCATGTTGCTTTAGATGGTTTCCAATTACTGTGGTGGTGTAATTCATTAGAAAGTCAAGGTTCTTAGTCTATCTATCAAAACTTTTGCTTTATTTTATATTTTTAAGTTAAAAGTCGCTTTGCATTGTGAATTCTTATGCGTATTAGAAAGAGAGGTGTGATTGACATATTTGAGCTAGACTAACTCCAGCCTTGCTAGTCTCTTGAGTAAGCCTAGAAATGGATAGAATTTTTCTTTGCTAGGCCGTTGCCAAGAAGACTAAGATAGTTTTCTAGATTAGTATATGGAGCATGACTTTTACATCCTTTTATAGTGTGTACCATGATTTTGAAAGAACATCAGTCAACATGGTTACTCCATATCATGCAATTTTACTTTTTACGTTTCAATGATGTAGAAGTAATTCCAAATAACTAAAAGGTGACAATTTGATGTTTTGAGTTATGTCCTGCATGCATGGAATATTAATAAATTCTTTCGAAGTTCAGTATGGTCGTTACTTTTTGTAATATATTGTGAGTGTCGATATAAGGTGTTCTTGAGATTAATACTCATGAGTTTATATAGTAGAAGGCTGGTAGACCTCTGTTTGTGGATTCCTGGAATTAGCTTGTAATCTGTTGGTGTGAAATTTAATGAGGGAGCTTCCATTCTGACGTCTGAGGAAGCTTGTCTGACAGAGAACAGAAAGATATGGTTTGAGAATGATGTTAGATCAAAGCTTACCTTCTTTACGGAAGAGTTGATCACTATTTTAATGCAGTTTGGTTACAGCATACTTGTAATCGGAATATTGGTTCTTGCCCTATTACAAAAGCTTACCCTAGAAGGAAGGATAGGATGCCTGTGAATTCTATGAAGGGATGCATACTCGTAACAGGAGGGACTGCTGTTAGTGTAGTTAACCGCCGGAAAAGAGATTTTCATTGTCTAGGCATGTCATGCGTGTTTGGCTTTCTCTGTGTCTTAAATCCAACTTTCATGGTCATCAATTATGTTTATGTTAAGGTCTGGTTGCATTTATTTCTAGTTCAGTGGTTGTTTAGCATTATACTGCTTATGCCTGCATAGTGAATCAGCACACAGTATATTTGCTCCTTGTGCCCTTCTTGGGTTACTAATCAGATCTTTGTCAATTGGTGGGTGTGACCATAGTCCTTCCTCTGAATATTGAGTTATTAATATGAGGTTATAGGGTTTTTAACTTTTTTGGTGAAACAATTTTCCACAAACAGGCCAGGGTCTTGTTGTTTATGTTTGTTTCTTTTGGTCATTATAATGTCTTGTCTTCTTTTGTGGAAAATATGATGAACTCTTTTGTTCTTCCTTCTTTTCTTTTAGCATTGAATGATGCACTGAAAGAGGAAATTCAGCATTTCAAGTTACTAACGGGACAAGGCATGGCAAACGGTGGACCAATGATGAACTTCCCGCCTTCCTATGGAGCAAGCCAGCAGCAATACTACTCAAATAACCAGTCGTCGATGCATACCCTTTTAGCCGCCCAGCAATTCCAGCAGCTCCAAATTCATCCTCAGAAGCAGCCGCCACCACAGCACCACCAGTTCCAACAGCATCACCACCTCCATCAGCAGCTACAGCATCATCAACAGCAGCAGCAAGCCGGGGATTTGAAGATGCGAGGTGGAGCAGGTTCTACTATGGGCTCGTCGATGCAGAAAGATAATAATGGATCTGATCTCCTTAACCCAGATGGGAAAAAGGACTGATGAGACGCTAGAGGTCGATGAAGATGAAGAAGATAACTAACAGTTTTTGATTGATCGCCATTTGTTTGCTAGAGAATTCCAAATTTAGGGGTTTGCTTTGCCCTGTGGAGGCAGGCGTGTTATGGTCCTGGTGTGTCAGCTTAGTCTTCCCCCCATTCCATTTGTTGTTAGCCAGTTTGGTTCTTTCTTGCTGTAAGATCATAATTTGTTGTTTTAGTTTTGGAGAACCAAATCTTATAATGTTTTCATCTACTTGGAGAGATGATGATGTACATTGTAGATTGTAATTTAATCTTATAGCACCTTAATTTTTCTTGGAGTACCTTCCTTGCTTGCATAACTTATGGGTTGATAACATAGATCATATATGGAGTGACATTCGATTTAATTTCATTTAGCGCACATCTCTTCCACATCAAATTACAAAATATCTTTTCGAAATTCTTCATTATTAGAAACCTTCACCTTAATTTGAGTTCATTATTTTGAGTTTATATTACTTTGCAATAATGCATGAAATCAATATAATAAGAAAATAAGAGCATCAATGAAGTTCATCCGTACACATTGGTGAAAATTGTGTCCTTGGAATCAAACTCTTTTCGAAGTCCTTATTTTCACCCATATTGACTTCTATTGCACGGTTTCCCCCTGATTAATTACTTACTCGCGGATTATACGACAGCGTAGCAATATGGTTATGAGCCACAGTCCCAATCCAGAGCTTCCCGTTCACTTCCCTAACTTCACTCACAAGCTTCATCACCATTCCCTTGGGATCTTCCATCACCTCCAAGATTCGGCCGTTCTCATCGAACAACGCGATGACGGTGTACATCTTCATCCCCATGATCCTTGCCAGCAAGCTCATCCTCAAAGGCAGCCGGAAGTAGACGCTCCTCATCCAAGGGTTTCGTGTCAGCACCTCTTGAGGTGCAGTTCTGCAACAATCGATGGCTACCCAATACTGCCCTTTGTCGTTGGCTCGAACATTGTCCGGGAAGCCCGGTAGGTCGGCGACATGATCCACCGTGCCGGCCTTTGGTCCCTCCAGCCAGTATTTCATCAGCCTGTGGGTAGTTTTAGTATGAGCAGCAGAAGAAAAATTGTTCAGTTGCCACTGCCATATCGTCCCTTACACGATCTCAGTCAATTGATCGCATGGAGGGACGATCTAACCTATGACGAAATCGATCAATCGAGATGTTGCATTTGATTGGTGACATGGGGAACCTTATGAGGCAAATACCAACCTGCAATTAGTGGTCTCTGTGAAGAGTAGGAAAGTTTGGTCATGAGATAATTGGACACCATTAGGGAAAGCAAGCCCATCGATCACAACATGAGTTTGATTGGTGGGCGGATCATATCGTAGAAGTCTGCCCGTAGCTTCTCCTTCCAATAAGATGAAGAAATGACTCCTATATATGGTAAAAAGAAGAACACATTGAAATAAGCAATTAATGATTATTTTGTTACAAGCATGTTAATTTACATATCATTTAGATAATAATAAAAAAAAAAACTTTATAGATGTAATCACTTACACACGGTCGTATCGTTTGCTCGTATCCGTGAAAAAAACGGAGCCGTTTGAGTGGATGTCGAGATCATTAGCGAACAGAATGGGCTTCCCGCCCACGTCGTGCGTAGCCAAGGGCTTAGCTATTCCACCTTCCGGCCCAACCTTTAAAAGCCCATAGTAGGCGTCGGCAATGTACAGCTCACCGGTTGCCTTATTGAACCTAAGGCCCAAAGGCCGGCCGCATTGCTTCTCGTACTTCCACTGCTTCGCCGTCGTCGACTCCACTCCTCTCCCGCACGCCTCCTCCGTCCTTCAAGATTCACGGTCATTTACAATTTAGTCCTCCATTTTGCAAAATCTTTCAAAGTAAATGGACGATACGGTGAAAATCAAACCAATTAAATACGTAATTTACCAAGCATTAGTGACGATAGCAAATGTTTCCCAACCGATTTGGTCGCCCATCCATCTCACGATCCGACCATCTGCTAGACCTGTGTAAGGCCCATTTCCATTGGCGTCGAACTCCAAAGACTCGGGCCCGAAAACCTGATCCACAAACTCCAGTTTTCCTTCCGATCCCAATCGGCTCTTGTTGTCTTTGGGCCAATGTTGCATCACTTCCTCGTAACTCGCTATCTCGTGCCTCACTGGTCGAAACTTGTGCTCCCCTGTGGGCCCCATCTTGAAAGGATCGATCGTCAGGAAGCCCATCACAAAGCTCATCACCCCGATTCCAATTGGATGTTGCACAAGGAGGACCACCATCCTCCATATCAATAACAACCATGAATAGTTGTTGCTCTTCTCCTCCATCTTCTTTTCTTTTTATATCGTGGTGGTCACGAGACTTTATCTATTTTTCTGTCATTATGCTTGATATGAAGAATTTTGTCCGAAGTTTCATATGAGAACCGATCAAGAAAAGATGAGATAATATGAGCCAAATGTTGAGATTAACCCAACAATTTGCTTATTATTACCCACCAACAAGGTTTCCATTGCTCTTCAAGAAAAATCCATGATCATGCATTGTTTGTGACCAATAGTTCAATATGTTTTTCTTGTTGAGGATTAGGTTAGCTGTTGTTAGCCATGCGCATGTTACTTCACCATTTCTTCCAATTCCTATGTGTTCACTGTTCACAAAACACTTACCTTTCTAGTTAATTTACATGATAGTTGGAAAAGGAAAAGATTACACCTTGGAATTTAGTGGGAAAAGTTACTCACAAACTAGAAATAACCTTTAAATTGGTTTGTATATAGGGATCAAAATGACTGTGAAACACAAAGATGACCTAAAGGCCATTGTGATCTATTTTGAACATAGTCAAAGTAAATTTCAAGAATGTTTGAAGATGACAATATGAAGTAGAGTTAAAGGTTGCATCAAAACTAATGAAGACTTTGATAGAAGAAGAGGGGTGTACAAAATTTTACATATGATCAATGCTCGACTTTCAGCATTCATATATATGCAGATATGCTTGGTCTGACTAAATTGAAATCGGATAGAAGATCAATAATCTTCCGCTTTAACATAATAATAAAGAAGGCTAAACCACTAGGCAAGGAACTCTATCAAAGCGGTGAGAGTAACTTCTTGAGAATTCGTGATGGTTGGTGACGATGTCATCAACATGTACCAATAACAAAATTCTTTTGGCTAGATAATAGTAAAAATAATGAACGGTTCATCTCTAATCTCGAAACGAAGAGAGGTTAAACCGTAAAACTGTGAATTAAAGTTCATATAGATCCACCCATATTTCCTTGTAAGTTTTCATACTCTTCCACGTGCATACTCAACTATTGTGCGTAATTTAAAGAATGCAACAACAGAAAGAGTGTCAAAGAGGTGGATTGGATTGTATTCACAATTCATTTGACAGTTGAGACGTGTGAGCTTCATCTTCATCTTCATCTTATTGTTAAATTTACGGTGATAAAAACAAACAAAATTAATAGAAGAAGGAAGAAAGAAAGCAAGTATTGAGAAATCCCAAGGGCCAAGACACAGACGCTACTTTACAGATCTTTCTTTGTTCTTCCCTGAACGGCTCTCTGTTTTTTCCTTTTTTCCTTTTCCCCTAAGCCACTGAAAAAACAAGTTAGAATCCGGTTCCGCCATTGATATCTTCTCCTCGAGCTCATAAAGTTTTGATCTTTTCATGATATTCTCCTTCAAGACCCCAACCCCCCTATCTGATCGATCGATTGCCAGCAGCCGTTTCTTGGCATCTTTGGTTCCCAGGTAAACCCTTCGACTTTACTCTGCTTTTTGTCGTCTCTGCAAACTCAACCCCGATAATCCACTTCCATCCCTAAAACTTCTCTCAGACCAGAGATAGATTTCAGAATTCCTCTGATAGTTCCCGAGAATTTGTCAAGTTAGCTAATTTATGCTGTAAAGCAATCGCAATCGCAGTTGGAGAATCGAGGTCACACAACTTTGCCGCCAAAAATCCGCCATGGCTTCTCTCTGATTCTCCACCGATTGAATCCGAATCAGAAAAGGGGTTTTACAGTTCGATGGCGGGAGGCAGCTGGGAGAGACAAGAGGACGAGGAAAAGAGAGAGAAAGAATCATGGATAGGGAGAGTGAAATCAGGAGGAGCTGTTCCACTGCTGGATCCGGAGAATTGCGCCAATGGATGGGCGTCACCGCCAGGAAGCAAATTCATGGTTCGAGGCCCTGAGTACTTGAAGACCAAGGTCAAGATTCCAGCTGGAGACTACCTCCTGAAGCCGATCGGGTTCGATTGGATCAAGGGTCCGACCAAAATCTCTGAAATTCTGAAAGATCCAACCACTAGAGTTAGGAGAGCTCTCGACGAGGCATTCCCCCAAAGTGATGCAATAGGAAACCCTAATTCTAATCACAATCAGAAACAACCCTTTGTTTGGGCTTTCAACTTGCAGGTGCCCAGCAAGGACAACTACAGCGCAGTGGCTTATTTCGCCTCGTTCGATCCTGTCCCGGAGGGATCGCTAATGGATAAATTCTTGAAAGGGGATGATGCATTCAGGAACTCAAGGCTGAAGCTGATTGCCAACATTGTGAAGGGACCTTGGATCGTGAGGAAGGCGGTAGGGGATCAGGCGGTTTGCTTGATTGGCAAGGCATTGAACTGCAAGTACACTGTTGGGGAGAGGTTTATGGAGGTGGATGTGGATATCGGCTCTTCGGTTGTGGCGAATGCGATTGTGCACCTCGCATATGGGTACATTACTCTGCTGACTGTTGATATCGGTTTCGTGATTGAAGGGTTAACCGAATCTGAGCTTCCGGAGCAGCTCCTGGGCGCGTTTAGATTCTCTGAGCTCGACCCGGGTTCTGCCTCGATGCTGAAACCCTCGTCGAATGGCCTGCAGCAGCAGTCTTCACTGTCGACCAGGTTGTGGAAGTCGATTGGGTTATGAGTTTGCCTGATGATCCAAAACAAGAACAGCAGCAGGAGGGAAAAAGGTTTTAGAAAGATAGGGTGGTTACCCTTTTCTAGGTGACCCAAATTGTAAGCTACTTTTGCTTAGTTGCCATTTGCAGATGGTATGATGGATTATTTTGTGGCATATCATTCAAAGGGATTCACTCATTTGAGCACAGGCTTGCCGCAGCAGCAGGAAGTACATGACAAAGTTTAGTGCAAAGTCGTTGCAGACTTTTGTTCTTCGGAGCGTTTCTGGGATTTGTTTCTTGCATCTTAATCAAAACTCTAATTAAGGTGCCGACTATACGTGTAACAAAACCTTTTCTGTATGTTTGTGTGAACTGACACATTGTGGTTAGTCGTAGTAACACATCAGCTGCATTTCCTTCCTATCAGACTGAAATTTGGTAATCCAAACTACCCAAGGAGAACTCCTGAATGCTCTCAAGTGCGATCGTTTGCTTGCTGTTACATGTTGAGATTACGGTCACATTGGGATCGCCTTATTGACACACTAACACAGAAGGCAACTAGTTTATGTACAAATCAAACCATGTACCGGTTTGTTTGTACCAAATTCAATCTCTGGCAACACAGAATTGCTAAACCATACAAGGCAATGCCAATCAGTTTGTACTTTCTACCGAATTCGATAAGGTGCCAACATCAAGTTTTGCCATTTCCTCATTCCTCTACGATTTATAGATGGTGAATATGAAATAAAAATTGTCCGACAAGAAACATATAACAATATATATTTGTTTGTTTATTGACCGTTTCACTCAATCAAACATAGTTTAGTGACCGGATTGAACACAAAAATTAAGTTCAGTGACCGTTTTATCACTTAATTCATAGCCAAAAAGAAGGACTAAAAACTCGAACTTGGAAGGAAGAAGAAAAGGAAGAGGGGAAAAAAGATCGAGACTTTGGGCATTTGCCGACGGATCAGGAGACAAACGATCGACCGGCCTTCCCCGAGAAACCAGATCGCGGTAGAACTCCCAGATCCCGTCGATCCTTTTCCCGCTGATCGGTCCTCTTCGGTTCCCGCCATAAGCCGCGCATTGTGGCCGGGCGCTCTCAATTCCCGCCGCTGATCAAGCGTCTGCGTCCCTGGTATTGTCTCTTCCATGAAGCTTCGTTTGATGCTCGAACGAACTTAGTTGTTTAATTCACGAGCAGCAGAAATGCTTACGAACTAACACGGATTAGGAGCAGAAATTTGCTTGATTCAATGAGGCCTCGTGGTTCATGGCTGTTCTGGGTAGTAGGGAAGTGATACAGGGTTTGCTAGATTGCTTGATTCAATGTTAACACCAATCTTAAGAGGGGCCATTTTTGCCATTTCTCTTGTCACCGCCACAAAGTCCTCATCCGGTCCTGTCCCTTTTGCCATTTTTCCTCTTCCATTCGCTTTTAAGTTTTCTACAGAACCGAGAATCCCAAAAGCTGAAGAAACCAGGAGATCTGTTTGATCTGAAAAACACATATGTAAATTCCAGTTGTGTGGATGCTGTTTTTTTTTTTTTTTGTCTTTGTTGTTGATAATGAGCTATAGATTTCCAGTTGTGGTGGTAGTTTGTTGGGCATAACTTGGCTATGTTGTTTTATAGGCTATGGATAATTGCTTGCTCCATTTATGCTTAACAAATAAATAAATTTTGTCTCATCTTATTTTGAATGGTTTTTCTTGCCTTGCCTGCTGACAATAATGACATGGGTCATGAATGGTATGGAGTATCATGTCTGAACTCTGTACTAGTCATAAACTAATGCTAAGTGTTCCTTTGCAGCTGATAGATATGGAAGGTTTGGTGGGTTTATGTACCATCACTCCAGTTAGTCCCTCATATAGGCAGCATCATTCTCTTTTCATTCCACGTATTTCCCTACAACTGAGGAAGCAGCTAATGCAAAGCAGTCTCGTGACCATGAAACAACATCGTCCATTTAAGTTAGTTGCTGCTTCAACTGAACCATTAAAAACCTCATTGGGACAGTTCGATAACACTCTGCCATCTAAAGGTTGGCCCTAATCCAAGATCTTGTTTTGAGTTCTCCAATTTCATTCTAGTGAACATTGTCTCAAGAGCTCTGGAAAAGAATTGCACATTATGTTTCACAATTTTGAGATTATTATGTTCAGATTGTCATATGCGTTAACATTTAAATTAGCAGAAGTGCTTGACCTTTGGAGAAGAGCTGATGCGGTGTGCTTTGATGTCGATAGCACTGTGTGCCTTGATGAAGGCATTGATGAACTTGCAGACTTTTGTGGAGCTGGGAAAGCTGTTGCAGAATGGACAGCAAGGTTTAGTGTCCCTTTTTTTTTCATTCTTTGATTGCTAGGATCATCTATCTTATGTTTGAAATGTATGGTACCAGGGCGATGGGTGGTTCTGTTCCTTTCGAGGATGCATTGGCTGCTAGATTATCTCTATTCAAACCATCCTTGTCTCAAGTTCAAGACTTTTTGGAAAAGAGACCTCCTAAGTGAGTTAGCTCTGTGATCACATGCTCGACTTAATTCACTATGTAACTAGTTCTGGAGTTTATTGTGTGTTTATGCATTCCTTGACTGAACTGTTTTTTCCATGCTTGTGCTTCTTGTTTCAACTACTTGCAATTGGTTGAGTTTGTTATCAATTAACTTGTGGAATCATGTTTGATTATGCATACTTACATTCAAACATCCGTTCGTTTATTTGGATATCCAAGAGTGCTTTAGGTAGGTTCTTCTCTTTAGAGAACAGTTCCATATATCTGAGCAGTTCTTATGCAAGAGAGCTGATCACTTAAGACTATTAAGAATTTTTTTTCCTATCTACATCTAGTTCTTGGTTTATGGCATGTCCTTTAGTCATGTTATTGGTCTTTATAATCTGGGGACTAGGTAGGTCTTTGGTTCAAGACACCCGATTTAGATGCCTTCAAAGATTCATACACAAAATTATCTCTGGCGTAGTGTAGCCAAACTTGCCATGGATAATATTTCCAAATGCATCTTTTGCTTGCTACGGCTGTCTGAATATAGTAATAGACCTAGTTTTCTCTGCAATTTCCTTGTCCGTTGGGGAACTCTTGAAAACTCTGTCCGAGGAGCAAGTGGTTTGATTATTTCCCCCCCCCCCCCCCCCCCCCCCCCCCCCCCCCTGTTTTGTAGGATTTCTTCTGGCATAGATGAGTTAGTCAAGAAGCTCAAGTCCAAGAATATCAATGTTTACCTGATCTCTGGTGGCTTCCGACAGATGATAAATGTAATTTTCTTCCCAACAAAATTTGCTTTAATTTCTTTCTCCTTTCCAGTATCATCTTAAGTATGAATCTCTTGCAAACAAGGAGTTATCATTTATGAAGATCCTTTGAGTTTGTTGCATGTGTCATTCTCTAAATTGCTTGAAGCTCAACAGACCTCAACACCTTATTTTTAGCTGATGCAGCAAGCGAGCTTGGATAATGTAAAACAAGAAATAACAATCTAACTTTCTAGTGACCTTCATAGCTTTGAAGATAAAATCTTCAATATAGATGCAGAAAAACTAGTATGTGCTAAAACATTTAACTGGATTTTATGATGATAAAGAAGTTAATGAACTGTTAGATGTCATGAGTATGTTTGGCTTGTTGCACGCTACACTTGTTGATTTTTCTTCTAATTGATAACGTTATGGTCACATCTGCAGCCCGTTGCATCAGTCCTGGGCATTCCAGTTGATAATATATTTGCCAACAACCTTCTATTTGAGAGTTCAGGAAAGTTTCTAGGGTTTGATGCAAATGAGCATACATCAAGGAGTGGAGGAAAAGCTACTGCTGTGCAGCAGATAAGAAAGGTCAGTCGGTTTGTCTTGTATAGTTGTACTCTAGGTGTTTAATTTGTATGCTTTCCAAGGTCCAAACAGATACTGATTCTAATGTTTTACCAGGCTCATGGATACAAAGCTATGGTAATGATTGGGGACGGTGCAACTGATCTTGAGGTATACTGCTAAGAAAAATCCTCTCCCTTTTCAACTCATCGTCCTTTCTTCCTTGTTTCATCTTGCAAGATAGGCACAAGTTTAATTCCATACAATATGTTAGCAACCCAACCAATTTTCAGTTTAGCTTCTAGCATGGGCTCATTGCTTTAGGGTAGATATCAGAAGTTGGAGCATTTGTTTGATTGAGAAGTTGGTTACTTGATCAGCTGGTGCCTGCCAGTTGAATCATCATAAGAGTAGTTTGTACATTCTCGTCTTACTTTTACAACCTGAAGTTGTTCATTCAACAGTATATAATCCCCTCTGGGTCTGGCGCAGGCCCGAAAACCAGGTGGTGCTGACTTATTCATCTGCTACGCTGGTGTTCAGCTCCGGGAGGCTGTTGCAGCAGAAGCTGATTGGCTTGTTTTCAGTTTCACAGACCTGATTAACTCTCTGGAATAAGCCAGCTTTTCTAAGCAGCTCTTTTTGGACTCACAAACATTTTGTCAGCACTGTCCTGATGAACTGACTCTGTATTCATCAAAACTTTGTATCCCCAACACTGTCCTGATGGTTGTTCAGGCCGGTCAAATGCCGGTCAGTTGAACCTGGTTCAACTAGTGCAGGTTATATCGCGATGTGAACATCACCGATATTACCGGCATGATTGATTTTAGGAATGTAAACAAAATAACACCGTTTCAGTGAATTTAATTATTTCATAAAATTTAGAAGTTAAATGTAGATGTTATTTGTTGGATTCAAATATACAATTTTGAGGGTTAATGTTAATGGTAAGTAAATTGAATTGTCTCGATGGCATGCTGATACTGCAATGGTAAACCATACTAATACAATCACATGACAAAGCCAAACATCAAAATGCTAAACTGAAAGTGAACCATACAAAATCCATTCCCAGCTCCAAGCTACAAATGGTCGACTGGTTAAGCATTTACCATCTCTGTTTCTCTACTTAGTATTTGACAAAACAGTAAGTCCGGCCAAGCTGGAAGTTAGTGTACTTACTTTCTGCAAAAGGGTCATACAAGAATTTCTCGAGAAACCTATGCGTACAAGGTTACTTGTCTGCAAATAATAGGCGACTCGGTTTCCCTCAGACAATTACAACAGCTGCACTACATAGCATTTAACAGTCCAGTGGAAGAAGAGACTATCAAGCCACGCCAAAAAATAACTGATGCATAAGAACTTGATCGATCACCAAAGTAGAGTGATGACCAATATAGCATATTCATGATCACACAAGTTCTGTACCAGCAACTGGAACTGAACCCATCTGCAAAACTCTACCATTTCCAAGAAACCTCACAGAAGGCAACGAAGAATCTGTTACCGACTCAATCTCAAGAAACTCGAAATCGAAAGTTCCAGACTTTTTCAGACTGATTACAAACACGACTCCGATCCAGGCCAGCATCGAGATAGCCCAGAAGTTGTTCATCCCATGGATCAAACCCCAAGCAATACCATACCCGACAATTATTCCAGACAAGTGGCCAAGAAAACTCGCTTGAGGAACAATTATCGAAGTGAAGATCAACGACTCGAACGGCGCAAAACTGATAGGAAGAGAGAGAAGTCCAAAGAGGTTCAACTTTGTGGAGGGCTGCTTCACAGAGAGAATCGTCATCCACCCAAAGACAACACAAGAGTACCCAACAGCTGTCACTCTTCTGAAATACTCCACCTTGAATCTATTTATCAGTACGTGGTACATGGCGATCACTAGCACGCCAGATAAGACAACCAACACGAGCGAGTACTGGAGATAGTATAGTGAGCCAAGGCCCATGTGGTCTAGCTGTTCGACTATTCCAAGACTCCAAAGAGCACTCATGTTGAATACCAGATGAATAATGCTGATATGTGAAAATGCTGAAGTGATTATCCTCCAATGGTGGCCTTCTACTGCTGTTTCGTAACTTGAGCCAACTTGTGAATAGCCGAGGTTTTTCTTCTGTAGGTAAAACCATATTGCAGTGCAGAATGCTATAATGCAGCTTGTGGCTGGTTTTTCCAGTATCTCGTAGAAAAGTGGCCTCCCCATCAGCAATAACTCTATTGAGTTCCCTTTCAATTAGTTGGAAGTATGTCTCAAAGACAAGGCTTGGCCTTACCTTCTCGAGCGTCCATGGCAGATCTTACAAACGAACCTGAAAGTAAGTAAGAGCTTGTCAAGTGAAGTTCAGAATGGGCAAAGACATATGGTTTTCACTTTTCATTATACTTCTTTTCTATCAAGAGCATGGATTTATGTGAATAGGTAGCAATCTCAGAAGACATAGAAGCAAATGAGAATGCTAAAGCAAGCCGACTACCGAATCCTAAAACATGTTAGGAAGACAACCAGTAAAGATAGGATGCAGCAAAAGAACGTGATGAACACAGAAGATTGTCTATAGCTCCCTGAATTTCGCATGGGGGTCTAAGGGGAGAGCAAATAAGCATATAGTTTCCCATTCTGATTGAACTCTATTGTCTATACTAACTACAGTTGGTAGAATCCACCTTGAAATGCAACTATCAGATCAACATGACATCGAGTACAGAATCGACACTATTTGCGCCTATTCCTCGAGCCACTGGCACCTCTAAGATTGTTGTTAACATTGAATCAAGAAATCTAGCAACCCTGAAGTGGATCACTTCCCTACTACCCAGAACAGCAATGAACCACAAGGCCTCATTGAAACAAGCAACTTTCTACTCCTAACCCGTGTTAATTCGTAAGCAGTTCTGCTTCTCGTGAATTAAACAACTAAAGTTCGTTAGAGCATCAAACGAAGCTTCAGGAAAGAGACAATACCAGGGACGCAGAAGCTCGACCAGCGGCGGCAATTGACAGCCCCCCGGCCACAATGCGCGGGTAAGGGCGGGAACCGAAGGGGGTCAAGCAGCGGCGGATTGCCCGAGCTTCACGGAATCGATCTGCCTTTTCTTCCTCTACTTCTTCTTCTTCTTGGCTGCCTTTGTTCACGATCGAACCATCACCAAGCTCTTCTAATTCTTCACCGCAACACGGCTAGCGACATGGGGGCGGAGATACCGCGAGACTGGTCGGCGGGAAAAAGATCAACGGTGTTAGAGTTCTACCGCGATCTGGTTTCTCGGGGAACGCCGGACGATCGTTTGTCTCCTGATCCGCCGTGAAAATGCACAAAGTCTCGATCTTTCTTCCCTCTTCCTTCGAAGTTCGAGTTTTACTTTTTTACTTCTTCTTCGGCAAAGAGTTAAATAAAGAAGATCAAATGGTCTCTGAAGTATATTTATGTGTTCAATTCCGTCACTAAACTATGTTTAGTGGAGTGAAACGGTACATAAACCAACAAATATTTATGCTTATACTGAATCGCTATTCGTCGTCCTACATTTTAAATTTTATCACCCTAAAACATACTAAATTGACACATTTATCCCTGTCCCTAATTTCTAATTGAATACTTTACGAGCAATCCCTAATTTCTAATTAAACACTTCACAATTCACCATTTACAAAATGACTTGTACATGATTCATCATCGTTTATTTATGGTGCAAAAAATCGGTGTAGTATCTCACTTATGGAAGCAAATTGAGAGGTTAAGTGATGACATATTATCGTTTATAAAAAATTTACATATTCGATAACAAATCAACTTGACTTTTGAAATTAACAAAATACTCCTGTTAATCAACACATTTAATTATATTGTCGAATGTTTTTTTTTCCGCATAATATGCTCGTATACTTATTTTTAAGTCATTCTAATATTGACTTCTTTTAGTCTCTTAGACCATCCACAATGTGGGTGGGGGAAAATGTGGGAAAAGAGGGAAAAGTGGGAAAATTTGATGATTTGGTCACAGTGTGGTGGTGGAAAAAGTGGGTAATCAGTTTAGTATTTTTTTGTTAAAATCAATCTATAGTTGATTTTGTCACTTTATTTTCATATAATGATCTTTATTATTACGTACTTAGTGATAATTAATTAATACGAACAGTTCGACATAATTTTTTTTTAATTTAGACATATTTTTTCCGTCACTAATTAAGTATGACATCATCAATGACAAAATCACAATAATACGAGGAGGCAAAAACACAACTTTCCAAACAAGCCTTTGCTAAAACGAGAAAAAAAAAGGTTGTCCTTTTCCCATCCGCCACTTCCCCCCACCATTTGTCTCATCTGGTGGGTTTTCCAACCCACTAAACCCACAAAACCCATTTAATGCCCTATTCCCCCACATTGTGGTCACATTTCCCCTTTTTCCCACAAAATCAACCTACACTGTGGGTGGTCTTATAATATTAGTCATATTTTTCCTAGTTCTCAAATTTAAGTCATTGACCTAGAGAGGTGTCTTGATTCATAATAGTTTTACATTGATTTGATATGAAGTGATTGGACAAACACTTAAAGCAAGAAAAGTTCTTTACTTGCTAAACACTCCATTATGTTTTAATTATTGAATTGGGAGGGAGAGTCTCTTCATAGTTAAACTCATAATCTACAACCCCTTTCCCCTTTTCCTTTGAAAGTGGAACATGAACCAAACATGATGAAGATTTTTCTTTTGGGGTAGAACATGATGAAGATTGAATTGAATATGGGAAAAAGACCTTTCTTTTCTACACTATCTAATACGGAAAAGCAAAAACAATACGTTGAATTGAATTATAATATGAAAGATTTATGACATGTTGGTGGGAGTTGGCCAGAGAAGGAGAAGCAAGGAGAACCACACACTGAGATTTTCTTTCTCTCGTCGTGGGACCGCAACAATGATGTGTTGTATCATCCACATCTCTTCCTTTTGATTCCTTTTCTTCTTATTAAATTTGCTTGGGTGTAATCAACCCATTGGGAAAGGAGCAAAATCCTTATCTTGCCTGTAATCGACGCGCTGTTAGCTCCCATTTCCATTCGTACTATGGCTTCTCTTACCCTCCATTCCTAATCTCTTACCCTCCAAACTTTCTCTGGGTTCTGCTCACTTCTCAGAAGCTTCGCAGCTTTGTTAGGTGAATTCGCCAAACAGATCAGACAAAGCTCGGTTCTTTCCCACTTTTGCCTGCGTTTCTGGCTTCTGGGTTCGTCTCGGATCTTGGATTTACCTACTGGGTAGCTAATAGGTTGAGGCGGGTCGCAGTCGGAAGAGATGAAGATTCAGTGTGATGTGTGTGAGAAAGCTCCGGCGACGGTGATATGCTGCGCCGACGAAGCAGCGCTTTGTAGCAGGTGCGACGTTGAAGTTCATGCGGCCAACAAGTTAGCTAGCAAGCACCAGCGTTTGCTCCTTGAATCTCTGTCCAACAAGCTTCCTCCCTGTGATATCTGCCAAGTAAAGTTCCTTCCTTTTGCCCTTTTCTCCCTTCTTTTTGAACTTCGAATATTGTCTGGTTTTTGCTTCTGGAACTCCAGAGATGTTCATGTTGATAATTTTATCCTGTTTCCTTCTTTGAATAAGGTACAGGACCTCAGTAAGTAAGTAGTCTTAGGCTGCTACTTGGATTCCATTATTTTACCTTAGTCATTTGGAAGAAGCATCTTGAATTTGGTTCAAGGGTTTCACGAAGCTGGGGTTGGAATTCTTAATGTGTGGCCAATCCCAATCGTGATTTATCATTTCGAGCTAACTGTATTATTGGTATGTTCATCTTACTCTCCATAGTAACTCCTTCTAACTGCTGATTCCCATCTAATGGTGCAGGAGAAGGCAGCATTCATCTTCTGTGTTGAAGACAGAGCTCTTTTCTGCAAGGATTGTGACGAACCGATCCATTCTGTAGGTAGTCTCTCGGCGAACCATCAGAGGTTCCTAGCTACAGGAATAAGAGTGGCATTGAGCTCTAGTTGCTCTAAGGAGGCTGAGCAGAGTTGTTTAGAGCCACCGAATCACAGCAGTGCTCAACAAGTGTCTGCAAAATTGCCTGTACAGCAGCAGCAGCAACAACAACAACAGTCGAGCTTCTCATCCCCGTGGGGTGTTGATGATTTGCTTCACTTCTCCGATTTTGGATCGCCTGCTGACAAAGTAAGCTTGGAGTTCTTTGTTAGGCTTCATCTCTACCTTGGCCTTATTACTTAGACCAGCCCAGCTTTAGATGCTCATTGGAGCTTCTGTAGAAGTTCCTATTAGAAAACTTCCTAAGTTGTGACCAAACATTATAATTTCGTGCAGCAGACTTCTGGTTCTGAAGTGGATCTCTTTATGTTTTAAGTCATTGACATTCATTCCCTTTTTATCTCTTACAGAAAGAGCAATTGCAGCTTGGAGAGTTCGAATGGCTGGCCGACATGGGTCTCTTCGGCGACCAACTCACAGAAGAGGCTCTCGCAGCAGCTGAAGTTCCTCAGCTACCCGTTTCACCTACAGTCAGTGTCAGCTCATACAGACCTCCCAAATCCAGCATGCCACACAAGAAGCCGAGGCTCGAGATCCCCGACGAAGACGACGAGCTTAACTTCATGGTGCCTGATATTGGCTGATTTCCATAACAGCTTCACTCTCTATATCTATTCGACATCATGTTAAGTAGTTCGATATCTGCATAGTACACATATATCGGACCAAGGGGGAGGAAGAACACAACAATTACTTCTATGGTTGGAATTTGGATCGTGTATTTTGGGGGGGGGGAAGAACTCAGTGAAGATAACTGAAAGAGCATCATGGCTTTGTTCGTTTTGCTCGTAGCTTGTGAAATGATGCATCGTTGTGATGCGTATGTGGGGAAAGAAACTTAGCGATTTAGCTGAACTGCTATAATGGTAGTAAATTAATTAATGCATCTTCTTGGTTCTAATGCCTCGTAGAAAAGCCCTGACCGTCAACTCCGGCAGAAGCCGCCTGATGTCCTCCGCGTAACCCTTGACGCCGTCGGCAGGGGGAAGAAGACCCGCCGCCGGGAAAACCAGCAATTCGCCATTGTATAGGGAGGTATAATCCGACAGCGTTTGGGGAGGGAGGTATACGTACGGACAGGAAAACTGGGCTTTATTTTGATAAAGGCCCAGAAAGCTTCTTCTCTAGGCCCAAGAATTTGATAAACGGGTAGCGTTTCGAAGGGGAGGGCAGGCCTGCGGCCGGCGAAAACGGGAAACCCGCATAAAACAAAGAAACGGGTATCAGAAACGGGCGAAACGGCCGAGAAAGGGTTCTTGTTTAATTAATCGAAGGCCTAAAGGAACGAAAAGCCCAGCAGCGTTTGGACGGGGACGCAGGCGGACGGCCCGGTAAAACTGGGCTCTCGTTAGACAAAGAGCCCAAATACCTTTTTTCTCTACTTATCCGAAGCACAAAAGAACTTGAAAATGCGGCGCCGTTTCGTGAGCAAGGTAGGCCTGGGCCGGCGTAAACAGAGAAGCCCCGCAGAACGGAGAAACGAACACCAGAAACGGCCGAAACTCGAAACGTTTCGGGGTCCACAAAACCAAAATCGAAACGCGAGAAATTGACGAGAAATTGAAATTGACGAGATACCGCGATATGATTAAATATCGCGATATTTACGCGATTTATTGACTTTTTGCGATATATTGACCGGGTATGAACTTGCCGTCAAATAGCTGGAAAATTGAGTGGGAAATGGGAGGGGAAAATCCGACGATTGCATCGAAACACGGGGAAAGAACATGGAAAAAGATTCCATTCACGAACTGTGCAAGAATTCTTGTATCCAATTCTGATTAATTCGGTTTCCAGAATGGGTTCTTCGTCCACTGCAGAGAGAGTACTTACTGTGAACTTGGGGAGAATCGAAGATTTCTGATTCTTGTGCGATGTCTATGGACGATTACTGCTTCGCTTCTGTGAATCTGGAGCTATGGTGGAAGCAGAATCTGCAACAATGAACAACCATTTCCGTCGGAAAAGATTTTCCCGGCCACTTTGCCGGAGGCGGCAGCTCCTCTTCCAGAAAACCCTACAACAAGTCTTCTCGGCCGTACTAATATAAATCCAAGCTTCATATCACTTTGGGCCTGGTTTCTCATTCAGGCCCATTGCTTTCTTTTTCAATCCACTCACTATTAGCCTGAATTATTGTTGGGCTTTTTTTAGTTCGAAGTTTGGCTCAAGATCAAGCGACTGAAATCAACTCATTCATTTCCTCCTAACAGATGCTCTTTGAGGACTACATTATGATATTGTGACAGACAAAGAACCGCTCTTGAAGGAATGCAACAGAAAAAAAAAAAAAAAAAAAATTAACACGTTTTTTTTATAGTTAACAATGGCGGAAGCTCTCTTTGGCCATGAAGGTTTCATGATGCCATCTTTTCATGGGGGAGGAAACAAACAAGCCCTGAAATATAAACAAACTCAAAACAGAAATCACAGAGATACGCCATTGATGTTACTCTGTCTATAGCTCAAAATGCTCCTTCCACCACGAATGTCTATTCTTCTCCTCCTTATAGCAGTCCTCTTGGCTCTGGCTTTCGTCCCGAACCCGGTCGAACCGCTAACCGGAGTCACCGACGTCCAAGCCCTCCGAGCCCTCAAGGAATCGGTCGACCCGGTAACCATCACCCCGACATCATTCCTCTACAGCTGGGACTTCAACGTCGACCCCTGCGACAGCTCCGGCTCGTTTCTCGGCGTCCTCTGTTCCTTCCCGCTCGACAATTCGAGCAGCCGGGTGATCGCGATCGGCCTCGACGATGCAGGGTACGACGGGTTCCTGAGCCCGCTGATCGGAAACCTGACGGAGCTCGTCACCATCGACCTGACGAGGAACAAATTCCGCGGCCCGCTGCCGGAGAGCATCGTCAACCTCCGGCAGCTCACCAAGCTCCTCATTTCGGAGAATCTATTCACCGGGCAGATCCCTGACGGCATCACGAAGCTCAAGTTACTTCAGGAAGCTGATCTCTCGTACAACCATTTTTCCGGCAATGTCCCGGCGAAAATCGCCGTGCTGAGGAGCTTGAACCGGCTAATTCTCTCCAACAATGCCCTCTCCGGCAGGCTTCCCGACATGTCCGGGCTGTGGCAGCTCAGCGCACTCGACGTCAGCTCGAACAATCTGTACGGGAACATCCCCAGGCTGCCGTTGAACCTGAAGACTCTGGTGATGAGCCACAATGTGTTCTCCGGCCACATCTCGCCGGTCAAGCACTTGCAGAAGCTTCTGGTGCTTGATGTTAGTGATAACAGGATGTCGGGTCGGGTCCTCAGGCAGGTCATGACCCTGTCGTCGCTGGTCCGGCTCAATGTATCGAGAAACCATTTCACGGCGTTGGATCCGATCGATTTCCCCGGGATCGAGACGCATTTGCAGTCGCTTGATGCCAACGACAACCAGCTCCGCGGCCATTTGCCAGGGTCGTTGGCCGGCCTCGAGAACCTGACGTCGCTCGATCTGTCGCATAATTACTTGTCGGGTTCGATTCCGATGGAGTACGGGGCCAAATTGGGGCGGCCGTGGAAGTATCTATACTTGAATGATAACTTTCTGCAGGGGAACCTGCCGCCGCAGTTGGCTGCCGGCGGGGAGGACGGGATTAGAGGGAGCCTGGCGAACAACTGCTTAAGATGCTCGACCACCGTTCGACTCTGCCGCGGCGGCCAGCGGCCGCATGCTGTTTGCGCCGCGCAGAGGCGGCGCTGGTGAGGCTTTCCCCGCCGGCGGGAATTTAGAATGACAGTACTTCCAGCTGCAGAATTCTTAATAACATGTATAAGCTCCCTAGTAAAATCATAAGATATGTAGACTTCGTTTGGATGTAATGAATTTGGCTGCGAAATTCTCTCTTCCGTTTGTTTGAACCACATTTCGACATCCAAGCAAACATTTAAGAGCTATATGATCCAGGAAAAACTAAAACAGATTGCCGCAAATTCATCTCAAACATCTTCAGAACCTTCTATAAACACACAATCATAAACTGTTGTTTTCTAAGTACAACAAAAACTCATTCCTTACCCTAAAGTACTACAATGCAGTTATTTTTGGTGTTCAGAGAAGCCAATTAACAGTGATGTTGCCAAGCCACATGAAAAGTGGGAATTGAGCCAAAGCAATGAAGAGCAAGAGATAGTGATGCCTGCTCGAGTCGTAACTCCTAGCCTCGGCGAAGAGGACGCGCTTCATTGTCTTGACCAGAAAGACCCCCATGCAGAGACACGCCCACGGCAGCACGAAGTAGTACGAATAACTGAGCAAGATCTTGCTGAGGACAGCGAGACAAAGGCCAGTGAACATGTAGCCTGCATACGCGACGATGTCTAATAAGGGAGCTTCTCCGCCGCCTAATGAGAGTAGAGCCATTTTCAGCAGGGCGACCTGCATGAACCACCCGAGTAGACCCTTGACGAACAGCCAGTTGAGGTTTTCTGGGCTGAATCTGTCATTAGTAGAAGTGGAGACTGTCAGTTAACTGAAGCAGCAATGAAAAATCGAGGAAAAGGCTCCAAAAGAAAAAAGTGGAAGAGGTTCATTTGAATGATTTAATATGATTGGAACATAGGGCTACTCGGAACACTAGCTAACTTGGTCAGTTGTTTGGTTGGTTGTAGTCTTGGAGCATTTCCAGGCTTCCACAGATCACTATAAATTATGAGTGATAACTAGGAAGATTATTTTGGGAAGGCTGGCTAACATTCAAACCTCGACACATTATGGTTAGAATTAATGTCTCTTACAGAGATGAGATATATTTGTAACTAGATATTTACGGGTTGAGGGATAGGCTGAAGAGATGAAAGCTATAAGCTTAGCTGAGTTAATACTTACTTTCCATAGAGTCCCAGTGACATGCCAGCAAGAATAACATAGGTGCCAAAAGCCATGAAGGGAATGTACAAATCAGGTGCATTTATATCATAAAGAGGAGGTTTGTACGATAAGCGGCCTCCAACTGGCTCAGTTATCCGCGTCCAGTGTCCCTAAGCAAAGGAATAGAATGAGGTCAGCAGATGAAAATAACACAGAAAAGGCCAGGAGAAAAAGAAGGATAGGGAAGATTACTCTGTGCAAGAATGGGAATAGAACAACTTTCAATTTGTTCCTCACGTACTGGTCATTCACTTGAAAATAGTATTGAGGATCAGAGAAGTACCGAGTAATCTGTTCATTTAAGAGAACCAAGTCAATTAGGAAACATGCATCCAACATACATACTCGTCAAAACTCATAACAAAGTTTGAGGTGACAATAGGCAAGAATCTATCTCACTCTCAGCCTAAAATTTCTAGCACTCATGTTCAACATCTCCCCTTCAACGAGTTCATTACAATGCCATGACAAAGTACAACCACCCATTTCACTGGGACTAATGAATGCAATCCTTATTTGTGATACACAAGCAATAATGGGCATAAATAACTCAAGAGATTTGACAGATAGATTCTATTACACAACTCTATGAGCACCCGGGAATCCTATGTTTGAGAGGGTTATTTTGAGGGTGTAAGCAGTGTGCACAAAATTTATGAAACTTTGTCTAGACAGGTGCATGCAACTTTTAGTTAACAGTTAACAAGCTCAAGCAAAATCCCTTATCTCCTACAGGCGGCTAACTATACTGAAAATTAAACATGATGTGTCCATGTCATAATGTTAGCTTAACACTTACATTGCTTTGGACATATTCAGAGCTTGATCCAAATATTTTCTCTCCATAAGCACCAAGGCCACCTCTTATTAGGCCAGAACCAGCTCCATAAAATGCATTACCGAATGGATTAGCTTGAACATTTCCTGGAGGTATTTGACCAATTGGCATTCCAGGCACGCCAGGCTGGGTTCCGACATTGTTGTACATACTGTAAGCAAGTAAGAAGAAAAGGAGAAAAATAGTTAGACCATGCTTCATTAGCATTTAGCAGTAATGCTTAGATGAACATTTCAGCATAATTTTGAGCGAATTATTCTACAACATGTAACACAAGAGGTAATTTCCCTGTCTACAGCAAATGCACAAAACTAACAGCAGGAGCCGACCACCAGCCCAAAGCAGACCCTTGACGGTATGCAATCATATTCCAGTAAAAAAGTACAGTAACATTTATGTAATATCTCATTTTCTCTCGATCTCTTACAATCACTTGCACCCTGCCAACCAATGTGATGAACCCAGAAGAACACTGATTCATAAGATAAGTTACCATGTCCTGACAGCGTGAAAGTGTTCTCAAGTTTAGCTTTTGACTACTTGCCACCTTCTATATACGAGAACTTCAGACACTGTCCACATCGTCTAAACAAGTTAAACCTCTATTTCAGTAATTCCTGTCCAAAACTAGAAGGAACGATCTAATATGTCGCCATTTAGAGGGTACCCAGTAGAGAAAGTAAAGACTGCAATTGAGCTATCGTCTCAAACAACCAGACAATAGCCCCATGGAATGCGCCCTCTCCCAAAACGCAAACTTTACCCTTCACACCTTATGAATCCAACTAACCAAACATAGAGCAAGAATTCCCCACAAAGACACAAGTCTTGCAGGAAACCCCAAGGACATCCCTTCCCGCCATAAAGCTGCAAACTTGCAATCCAATTCCCCGAAAACACTAGTTCGGGAGAACCCCAATTCATAAATCCCATCAGTTTACTTCCATTAAAGCGATCATATTGCTTTGGCAGATTCAAAGCAGCTCAATCCTAACTATCTCCGTAATCAAATCTCAGGCTCCAAGAAACGCGCTCGGGTCGCGGGAAGAGAGACGCACCTGAAGTTGAAGTTGGCAAGTGACTGGCGGCTTCGCCCGGCGGTCAGGGGCGGCAGATCTGAGCTCCGACTAGCAACGAGCTAACGGGCGATAGGCGAACTGGACGGAGACGGAAGGCGATCGATCGTACGAGGCGAAGAAAGGACGAATTGGCGAGCGAAAGATTGAACTGTGGGTCTGTACGTTTCCAATGAGCGCACTGATTTTACGAACGGCTTCTGGAAACAAAAAAATATAACTTTTATACGGACATTTTATTGGTCAAGCTTTGCCACGGTGGCTATTTCAAGTGATGTGATTGGTTTGATGCTGCAGTTAGGACTCTGCCATGATGCAATCAGATCTCGGACCGGACCCGAGCTGAATTGACTGTGTCCAATTCGGTTTGTTCTGCCGGTTTAATCGGTTTTATGACTTTAATCAAATGATCAAAAATTTGTATCATATTGACGGTTGAACCTCAAAATATTGGTACGGTACCCAAATCCAAAATAGTACAAGCAGCAGTAGTAAAAATAGTGCCAGTCGGTTTTTAGAAGTTGAACCTATGAACTACGAAATTATGACCGGTTTTAATCAAACTGAACAGCTCTTAAAATTAAAACAAAAATTCTCCAATGCCAAAACGGCATTGTTTTGAGAGAAATTTATCGAGAAAAAAATGAAAATCGCTAGAGCCATCTTCTCGCACACAACCCTAAGGACACTTAGGGGTCGTTTGGAAGTTGCGATTGTTAAATAGATGTGTTGTTGAGAATGCATGTATAATATTATACATGTATTGTCGAATTTGATGCATTGTAGAATACAACGTTTGGTATGTGTGATTGTGTATGTCGCATCAGCTAAAAGCTGAGACAAAACAATCTCAACTCAACTATCTCAACTGTCACATCACAGAAACAATCCATGTATTGTTTCTGCTAAAAAAACAAAAAAAAACGATGCATTGTAAACAATACATGCATAATGACAATCTCAACAAAACAATCGCAACTTCCAAACGACCCCTAAGGCAAAAGGATAATTCTGTCATTTTCACTCCTCCACTAAAGCAATACTCAACTCTATCTAGCAAACAGAGACCGAGCTCTCTCTCTCTTTCTCTCTCTGACGGTGGGATTAAGCAATACTCAACTCTCTCTAGCAAACAGAGACCGAGCTCTCTCTCTTTCTCTCTCTGACGGTGGGATAAAGGCAACATTTGCACTTTGCAATTGGGTTTAGTTAGACTTAATTATAAGATTAAGTGAAGTTGTTTAGTTTACTCTATGTGCCTTTGTTTCTCGTGTTCAGGTAGATAATATTTGACGCATTGATATCATGTGTAGTTCCGTTATTTTTCCAGTGTGATGGCATACTTTTATGGGTATGGTATTTTAAAAAAATATATTTTTATGGAATGTTGATTGAATTGCTACATGTATGTGACATGTTACCTTGCTAGTAATTCAAATATATGTGAATGCACATAACTATTTATATCTTGTGCCCATAAAATTTATAATCGATATTATCTTGAATATAAAATGAACAATATAAGGAGTTTACGATATGGTAGTACAAAATCAAGTGTATAGAGTTAGACAAAGGCCACTAATAGTACAAATATTAAAAGAATTGTTCGGAAACTTAATCTCTCTTACATCAACTTTATCCTTCTTTTTTCTCTCAATAAGATATCGAGCAAAGATATATTATCATATCGATGGTTCACCACCATAAAATGACACATTTATCGTCGAGTCAATCAATCATTATATATAATCTATCTCACTTTCTCAACTTAAGGTCTAAATCCTCGGATACATACCATAACCTATAATAATTTTTCTTTAATGTAATCGTTATTTCAATACTAAACATAAAACATAAATTAATATCTGACAACAATACAATTCTTGTAGTTTTCCAATGGCAAACATAAAATTAAGCAAAGTTGTTTTAGGTGCATCCATCATATTAGCAAAATCTAACAAAATTGATATTGAAGAGAAACCAACTATTTTGTCTTTACATCTCATAATTTTCATTTTTCATTTTTCACTGATGGTTAAGTTACTATATTTTTTTTGCATTACAAACACGAGAAAACTTGACAATTATGGGTACTATTCGTGTAAATTACTTGGTGTATTATGTATCATTCTGCAATTAACCTTGGCTTTATCCGGGAAAAGGAAAATACTTCCCTTCAAATAGTACACTAATTCGAGTCGCTTCGAGCGAAAGAATGTGAAGGCGGAGGATCAAAATCAATCCGAATTGACTTCGGAAAAATCGAATACCTAATCTACCGGTGCATTCGTTGCTCGCAATCCATTGTTCTGATTCGAATTGAGCTTTTGCTTTGGTTGCTGTAATGGGGCATAGCTCGAAGAAGAAGAAAAAGAAAGGAAGCGGGAGTGGGCGGCGGAACAAAGATCACTCCTCAGCTGCCTTCGATGGCAACGAGCTTCTCGCCGAGGAGATTACCGCCTTGTAAGTTGCATTCCGTCGATCAATCATTGAGTTCCGCTTCAATTCTTAAATTCCCACTGTCAGTATCCTGCTGCAGTTCTTGTGTTCTTTGTTGATGTTCATATTTATGGAGCGTTTATATAGTTTGCTTATACTGAGTAAAGTGCTATTGTTTGGTTTATTCACTGTGGCAGTATAGAAACAAGCAATGGTATGCACCCGGTGATGGGGAACCCGTTGTTTGTTTACTGAATTTCTATATTTTGATAGAACAGACTATGTATCTTGTTCAGCTTTGTTGCTTGATTCTTCTCTTATCAGCTGCGTCACGGTCAGAAGCAAGCCACAGTATGGGTCCGGGTAGGAGATTGAGCTTTGCTAGATTGTGTGGAAGTTGGCCGCTCTGCTATAGAGCAAGGGGTGGTGTCCTGGCCCCAACATTGTTACTTGGGTTGAGTCTGTTCATTAAAATGAAGTTTTGTTGTCCTATTGATTGGTTGTGAGAACGAAGCACATGAGTTATTCGTCATTTCCCCTTCTGCGGCGTGCTTTATGTTTAACACTTTTCCTTTCATCTCTTTGTGAACTTTGGAAGTCTTGCTGTTTAAAATTCTTAGATAGGGTATATGAAGTTTGCTTTGAAGATTCTGTGGTGTGACCTGTCTCATAAATCTTGATGATTCGCTCCATCCTTTTCACTTTCAGGAGTGCAATTTTCCAGGAAGATTGCAAGATTGTGCCCGGATCACCTAGTCAGATCATTATAAAAATCAGGTTATTGTGCTCCTTATGCTCTCCCAAGATTTATGTATCGAGTTTCATTTTTCTTGTTGGTCGTTCTGATTTGAGGTTTGAGCAGGCCTCATTCTAAAGATATGGGCTTTGAGGATTTAGACATCTCAGTTCAGCTCTCAGTCAGGTTGGTCAGAATATAAAGTCAGCTTTTGTATATCTATTTTGATTCGTATAGTATTCGAAGGTGGTATCACGCTTCTGCTCGCTTGCCAGATGTTTACCGGGATATCCTTACAAGTGCCCAAAACTGAAGATTACTCCGGAGAAAGGATTGAAAGAAGATGAATCAGAAAATCTTCTGTCTCTTCTTCAGGAACAGGTAACTTGTTTTGTTTGTTTCTTATATATTCGTGAAGTGCATGATTCTCCTGTCCGCATCATGTTTCTTGAAGTAATTTTCATTGCTATATGTAGTTGCACTAGCAATTGTCAGTCGCCTGTCAAGTTTGCTTCCAGCTTGGAAGATGACTGTTTCATACCTATACTATTTTCCCCCATTTGTCCAACTGTTTTGTATTCTTGAAGGCTACTTCAAATGCGCGGGAAGGAAGAGTGATGATTTTTAATTTAGTGGAGGCTGCACAGGAGTTCCTTTCTCAAATAGTCCCACCTGAGCGAGAACCTGAATCTGTAAGCCTTCTCCAAAATCACATTCAGAACTATGTAGTTAACATACGTTGTTGTTTGATAAATATAGCTAAATGCTCGTACTTTTCCTTGCTTCAGTAGCTACACTGATATGTCTTTTTTGTGGAAGGCTATGTGCTCAACTGTGGATAGGACCAGCCAGTTGTTCCAGAAGGACTTCCCAGTTTCCGGTGATAATAACTGCACTTCTACAGGGCCGTTTGTTTACGGTTTCCTAGACCTCTTCGGTGGTTCCGGAGAGTCATGGCATTGGATGCCCTTGGACGATAATAGAATGATGAAATCAATAAAATCATTTTCATCTGATTCTTCAAAAGTCAAATCTGGTACACCAGCAGTAAATGTAGACCCGATTGAGCCATCACCAGTCCAAGCCAAAAAGCAAGGCACATTTCCTTCCCCTGTTGCTGAGATGGATATTCTTGATGAAGAGAGCGAAGATGGCAATAGTAGCACTTCCGATACCGATTCGAGTAGCTCGTTAACTGATCAATTTGTAGGGCATGAAATGAACAACAACAATGAGGTATGCAAATTTGGGAATTTCTTGTATGCTTGGTTTTCTAAGACTTGCATCTATTTCTATTTGTTAAGCGACAAACACTGATGTCTTTGTTAGATTTGCCGCTACCGTGCTTAACTCCTTATGGAATGGGGATAGCTGTGTATTGTCATATCATTAACATAAAATTGTTGCTGGAAGTGGATTTCTATCACGTACGTAATACTAAGAATGGTTCCTTTGATTCTTCAGGATAGCTCTACCAATGAGCAAATAGCAGTAGACAACAACAATGATTTCGAGACTGAGGCCTGGAAATCCCTTTCCTCCCCCTTAAGCGATGATTTAGCATCTCAAGCTATTGAAAAGGAACTTATAATGGTAATCATAACTTGATACCTTTTTCATTATGGAGCTTAATCCATTTTATCGATACCGGGATTCTCTTTCATTAGGTCCATCTGCTTCGTCTTGCCTCCACATCACAAGGAGCTCTTATGGATATGTTCCCCAATGTTATAACCGAGCTCTGCAATTTAGGTGTATGTATTCATTGTCTTTTACTTACGTCTTTTTTTCATTAGTGTGTAGATATCTGCACATGTGTGAAGCCTGATTCAGCTAGAATATTTCCAGATATTATCAGAGAGGGTACAAGAACTTGCTTCAAAACCATCTTCAATGTTCGCCACAACGTTTGAGCACGTGTTCCGGCAGAAAATGGTTGGCTTTGTGCTCCTTTGTCAATTTTATCTTGGAACAAACATAGTGTTTAACCAACTTTATCCAGGTTTCATCTAGAGTACCTCAATTTTGGAAGCCTCCCTCGGATTTGGAAGGGCCTGCCACACCTATGCCCAACTCTAGATATCTGAGTGACTTTGAAGAGCTGCGTCCCCTTGGTAGCTTCTCTTTCTTTCTACCTACTCCTTTGTGTTTGCACTTACTGGCGACAATGTGGTTTCTATGCTGTATACCTTGGGTGGCCATTCCACACCCTTTTTTTCCTATAATCTGGTTGGTTATATCATTCGTCCATTTATTTGATAATTATATAACAGCTTGTAGAACCTTGGTACGCTGCTATCAAATGTGTTAAGTTTCTTGATGGATGTTTCCTTTAACATGCTGTATATGTGTGTTTATTTACTTATAATTGTTGCCAGGTCATGGTGGTTTTGGCCATGTTGTATTATGTAAAAATAAATTGGATGGGAGGCAGTATGCAGTGAAGAAAATTCGGCTCAAGGACAAAAATTTACCAGTTGATGATAGAATATTGAGGTAATATTATGTTTCTTTTCCAGGTTTGATCATGTGGCCATGTCAGGTGGAAACATGCAACGGTTTATGATAGTTAAAATGTTTCAAGTACTAATCTTCTCTAGTTGCTAGATGATCCACAGTTCAGTTGTTTTCTTAAATCATCTTAGTTTACACTAGGAACCCTCATGTTTTAGCATTATGATTCCTTTGCTTAGATGTCTGATGAATACTGTTGTAGTCAGCTCTTGTTTTTCTATCAAGGTTTCACTTTGCCTGTCTAGTATTCATTGGATGAAATGCCTTTTGACTTAATAGAAATGGTGTATAAGCTTCATGGTCATATTGAGATTGTTGCTTCCATTTTCTATATGTTTTTTTCTTGTTCCTATAAAAATCTTGTCGTAACTCTGGCGAGGTGCGTAGGGAAGTAGCCACACTTTCTCGTTTGCAGCATCAGCATGTTGTCCGCTATTATCAGGTGAGCAAATCCGATTTTGCTTTTATGGTGGATTATTGCTTACAAAATAAAACGTGGCACAAAATGTATATTGTAGTTTATGGCTAGGGATGGAATCCTTAGCTGTCTAGTTCTAAAAGCTGAGAACTTCTTTCTCTTTCAAATTGATAATAATGTACATGCTGAAACCAAGTGAAATGGCCTGAGTGTACACTCACAGTGCAAGTTTCTTGATTCAGTAGTAGAAAATGTCGTGGTTTACATCTCAAGGCTTTAATGATAGTTATGGCAATTGTAAAAACTTTCAGGCATGGTTTGAAACAGGACTGGTTGGTTCTATTGACGATATCGGTTGGGGTTCAAGTACTGCAGCTAGCTCAACTTTCAGCCGACAGACGTCTAATGTTGGGCAAGATACTAAGCTTGAGTCAACTTACCTTTATATACAAATGGAGTATTGTCCAAGGTATAAACATTATTTATTTTGAATTCATCTAGTGCATTGTTGTCACTTTCTCTTTCTTGATAAAAATCCTTATGCATTGCACATTAGGTTCATGCTTCAGGTGATGAAAATGGTAACTTCTTGGAAATGGATTTTGAGAAGTAATGAAATAAGTACTATTCATAACTTGAGTATGTTACTCTTTTGATGGTTCACATATTTCATTTAAGCTCGTAGGACGTAGTTAAAAGAGCAGCTTTAACATTAGGAAGTATTTGTTCTTGAATGCATTTCTGTATTCCCTTTCTTTGGTGAACACTTCAGATAGCACATCTTGGTAATATAATTTTTATTGGTTTCTTGTTGAATCTTCTGGTCTAATGCCCCTTCAGTAGGATTGGAAAAGCCATTGGATTGTTTTTCTTCTTTCAGTTGTAGATCTAGAATTGCTGACTTTCATTGTTTTCTTTCTCCATTTTCTATGATTGAAGGACTCTTAAAGAGGTATTCGAGTCATACAACCATTTTGACAAAGACTTAGCTTGGCATTGGTTTCGGCAAATCGTTGAGGGCTTGGCACACATACACGGGCAAGGAATAATCCATCGGGACTTGACTCCAAATAATATATTCTTTGATGCTAGAAATGAAATAAAAATTGGCGACTTTGGCCTCGGTAAGATAATTGTTTTTCCATAGCAACTATTATAATAATGGATTTGTATGCTCACTTTTCATCATGACAACTTCAAAGGTCTCTCTTTGTGTTTGTGTTAAGAGAAAATAGATGATAAGATGAGAATATGCTTCAAGTTTAATTTATATCATGTGGACGAATGTGGATGTGACCAACTAAATAGTGGGACAGTTAGGAAAAAATGTGAACTATTACAGTTTTGACTATTCTCATCTCTATTGACTATCTTTTTTTTTTTCCTGTTGTAGCCAAATTCCTCATGTTGGAACAGGTGGATCACGAGGCACCTTTGCCTATGGATCCTACAACTGGAGTGTCAGTTGATGGCACTGGTCAAATTGGAACATACTTTTACACTGCACCTGAAATTGAGCAAGGCTGGCCAAAGATAAACGAGAAGGTCAATTTTAGATTGCTATTGTATCTTCTTTAATTAATTTTATATCATCCCCATGTTATTCAGAGATTACGCATAAGATTTACTAATATTCAGTTGTACCTCAGGTGGACATGTACAGTTTAGGGATCGTCTTTTTTGAGCTTTGGCACCCTTTCGGAACATCTATGGAGAGACATATTGTGCTATCTGATTTGAAACAGAAGGGTGACTTTCCTCGTCCTTGGGTTACTCGATTTCCGGAACAATCATCATTATTGATGCGTTTAATATCGCCAATTCCCTCTGACCGTCCATCTGCCACAGACCTTCTAAAGCATGCTTTCCCCCCGAGAATGGAATCCGAGTTATTAGATGGTGAGCAGCTTATCATAAACTTCCTATATTTGTGAGCCTTAGCAAAACGTGGAAGGGTAAAGGTGTATGCGAAAGTGACATGATTACCGAAAAGAATGTATGGTGTCTATCATCGACTGTCTGGCATGTGCTTGATTTCCAGATGTGCCAAAATATTGCTTACAAATTTGATTCTAATCTATCTTGGCCATTATTATTTCCAGGCTTGTTGCGTACTATGCAAAGTTCCGAGGACAGAACTGTGTATGAGAAGGTTGTGGGTTCCATCTTCGATGATGAAATGATAAGCATGAGAGGTAGTAACCAACATGCTGGTACATCGGGAATAAGTAGTGATACGTCATCCATCCAGTGTTTGGATTCCGAGTTCCGTGATTATGTGGTTGAAGCTACAAGTGAACTTTTTAAGCGTCATTGTGCAAAGCACTTTGAAATTGCACCAGTACGTTTGCTTGATGATTTTCCAGATCTTAACAGGTTAGAGTCTTAACAATAACCCTCTCCTTACCTTTCTTGTTTAGGAACTTAAAACTAGGGCTCGCTAATAACTTTTTATGTTGCATTAGAAGAAGTGTGGTCAAGCTTTTGTCACATGGAGGTGATCTGCTTGGACTTTGTCACGAGCTGCGTTTTTCATTTGTTAGATGGCTCTGTGAAAGCCAGGTATCTAGTAAATTAATATCTTCAATGTTTTGTTATCCTTTGTTATTATTTCTGTCAATATAAGCTGCAAAACTTCTAAGATATGATGAATTGAAAGTGATGCCTTTGAACTGACTCAACCATTTCATCTTTGCCTTTTTATCTTTTTAGAAATCTTCGTTCAAGAGGTATGCAATATCATATGTCTACAGGAGAGCAATTGGCCATTCACCACCAAATCGCCATCTACAGGTATGACTACTTCCGTTGTATCAAATTGAGTGGGTGGTTCTATGGCTTTCCCTTAAGCAGATGGAGGCTTTTGACAATTAATAGCCATTCCATTTTCTAGTATATTTGATTCTTAACTTGTCTTCCAAAAAAATCTTTGGTTCAAATATCGGTGTCAACTTCATCTATCTGATAAAACATCTACTTGTAACTTGTATGAAATCTTTATTTTATGAACAGGCTGATTTTGACATTGTTGGAGGTGCATCAGCATTGACCGAGACAGTGATTATCAAAGTACGAGTCTATTTCTCTTTCGTGTAGTTTCTTTGATTTGTCATATTTTCTGTCACATTAGAAGCGTAACTAATTGTATATGGCTACACTAAGTACATGAGAATTAACTGACAATGGACATTTCAGGCGACGATGGACATTTTGGCTCGTTTTAATCCCTCTGATGGATTGGATATTCATTTGAATCATGGTGACTTGCTAAATGCTATCTGGTCATGGGTTGGAATCAAAACAGATCATAGGCAGAAAGTTGGGGAGGTACTTATGAAGATTTTATTTTAAAATGGAAATCATTATTTTTTGGGGGAAAAACACTGAATTTGCTTTTTCAACATGAAGCTTCTTTCCATGATGGCCTCCTTGCGTCCTCAATCATCTGAAAGGAAGTTGAAGTGGGTAGTGATACGGCGTCAGCTATTACAGGTTAAGTGAAAGAACCGAGGAATATATGTTGGATTTACGTATTCTTTACTCGGTAATATTCTCTCAATCTATCGATTCCTTAACTTTTGCATGATCACTTGCTTGCAGGAGCTAAATTTGCCAGTAGCTGTAGTGGACAGATTGCAGACTGTAGGTTTGAGGTTTTGTGGTCCTGTGGATCAGGCACTTCCTCGATTGAGAGGAGCCTTGCCCGCTGGTATTACTTCTTTTATTGGTTTGTTCAGTTTGTCATCACTGATTAAAATTCTAAATTATTTGTTGGATTTTGGTGCAACTACAGATAAAGCTACTCGGTCGGCCCTTGATAATTTGTTGGACCTCTGTATTCATTTGAGAGTTTGGAATATAGAAGAACATGTTTACATTGATCCATTAATGCCCCCGACGGAGAAGTACCACAGGAACTTGTATTTCCAGGTAATTTTATGCTTTTGCAAAATGCCTTGTTGAGTATTTAACCCACTCAGCGTAATTTCTTAAGAAAATGACATTGTAGATTTATCTTCTGAGCAAGTTTTAATTTTCGTCCACGGATCAGGTATATTTGATGGCGGGCAACAATCCTTTATCGCTTGGTGAAGGTCTCTTACTTGCTGTTGGTGGTCGATATGATTATTTGCTTCGCCAAATGTGGAGTCATGGTTCTGTAAGTTGTAGCTGATTTGATCACCGGGTTTCTATGTTTTGTTTTATTGTTTTATTTTCTCTATCTTAGGTGTTCCATTTTCTCCATCTTTTTTGGGTTTCCAGACGAGCAATCCTCCGGGGGCTGTTGGGACTAGCATTGCTTTAGAAACCATAATTCTGAACGCTTCTGGAGATATCAGGCCTATAAGGTTCATCCGTCCCTTCTATCCTGACATTAGTTCCATTCATATGAAGCTTTTGATCCCATTAGTGACAAATTGTGTTGTCCTTTTGTTTCATTCACAAGGAACGAAGCGAGCACAAGTGTTCTTGTATGCTCGAGAGGGGGAGGAGGGTTGTTAGTGGAGCGGATGAAGCTAGTTGCTAAATTGTGGGAAAACAATATCAAGGTCAGAAAGATTAGCTTCCTTACTTCCCAAGTTTCCCATTGTTCATGATCCTCACAACTATGCTATAGTTTTCACTAGTTTAAAACGGATTGTACCAGGCTGAGTTCGTCCCAACACCTGATCCAAGCCTGACCGAGCAATATGAATATGCCAATGAGCATGACATCAGATGCCTTGTGATCATCTCTCAGACTGGCTTTGTGAAGGTAAATCAAGGTTAAATGCCTAAATGGAGTGCCGATCAGACAATTTTGAGTACGTGTTTATGATCGTTTCTGTCAATTCCATAGGTTCGCCATCTGGAGCTGAAGAAGGAGAAGGAAGTGAAAGATGATGCATTGGTGAGGTTCTTGCTGGATGCAATGACAACCCAGTTCAGGAACCCTTCGGTTTGGAGCAAGGCCGACGAGACAACTACTTAGATGTCACCGATGCCTACAATTTTTGGAAGTGTAGTAGCCTAACCTCACATTAGTTTTTGGACGATAAAAGTCACTGTTTTCGATCTTTTACTACAACGATTCATCAACTTTGGTTCCAGTAGAATTTCCTGGGTGGATGTAAATATGGAGCTGTCAGGAGCTTAGATTTAGTTAGTTTATTTCTTATGTCGGGTTGTTAAAGCAATTTTGTTGGTAAAAGGAGGAGAAATAGTGGAAACACCTTGGAGTTGGTTTTTGCTCAGTTATTGTTCTTGAGATGGTGATGAAAATCAAACTCTACAACAACCAGATTCAAAAAACAGAAGACTTCACCTTTACAAGCAAAAGCTAAACTGCAGACTAAAATGTTACAACTGTTCTGTGTTTCAGCCTACGCAACATCAAGCTGCTTGAATTGCATACTGCATGAAATATCACAATAGCTTTATATTCAGCCTACATTGCTTCGAAATGCTGCGTTAATATGCCGTGGGTATCTTCGCTGGTATGATTGAACTGATAGGATTACTGGAACAGGGAGAAGAAATGCAATGCTAAACGATGCAACTATTGTGTGCAGAGGCCAAAAAGCCATAGTTTGAACCTTGTTCACCTTCTCCAAACATTAGGATACAGAGCACCACGGCTCATTATTCTCGAACAGCAGGCTCTCTTTTTTTCCTAAACAAAGTGCAACCCCATGTTTGCAATAATGTACATACAAACATGACTGAAAGTATCGAGATTCACCCGCTCTATGCCGAAAGGCACGAAAAGATCTTATATTGCTTGTAGAGCCGTATGGTAACCTGGTTCACACCTCTACTAGAGAGTTCATACTCGCTAAGACGCTATCTTTGTCACACACAACGGAGTAACCACAAACGAATTGTGCAGTAGTTTGACAGTTCCCTTAAGAAAAGAAAGACCGGGTCTTGTTGCGTTCTAGCCGAGCTTCCCTCTACCAAGATCGAACAAAAGAAGATACAAGACTCATTAGAATGAGAACAAGGCTAGAAGAAAAAGCTTTTGGGAAGTTTCAAAATACTGGTAGGGAAAGTGAACTCTTTACCTCCTTTTTCTTGCATTCTTTGTAGACATCAAAATGTTCCTGACATTTGCTCTTGTCTGTGCTAAACTGTTCCAGGCCTGCAAATAGAACTCAGACAATCAAAAGCACTACCCCAATTCACATACAACTTTTATGAATGACCCTAAAAACCATTTGTGATATCCATAGCCGACAAGGTGACACCAAAAGGCTAAGCATTGAAGTTTCACCAGAATGAGCAAGCTCCCACCTTCATTCAACCATGGCAAATAAGCATTACCAACAAGTACAATTTCATCGCTGCTGACTGTGTGAGTACCGTGTAGATAGATAGAGAAAGTTCATCGATCATCAAACCAAAGGTTTAAACTTTCAAAGCATAAGAAAGAGATATTCAGAAAAAGGAAAAAATTCCATCTTGAGATTCATTCAGCATTCCTCAAAGCCACAACAGTGACTTCACGGCAGACAGGCAAGTAAACTTAACTACCTAAGCAGAAAACTCAAAATTGCCAGTACCAGAATTCAGATCATTCTGATGGTACAATGTTAACGACGAGTTCACTCGCAAAACAGGAAACCCAATTCAAGTAGTGAAAGAAAGGTTCTAACTTTGACGCAACAGTAGCAAAAGCTGAGAGCTGCGTATCTGGGAAAGTAGCGAGGGTTCTTACACTTGAGAGAAGCGGTGTACTGAGGAAAGCACTGAGAATCGGATATCCTGGCGGCACTCGGATACGGAGGTCCTCCTGATGCTGCCGCCGTCGATCCCATCACTCTGCTCCTCGCTGATTCTGAATATCAATCTTCACCTCCTACGATTTGGCGTCTGCCTGACGAACGATGGTAGATTTTCCTCGTCTTCCCTGAAACTGCGACGAGACGTGGCTTATGAGGAACTTCCTGCTCTTCTTCCCAACGGCAAGGATTTTGGGCTCGGAATGCTTGACAAGAAAATGGGCTTGGTGCTAGTCCATTGGGCCGTAAACCGACTTTCTGCAAATTTTGGTGACTGTTTCTGCAATTGACCTGAAATTTGGGAATGGAGGGAGATGTAAAACAAACAGAAGCCATTGAAACCAAATAGATGGAGGGAGAAATGCAATAACTGATAGCCATAAATGCAGTCACCTACATCCACCACCTTCCCCTTCTTCTCTCTCTCTTACCCCATTTTTCCATTCAACCCAAAGCCAGCCTTCAGTTTCTCCTTCCCTTTCCTTCCTTTCTTTCTTGAGCTCACCACCCTCCCATTTAATATTCCATCTCTCTCTCTCTCCTCCTTGAACTCCACAGCCAGTAGTGTAGAGTGTAGACCCCCAAAACCTTACCATAGACCGACCATTCCTCCTTCCTGCAGCTGCTGTCCGCCATTTCCATTTCCCCCACCGCCCTCAACAGCACTTCACGTAATTGTGCCAGAGTGAGAGCTGAATTCCGCTTACCGCCATGGAAACCCACTTCCGTCCTCCCGCTTTGGTTACTGGGTAGCTCTCTGTTCCTCTCGATCTGAACTCCAAATGGAGCAAGTCCCCTTCTTTTTCTTTTGTCTCTCTGAGCCTATATAGTACCTACTGTTTGTTTATATGCCCCAGAGAAAGAAAGGCGAGGAAAAAAGGAGAAGAATTGGGAATGCTCTGCCTTGGTTAATGGTTAGTTAGTTTGGAGTGTTTCACCTTCTCAATTTGGGGCTCATTCCTCATGCTTCTCTTTCTATGCAAGTAGCTCTATCTGAAGAACCCTCCTTTGTTACTTCTTCAGTTTGAGTTGACCATTGCCGGGGCATTTATTTTTACCGGTTATCTTCATTCTGCAGCCACATGTTCCTTCAGTATTCTAGTAGTGGAATTCACTGCTCTCCTCTGGAATTGTTTTCAGTCCGAAGTCTAATGCTTTAGCTAGGATGGGAATTTACTGCATTTACCACTGGGCTAGATGTAGTGACTCATAAATTGTGTGTTATAGCAAGTTAATCAGCTATTCAGAGTTAAAGATGGCAGCTTTATACCTTTGCCATTGGGTTCTAGTTGCTAGCTTCCTGGTTCTTTCCCACAGATTGCAGTCAACCTCGGCACTGGGCTCAATGTCATCAATAGCCATCTCCTACGGAGAAAACGGCCCTGTATTCTGCGGCCTGAAATCAGATGGTTCCCATTTGGTAACCTGCTACGGCTCAAACTCGGCGGTAATCTATGGAACTCCAGCTCACTTCCCCTTCATTGGTCTAACCGCTGGCGACGGATTTGTCTGTGGGCTGCTCATGGATTCCAACCAACCTTACTGCTGGGGAACTAGTGGGTACATTCAAATGGGTGTCCCTCAACCAATGATTAAGGATGCTGAGTATGTAGAAATCAGTGCAGGAGATTACCATTTGTGTGGTTTGAGGAAGCCATTAACTGGCAGGCTTAGAAATGACTCTATCATAGATTGCTGGGGCTACAACATGACCAAGAACCACGAATTCGACGGTCCAGTGCAGTCGATTTCTGCTGGCTCCGAGTTCAACTGTGGGCTGTTTGCTTTGAACAGGACGGTTTTTTGCTGGGGTGATGAAACTAGTAGTAGAGTGATTAGTTTGATCCCCAAGGAAATGAGGTTTAGAGAAGTTTCTGCTGGTGGGTATCATGTTTGTGGGATTTTGGAAGGTGTTGATTCGACCCCGTTTTGCTGGGGGAAGAGCTTGGACTTGGAGGGAGAGATGGCAATGGAGATGATGGAAATGAAGAGTTCTTCTGGTGAGGTGAATGTGGATTTGGCTCCAAAAGAGCCTATGGTTTCAGTTGTTGGGGGTAAGTTCCATGCTTGTGGTATCAAGAGTTATGACCGTGGAGTCATCTGCTGGGGGTTTGTTGTTAAGAGAAGCACACCCCCTCCAAGCGGCATTAAAGTTTACGAGATTGCAGCTGGGAATTACTTCACTTGTGCAGTCCTCGCTGAAAAGGACCTCTCACCAGTTTGCTGGGGGCTTGGATTCCCTACTTCTCTCCCACTAGCTGTCTCACCTGGACTGTGTAACACTGGTCCATGTGCTTCTGGAACCTACGAGATCAATTCTTCCGATAATATTAATAACTTGCCTTGCAAGGCGCTTCCTTCGGCTTCTCATGTATGCTTGCCTTGCACCAATGGCTGCCCTCCTGAGATGTATGAAAAATCTCAGTGCACATCGAAATCGGATCGACTATGCGAGTACAACTGCTCAGCTTGCTACTCTACTGAATGCTTCTCAGGCTGTTCTTCCGGGGAGAAGAATAAAAAGGAGAAGAAGGATGAGAGGGGCTGGTCGATGCAGCTGCCTGTGATTATTGCAGAGGTTTCATTTGCTGTGTTCTTGGCGGTCATTGTGTCTGCCACTGCTGTTCTGTACGTTAGGTACAGGTAAGAACTCAGTTGAAATCTTAATTTATATCTTTCATAGAATATCAAAATGTTACAATTAAGATTCAACTTCACCAGTGTTTATTCCATTTTCGATGTTGACTCCATGGATACAGGTTGAGGAACTGCCACTGCTCATCAACTGCCACAACCTCTAACCCAAAGAAAATCCAACATGGGAGAGGAGGAGCCACTTCATCATCACCAAAAGGTCAGAGCTTAAACGCCAAAATCAGACCTGAAATAAGGAGAGCACAGACCTTCACCTACGAGGAGCTCAACAAGGCAACCAATGGCTTCAAAGACGAATCCTTAGTCGGCAAAGGCAGCTTCTCATGCGTCTACAAGGGAGTCCTGAAAAATGGCACCGTGGTAGCAGTGAAAAAGGCCATCGTCTCTTCGGAACAGCAGAAGAACTCCAAAGAGTTCCACACGGAGCTCGATCTCCTGTCGAGGCTGAACCATGCTCATCTGTTGAATTTGTTGGGATACTGCGAAGAAGAAGGCGAGAGGCTGCTTGTGTACGAGTTCATGGCTCATGGCTCATTGCACCAGCACCTCCATGGGAAGAGCAAAGGGTTGAGGGAGCAGATGGATTGGGTTAGGAGGGTGACCATTGCTGTTCAGGCAGCAAGAGGGATTGAGTACCTGCATGGCTATGCCTGCCCTCCTGTGATCCACCGCGATATCAAGTCGTCGAACATTCTGATTGACGAGGAGCATAATGCAAGAGTGGCTGATTTCGGGCTCTCGCTGCTTGGACCAGCTGATAGTGGTTCTCCCCTGGCCGAGTTGCCTGCAGGTATAGTAGCTAATTATCACATTCATGAGTTTGCTAAAGAAACTATCCTTTTTGAATATGTAAAGTCCTTTAACTTCAATCCTGATTGTATTACAGGTACATTAGGATACCTTGATCCGGAGTACTATAGGCTGCATTACCTCACGACCAAGTCCGACGTCTACAGCTTTGGGGTTCTATTGCTCGAGATACTTAGTGGGAGAAAGGCCATTGATATGCAGTTTGAGGAAGGCAACATAGTCGAATGGGCGGTGCCCTTGATTAGATCAGGAGACACCTCATCTATCCTAGACCCAAATCTGAAGCCACCATCTGACCTGGAAGCGCTGAAGAGGATAGCGAACGTTGCATGCAAGTGTGTGAGGATGAGAGGCAAGGAGAGGCCATCAATGGACAAAGTAACTACTGCATTAGAACGTGCCCTAGCACAGTTGATGGGTAGCCCATGCTACGAGCAGCCGATACTCCCCACAGAGGTGGTCCTAGGGAGCAGCCGGATGCACAAGAAATCTTCGCAGAGGTCATCGAATCGGTCTGGCTCAGAGGCAGCAACCGAGGTGGTGGTTGTGGCAGAAGGGGAGGACCAGAGGATCGAGTTCAGAGCTCCGTCATGGATAACGTTCCCTAGTGTGACTTCCTCCCAGCGGAGGAAGTCGTCTGTGTCAGAGGCAGACGTCGATGGGAAAGCTTCGGAAGCAAGAAATGTTGTTTGTGGTGGGGGTGGGGATGCTTTGAGGAGTTTGGAGGAAGAGATTGGCCCTGCTTCTCCTCAAGAGAATTTGTACCTACAACATAATTTCTGATGATGGAAAAAAATGTACTGTTTCTCCTTTCTTTCTTTCTTTCTTTTCTTCAATAGGAGTTTTCTGAAGATGAAATGAGTTTTGAAGAGATGAATCGGAGAAATTGAAACAAAATGGAGGATGTAGATGTAAATTTTTGTCTGGTATTCCATTTCCATGAATAGTGTCATCACAACATCATGTAATCAGCTAACCTCCAGATCAACCTGGAAAACTGAATAACTTGCAATTCACGTAATCCATCAACCCATGCTTCTAATAATATATACGAATTTATCAAAGCATATGGATTCATTTAGTATTGTAACCTTTTTTTCATTGAATTAGCAGTGTGAATTTTCATATGGGCTAAAATTATAATTCATCATCTTCAAAATTTATTTTTGAATACCAAAATTCGACCACATTCATACACAAAAGGTTAAATATTTTTATTTGGGGAAAAGTGGAGGAAAACAATATCTATCAACCAAATGAAATTTTGGTGACTAATGTGGATACAAAGGAAATGTTCGAGGACCTATTTGACACTAAATCACTCTTCGAGTTCGTTAAAGCCCACCGAGTCGTAGTTTAAAACACACGGAGAAAATAGGACGGGGGGAAGAGAAGAGAAAGAAAAGAAACTCGTTCTCTGTTTCTGGCATTTTAGGTTTCTCTCTCTATATAGTCTGAATGTGAAGCATTTTCCCTCTGGATTTCCAAAACCTCCACAACTCCCTCCCCGGGGTTTATCGCAGCTCTCCATTGTCCGAATTTCTCCGGCAAGGCTCTCCTTAGCGCCGTCGCTCGCCGGTTGGATCTCTCTTCGATCAGGTAGGCCAACAACCTCCGGCTCATTCATCCCTCTGCTTCCTCTCATTCTTTCTTCCGGTGTCTCATTTTGCCATTTACCCCGTCGTCCAGCTGTGAATTTGTCGACGTGCGTGCATGAGAGGAATGCGGCTGACGTCGGGATTCCAGTTCTCTTCGGGAGGGAGCAAATTAGCTGATGACTAGATTTCCCGTGTCTCCGTGTTTCCTGCTGTAATTTCTTTGTTTCTGCTCTGTTTTTTTTTTTGTCGCATGCAATGTTAATTTGTGTGAATTGCTTTGACTTTGAGCTGCCGATATGGATAATCGGGGTATTTCGTTGATTTTTTTGGCACTCGACTCTAGGGCAGCAATAGGTTCTGGAATTGGTTGAGAACTACGGAGTGTGAATTGATTGCTTCAGAGAATTAGCTAGTGTGTAAGTGCATGGGAATAGGATAGACCCCGTTGCTGCCTGTTTGTGATTGAATGACTTAGAACTACAAGCTTGACTTGATTCATCAGTGAACTGTGTAGATAAAGGGGAAAGAGTGGAAGGATAGATGATGCCTCGGTTTGGTGTCTCTGTTATCCTCAACTGGGCTTTACAGTGCATCTGAAACTTGAGACATTCTTCGTTTAATGTATCTAATACAATTCTAATTCTTGGTTTCCCCTCCCTCCACAAATTTCTGTCTGGGGATAGGCACAGTTCAACTTGTATATGGGAGAGAGGAGTTGGCAGAGCTAGCATATGTACCCAACACGTTCTGGTCCAGGAGATGGGCCTGTACCAAGGCCAGTACGGACTAGTGACAGACCTAGGAGAAGACCAAAACCATTTGGTCGCCCATACTTTTATTACCCAGGAACTGGTGTTCGAAGCAAGAAAGTCAAGAGCAAGGGGCGGACAGCAGCTTCTCGGATTGCAAAAATGATGCGTCCTGGAAACCGGCCTGTACGAACCATAAGTGCTAATGTAAGTGAGAATAGTTTCCTCCTTTCTTGGGATTGTGGTGTTCTCTTCAATGAATTATCTTTTTTCCCCCCAATGAATTTGGCATTATGGTGTTATTACTGTATTATTAAATTGAGTTTCATGGTAGAAGAATGCATTTGAATAAGACCTGTGGTTGTACTTGTACTCCCAATAACCTTGGATTTTTCAAGGCTGCTAAGATGAGATGTGAACATAGAAGGATGGAGTGGTGATTGTAAGGAATGTGACTCGTAGATGTTTAGTCTTAAAAGCCAAATAAGCAATGTGATATATCTTTCCTACTGAATAGTGCACATGATAAGCAGCAAGATGTTGTCTTGTTAGGCAAAGGAACATGGATGGCATTTCTAATTGATGCAAGCTGTTTAGAGTACTTACGAATTTTGCTTTCCCTCTATGCAGTCAGTCAACACTAATCTTCGACGGTCTACAAGAAAGAGGAGGGTTCCTTCAAACCTTGATGGCTATGAAAACACTTCTGGTTCGGAAGATGAAGACATCATGGTGAGATTCCTTCCTTACAAGGCATACATTCTGTTACTTGGATGTCTAACTTCATTATCTTTTTTAGTGCTTGGATCAAGCTGAAAATTCCGGTAGGAATTCTTGGGTCTTTGAAGTTTGGGTTGGAGATTGTGATTTCTTAAAATGTTCCAGTTGCAGAAACCACGTCCTCATAGACGCTTGAGGAAGAAAGGTTTCACTACAGTCAATCACAATGACTTGTCGTCTCCGAAGTCCAAGAAGATTGATGAGACCAAATCACCTCCCAGGCGCGAAGGACTGCGTCCGCGTCATTCTACAGCACTTGGTAGAAAAGGCCTGAACTTAGATTCAGGTGATGATAATACTTCTGATGACAAGGTGCTACAGGATGAGACAGAGAATGGAAATGACATTGATGAAAATGATGCCGATGATTGTCGGGATGAAGAGGATGAGGGCCATGGAGATGGTGAGGATGAAGGAGAAGAAGATGGTGATGACGAGGAGGGTGAAGAAGAACAGGAGGATGGAAGAAGGAGGTATGATCTTCGAAATCGTACAGATCGTGCGGATGTTCGAAGGCTGCCCATGTTGGATAAGCAAAGGCAGAGATCCCCGCGAAGAATATTGCATCAAGGACTAGGGACCAAGGTCAATAGGGATATGAGAAAGGGCGGATCTCGAGTACACAAGCGCCATCGTCTAACAAGGGTTGATGATTCTGATGATTCTCTTCTTGTGGATGAGATGGACCAGGGGCCTGCGATTCCTTGGGCTCGAGGTGGGGCTAGATCTGGACCACCTTGGCTCTTTGGTGGCCTAGACATGCATGGGACAACAACATGGGGACTGAATGTTGCTGCTTCTGGGTGGGGTCATCAGGGTGAGAGTTTGGGGGGTTTAAGTTCGGGGGTACAAACTGCTGGGCCGAGTTCTAAGGGAGGGGCAGATATCCAGCCCTTACAACTTGACGAGAGTGTGAGTTTTGAAGATATAGGCGGGCTTTCTGAGTATATAGATGCTTTGAAGGAAATGGTCTTCTTCCCATTGCTATATCCGGATTTCTTTGCCACTTACCACATCACCCCGCCAAGAGGTGTTTTGCTCTGTGGTCCTCCCGGCACTGGGAAAACCTTGATTGCCAGGGCATTAGCATGTGCTGCTTCAAAGGCTGGGCAGAAGGTTAGTTTTTATATGCGTAAAGGTGCTGATGTACTCAGTAAGTGGGTTGGGGAAGCTGAGAGGCAGTTGAAACTTCTTTTCGAAGAGGCTCAGAGGAATCAACCTTCGATAATCTTCTTTGATGAAATAGATGGTCTTGCACCTGTTAGGTCTAGCAAACAAGAGCAGATACACAATTCCATTGTTTCCACTTTGCTGGCTTTGATGGATGGCCTGGATTCTCGTGGACAAGTTGTTTTGATTGGAGCAACTAACCGGGTTGATGCTATTGATGGGGCTTTGCGCCGTCCTGGTCGGTTTGATCGTGAATTTAACTTCCCATTGCCAGGTTGTGAGGCACGTGCTGAGATTTTAAGCATTCATACTCGAAAATGGAAGCAGCCCCCTTCAAAGGAGCTAAAGTTTGAGCTTGCAGCTAGCTGTGTTGGATATTGTGGAGCTGATTTAAAGGCACTATGCACCGAAGCTGCTATCCGTGCTTTTCGTGAAAAATATCCTCAAGTTTATACAAGCGACGATAAGTTTCTGATTGATGTTGATTCAATCAAGGTGGAAAAGTATCACTTTATAGAAGCCATGTCCACCATAACTCCTGCTGCTCACAGAGGTGCTCTAGTGCACTCTCGGCCATTATCCCTTGTAGTAGCTCCATGTCTGCAAAGACACCTTCAAAAAGCTATGAAATGTATTTCCGATATATTCCCACCACTTGATGTGTCAGCAGAGTTCACGAAATTGTCTATGCTTTCCTATGGTTCTGCAATTTCTCTGGTGTATAGACCTCGGATTCTGCTCTGTGGCAGTGAAGCTTCTGGGTTGGTAATTATCTTTAAGCTCAGTCCTCTGGTACATTGATAAACAATGGAACCTGAAACTAAATATACTTACTGATTTAGTTCAACAGGATCATCTTGGCCCAGCAATTTTACACGAACTGGAGAAGTTCCCTGTTCATTCTCTTGGGCTTCCTTCTCTTCTTTCGGATCCAAGTGCTAAGACTCCAGAGGAAGCATTGGTCCATATATTTGGAGAAGCCAGAAGAACCACGCCGTCAGTCCTTTACATACCTCATTTCCACCTTTGGTGGGAAAATGTAAGTACGTGATGGTGTTATGATATTTACTAGAATGCTTGAGATATGGTAGTTCTACTGCATATTTAGTTCTTCATTCATGCATTCGTTAGATTTTTTAGATGCCTTCGATGATGCAGGCACATGAACAACTCAGGGCAGTTCTGCAAACGCTATTAGAAGAATTGCCATCTGATTTACCTATACTGTTACTTGGGACTTCGTCTGTATTACCTCCTGAGATTGATGGGAATCCATATTCAGTTTTTCCTCTCCGTTCGATGTAAGTCCTGTAATCAAGCTAGCTGTTCCTATGGTCTTCTAGCTCTACTGCTCATGAATCATTTAACTTCGTTTTTGCTTGATTGTTGAGGAATTGTTGATTGATTATAGACTTGCATGACTTTTTTCTTTACGTAAATAGTTTTCCGTACTTGATACACACAAAAGCTAGACTTTCTTTTCTGTTATGAATGATGATGGACCAAGGGTAAATACTTGAAAGACACGGGCATCAACTCTTAAGTTGATTATGTTTCGAACTTGCTGTAACCTGGTGATTCTGAGAGATTTGCTGCAATGATAACTTGGCAAGAATGTCGATGCCTGCTTTATTTCATGTTCAATAGGGCCTTGTTATTCCTCCATTCATGAAATTCTTTTGTGTGCTTATGCAAGATTTATATCTGATATCTCTGGAGCTCATTTATTTTCTCTGATAAAGAATCTTAAGAAATTTGATATGACACAGATTTCTCGGATGCTAGAACGTTTATACGCATTTTTTTCTTGTTTTCAAAATTTGGTTTTATATGCTTCCCTGTGGTTTCCATTCTCAGACATCTAGTGGATGGTCCATCAACCGAGGATAGATCAGCATTTTTCAGGCAGTTAATTGAAGCTGCTTTATCAGTCATGCTAGAGGGTAACACCAAGAAATCTGGACAATTAGAGCCTTCGGATGAACTTCCTAAGGCTCCAAAAGTGGCCAGTGGTCCGAAGGTCTCTGAGTTGAAAGCTAAGCTTGAAGCGGAGCAGCATGCACTTCGTAGAATGCGAATGTGCCTAAGAGATGTCTGCAATCGGTAAGATCACCTGCATCCTAAGATATTGGCGGGTTTGCTTTTCCATGAGAGGCTACTGCATACTTGCCATCTAATGTGCTTTTGCATTATTCTGTTGTCCACCTGACTTTGTGAATTTGTGGATTGTCAACCTTCTCTGTCAACTCACGGGCTGGGTTTGCTGTAGCTTTTGTTTTAAGTTGATATAAAAGTGAAAGAAAAGTTGAGTTGATGAGATACTTTGTCTAATAATAAAGAAATGAGCAAGTTCTGAGAAATGACTATTGTGGTATCAGTTTAAGAATATGGTGGTGGATTTTAGATTTACATTATTTGTGGGATATGGGGTGAGTAATTGTCTTTAAAAAATCAAGATTCAAGAAATGTGGTTGTTGTAGCTTTTCAGTCAACGTTTCTTGAGAAGTTAGTAGTTTTTCGCCACGACAAATGCACCCTTAAAGCTCTATCTGCTGTACCTAATGTGACATTGGATATCTTCTTGTTTCTCCTTCGAACAGGATATTGTATGACAAAAGGTTCACTGCCTTCCATTATCCAGTCTCAGATGAGGATGCTCCAAATTACCGAACAGTAATCCAGAACCCTATGGATGTGGCCACTCTTCTGCAGAAAGTGGACTCTGGTCAGTATATTACTTGTTCAGTGTTCCTGCAGGACATTGACCTAATTGTTATGAATGCAAAGGTACATATCCCTTCTCGTTAGCTATTTTTTATGTTACTTCGTTACGACAGGTTCATTGTTTACCTAGTGCTCAGATATTGTGAACAAGATATAGTTGGAAACATTAAATCTTGTTCGTAACTCCTGATAGATTATTATTCATCTTGTAAATGATACAGGTTTTCAATGGAGATGACTACAATGGCTCCAGGATAGTTAGCAGAGCTTACGAGCTTCGAGACTCTGTAAGTTGTTCATCTGATGCTCTCTGCCCATTCCACACTGCATCCAATTTTCATCAACAGTAATCATGATTTGCCATTTCTTAGGTGCACGGGATGCTGTCTCAAATGGATCCTGCGCTGGTTGCTTATTGCGATAAAATCGCAGCCCAAGGAGGGCCAATGCAGCTGCCTTATGATATAGGGGGGACCATCTTTCCGTCCACGCCAGTTGTGCAGCTGGGTACTGCAGTCACCAGAGCAAGTGCCCGCCTTCGAAATGTGCAGCCAGAAGTCAATCTTGATCAAAGCTACGAGGTTCTGAAGCGGCCACGAAAAACGGTCGATGCTGCTGCTGCACATCCAGGTAATTATAAATAAATCGGACACAATTACATAGTCCACTAAGTTCTGATGGGTTTGGAATAAGTAACAAATCAATGATAAGTGTCAATGCAAATGAATAAGGAAAGAATGAGTCGTTCATATAAGCTAATTATGGTAAATTTGGCTCTTGTATTATGAAATTTGTGTGAGTTTACATGTTAATGTGGTCAATTGTACTGAAAAATCTGACAGTATATAAAGTGACTTATCTTAGTTATTCTGGACTTGCATCATTGTGAATCAAACTTGAGGAATTGAGTTGTCATTAAAATCCCAAAGTCCAGTTTTCACCCTTATCAACCAGACTAATTAGTTGGGATTTTCATTTGGTCTGTAACCTCAGCTGAAGACAGACAGCAAGATCAATCATCTGAAGAAGCTGTTGATGCTGATGTTGCCATGGTAGTCGACGAAACCCCTGGGAAGCAGCAGGCCCCAGAATCCCCTCCTACTGCCTCACCTGCTGCCCCCTCCACAGCCGAGGTAGATCACCAGCTGCGGCATGAAAATTGTGATGGCACAACTTCTGGGGACGATTCATCAAAAGATGCGACAATGTCAGATGGCGATCTTTCAGCCGAAATGAATCATGTGAAGGAACTCTTCTTGGAGCGCTCAGTAGACTATGGGATACCTCAGCTAGAGAGGCTCTATATGAAGGTGATCAAGAGCATTTTCTCGTGCAAGAATGGCGAAAAAGGCAAAGGATGTCTTAGGAGTTCAATTTTGATGTGTTTGCTCAAGTATGTCCAGGATGACCATAATTTTTCCTGATAACTACTAAAAACACAGAATGAAAACCAAAAGAAGGGTATCTTGTAGTTAGGGAAATTATGATCATTTAGGCTTCATTTCATACGCATATCCCGTCGACAAAAGCTAAATCGTCACATACTAGCAAACTACAATCACAAACCGCCAGAATTCAAGCATACTAAACACCTATATCGGATCCCTTTACTCTACTCTTTACAGGCAAAAGAGTTCAATAAGAACAGTAAAGAGGCTATATGTAACAGCTGCTGCTGCTGCTGCTGCTGCCAAATCATATGAAAGAGGTTTGCAGCATGTTAGCAAAATGAGACTATCGACCGAGAAACAGTGTTGAAAAGCTGTTCTTAGTGCTCGACTGTTGCAGTGATGGTGGTAGTGCTGCTGTTGCATATCTTGTCCAATATCTGCGACGCAACCGACTCCCTAGCATCCCTTGGATTGAGACATACTTCGCCACCAGTTGAGGACCAATCTGTATCATCCCCTTTCACGATCACGCTAGCCACAAACCCGCCTTTCATTGAAATGCCCATAACAAAGTTATGAATATGCGGATATATAATGGTATAGCTTTAAAAGCTGTTGGTGTAGGGGGCTCGCTCACCGTTTACTGATAGGAGGCGGTATGTTGGCAAAATCCAGTTGTTCTTGTAGCATACATTGTCCAATGCCTGCAAATTACCGGCCAATGAAATCAAAGATTAAAGCAAGGCATTGGAAGAGTTGAATCAGAGTTGCTTGGTGTGGAAACTTTTTGTTTCAGTCTGGTTGGAGTGGACACTTACTTCACATGGAGTATGGCTATCATCTTCCCCGTTTCCCAGCAACGTCAACATCTCGTTACTTTGTGCTGAAGGTTGGTTCTTTCTGGTCACAGTTCTCAAGAACGATGTGTCATTGCAAAGTTCGAGGAAGGATTCTATCTTCAGTGCCATATCATCACCGCCTAGGAAAAGAGTTGTTGACCCTTTTTAGCACTCTATTTGCAACTTAATTCCAGAGCACCACAACATACAATTATACTACCCTCAAACTGACATCAACATCAACAGAAGGTATGGCAGTATGAAGAGAGAAAATTATGATAACCGTAACTTCTGTGCATACAGTAATTTTACATGCGAATCAAGGAGAGAGGGACAGAGTGCCAAGAGATAAAGAACTATACCATTCAGAAGTCTCAGGATCTTCTTATCATACTGTGCAATCTGATCTTCTATATCTCGTTGCTGAAATGACTGCAGAATCACATTGAGGAGAAGCCAGAATCTAATTGTCAGAACTCAGAATCCAGACTAACTTGATTACTATGGTCTTAGGAATCTACACGGTATATACATAAACCTTTGAAGGGGTTCAGACTCATGGCAGCATCAAAGAAAGAAGTAGAGAAAGAACTCGTACCAGTTTATCTCTTTTTCCCATTAGCACTTTGAGTGCTGCTTCAGAAAGCTCCTTGTCTTTTGAAGCTATTAGAGAGAACATTTTCTCGATATCTTGAACACTACATTTGTACTCAACCAAAGGAAGATGATGAACTGCAGGCTTTGCATCTGGATTCACGGCAATGTTGCTGCAGTTCTGATCACTTATCACAACATCTCTACATCTATCTTCAGCGATTTCCTGAGTACTTGGCTTCTTCACCTGCACAATTCGCAGTCCTAACAATGGTTGGCATCAACCAAGTACACAAGTCTATTCATGAATCACATGCTGATTAGGCAGACAAAGAAAAATTCGAAGATACAGTATTCAGAACATGTGGAAAGTTCATCAAGTACTTTCCAGCAAATATTAGCTTGATAATTATGGAAACCAATAATTCAATAGCAAATGTTTAGAAGTGTAGCTAGAATATAAACACATCATATAAGCTAAACTGTGATGGGAGATTAAGAAATCTTAACCTTATCAGAAATTGTCAAGATTTTCGAGTTCTTAAGCACATTCTCCTCAATCTCTGGGTAGGCAGGTTTGACGGCCTTGGCAACATTTCCACAAATCTCTTCTTTCTTCAACTTAATGACTGGTGATGCATCCACTTCCATGTGGTTGCGGTTCACGCCACTCTTGAAAACATTTCTACCTCTTCCTTTATCAATTTCCTGTGTCACTAGAGTATTTGGCTTCTCCGCCTGCATAATTCGACAATACTGCAGATTGGCATCAACAAACTGAGCAAAAGAATCTAAGGCTCCACACCAACGAACTGCGTTCCATTCTCAGCAGGTGCATAACAAGATAACACTTATAAATAGTTTGATATTGGCTCCTAATAATTACGAGTACACAAGTTTATCAACTCATTCCAAGCCGATTTGGCAAGATAACAAAATTTGGAGATATGGAATCAGGACAACTTTAAGAGTTCATCAAATGCTTGCCATCAAGACTAGACTACTCATTATGACAACCAATAGTTCAGCAGCCAGAATATAGCAAGTTCCACAAACTAAAGTGTAACTGGATTGCACCAAGAAATCATAACCTTATCAAAAATTATCAAGTCATTTGAGCTCTCATGGTTAGAGCTAGCGATCTTTTGGTTAGCAGGTTTGGCATTGACAATATTCGGACCCATATCTTTGTTCCGCGAAGCAATGACTGGTAATGCATCCACTTCCATATTCCGGGGCCCAGTAAAATTAGCCAGACTAATCATTGAACTTTCATCATTCTCAGTCTGCTTTTCTGTCTCAGGATGCTGCACCAAAGTATCGGAACTCACATTTTCATCCTTTGGCATCAGTGCTTTAGATTTCATGCCACTTTGATCATTCCTCTTCGGTGATTTTGAGATCATGCTGCTGCTGTCAAGATAAACAACTTTAGGTCATCTCGAGAAACATTCATCCATGAATCATAAGTTGCACTATGCAACTTAAGTTAATTCCAATATTCTTTTCATTCCCAATCATGTAACAGTCTTAAGTACATGCCAGTAATCATGTGACTACTGTCAGTTACATCATATGAGCATCAGTACAATAAATAATCACATTGAACATTCTCAGGAATGTCTCATTTTCCTTAATCAGACCTCTGGTTGCATGCAGAGTTCATCCAGTCTGCAAGAATCCGAGCATAAGGAAGCAAATGAAAGTACTCAACAACAGGCGTGATTATCCATCCAAAGGAAGTCTTTGAGAATAGAGGACCCTGCAAGCTGCTCCAACGACAATGCAAAGGTGGCATTAGAAGATTGAACAGTGTCAACAGCTCATCATTTGTAGCAACTTTAAGGGGACAATTGATAAGTTGGTAGGAAAAATAGTACAACATTGATAACAACCTTTTAATCAAATCTTTGATGGGAACTTGACACAAACTATTGTTGTTCTCTGCTTCAGTGTACTGTGAGATGTAAAAGCGCATGCCAGTATTTTCTTTACTTGCGGAACACACAATGTGGCTTTCCAAGAAACAAAGGTCATCCTGGCCAATTCCTGTACCAAGAACGAGAACTAAATTAAGGTAACAATCCTTGTCGACCGTGGTGTTGCATAGCAACTATCAGGTCTCATTAAACATCACATCAATCAAGAAAATCATTCTTCTAATCCTCCACACTTACAAAGCAGAAGCTATATCAAATTAATTTCATTTTGAAGTTTCATGAAAGAGGGCATACCAGTGGCTTCATTGACAGCTAGCGTAGCCGCTTTCTTTAGGCCATCTTCAGTAGTACTTTCTTCGCGTTTGGGAGAAGGTCCTTTAATAATCCTTCTCTTTTTGTTAGCTAGATTTGAGTCACCAGAATGTTCCTTACTTAGATCAACAACGGCCACATCCTTCTCAACAACAGACCACACACCGTCAGTGATCGAACCAAACTGCAGCAATGCTTTCTGCTTTGTAGAGTCCACAAGAAGAACTGCAACTCTGGAAACAGTAGATCCATTTACAGCAGGAGCCTCTTTGGATGCATCCAAAGACACAGCAATATTACACGCATCCATAATATTCTTCTCAGTCAAAGAAAGCTGATTTTCCAGATCATCCAGCACGGTATCATTAGAGCTTCGTGTAAGCTTCATGTACGGCAGAAGATTAGGTCTTAGTATCACAGCCAACTTGCAGAAACTCTCGAAATTCATGAAGTTCAATTCTGGATGCTGTCTCCTATGATAGTAATTGTACAGCAACACAACCGCATGAATCTGAAGACAATGAACAAATGAACAGAAGCCATTAGATGACTACTTTACAACTTGATCAATTCTACCATATAGTGATGCTTTCTTTTAAGTCTTTAGTATTATGATTTGCACAGGTAACTTTCCTCACACTGGAACTATGAAGCAAGCTTAACTTTGAACTAGTAACACACCCTCTTTTATCCTTCTAGGAATGACTCACTGATCCACAAAATTGGAACATAAGCTTAGGATAGAAAGACATAAAAACACCTGTTTGGCTATGACTTCTTCATCAGCTAGAGACGGTGTGAATCCTGATCCAGATTTTGCCGGCAGCTTGAGGTCAACCAGATTTTCAAACAGTGCAAGAATGGCATCCTCGGTCTGGCAAACTTCAGTTCCCTCCATGATCCAGACACAGGGACACTCACCCTAAAAGAAAGTCAAATTTATGATCAGGAAAAAAAAAAAGAAAAGACTAGTTCATTTAGCATATAACAGCAGCAGGAGACAGTTTAGCACATTGGAATTTCATCTTCAAAACAACTCCTCAAAACGAGCAAAGGAAACCAAACCCCATGAAATTTTCACTACCCCACAAAATCAAAGCAAGTTGAAACAGAGCAGTAAAAATGAGTTCCCTCGAAACAATAAAAAAACCAGGGAGGAGGAGATGATGAGATAAAACAATCTTCGAACCAGCTTAGCTCCTAAAACCCTAACCCTAAACCCAGAGAAAGCGGCAAACAAGAGAAAGATAGAAACTTGCATTCTGGGTGCTTGAGAAAAATCAACGTAGGGCAACAACAAAAAACCCATATGGGCAGCAGAAAGGAAACCGCAATGTACAGGAACAGGGTTTTTCCCGGCTCCCGGGTTGCCGTGATCAAGTATCCTAAAAGGCTAACACAAACGAGAATCCTAAAATGCAGCCGAGTGAGTGAGTGAGTGAGTGATCTCTTCACTAACCTTTCGCAAAAGAAGCCCTTGCTATTTCCTTCCTTCAGGGTACTTGATCACTCTTCTCGTTCGCGTGAAGCTTCAGCAGGGAGACGCTCAGTAAATAGAAGCGCAGAGAGAGAGAGAGAGAGAGAGAAGGGGGAGGCAAATGAATGGTTGATCAATAAAATGAATGCTTGCTGAAGGGCAGAGGAGGGTGGCAGTGTGACAGGGGAAACTGACAGCTGATTGGAAATAGTTCTGCTGCTGGGTTTTAGCCTGCTGCCACCCACAAGGACAAGGAAAAGCCTTCTCATCCAAGTTTGGCCTCAACTTACAAACAAAATAGTTATGGATAAAAGATGATCAAATGTTGATCTGGTTTGATATGAATTTTCTATGAAGTGCATAATTTGGTGAATGATAACTTGGAGCTGTTTGGTTAAGTAAAAGAGTGAAGTTGGCCTACTTTTTTCCATTATTTTTTAAGAAGGAGCACATCACATCAAGGAGTGGATACATTATTGTTTCAGTAATATGAGTTGACAGCAATAAATAGATGAGAAAGCAAGAAAAGATTTGTCCTTTCAAACAAAGCTGTGGGAAGATTCTCTCTGATTTCTGTGATGATGATCTTTGGGCAGAGCAGAACTACTCTACTCTACTCTTTGGCCTTGTCTGCGTAAGTGTATATTGCCAAGGTTTCCAAATAAGGGCAAACTTTCTTTCTACATTTTGTAAAGGAGATGATCAATGGGACTATGTGACAGAGAGCATTAGACCATTTTAGCTTGGAATGATTCGGTCTAAAATGAACAAGAGTCTATGTTGACAAACGTACGATTTATTTGAGTACAATAAATTGTACATGTATATGAGAGAGATGAGTTAAACATGCATTTTCACCTTTTATGATCTAATTTCAAGGCAAATACAATGAACTAGACCATATATTCCCCATATGATAATTACGAATATACGCGAGCCAAAAAACATTCTAAACTTCCTAAGTTTTATTGTGTTTAATTAGTTGATTTGATTCTTCTATTGATATACGATACAACCATCAACATATGTCATTCATACTCGGTTGTCGGTTGGTTCATATTCTTTTCTCAATCTAACAATCATTAGAACGTGAATTGATAAGAGAAGATCGTACTGACAGACATCACAACAAACAATACCAACCTAAAGCTAAGAGTATCACAAACAACATCTCGCGCTTTAACTACATCTGCACTCTTCACCTAACAATGCCATCTTGATATAATTTAGCAAATCCAATTACATCTACATGCATTTGCACGTACATTGTATTCCTAGCTACCAGTCAACTCAGTAACCACATTTGGAAAAAATGGGAGACCTGGGGATTAGATTCTGTGTTATAATACAACCTTTAGCTCATCTCAAGAAGCACTTCCATTATCTTACAAATTGATCGATCTGCTCCCATGGCTATTCTCCTCCATTTTCTGCTAGCGGGCAGCTTAGTACTGTTAATGAGTTCATCTGCAGCAGCACAGGGCAGCAACAGTAACAGCAAAACTCAAGTGCCAGCAGTGTTTATGTTTGGAGACTCTTTAGTTGATACAGGGAACAACGATTACATCTCCACCATCGCCAAGAGCAACTTCCCACCTTACGGCAGAGACTTCCCTGGCGCGAGACCAACTGGAAGGTTCAGCAATGGCAGATGCACGTCCGATTTCGTTGGTATGAATTGGCTATAGTTCAGATATAATAAATTTGCTCGTTCTGCACTTTTGGAGTTCAATTTATACTAACTTCAAAACAAATTTCATCAGCTGAAGTATTTGGGGTGAAGAAGTTGCTGCCACCTTACCTTGATCCAGACTTGGAGCTTCAGGAGCTCCTTACCGGCGTGTCATTTGCTTCTGCTGGTTCTGGTTACGACCCTCGCACTTCGCGATTTACTGTAAGCAAAAGAAAAGAAAACAACAGCTCAGGACTCTCTTATCTCTGCATCATTTTATATATGAAGCTGATCATGTTTTCCCCCTTTGGTTTGTTGAATGAGAAGACGGCTATACCACTCACGGGTCAGGTAGATATGTTAAGAGAGTACATCAGCAAGATGAATGCAAGCGTCGGGGAAACCAGAACAGCTTCCATTATATCACAAGGTGCATTCATAAGCTTCATAGGGAGCAATGATGTTACCTTGCATGCTATGTTGGGGTCTCGATCTGGCGAGGAGGACGACGATTCCTACACCGATAAGATGCTCCATTTCGCTATGGACTTCTACCAGGTTTAATTTGTTTCTCTAATCCTGGTGTCGTTACTTCCATGCCACGGTACTCCCTACTAGAAAATTGTACCAATTTCGCCTTGTGCAGCAACTTTACAAGCTTGGAGCAAGAAGAATTGGGCTGGGGAACTTACCACCAACAGGTTGTGTGCCAGCAGTGAGAGATGTGGTTGGAGGACAAGAGAGGGAGTGTTCAGAAGGGCTCAATCGACGGATGAGGCTCTTCAACACCAAGCTGGCTGGGGCGGTTGGTAAGATGAATGCTGAGCTCCCAGGTGCCAGGATTGTGGTGTTTGATTTCTACAATGTTGTCCTCTCCATCATCCAGAATTCAGCTTCATACGGTGAGTGCCTAATTCTTTCCATTTGGTCATATGGATGATCATCTAATGTCTCTGATGGACTCAGCTCCATTGGTTGTTGTGATTCTTAGGATTTGACGAATTTAGCAGAGGATGCTGTGCCTCGCATGAAATTGAAGCTGGGTTCCTTTGTGTAATGCCGGGGACTTGCACAGATGCATCCAAGTACATCTTCTGGGACAGTTTCCACCCCACTGAGAAAGCTTGTCGAATCCTTTCCTACCAAATGGTCAGCTCAAAACTAAGGAACCTGCTATGATTCAAACATATGATGAGATATGATTTCAAGTTTGGGTCCCAAATAGATCGCAAAGTTTTGTTAAAAGCTCATTCCCAAAAACATGTATGATCTCTCCAAAATTGATGAACTCTTTCCAGCATGAATGACTAGCTTTCCAGAAACATTCATCGATGAATCCAGTTGTTCCATTACGCCAATGGAAATTATCAAATGAAGTTGGTGGCGGTAAGGGTTTGGCCGCCATTATTGCTCACAGAGTGACAGGACTGCCACCAATCAGCAGTTGTAATCTACACATAATATAATACGCCGAAGGGAAAAACGGGAGCTCCATTTCAAATTTCCTGGGATTCGAACCATAACCATTTTAAAGAAAAGCAAGGATAATAACCAATCACACTAAGCACATTTGTTGTATCTTTTTAAATTAAAAACATATAATAGCAGGGAGGAAAAAACCCTTCCCCCATTTCAAATTCCCTGCTCCATGAGTGTTTGTAGGAAGGGTAGAATAGGAAGTGTCAATTTTTTTTTCTTTCCTCTGTGGAACGGGCCAACTTACCGTACACATGCGAATTTAAACGTGTCCAGGAGTGTCAATTTTTTTTCTTTAAACTCTTTTATTTCTCCGTGGTGATAAAATATATATGAAAAGGAAAAACTAATACTCCTTTTTATTGTTAAAAATAAAAAATTTAACAATAAACTAATGCATGGTATCTAATGGGCTAACCGCTAACCATAAAATAAAAGAGTTGAATGGGTCTGACATACATGGGATTTGGCCATCAAGTAAAACAAATGAACATCATTGGTTTGTCATTCTAAAACAAGCTATTTTCTATTATGCTATTATTTTATATCTTAGTGGCTAAAATATAATGTATTTTAAAGTTATTCAATGGTTCAACCTCGACCAACACAACTAGTCCAATTTTTATCATTTCAAATATATATTTTTATAATTATTTGATATCATAATGATCAAATTATAGTGTATTTAATAGGGAATCGTTTGGTATTTGTTAGTAAAAAACTAAACATAACGATCTATTTGGTTATTTTAAACATTATAACGATCCTAAACATTTTCAGTTCCTTTTGAATTTCCATGGTTTTAATCTCGATTAAGTGATGTGCAAATGGCGAATTGTAGTCGTCTCTTTTCTTTCACTATTTTTTTTTTATTTTCAAATAGAAAGTTTAAAAGTAAAGAATAATTAGAATTTGGCATGGGTCGATCGAACAGGCTGAATTTCAAGTTTTGGCCCGTTTGTTTTATGCATTGCAAATTTATTAGCATGTTGATGGAAATGGCTTGGAAAAAAGACATATAAGTTGTACCTTTGCAGAAATGTCCTCAAATGTTTGAATGCTTTGTGAATCAGGTTCCGTGACTTTTGTGATGGTGTATGTGCTTGACGATTGCTCTTTTGATTTTCCCTATGAGTTGTGATACCAGTTCTGGTGGTTGCAGCATGTTGTCGTTGTTGGCCTGTAAAAGTTGTTCCACCGTGGTGCTAAATACCTTTCTTTCTTTTTTAACAAATTGTGTGGTAGTGCTATGAAACAGACCACCCATGAATGTTACGCTTATTATGGTCTGTTCTTACTTCCGGTGGTAAGAAATTGTGAGTTGAGAATCATATTCGCCTACCGCACTGTGTCTGGCTGGTGGCTGCTTACTGTGCTCTCTAGAGTTATGAAACAGACTACCCATGAACGTTACCCTTAAGAGTCCATAACTTTGCGAAAAACCAAATTTAGGCAATCAAAGGTGGTGGATGTATGATATTTTTTATGGCTTAATTGTTTGTGAATTGGATATATGATCTTTGTATGATCAGAGGGGATGTTTGCTTAATAGAATAATCCATTTTAATTCATGTTTATTTTTAACATGAACTTTAGTAACTCAAAACTTTCGAGACACATATCACCTACTGCATTGTATCATTTTGCCTGGGTGCTTGCTGTGTTGTCAAACTTCTTTGCCGCTGCTGCTGCTTTTACACTAACAGGGGAGTTAAGAACCCATGAATGTTTCCGTTTGACACAAACAGGAGGACTTGCTTCTTAATCGTGCAGTTGATATACTGGAGACCAGAACAAAAGCAATGTATAACATCAAAACCAACCATCTGAACTATTAGCATTGTTGCTTTACTCTTTTTTCGTGGTTAGGTCTCCTTCAAAAAATTTAGTTTGATTTTAGAAAATTTTGCTTCTGCAGTCCTGTCTTGCCACCAACGCGTTCAGTAGATGGAGATGGCAGAGGCGAAGGCTATTTTTGTGTTGTTGTTGCTGGTTTAGGGATCGGTTTGTGAAGAAGAGGGAGAAGAGAGGGGGAAAGGGAAATGCAGGAGAGGGGGTTAACTCTTTTCTCTGACAAAAATGGAGTGAAGAAAGGAATTATGATCAGTAAGGATATGGTTATCTTACATAACTGTCTCTATTCTGTTGGAATTGAGCTTGGGAGGCAGTGATAAGGACGAGCTGCAACCAATTCATAGTGAGAAGAGAGCTATGAACTGTGATCATGTCCTATTTCAAGTTAGAAGGTAGTTTTGAGTATAAGGATTATTTAATTTGACAAGTTGTTTCGTCCATGATTCTTGGTAGTTTCAGTGCCATTCTAGCCATTGTTTAGTCTGTAATTTTTGAGAATTGATTTGCGAGTAATGACTTTCACTTAGCTTCACTATTATGCGTGTATTTATTGGCATGTGATAGAATTCTCTTTTCCTTTCTTTGAATTCAGTTTCATACTCTAATTGTATCATTTGTACATAGGCAAATCATGCTCGAGATGACAACTCGCCGATATGGCTGGTGCAAGGAACGAAGCCATCATTAGAATTCAGACCGACAACGGGGAGGGATGCCCAGGACTAATTCAATGATGATTGATGATGGTATAATAAAAACTGCAGTCTGCATCAGCATCAATTTCTAGGCCTAAGTAAAGTTATTCAACAAGAACTCTGCTTAGCGCTAAAAATTCCCCTCACCCAACCTTGATCCTGTTTGACCCACTTATGAAGATTCAAGATATATGACTAATCCTCTCCGTTCGTATTTTCTTATTGACTCTTTCTGACCCTTTAGGTTGGGGCGGGTCGGGAAGAATCAGATTAGTGGGTCGGTCCTAAGCAAGTGGAATCCCAATTCCTTCTACTCTCACTTGCTTTTTCTCCTATTCCACAAGTGGGTAACATACACTAATCCGCCCAACGGGCCGGGTAATAGGCTAGTACATTGATAATGGACGAGACAATGAGAGAGAGAGAGAATGCGAGGCCGTTTTCTTCCCTTTAATCGTCAAATAAAAAAAGACTAAAAAAGAGATTAAAGTTTTTTTAAATTAAAAAAATGCTAATGCAGAGAACCCAAATGACTCTTGCTCTCTTCCACCTTCGCGGTTCCCCAATTCAATTTCCGGCGGCAATTTGGCGACGCAGGATGCCGCCGATGACCAGATTCTCTTCCCAATCTCTCCACTTCCAAGCACCCGTTCCCGTTCCAGACAAACCCATCTCAGGTTAGCTCCCTGACAACGGCGTATGTCTTCTTTCCCTCCTCTGAAAGGAACTGTCTTTCTCTTCTTTCCTTACTCCATTGTTATAAAGGACGATTTTTGTTAGGTTCAACCCAACCGTCTGTCTCGGAAGTTCGCGTCTTTTCCAGGAGGAAGAGGGCTGGGAAGGGCGTGGAAGTTGCAGGAAAGCAAGTTGAGTTGGAACCCTTTGGAGATAAAGTAAGGAGCTTTTGTAGTGTCTTTGTCAGTCCTTGTTATGTGCTTTGGGTATTCAGTCCATGGTAGATTCTACTTTCATTCTTCCATAGTGAAGAACAGCTTGCTGGAGAACCCATATTCTTGACTTTCGGGGTGTAATGGTGGAAGCATTAGGGATTTGGCTCGGTAATTTGTGAACTTGCAGCTTGACAGTGCAGTGAAACCTGTTCATTATTTGTTGGAAGCATCTGAACTGGTTTTAGATCAATTGCTTGATGCTATTGCTTCTGAAGTTGCAAGGTTCTTAGACCTTGAGAATTATGATGTTTAATGCATATTATTCAGCACTAGTTTTCGTGTTGTGTGAAACGACGATCGATGGTCACGAGTCGATGTTATATGTTCAGCGTTTTATACCTTTTCGTTGTGTGCAAGTCTAATAACTAGATGGTTTTCGACTTGCTGGATGAGCATTTAAAATGTTAGTTGGACTTTGATGGAGTTTCTAAACTTGTTCCCATTACTTCTTATAGCCATCTGCCTTACCTGACATTGAAGAATTTGCATACAAAAAGCCAAATGGATCAGTGCAGTCAAGTAAGTTCCTTTCTTTAGTAATACGAATTAGACTCTGTTGTCTAGAGTTGGGGGTTTCGGATTTGTAAAATTGCAGAAGAGCTCGTTGTGATATAGTTATTTACTGATATTCTGTTGTAATGTTTCTGCAGAGAAGGCAAAATATGACACAGAAGTTCTTCCACTGAAAAAGGAGATTGTCTCCACTATTAGTAAAACAGGTATGGCGAATGCGTCCTCCATTAGAAAAACAGGTATCGTGAATGCGTCCTCCACATAGATTTTGTCATGTTAGTCCATGAGAACCATGATCCTTTCTATCAGCTTATCATATCTATCCATACCTAAAACAGGTTGTAGTCTGTGAAGTGTCATATTTATTATACCATTAAGTGGTTTTAATGATCCGCAATGTAGGTGAGCCGCCTGTAAACTGGGAAAAGGTCCTTGAAGGAATTCGCAAGATGCGGTCGTCTGAAGATGCTCCTGTTGATACTATGGGATGTGAGAAAGCTGGAAGCTCTCTTCCTTCTAAGGTATGTCCTTGACAAGACTATAGAAAAGAAAACACCACAGTCGACCTGCCTATCTCAAACTTTTTCCCAAGTGTTACCGGCGTTACCTTTGTCATAGTTCTGAATCCTAGAATCTTTAGCTGCGTATTATTCCCGCCTGATGCCTTAAAATGTCTTGGTTGTAGGAAAGAAGATTTGCTGTCCTTATCTCTTCACTCCTTTCCAGCCAAACCAAAGATCAGGTAAACAATGGTAAGTCTATGCTAATGTTAGTCCGAATGAACATGCAAGACCTACAATTTGATGTATGGGAAATATTGTTCGTGCCTAATTCATTTAATATAGCAGCCGTTGTTGAAATGTGGCAATAGATCATTGCTGTACTGTGAGATTCTTAGAGTTGGGAGAACAGAACTAAAGAAGATCAACTACCACATGTTAAGACAGTAATATAGAGTTTTGGAGGACATGGCTCACTGAATTTATGTTTCTACACACTGAGTATATGAAGTTTTAAGTCATTAAGATGCTAAAGATTAGGCAATGCGCATGAACTATGAGTCTCTGTTAGAATTGTGCTTTCCTTACTGTCAATAGCTCATAGTAGCTTCCTAAATCTCGAACTTGGTGTGTGTTTCACCGAAATCCTTTCTTCATGTAGGAGCAATTCAGCGTCTCCTTCAGAATGACTTGCTTACGCCTGATGCAATTGACCAAGCAGATGAAAAAACACTCAAAGATTTGATTTACCCTGTAGGTTTTTCAATGGAATCATATTTCAATGTTCACATGATCTCGATTGTGCTATATTTGTTCCTCATTACTTTCCTTGTGTGTTTCAATGTAACAGGTTGGATTCTATACAAGAAAAGCCAGTAGTATGAAGAAAATTGCAAGAATTTGTCTTGAAAAGTATGATGGGGATATACCTAATTCTTTGGAGGATTTGCTCTCACTCCCAGGGATAGGTCCTAAGATGGCTCATCTGGTATGTTGTATTTGTAATACCTTCATTAAGAATTTCCAGTGGATTCTCTGAACTCTGAAGTTTTTTGGTGTACTATTCATTAGGTTATGCAAATTGCATGGGACAATGCACAAGGGATATGTGTGGACACTCACGTGCATCGTATAAGCAATCGACTTGGATGGGTTTCACGACCAGGCACAAAACAGGTACCTCCCAGTGTACTTTCTGAAAGATGAAACTTTAGTTCAGATTCGAGTCCCTCGTGAATGGAAATGATTTACAAGTTCTGGATTCTGTTATTGCCACTTTTTCTAGAAAACTTCAACCCCCGAGCAAACAAGAGAAGCTCTACAATTGTGGCTTCCAAAGGAAGAATGGGTTCCCATTAACCCTCTTTTGGTATGTATATCATTTTCATGCGTTGCGGACTGCAAATAACCTGAAACACTCATAATTCTGAACTCTCAGACTCTGCCTTTTTCTGGTCACAACCAGGTAGGATTCGGGCAGACGATTTGCACTCCTCTCAGACCCAAGTGTGAGATGTGCTCAGTGAGCGACTTGTGCCCATCTGCATTTAAGGAGAAGACCTCTAGTCCTTCATCGAAGTTGAAAAGATCACCTTCACTCAACAAGAAATCTTCAACCTAAGTTCTGGGAAGTTGTATACTTCGATTTTTTGTGTGCCGGTTATCCTTAAAACTGGCACTCCATGGGGCTGACTTGGTTGATTCTGCAGTCCTTTTGTCCTATGATGAATGAATATCCTAAGCTGCCTTCCATTTGTAGTTCTACTGAAACTGAACAGAATCAAAACTAATGTAGATTGTAGGGCTCCCCATTATGTACGTACAGCCAATTTGTATTGTAAGTAAAACTTGTATTGCAAGTGTAAGTTGAAGAGTACCAATCCAGCTGGAACAGTCTGAATAAGAAAAACCAAGCTCAAAGTATATATAGAAATAGAAGCAATCCCCATAAAAGATTATGACGTAAAAAAGAATACAATAACAAATAAACTAAGGAGAATTTGTTTTCTTCTGATCAAGTACTTTACAAACAGCTTCATCGGATTTAGTTCTACACAATCAGCTGGCTTTTCCGCCATCTCCAATAGTTTACCCTCATGGCATCAGCATGCTCCAACACAGAACAAATTGTATTTCCCAAACTGTCATTGGTGCTGCTACTGTTCTCCTGTGAATCTAGGCCAGAACTAGCAGGATTCAACGTGTCCACAGCTTCCCTCAACTCTCGGCTTGGCTGTAACCCATGACTCAGAAGATCGAGAACCGTGCTCAAAGCGAATACATGGTTGGTACCACCGCTAGTCAACACCTTTAGACACAAAGTTGAGACTTGAGGATCATGAATCCATGACTTTGGGTCGTCTTTGTAGAGACCTCTGAGATACCTCCATGGACTCTCGTTCTCGGGGTTAGCTAGAATCGCTGCAACCGTGTACTTCACTTCTGACTCTCTCATGGCTTGGAGGCCTCCCAGGAGAGGAGATTTTGTTATGACGAAGTATCTCTGTAGTCACACACATATCACAAGTAAGTTTGACATATCGTATGGAGATGCACTTCCTGATGAACTTAAGGGTCATCAGATTAATTTACAGCCAATTCAAAATGACTTCATGTAATTTTTCTTTCCCATTAGAATTAGACCCAAGTGAGCTTTGCCTCTGAAATCAAGACTCTACAACCAAGTGCTTTTGCCTCACAGAGTTGCATTGTTTACCTGATTCCAAGCTGAGTTATTGAAAATATCCTCTTCAAGTAGATCGTGGCAGTACTCTAGCTCATCGTCCCATCCCCCCAGAGATTGCAGAACCCACTACAAACGCAAACCACAACATGCAGGAAACTCAAGTGAAATGGAGTCCAACACAAAGCTATAAAACAAACCAAACCAGTAGGACAGCCACTTTCATGCAGACAAAGACAGAATATGCTTAGCACAGGAACAATACCTGCCTGTGGGACCATGCATGATAATTTTTAGCGTCACCAGAGAGTATCTTCTCGGTGAACTTAAGTTCTCTACCAGCAGCATCAGGACCGAGTTTCTCTGCAAGCCAGCGCCTATGATGCCTGCAAAAGATCTATAGTTAGGGCCAGCGGAGAGAAATCAGGAAGAAATACAGTTCAAGAGCAACTGCAGTGGTAGGAAAACTAAGATGAAGGCAAACTGATCAGCTTGGTACCAATAGCCATTAGCCAACCAAAATCCAGTTGCAGAAAGGATGAAAAACGATAAAGAACAAGAAAAAGAGGTCGAGAAAGAAATCAGTATAGGATCCATCAGCTCACCATATCTGATAATTTTTAGAGTTCTTCTCAGCAATCTTGGAAACATAATCCAGTTCCTGATGCAGGTCTTTACTTAATGTCTCCAGTATCAAACGCCTGAAATGCCATACCTTTCAGGAGGTTGACAAGAAACAAGTCAGTTATGCACACAGGAAGCATGAAATTCTGCAACAGCAGCAACTTGACAAGCAGTATACATTCTGCATCACTAATTTTCAAGCAGGCCACAGAGAGAAAGAGTGATTGCCAACATAACATAAATGAATATCAGATAGCCCAGATCATCAAGTTCACTTTTTTAACACATTCCTGCACCTTAATCAACAACATTGAGATTCCAAGGAACCCTAGTCTTATTCAATGTGAAACTTCTAAACTCCAAACAAAAGTCACGAACTTGAACATTCATTCAATTCAACAAGGACAGTTGCCACATCAAGCTACAAACTTTGGCCACAACAGGAACTTAAATCAGAATCCTAGAAGTTCCCATTAGAGAGAAAGAGTTGGGGGGATCGTTACAGTGTAGTTGCCGGGATTCAGGAGGATGGCTTGGTGAGTGAGCTGAAGGGCGCGAGGGGATCGCTCATCAGCGCGGTAGACGGCGCGGAAGTAGTCCATGGTCTCCGCAAACTCCGGCTTGTAAGCGATCGGAACCACAGGGTTTGGACCGTCGTCTTGAGGGAGAGGACTGACGTCCGACCACTCCGGTCTCTGCGACGGCAGAAGCCTCTCCTCATCCTCTTCCCAATTCATTGCTCTGCCGCGGGAATCGCAGTAAATCTCTCCGGTATGCCGTTCCGGTGACTGAATCTCTGCTTAATCACAGTTCTCTCGGGAACTTGCCTTTGCCTTTTCCCCTTCCCCTTAAACAACTGGCTTTGCTTGGCAATGGAAGGATGGAATAACGAAATACCGAAATAACATATAAATTTGTTAAAAACAAAAGTTTAGGGATTGTTTTGTTAGTGGTGTCAAGATAAGTGACCGTATTTGTGATTAATCATCGGAAGAGTTCCCTTCCCTGGAAACTGGACAGCTGATGATTACTGAGATATTAGCTTCAGCGACGATCATTTCATCATCGAGAAGCAGAGCAGAAATGGCGCATTTGAAGATTTCAAGTCAGTAAGACAAACAACAGCAGAAGTCAGTCTTCTTCCCCTTCGCCGGAGTTCGCAACCATGACGGTGGCAGCGGGGATCGGGTATGCCTTGCTGGCATTAGGACCTTCCCTCGCTCTCTTCGTCACTGTCATCTCCAAAAAGCCATTTCTGATCCTCACCGTCCTCTCAAGGTCCTCCTCCCAATTCAATTTCTAGGGTTCGATTTTGTTTCGTGTGTTTTTATTCTGGGGTTCGTGCTGTATTTGTGTGCAGTACTCTGCTATGGCTGGTGAGCCTAATCGTGCTGTCTGGATTCTGGCGCCCATTTCTCCCTCTCAACTCCGCCGCTTCCTGGCCGTTCGCCGTGCTTATTATCACCTCCGTCGCGTTTCAAGAAGGCCTCCGGCTGCTTTTCTGGAAAGTTTACAAGTAAGTTTTTCAACACTCCCCCCTTTGATCTTTTTGGCGGAATGGGTTTAACTTCCGAAGCACAAATTTGAATCCAGATGGAAAAAGGAGCTCACTTTGGGTTTCTTGGTGTGTAAATTTGGTGCAGGCGATTGGAAGATATGTTGGATGCGTTTGCAGACAGGGTATCGAAGCCACGGTTGTACCCTACTGATAAGATGCTAATTGCTCTGGGTATGCTTCAAGCAGCTTTACAACTTTTTGAGTTCCTTCTTCGGTTCATTGGTGTTACTAATCTGCATTGCAGAATGCAGATGTTCCCTTCTGTTAGCTAACTCTGGGCAGCTGAAATGAATGGTGCAGCTGGCGGTTTAGGTCATGGTGCAGCTCATGCTGTTTTCTTCTGCCTGAGTGTTTTAACTCCAGCATTTGGTCCAGCGACATTCTTCGCTGATCAATGTCCGAAGCTACCATTTTTCCTTGTTTCATGTAAGTGAAACTCTATGTTTTCCCGATGCAACCTATCCTGTTTGTGTAACTCTATGTTTTCCTCGATGCCACCTATCCTGTTTGTGTCTCTATTTATTCATACAATTTCACCAAGAATCAACTTGGATTATGGGAGTCTGAAACGAGGAATTTTACAATGCTATATAGCATTGGTGCTATAGGTTTTTACCTTTATGGTACAACTTGAAATTGTACCTTTAATGTTATGGTACAACTTCAGATTGTACCTATACTTTTTGTACAAATTCTTTTATGGGACAACTTAAACTTGTACCTTATGTGATGGTACAACTTCAATTTGTAAAGTTGTACCATAACATAATGATACAAATTCCTTTATGGTACAACCTAAACTTGTACATTTAATGTTATGGTACAACTTCAAGTTGTACATTAAAGCACCAATACTATATAGCATAGTAGAAGGGCTGGTCTGAAACTGGTTATTTATATTATCATCGAACTCTTGCTTTGCAATCTTGCAGCAATTATTGCTCTTGCGTTTGCTACAATTCACACATTCTCGATGGTGATTGCCTTCAATGGCTATTCAGATGGGAATAAGCTGGACCAGCTTTTCGTCCCTGTGGTTCATCTTGTCGCAGGAATGGTGGTAAGAACATGTTGCTGGAGTTACTATTGCAATTTCTAGAAAACAGTTCTTCCTGTGCCTCCTCGTAACTATAGTGCATGTTCGTATACAATCATATCAGAATTACTTTTTCTATAGACAGGCATGAGATTGTTGGACTTGTTTTTAGGATACATGTAGTGTGTAATTATAGGTCCTTAATGTTGGAATCGGAAACTAATGGCAAATGGATAGCCTTTTAGGGTGTTTTCATACTTACCTGAGACTGTCAATCTTCATCATGCTAGTAGTCTTGGATGAACTTACATTCTATTGTTAATCTCTGATAGATTGGCTGACTTTTTCGCATTCCTCTCTGTATCATAGTGCCCAAACTGCAAGTTAATGTTCTCCTTGTGTTGCTTTGATTGCTCCTTAGTGCATTCCTACATTTGCGTCCTTTCTCTCTGTCTATTTCCCTCCTGGATGTTGACTGGTTCAGCTGGCTATGGAGCAGTTCTTCATTTGCCGAAAACCAGTGACATAAAAGACCACTGTGAAACCTAATGCGTGGGGTTATCTATATCAATATGAAAAAGAACTCAACTTTTATCTTCCAACTTCTGCATCCTTGTAACTAATGCTGTTTCTCTTCTGGCAGACGCTGATCAATTTCACGACTGGAGGGTGCAGTATTGGGATCCCGATCCTCTACATAATCACCATCTTGACCCTTCTGCATTGTGGGAAGATGGTGTGGGGAAAACTAACAGAGAACCAAATCCGTCTATAGGTCAAATTCATATTGTAAGATCTAAAGATTCACCATCTCTTGTTTTTTGCTGGTGCAACCATTTGTACTTATGCTTGCTGCTGCTGCTGGCACTAGCTTAGATAGAACAGAGAAGTCTGATATTGGATTGTTAGATAGAACTTCTTTTGCAAACAAAACTATGTTGTACTGGGTGGACCAAACCCAGAACTTGTGGGAAAAGAAAAGGAAGAAGAAATTAGTGCATTTCCAGCTCTATTTGGGTAATTTAGCTGTACTTTACCATTTACATCCAAAAACTGTGGGACCTGTATGCATTTAACCTCCAAATATTTGGTGAATGTATACAGGTTGTACACAGTAATCCACAGTTGTTTTTAATGGGGAAAATCACTAATAAACCAGTCAATGTAAGGAAAGTGAGTGAATGAATTGGGTGAAATGTACATTCACTCATTCTTCTGGGGGTAAGTATCATTAGTGAATGTATTTAAGTCCTTGATTAGTGGTTTAGGAAACTTGATTTCTGCAATCTTTGATATTTGCTAAACTTAGTGAGAATGGAGATAATCAGAGGTGGCAGACTCTCCAATCCAAGATAATAGGTAATCAAAATCGAATATGTTCTTCTTTTCCCCTGCATTCCCTGCCTATGTGTTTATATTATGAGTTGGGTCATGATTCTGATGATGAGATTAGAGGTCTTTTTATATCATAAAATGACTGGTTCCTGGCTGTGAATGCCCGGCACTGCATTTTCATCTTATCCTTTGGTTATTGCCATGGCATGAACATTATTTTTCTTAGCATAGGGGCGAAACTAAAAAAATAACAAATGATGGTTCAAGTGATAAGGTATGAGGTTGATAAGTTGTGTTCTCGAGTTGAGGAGGATTTCTTCCTGGCCATCGATAAGGGTGTAAACCCAAATTGCCTGCTCCCATGAGTTTCCTGGATATTCATGGGATTGAGATAATCTCGGGCATAGATCTTTAAAATATTGAAAATTCAAACTTAGTTTTCAAGTAGCTAGAAGCCAGCATTCTAATGAACAAACTGAAAGTTCAGGCCGTGTTGAAATATTCATTTGCCTGTGAGCTCTTGAACATATGTAATTATTTGACTTTGAGCTGTTCTTCCTAACACAAAAATAATAAAGAAAATGTGTGAAACCATTGGCAATTTCCAGGCAATTATAGTAGGGATTGTTGGCCATTTCCTCATGTCACTATACTGTTTCAACACTCCCTTAGTTATTTCCCCCAGCATTTCTTGGAATTACTGTAGGTCTTGGTGGTGGATTTGGGTTGCTGTTAATTCCTATGTTAATTCATTATTTTTCTCTGTTTTCACATTCGAGTAGTTTGGTAGATGCGTATCTATGGGTTACCTCCTGATTCCTGATCATCTCTTTACACAGCTTTTTTAATAAGTCTCGAAGTAGTCCTGTTGGCTGGCTATACTGTCTGAAAGCTCAGTTTTTGGAGCTAGTTCAACATTGTAAATAAGTAGATCATTAGATAGACTTTGGAATGAGTCATTTTCCCTTGTGTGATATATTATGCTGCTCGTAAACTGAATCATAATCACAGGGTAGTGATTGGAAATATGAGGAAGATCAAGGATGTGTCCTTGTTGAAGTCTGGAATCAAAAGGATTGGCTCATTCTGCAGCAGAACCAGAGGTGACATGCTGAAAGAGGATCAAGAGGAGGCTCAAATATGTTTGTTTAATGATGATGATCATGATGACGACGAGGACGATTCGTGTTTATGGTTGTCTTCATCAGCATCTCCTTCGTCGTTCTTCGACGAGGGATCATCCTGCTGCTCATCGTTCATTCTTGATGAATCCACCATCTCTTCTGACATCAGCAGTTCATCTTCGAGAGAGGTCGTCGTTGATCTTGCTTCTTGGGTCTCGGAGTTGGAAGAGGATGTGACTTTCTTGGCTGATTTGGATTTGGAGTACTGCTGCATCCCATCTAATTTCCCAAGCCCATCTTTCAGTACTTGTTGTTCAAGTAACAGAGAGGCAGAGGTACTGGAGGAAGTTTCAGAATTGGAGCAACTTGATGATGATGATGATGATCAGCCGGCTTTGTTCTGGCCATTCGAGGAAGGGAAGCTGGGTTGGAATCCTGATGAAGCATGGATTAGCTTCGCCATGTCCCCTCGAAAGGACACCGACTCTACCATGTCAAGTAAGCAACCTTCCAGATGTCTAGAATCAGAACAGAAGCGACATGATCATCGTCATCATACTACGGCGAGGATTATTCCGAAATTGAGACAAATCAGCAGCCTGCTATTGCCAAGACGAATGGCCAGTCATTCAGATTCGAAGCCAGTAGCAGCTGCAACAAGAAGGGCAGCAGCAGCTAATAAGGTCATCTTGCCATCAAGGTTTGTGAAGGCTTCAGAATCAAGTTGCTCCAGTGAGAAGGGTTTGATGAAAGTTGTGCCATTGGAGTTCATGATGGCCAAGAACAGAATGGCTCATGGTGCAATTGATCAGGCATGTTTGTTTGAGTCAATAATTGGTAGAGATGAAGTTCCAATTGAGAAGGTAATGGGGCTTGAAGAGTTTGATGGGCATGAAGGCATAGATTCATCACAGCTTGATGATGATCTCATTAATGGAGATGATAATCTTTTCTCGTTAGAGGATTGAAGAACAAGTCTTTTTGGAGGCCAAATGTCATGTGTTTGTGCATATACGTTCTTTTTTTCTTTTGTTGTTGTAGTTTGTCTCTTGTTACTTTGAGAAAACATGTGTGGGTGTTTACATATGTGTTTCTGTGCCTTCCATTCTCATAAAAAAATTTGTTTTGTAGATTAGTGTCCTTGAGTGGAATCTGAAAACTTATATTGTTCGATACGGTCTAATCTAATTTGCTGCTAAACTAAATCGGGAGTTCGATTATTGGTCGACTCCCGCGCTTTTCTTTCTTTCTCCTTGTGACTATCTTTTCAACACTGACTTTGCCAACAAAAAAAAAATCAAGTCTTGTTCACTATCAAGTATCTAACGAAAATTAAAAAATGATGACACACATGATTATGACTATGAGTTCTATCAAAATACATTTTGCAAATAGATTATGGGGTTAGATGATTGCAATATAGTTAACTACCAAAAAAAATTGTTGTATGGTTAAAAAAATACATGAGATTCGAATTTTGAACTTACATTATGTTGTCTATCAAAATCGAGCTAGTCACTAGAGTGAGATCATAGAGAGGAGGATAAATGAGAAGGAATTTTGCTTTTGATTAGTGAAATACATGATTTTAATCTAATTTATAGATGATGATGATGATTAATCATCATTGTGATTCATAAAATTAAAGCTCTTCATGGCTAGATTTCTTGCCCTTGACCTTGTCGGTTGTCACTTGCATTGTGGTCTCGACAACCTTAGCGGCAACTTCCGCCGTTTCTTCGACAGCGTGCTTGCCAACTTCTACGCTTTTCTCCGCTGCCCCAATCACCCTGTCTGTGGTCGCTCCACTCCCAACTTTTGGGTCCTCGCTTCTAAAACTAATCAATCAACACACCAAAAAAAGAATCACCCATGAAACTAACAAGATGATGCACAAAAAGATTGATTATGATATTAGGGTTCGGTTTTGATTCTCAAATTTCAAAAACCCTTTTAGTTTCGAATTCTTTAAAATTAGTAGTAAAAATGAATCGGGATTAAATTGAAACTCTTGTATCAATCTCAATCCATTTGAAATAGGATTGGACCATGTCCCCCCTTTCCAAATTGTCTTACATCATGACCAAAACCAAACTCTTTCAAATAGCTTTCACAATTGTAACCACAAAATTCCTCAATATGCCTAATCTTGTGGATCATAGAATAAATAATAGATGTATTTTTATCTCCTTTCTAAAGTCAAATTCGGTTTTCGCTACAACATTCACAAGTTGAGCAACACGAATGATCATATAACAGAAGGAACTAATATATTCAACAATTAAAACTAGTCGCTAGGGATCTTACTCTAAATTAGGGGGAGAAAACTGAAGTTGTATGTCATGGATCACATTTTTAACTTTGTCCCAGGAGCTTCTATATGATGCCTTCAACACTGAAACGGTGTCGCTTGCCATCTTTGTGAGCGACACTTTTGGTTGTTGTTGTTGTTGTTGTTGTTGTTGTTGGCTACTAACATCTCCATTGCAAGCGATGGTGAGATTAATCATGAGAATAACAATTACGGAATAGGTCATTAGTGGAGAAGAAGAAGAACAAGAAGAAGAAGAATGAGATAATGATGTGGCTCTTCTTCTAGTGTCATTAGATGGTGAGGATGATGATCTTCTTGTGACATTAATACCACAATTTTCATCATCTAAACCCATTCTTTTTACCCAATTATGAATGAGCTAATTAGTATTGGAATTCTTGCAATGGCATTTGTATAGGAGAGGGCAATCAAAAAAATTTAAGCTTTTTGATTGTTGAGTGGGATTTAGGAGAAATATTTGGTGGCCATAGTGATTAGTGAGAGAAGAGAGTTGAAAGAAGTATGTGGGTATGGAAATTTTGTGAAATATTAGGCTTTTAATCTTCATTGAGTCTATATATATATATATATATATATATATATATATATATATATATATATATATATGGTTCTAGTTTTTCCATATTTGAATGTGTCAAAAGTAGTTGAGATTTATTTGTGACTAGCAAACCTCTTCACCATGCCTCTGCCACAACGTTGGGTACGTAAGAAAGATTCTTTTTTTCCCGTAGTGTTAGTTTCAAAAACATTTATCCTATCTGCGTGACTATTTTACTCAACAAAAGTCGTAACCTAAATGGTTGTAAAATGGTCACCGATATTCATAATCGTAAGTGTTTTGATTGGTAAAACCGACCCTTGTTAACTACATTACATATTACTTAAATTGTCCTTGTTTATCTTGAGGATATAAATGTGTTTTTGGGATATGGTACTCGTATTTCTCATCGAATGATCGTTTGCGGCCAATACCCTAAAATTAACTAGTTCATGCACATATAGGTAAGATTGTACGTAAAAAATCAATATGTGACTCTACTCTTTTCGAGAAGAGATGCTAACTAACCAAACCAAATCTTGCACCAACTTAGATTAATGTCCCAAAATATATTCTCAACCACTCATCATTTTGTGATTGGACACGCGTCCTAAACTTTCGAATTCATCATGCCAAATTAGTTAAGACCAAACTATAATGAATGTATTAATTAATTAATTAATTAGAGGGTATGACTAATCTAATCATGAACTCGAAAACGCGCAACCACTGAGACAACAAAGCAAGCAAACGCGAGATCCAGCAAACAACAGCCATGGATACCACTTCACCAAACAAAATTATTTAAATCTTTAATGATCAGTAATGAAAACCTAAGGTGTCATTTTTGCATCCCAATTGAAATAAAATAACAGAAAACGGAGGCTACATTTTTTTTGTTTTGTTTTGTTTTTATAGTCTTCCATTTGATTAGATCTCTACCTTAACACTTCAAAATTGTTTATCAAAAGTCAGCTACTCAGATACAAGATATCGAATAATAAAAATAAATTTCAACCTGTCTTCTCTAACCGTTTCTCTCACCCCCCATCCCCCCATCTTCTCTTCTTCTTGCCCTAAACTCTAATCTTGCTTCCTCTATCCTCCTCGGTTCCTTATCTATCTCTCAACTCCCTCTATCTCTTCTCCAAATCACCCTGCAGTTATATCGATAGTGTGTGTCAAGATCCATACCTCCATCATCTTTCAACGACTCAAATCACATAATGAATTTCAAAAAAAGCTGAGAATGGTGGGTTGCTCATCGTATCGAAACTAAACTCATCTCGTGAATCTTAATTCATTTCAATTAGCTTGACTGCTAGTTTCGTCAATGTGACTCGAACCACACCGATGCGGCAATGCCCACCCCAGGGGCGGAGCCAGAGCAGGCCAAGGTGGGTCGGCTGCACCACCTTGGTTTTGCAACACCTCGGCAAGTAATAGGCTTTTTCAGTTCTGCAGACTTTGTTTTATGTTCATAATTCATACTTTGTTCTTGGTCGAAGCTTGTATAAGTAGCTGCTTTGATCGAATAACATAAAAGGAAGCTTGCTTTTGTGTTTGATCAATACGTCGACGTTTTAAAATTACTTTAATTGACGTGAAAGTGGGCTTACATGTTACATATCACTTTAAGTCTTTACCCTTATTTTTCTTTGAGCTTGCTACAAAAAAACGAGTTTCTCTCAGGTTTGTGGGCTTAAGTTTAACTTTAGTGGCCCATTAGCTTCTCTTTACTACACGTTTTTTACAATAACTCAATTAAGGTTAGCTTAGTAGTTAGGTCACATATGAAGTTGTGGACATGGGCTATTAGTGCATAGGCAACAATTTGTAGTACGTAGGTTAGTAAGTTAATTGGGACTTGGGAGTCTATCTCTTGGATGTTGCTGATTTGGGTAGGTTTACTAGAACGGTTTGGCGGTTGTTAGGTTTAAACATTAGGTTTTTCTAATTATATAAGATGTATGTTCCGCGTTAGTTCAAAATTAATCAATCAAATAATAAACAAAAATTTCGACGGAATTAATAAATCAAATAATAAAAAAAAGGTTTTTCGACGTCTACATCGTCTCTTACTTGTCAGTTACAGGCAAAATCATTGAACTTGTGGGTGCGAGTTCATCAAAAGAAAGATCGTTAAACTCATTTGGCAAGCCGAGGTCGAGATTAAACTTTCATTAATTTGTTTTGTTCAGCAATACCCAACATATGAGTCAATGACGTCACTTGCTGCTCATCGTTCACAGAGACTCGCTCCACTGTTCGATCCACCTTAGTGAAATTCCTACCTACGCCCTGGCCCACCCCATAACTAGTTGTTTGGGACTTGCTTGACCCAGATTATGCTCCAACTCCCAAGTGTAGGCCCAACACGTTAGTTGAAAAGTCAGCCCACCTTTGTTGCTCTTTCTTTTTACACCCGCATGAAAAAGGCTTTTTTTTTTCTCTTCCAATTTGATGCTGCATAAAAAAAATAAAAATAAAATAAAATACGGTATAATCCCAGAAATTCCACACCTCCACCCGACGCGGCTTTTCCCTCCTTTTTTTATTATTATTAATTTTTGGGTTGGCGCTTGCCAGACACACATTATTCTTTTTCCACCCAATCAAAATCCGCCAGCTGGTTTTTACTCGGAGAACTATGTATATATACATTCCCCTTCCCCAATTCCCCTCACCAACGCCATTTCTGATTCTCTCAACCATCTTCACAGACAAAATTCTCTCATCCAATCGACGGCGACAAACCACCGATTAATTCAATTCGATCCCATCGGAAAGCGAATCACCAATCAGAAGAAGAAGAGGAAGAAACAGAGCAGAGCGGAGCGGAGGAATTGAATATGGGGAACTACGTCTCCTGCACGCTGGCGACTCCGTTGATCAAGAGCGGGAAGGCGGCGAGGGTGGTTTTCCCCGGCGGCGAGGTGAAACAGTTCCGGGAACCGATGATCAGAGCGGCGGAGATCATGTTCGAGTGCCCGAATTTCTTCCTCGCCAACTCCCAGTCGCTCCACATCGGCCGCCGGTTCTCGCCGCTGCCGGCCGACGAGGAGCTCGAGCTCGGTAACGTCTACCTCACGTTCCCCATGAGGCGGGCCAGCTCCGTCGTCACCGCCGCCGATATGGCGGTGTTGTTCATGGCGGCGAATTCGGCCGCCAAGCGGATCGCCGGGGGATCGCCGGCGGCTGGAGGAGGAGGAGGAGGCAGGATCCGGCCGGAGGAGGTGGAGCCGGAGCGGGTGAGCGGCGGCGGAGAAGGGGGGAGGAAGAGCTTGGAGGAGATGTCGGAGGAGTTGGAGATTCACGCGGAGTTTAAGCACAGGATGTCGATTTGTCGGTCGATGAAGCCGAGGCTGGAGACGATTAGGGAAGAGCCGGCGACTGCGGTGCTTTCCAGATGAACTTCGGTACGGCGGCGGCGGCGGCGAATTCCGATCTGATGTTATTGTCTTTTTAAAACTATAACAGAGCAAGAGCTTGAGGAAGGTTCAGGGATGGTGGGGGGGAGTGAAAATGATATTTGGTTTGTTTTGGGTAGTGAAGTGGAATTTTTTGAGACTTGGGGGATTAGATGTAGAAAGGAATGGAAGAAATGTAGATAGTGAGGGGGATGGAAATGGGATGTATACATTGGGATATTGAGATTATTGTTTTTGTTGATTGAGAAGATTCAATTAATTCAAATTATTATTTTGATTTGATGATCATAATATTTATGTGTACAATTATAGTGATAAGTTGTTTGAGCTTTATCGTGGGTTATTGTCAATATATTCATTCTTCTAGTAAAGAAAAATGCATGTCTGAACAAATTATGAAATTCAATTTGTATGTTGTATTGGATACTTGGATTACACGACTCCAACTAAAATATACAACATTGATAACGTTGGATCAAATTGTTGTTCGCCATTTGTTATCGTTTGAGTTCTTCGCTTTATTGATATTTCTTAATGAATGGAAAATAATTTATTTTAGACAATTATTTTTGGATAATGTTATTTTAGACATTGTTATGTTTATCAAACTCCGTTATATATGTTATTGTGTGTGATTATGTGATTATCAAGTCGTCTGTGTTTTTAGATAAAAGAAATCATCAGACATATTCATCTCGTGAAATTTCTGTGAACATTTAGAAGAGAAATAACTAAAATTGGCTGAAAAATATAAGGGAGATGTTATCCATGGTCAACTTGAAAATAAAAACAAGATATTAAATCTAACAACTTAATTATGTGTAAAAAAACTAAAACTTCATTTCACATTACGATATCAAATCACCTATATTTTGTATTTGATTTTGATTGTCACTTCTTAATTTGTTTATCACGATTCGGGCTTGATTACTGAACAAGCCACAACTCAAGAGCCCTAAGATCGGAACAGGCCCATAACCCAACTAATTAACACATGGAAACCAGCCCAGCCCATCGCATTTGTCGCGCGTGCGCAGGCGAAAAGGACGTTGAGGGTATAATGGAAATTTCGCGACTTCCTCGTGTGCAGTTTGAGGTCAGAGTCGAGCAGTCGTGGACTCAGCGTGAATCATTCACAAACAGACGAAGACGAAGAAGCTTCTCTCTGTGTTTCCCATCCCTGTAATTACTCTCTAATTATAATTTGATAATAATTAACCAATTTTCCTCTTCTTTCTTTATTGACTTTTTAATGGGAACGATCTTCCTTCTTCCTCACAAATCGGCAGCAAGTCTTCTCCTTCTTCTCCTCTACTTCCTCCCTCTGTGACAAAAGCTGAAAGGTCTCTCTTGTTGTAGACTCCAATCAAGGTCTTTCTGTTTTTTGGGTGAGATTCATACTGGTAAGCGCTCGATTTCCAACTGGGTAGTTGTTTTTCCTTCGAAAGTCTGTGTCTTTACTTCTGGGTTTTTGGAATTTTGATTGCTGAAGTTTGCTTTGATCTGGGATGATAGTTTCGGAATTCGGATCATTTCGGTTTGTTCGAGAGCCCATTTTGCGTTGATGATTGAATACTGATGGCTTTTTTTTGGGATTTGCAGTTCTTTGTGTTGGTTGGTTGGTTTGGGAACGAATAATGCGGGCGCCATCGTTGCTTGCGCAGTGCTGGCCTGGTTTGCTTCCTAATGATCGAGGAAGCCATAGCATTTCATGGGTTTCTGAAAAAGATGCTCATCTCTCTTCGCCAGCAGTTGAGATTGTACCTGCAAAGGTATATATTAATCAGTTTGTGATTCCACATTCCTGAGTTGAATTTCCTGCATTGCTTATGAAACAAGTGAAGAACAAGTTTGCTTGAACTGTGGTTTGATGAAGGACTTGCTACGATCTTCTGCGTTGGTAATTTGAGGCATTGTTCTGTTCCGTTTTGCTCTACAGGCACATCATACAGACAAGTTTGCGGTGGAGAATGATGAACAAGGGGTTAGTGTCTTCAAGGGTAGGATTAGTGTTGCTGATATAATTGGGTTCACTGGCTCTGACACGATCTCGTCGAAGCCAGATGGTAATTTTTATGCTGTACCCTTGAAAATTCTATTATAGTCATGGTCTATACTGGGAGGAATGTGCAAAAGAGTTTATGCACTGATACAGCTTATTCTGGTTTTTGTAGGATCTATGAAATTTTGTGACAGTTCTATCGATCTGGTTAATTTACTCAAGAATGAGATCCGTGATGGGCAACTGAGCTTTAGAGGCAAGAGAGTTCTTGAGGTAATTTGTTGTGTTCTCTGCTTAAGGTGAAAAGATGATCGCTGTATGTAATGTTCAAAAAATGGCGCTATTATATCTATTCAGCGTAAGTGAAAATGTGAAGTCTTTCAAGATGCGATAGCATAGCAGATAATTAGGTTGTTTGCCATGAACTTGCTCATTAGCCCTTAGCATTTTGTGAACTGCAATTAGCTTTCTATTAGAGCTCTGGAAAAGCAATGTATGTTGAAGTAAGGGAAAAGCTTTATTTACAAACTTCTTTTTCTGTTTCGTGTAAATCACTAACAGTTTGTATTGCTTCCTACTTATTCTTGCAGCTCAATTGCAACTATGGGCTTCCTGGAATCTTCGCTTGCCTGAAGGTAAATCACCTCAATGTTTCACATCTTCTTCCTCTTTCACATTCCATAGCTTGATGGCTCCTCATCTATTTGGTGAACATTTTGGTCCACAAATCATGCACTCTTCTTGCTTACTGATTACTGTGATAGTTGAGGCAATTGAGAGTATTTCTTCTTTCACTAAAAAAATTGTATCTTTCCATGTTAAAAATATGGAACAAATCTAGTTCTACGCTTCCTAATCAAAGAAAAACCTTTTAGTTCTTAACTAAATCGCGGCCTTTCTGAACAGGGTGCTGCCACAGTCCATTTCCAAGACTCGAGTGCTGAAACTGTTAGGTGTTCAACCATTCCCAATGTCCTGGCCAACCTCGAGCAAGCTCGTGATAGACAAGCCCGACAACCAGAATCTCCCCTGACACCATCAAGACACGCTCTTTCCCCTACTGTCCACTTCTACGCTGGTGACTGGGAGGAACTCCCAAGTGTGCTATCTGTGTTAAGCAGTGAGACACCTGAAGCAGCAACAACCACAGGGATGATGAACTTGAGCTTCTCTGAGGAAGATTTCAATGACGGCTGCAGCAGCCAAGATGGCAGTGTCGTGGCCCCCGAATCTGCTAGAAGATCAAGGAAGCTCTCGGGGAGCCGAGCATGGGAGAGGGCTAATGAGAGCGATAATGGAGAGGGAGGTTATGATGTGATCTTGATGACCGATATCCCATACTCAGTCATCCCATTGAAGAAGCTGTATGTTTTGATTAAGAAGGTTGGTCTTTTAGCGAACCAACATTATGAATTTGTTTTGAATACATCATTGTGATCTTGTTCTGATCTATCTACATGAACAGTGTCTGAGGCCACCATACGGAGTGATGTACTTGGCAACGAAGAGGAATTACCATGGTGGGTACAGCAATGGGGCTAGGCAGCTGAGAGGTTTGGTGGATGAAGAAGGCTTGTTTGGAGCTCACCTGGTGAAGGAAGCTGCTGATAGAGATATTTGGAAGTTCTTCCTCAAGTGAAGAAATGATCATAATACCAAGTAGAAGCAACAACTATACAAAACTTCATTGTTTGCAGGCTGGCTAACTGGTTATCTCCTAATTTCAGACTTCATATTTTGTTTTGTTCTTCAGCTAAAACAGGGTTATCAATATCATACTGAATGTATATTAGGAATCTCAAAGTATATACTGAAACCTTCCCCCCTTTTTCCCTGCCAAATCCATCTAATTGGTTCAGGAAGAAAGGTTATTATGATTCCCTCCCATTTTTGTAATTCCCTTTGTTAGTTTTTCACTTGTGAAGTTTTTTCATGTTTTTAGATGTAAATTCATTCATTTTAAAATTGAGATTGTTAAATCCAATGGTTGAGCTAATGATACTGAATATGTTGTAGTTATCTTTCCATACTCTTATAGATTATTTTCCAGATAACAGGGGAACAAAAAGTATATGCCTGGGTTATTTAGAGTTGACAATTCATTTCAAGTACATTGTGTCAACTTTCATATTACTACTTGATGCACATGGTGTCGATGGTGTCGATATATTACTAACGACCGTTCGTTTGGTAGTTGCGATACAATGCATTGTTTTTTTGTTTTTTTAGCAGAAACAATACATGAATTGTTTCTGTGATGTGACAGAAACTTTCACTCATTTTGAATGATTGTTATATCTCAACTTTTAGTTGTGATTGTTGAGATAGTTGAGTTGAGATTGTTTTGTCTCAGCTTTTAGCTGATGCGACATACACAATCACACATACCAAACGTTGTATTCTACAATGCATCAAATTCGACAATACATGCATAATATTATACATGCATTCTCAACAATACATCTATTTGACAATCACAACTTCAAAACGACCCTACGTTTTATCACGAGAACTAACTTTGATATCATTATAAAGAGGAAAGCATGTTTATGATAGCATGATTGGTTAAAAATGGTACACATTTCTCTTTTTTTTTTTTTTTTTTGTCAAAGGGTGCACATTTCTCTTAATTTGGTTAAAATTGGCACATACACAGAAAAGGGATCTTCAAATTGATTAGTAACATTGATTAATCTGAACACTACTACTTAATTTGAGCCAAGGATTTGTCCTTTAGTAACTTGATGCTTAGGGCATTTAGCATGGCCCTTGAATATTGTCGAGATGCCATTTTCCAATCCATCCCACTCTTCATCATTGCCTTGAATTCTTCATAACTTATTCTTCCATCCTGTAATTATTTATTAGGATTAATAAGCTTGATAATCACCCAAGCCTTCATCAAAAGAAATCATTGAAAGCACAAGTTGAAAAGAAATCGATAGCCATAACAGAATATCGTATGTTGTTTATTTTTATACTGTACTTAAATACATAAATGAATTTGTTAATATAGAAAGTTGTTGTGATTGTGACGTTAAAATTTGGTTGCATACTTAAAAAGAGGCTCTAATTAACCAAGTATGATGTTAAAATTAGTTTGTTTAATTAGGATGTCACCAAATCTAACGGTCCGTGAACTCTTATCAAATGTAACCCATCTTTAGTAGAAGTGCAAAGGTTATGTAAATGAAAAAAGAAGTTACCTTATCAAGATCAACATCCACCATGATGTCTTTAATCACTTGCTCGATGTTGATGGGGCCTGAATGGTCTTCAATCATGGCGTCTCTCAGCTCATCAATCTCAATGTAACCACTCTTGTTCTTATCGAAGTAGCTGAACGCTCGAGCTAGATTATCGTCATTTGCAATCTTCCTCAGATGGATCGACATTACTATGAACTCGTCCCAGCTCAAGGTACCATTCCCGTCGAAATCCGCCTTGAACACATTAAAAAAAATAGAGTAGCTTTAAAAACGTGATGGTGGAGACCATATGTCTAAGACGCTCGAGTCTACTTCAGCCAACATGAATACACAATAAACCAATGAGACCGGGGAATATGTGCTTACAGCGTCCATTAACATCTTGACTTCGAGATCAGGAAGAGCATGGCCAGTGTTAAGAAGACCGTCTTTGAGTTCCTCGAATGACACATCTCCATTTTTGTCGGCGTCCATTGTTTGGAATAATTGTCTTATGTGGTTTACTTGCTCGTCGGGTAAGTTATCTGCTACCACCTGTTAAAACAAAAAAAAAACAAAAAAAAAAGATATTGTTAATGTACTATGTATAAACCCTTTCGTGGGTTCATCGATAATACGAGCAATAAGGGTATCAGAATTGAGAAAGAGGGACGCTTACTCTAAGAACTCTTTTTTTGAACTTATTCATCAGAGAGAACTGTCTAATCCTTGCTCCTACATTCTCCCCTAGGGACACATTCGGTGCCTCGCTCGCATTTTGCATCCACGGATGCTCTGTAGTAAGAAATCATCACGAGAACTCAACTTCATCATTCATTTAAAGTCTAATTTCTTTTAATCTCAATGTGTTATCTCGTATTATCCTCACGAGAATTCAAACTCGTTCGATTCGTTCATGACTATCCAATTAACCGTTTCTAGGACATACTTGCATGACATCTTTGTTTACACAACCTCAATATTGGGAGTATTGGTGGATTATAATTACCAAGTACTTCTTGGATGGTTAGTCGAGAGTTAGGATTTTGATCAAGCATGCTCTTAACAAGGCTTTTGGCTTCTTTGGAGACCTTAGGCCATGGATCCCTTGAAAAATCCAAATGCCCCCTTACAATTGCTTGTGCAATTCCTTCTTCAGTCTCTGCATTCATAAATTCACATATATGTTAAGGGAAGTTTATGGTTGCAATGTTCGTAACAAAGAAAAAAATGTATAATTCATGTGTGTAATCCATATAGATTATGAGCTCTTTGGATATAAAAAAAAAAATGTAATGTCACCTGCCCAAAATGGAGGAACCCCACAAAGCAAGATGTAAAGAATGACACCAGAGCTCCAAACATCAATCTCTGGGCCATAATTCCTTCTAAGCACCTCAGGAGCCATGTAATATGGGCTTCCAACTATCTCATTGAAACGTTCATCTGCATAATTACCGACACAATTAGTAAATATTTCGTTTAATATACGCATTATATTAGTGTAAGTGTTGGTGCATGTACATACATACCACGTTCAAAGAATATGGAAAGACCAAAATCGATGGCCTTGAGGTCGGAGTTTTCAGATGCATCCGCGAATAAGAAGTTCTCCGGCTTCAAGTCCCTGTGAATCACTCCATGTTCATTGCACACCTGATCATTAATCACACCCACCCGAAATAAATAACCAATGCGCGACCAAAACAGTAAAATATCAATTCGATCATCGAACTCGTCAAGTGTGTGTACACAGAGCTTCGTGCGTCATATTGAAGCAATTGATCAGAATGGTCACTTAGGTTTGAAAAATGTAACACAAAAAAAAAAAAGTCACACAAGTATCACGATATAACAAAATCTTCGCGCGCGCGCGAAAACTTAAAAGTTTACCTTAACGACTTCCAAAATGGTCTTGGTGACCATGACAGCGGCTCTCTCGGTGTAATGCCCTTTGGCCACAATCCGATCAAACAGCTCCCCGCCTTGGCAGAGCTCCATCACCAAATAAATCATCTCCCTGTCCTCGTACGCTTCCTTAAACGCCACGATGTTCCTGTGCTTGGGCAGGTGACGCATGATCTCCACTTCTCGCCGGACGTCCTCGACGTCGATCTCCGTCCGCAGCTTCGCCTTGGAGATGGTCTTGCAGGCGAACCTCTCGCCGGTCTCCTTTTCGACGCACTCGTACGTGATCCCGAACTCGCCGCGGCCGAGCTCCCTGTGCAGAGTGTACTTGTCGTGGATGTTGTCCCCCGTGGGGTCCTTCACCACCGCGGCGGCGCGGAACGTGGCGAGCTTCCGCGGGGTCTTGCTGTAGTCGGAGTACGGCGGCGGCGGGCGGCGGCTGCTGAACCGGAAGGAGAGGACGCGGCCGGCTTTGGCGGCGGAAGAGATGCAGCCTCCCATTCTGAAGATATAGACGAGAAGAGATAACACTCATTAATCACGAAGGTGGTCTAGTGATAATGTGCGAACGGTATCATCCACCATGTCGTACATTTGATTTTTGAGGTTAACAATTCACAAAATATGCATAACACGAACTACCAAAATTAAAAATAGATGTTGAATGATAAGCAGAATGGGGGAAAGTTGCACTTTTTTCCTTCGTACAACCCTGAATGCAATGAATTAGAACAAGACAAACGGGATTTCATCTGATTATATCGAACATCAAATAAGAATTCAGAGCGAGCATCAAATGAGAACTGAAGATATGATTTGGATGATTGAATTATTTTTCTTTCTTTGATTACCTCTTTCTCTTTCTCCTTGTTGTTTTATCTGCGATTTGTTGACGGTGGATTCATGGTCATGGGGAATCCACCCATGGAGCAACAAGAGAAGAAAGGAAGAAAGAAATGGTTGTTTGGATTTCGGAAAATGTAGATCAATCCCAACAAAAGAGAAAGAGAAAGAGAAAGTGAAGCATGTCTATATATGGTGATCTAATATTAATGTCGGCTTGCAAAATTGGAATGTTATGTGAAGTAAATTACAAGCTTTGGTCTCCTTTTTTATTTTCCCCCTATTTTTACCTTCTTATGTGTTTGTTTATTGGAGATTATTGAAACTATACATCTAATATTTCGATTTCACAATGTACTCTGCATGTATTGTACTCAAGAACCAATTCTGCGAGCAACACTACTCTGTGCAAGTCGTGAGCTACAACACGACTCTCTGCGAGCACAATACATGTGCATATACATAGACTGATATACATGTGAGTGAACAACGGCAACACAACCAAACCCACCTCCATCTTGCTAATATTTACATACAAAACCTACATAAAGATGAAGCAACACTCCGCTACTCGTCCCAACCGAGGGCCCGAAGCATAGGTTTCTCTTTGCCTCATCGTCCCGATCTAGGAGAAACAACAGAAAATGCACGCTTGGAATGAAATGAGAACCGTCATCGAATCAATCGTCTGAATTTCTACCCGTCTTAACATTCGCTTTTCCCCTCCCGGCTCTTCCCTTGCTGCCACCGGTATCCTTTGAGCCGGCTGCTCGGCTACTAGAACCATTCGAGTCCACGTCTACCAGCCCGTTCTCCAACGCTCTTACCAAGTTCTCAAAGTAATTTTTCGTCACACTACATTAGGACACAAAAAGGATTCAGAGTCAGATGAAGCTATGCGTACGAGGCACATATTGGATTGCTACTCGATATACCTGGTCAGTCCTGCTAGCTTAGTCCGGAACTCCTCGAACTCCTTCAACGGTCTATCTGCTTCGGGTGTGAGGAACTGCTGCAGTTCTTTCTCTGCACATTGATGAAGCCTTTCCAGGCCAGACTCTGCCTCACCTGTGGACATTCCAATACCAAATTCTATCAGAAAATGACAATAAATCATATACATAGCAATGATCATCTGCGCAAGTACACTGGTTGACCAGGTACACAGTCCATCTGTTTGTCAACAGAACAATGCCATTCAGCTGCCAAAACAATTCCTTAACTAATATACTCACATACCTTGAAGATACTCAAAAAACTGCCTCTTTCCTTGCTCATGATCAGGAAGATAAAACCCGTATGCGTAAGTCCATTTCAAGACTCGCCTGCATTCAACAATCTGCCAACAAAGTAGCAGGCCTCTAAAGTGAGAACCACAGTCATCTATTACCTACAGCCATGGCAATACAGATGACAAATGAATCCTAGGTTTACCTGAAGCCAGGCATCAGTTATGAACTTGAGCTGAGACTCAGGTGTGCAGTGTATGTCGCTAAGCTTCGCAAGCTGGTAAAGACCAAACATTAACAAAGACAGAAATACAAATCAGGAAGACATATTTTGAAGCAAATGCACATATAAAAGCTGAAGCTATCTATCAGTTATCTCCACAAATATGTACATAGAAGAGACTTACATGCACATTCTGCATTTGTTGCAAATCTGCAAGAGCTTTTTGTCTCGACTGCAACAGAAAGACACAGCTAGCAAATTTAAGATCACGGAGCAGACACATACTGACAATGAAGAAGCATTAACAGAAATCTGAAAAGATGCCATAGAGCAGCAAATCGGTATGAGCATGTACTCATAAGACATAAAGGCTAATTAAATATCACAGCAAGCAGAAACTACAGGGAGTAGGGCATGTTTTACTTTTGAGTTTTGACAATGTGTAGCAGAAAATTTTTGGCTTCGCTTCACAAGCTCACAGGATACAGCTTACAACAATCCGTAAATAGAAACTATTGTCCCACCACTTTGAAATCCTCAAACCCATACTATTGTCTCTTGCTTCAAAGTGTATAAGATGGCCCCACTCAGAAATTACACATACTACCAACCGAAATTGTCACAAGGTTCAAATACATACAACTGCTGAGTTTCAGATTGATCAATGTATTATATCATGAAGAGTGCGCAACTAATTGTCCCATCCTAGAAACAAACAAGATGGCTAGCAGTAGCAATGGACCCCTATTGAACAGATTCACAAAGTAGAACACGTATACGTGTATTAAGCAGTACGGTACCAATGATACATACCGTTTGATTGCTTGCCCATCTTTCATAATAATGTGTATATCGCTCCAATGAATTCTTAGCCATTTCTCGCCTCTTCTCAGCCTCATCATACTGACCATGTTTACAAAAGGAGCTACATTAGTAATCTACTTCTCTACAACTAACTTACAGACTACCAGAGAAATAAGCCAGACAGTGCAAATACAAAAAACAGTGAGGTCGAAACTAGAGAAATCAAATTGTGAAAAACTTCTATCTCTTACCGCTCCCTCCTGCTTAGCTGCCTCGTAGCGATTACAAGCATAAAAACCACCAGTCCTCTCTCCATGTTCTGACCAAGACCCCAGGCATAACCTACCTTTCCCACATTAGCAGCAATGAGTACATTACTGCCAAATAGAAGTAACGGAAATTTTTAACCAAGCTCATTCAACTTTACAACTAAAACTCACCAGCAAAACTCAAATTTGCAAGGAGGCGTACATGTCATGTGCATGCACCCTTGATTCTTTTCAATGGGTCGCTTGCACTTGGGACAAGGCTTGGAATTTGCTAATATCCTGCATTTATCATGTATGTATCAGGAAACGAGACCATGGGCTGTGGTAGTGCATATAATCTTAAGGAAAATACATATGTATAGCAAAAAGAATTCCCAGGTAATGGACATAATTGTTTATATAGTTGTCTAAACATACAGGACCCTTCTCAGGATGGACCAACATTGAAAAGGGTGGGTACATTTTACTTCGCACATCAGAGGCAGTGGAAATATGAACCCACATATGAAGACAATCAACTTAAAGTCCTCATTAGAAAGAATGAAAGAGTAAAGCCATCATGAACGTGTACCAATTCATGTTTTCAGATTCCGCACTGTTCTTCAAAATCCACTTCGAAACAGTTCCACAATCCACTGGACGGTGAGCTTCTTCCGTGCACTGCAAGTGTACAGTCCCATAACAAATATTACATCACGAGTCACAGCAAACTACTTGAGAATCTAATGATTCAATAGTAATGAAACACGCAGTCAAAACTTACACTCCAGCAAAAGCTATATGAGCAAAGGCAAGACACATCAAAGTTTCCAGCACCCCCAGCAAAATCAACAGCACATTCGCACCCAGGTGCAGGGCACCATTTGGTCTATACACAAGAGTTAGGCAAAGAATAATCAGTCTCTGAATCATTCTTACAAAGCAAAAAAAAAAAAAATCACGCAACAGACCTTTCTGTTATCTTCAACATATGATCTAAGAAGGTAACGAGCATATTTCTCTTTCTCTTCATCAGAAGCCAACATATTGACCATGTCTAAACCAACCGCAGCACGACAACTGGGATCAGGGCATCTCAGTGCCAAGCATCCAGGGCCATCATTGACACTGGCGTTTATGTAACCTGGTAGAATAGCCAAGGATGACAAAAAGGAGAAACTACTTCAGCAACTAAAAGCGGGAATAAGATGGATGGACAAGGAATAGTTGAAACTTTCAGCTGAAAGCCTCAGAAAGCTGCACATTAAATGTACCTGACCAGCACGAATTGCAGAAAGGATGACCACAAGCCGCCGAAACTATTCTACTTCGAGGAAAGAATTCGAAACAGATGCCACAAGTGAGCTGCAATAAAGAAAAAAAGTGTAAGTATATCAACGAGACAAAGGAAAACACACTGAAAAACAAATTGAGCGTTCAGAAACCAAGTTCAGACATAGTTTGTGTGCTCACTTCTCTAACATCAGAAACATGAACCGCTGGCCGATCCAGCAAACCAACAGTACTTCGGACTCCATCCTCGTCTGCAAACCACTCATCATGCACCTTACTAACACTCCTGCAAAGACAGTAACATAATGGTATCAAAACCAAGAATGACACCGATTTTACTACAATCAAGAAATTTAGAACATACACCACTGTATGTAATGCAACAACTAACCAGACAGACTAACAAAATAAAAACTAACTGTAGTACCAGTTGTAGTGACGAAGAAGTATGGTTGCATCAACTTTTGGTATGGAAAGGACGGTAGACACTCTAGTGATAGCATCATCCTGCCGTTGGTTTATGTCATCCTCCTTCAAGATCGAGTAACTTTGCTGCAAACAGGAAAGAAGAATAAAAAGGCTTAGATTCCTTTAGCCACTCCGATTCTGGCATTCATGAAGTGAGTCGAATTTAAGTTCCCCCAATCTAAACACCACTACCCCAGACAAATCTCAAGCTACAGGGGAAATCTTCAGTCATTCCATTCCTCAGCTAGCACTGTTCAAAGACCTAACTCATCCAACTACCAAACAACCACCCGTACCCAAGTTCAGAAAATACTTCAATTTGCAATCATAAGTTCAGAAAATTCCCAATTCCATCCACATTTCACGACACATTCCCAAAACTAGCATCAAGAAGGGGGGGGGGGGGGGGGGGGGGGGGGGGGGGGGGGGGAATGGGATTCCCACCTGTTGGCGCCAGTATAGCGAATCCTCGACGAGATCATCAGCAGCCTCAGCCATGAAATCATACCCGGGACCATCCTCATCATCACCGCCGCCATCTTCACCGCCGCCATCGCCATCAGCTTCGCTGTAGTAGTAATCATCCTCCAACTCCCCGCTGTAGATGTCGTCATCCACCGACTCCACGTCGTTGGCGTCCACCATGTTGTCTTCATCCGACTCCATCTCCCGAGAACCAAAAACCCTAAAGAAACCCCTTCCGGGGGACGATGAAACGCTGGAAAAGGGAAGGGAATTCGAGAAGCAGCGAGGAATCTGGAAATGGACGATGGAAAAGGTTGAGGGGGCTGAGGGATGGGAAATGGAAGGAATGCGGGGGAAGAAGGAACTGGAAAAAGGCTTCGGCTTTTTGGTAGGTGCGTAAAGTCGTCTCTCCTTCGTCGGTTCTGCAATGAAGACGAAGAAGAAAAGTGGAAAAGAGAGTGTTGTGTTTCTTCGCCCTTTCTTTATTTTTCCCTCGTTTCTTTCTCTCTCTAGACTCTTTCCTCTCTCCCTCCAATAAATAGCGGCAAATGGCGGTGCTGCTGAAACGGCGTCGCGGTGCCTGTCAGAATTTAAGTTCAATGGGCTGGTTACAGCTTTTTGGGAAATGGCAAACGGCCCAAACTGGAAATGGGTCAACAGGGATAAGCCCAGACGGATTGACAAGCCAGAATATCCCGTAAAAGCCCGATGAGAATTGTTGGGTAAGGGCGTGAAGTGACACAGCCCACCAAACCCGCTGCTGCTAAACGGAATGGTCCAATAGAGTATGCAACAGCGATTATTGAGATCGCAACCCACCGGATTGAATTGGTATTTGAACTGAATCAAATCGAACTGAATGTAATAATGACTGACTCAGTATTTGATCCTAACTTTTTTTTGTTTACTACTGGACAATGATTTTTATAATTTGGGCTCCGTAAAGAATCGGATCGGATCATTGCACACCGCTAGATGCGAATGTTCTTGCATTGTAGGCAATTTCTTAAAAGTAATTATAGAAACATATCTCGGTTCTCATATTAGTCCTGCAAAAATGGTGTCTGTTATGATGGATTATTTATATTGAGTTGCACGTCAATATATGTCAACTTACGTGACGGTAGATGATAAAAGGACATCGAGAAATTATCTTTTTTACGTACATGAATCGGTAAAGATCAGAAGTTTCACAAATATATTCAAAATAATATATGAATAGATTATGCCATGTCAATACGAATTCAACCCGAATTGCAACATGATGTGAGTAAAAAGAATATAAAAAAATACAGTATACCATCTGCGACGCATCGATTGAAATCGCTTACCGTAAAACCACCTCATTTATCTTATCTTTCAATACGAATTCAACCCGAATTGCAACATGATGTGAGTAAAAAGAATATAAAAAAATATAGTATACCATCTGCGACGCATCGATTGAAATCGCTTACTGTAAAGCCACCTCATTTATCTTATCTTTCCTATTTACATCTATCCACATCTCAAACTAATCCATCTATCTATATGATCCTAATCACAATCAAGATAAGTACTATTTATCGTTTCAATTTGAAATTGTGTTCCTCACGCCATTTGTTGAATTCAATTTCCATCGTTGATTAGACCACATGAAAGAAAAAGGACTTGTTGATTGTTCTTGGTCCCAAACTTTTCCTTCATTCGACCTGGATAAAATGTACGATTGCTCATTGTACCCGCCACGTGTCAAGACACAAAAGTGTCCAATTGAGATCGATCGCGAGCCACACATTACACCCTCCCGCCAAAAAAAAAAGAGTACCCGCCAGCCATCCTCTACCTCCACGCGCTTACACTGCTCGTGGGGTCACACCCATCACTGACTCAAGTATTCATGCAAATAATACATTGCTCCTCAACTCTTTTAACGGCTCCCCAAAGAGCGTGCAAACCACCCGCCAACCTCGTGAGTAAGAGACTACCCGACTCCTCCTTACCCGCCAAACCCCACTGGTAGATAAACCCGCCACGTCGCTTCTACATAATAATACAGATATAAGACAACCCAAACGAACAACTCTAATCTCACCCGCCCGTCACTCACCCGCGCCACCTCATTGGTCCGTCTCGCCGTATTTGCCGCAGTTAAATTACGTACCAAGCTCCGCCTTTTCTCCGCATCAGTTATTTTTTTCCCTCGTTGCTTACCTACCATTTCGTTTTTGTTTTTTTCTCTCGCCTCGAACTTTCCCGAGAAAATTCAAAAACGAACGATTTTCAATTCCTCCTCCTTCGGCAACTCCACATTTTCTTTCCTTCCTTCCTTATCTAGATTCTCTGAATCCAAAAGGAGCGTCAGAGTCTCCCGCATTTCAATTCTCATTCGCATCTCTCCGATTTTGTCATTTACCCCAATTTCGTGGCGAAATCTGTAGAGTAAACGGATTGTAATCCCTCTTCTTTCTTTTGCTTCGTGGAGACTCCATTGGTGAGGTAAGCAGCATCGACTGTGTCAAATTGAGGCGTTCACTCTTCGATTGTTGTGGTTGATCAAGCGACGGAAGAAGTGGGGGGGGGAAAAAAAGAGGGAGATAAAACGAGCTTGCTATAAGTCGTGGAGGTTATTCTCCGAGTTGAGAGGGAATCGGGGGAGAAGGGAAAATGACGATCGGGTTCGAGTCGATGCCGGGGAGCTCCGGGTACCTGGATTTGTTCCCGGAGAGGAGAATGTCTTATTTCAGTAACCCGTACGTGTTGGGATTGACTGTGATTGCCGGAATCGGCGGTCTGCTCTTCGGCTACGATACTGGTAATTAACCTCGCCGTTGTTCTTCCGATTCCGTTCTTTGTTGTTGAATGTTCTGGTTCTGGATGTTTCTTCATCATTATCTAGCATCTGTAGTTCCTTTGTTTTTTTGGTTTTTTTAATCCATGCGGTTTGATTGGAGCATGAGTTCGTTTGAGCTGAGACCAGTCATGAAAGTAACTTTTTAGAAAGTGGGGTTCAAGAAAATGAAAATGATTCCCCTTAAGATTTGTTAAACAGCTTATTTGAAGCGAGATCAAAGTCTCTTCCTTTCCCCATTTGATTTGTGTATTTTGGCTCTATGAACTGTGAACTGACAGCAACTGTTAGCCCTTTATTAGTATATATATAAAATGAAACCAACACTCCAACAGTGTTGGGAATCTAGTTCAATTCATAGTGAATACTGTGGAGATGAGTAATGAGGTTAACTGACTTCTTTTAGTTATTGAAATAGTTCTTTTGGTTATCATATAAACCTTCAACCTTGATTATGACAAATACTGGTTCTTTTGGGTTCGTTTGGTTGCTGCAGGTGTTATTTCAGGGGCTCTTCTATATATTAAAGATGATTTCGAGGTGGTCAATCAAAGCAGCTTCCTTCAGGTGCAAACTTATGCGTTTTTTTTGTGTGTGGCTTTCTAGTTTGTTTGCTTCAAGAGAGGCTATGGTCACGGTGCCAAATGGTCGGCCAGGCATATGGTATCATCAGTTGGAGATTATCAGCAGTCAAGTTTTCTGTGATGAGAATTCTCTTGCTTTACCATTTGAATTGGGGTCTTACTGGAAATTTTCGATCATGGCAGGAAACAATAGTTAGCATGGCGCTGGTTGGTGCTATGATAGGAGCTGCATCAGGGGGTTGGATCAATGATGCATACGGCCGCAAGAAGGCTACTCTTCTTGCTGATGTAGTATTTGCTAGTGGATCGCTTGTTATGGCGGCTGCACCCAATCCGTATGTCCTGATTTTGGGCCGGCTTTTAGTCGGCCTAGGTGTTGGTGTAGCATCTGTGACTGCTCCTGTGTACATTGCAGAAGCAGCTCCATCGGAAGTGAGGGGAGGGTTGGTGAGCACTAATGTGCTAATGATAACTGGTGGACAGTTTCTGTCGTATGTTGTGAACCTGGCTTTTACAGAGGTAAGCCACTCCTATCTTTCATTAATCTTTCATACAGCACTTCAGTTGTGGCTTGTTATCATCCTGTTTAAAGGGCATCGTTGAGCATGAAAGCTAGTTAGCTGTAGTCTGTAGTCTGTAAGTGCAGATTGAGCTTATCGAAGACTTCAACTTTCATTTCTCTTGAAATTGGGATGTTGATGCTTGGTGTTTAATGCTTCCATTCATGTCATGAATTGGAATGGAATGGTTTTGACTAGATTAGACTGGAGCTGAGTGTTGCTATGTAGTTGCTTTCTCCCAGCTTCTTTCCTGATCACTTTTCTTCTATGATCCTTCCAATGGCCTGTGAAGCCTCTACCTTTAGTTACTATGTATTGATCCAACAACCTTGTAGGAGAGCTAGCTGATATTTGGTTGATAATATTGTCCGTGTATTGTTGCAGCAAGGAAATTTCTACATGCTTTGTGAACATCTTTAAGTTTACTGAATGAAACATCTTTATTCAAGACATTATATATTCCAATGTGAAAGGTTTCTGATTGGTGCAGCTCAGATAGAGACGGCTGGCTAGAATTTGGGCATTGAAGGAGTCTTTCATTTTCTTTCCCTCTTAAGTTAGATCATCCATGGTGCCCTGGTTGTTAATGGCATGTGACAGTTTTCCCTTTTTCCTTGATTCATTATTTCAGTACATCAGCTCCCTTCTCAGTCTCTTCGGGTTCAGCTTCAAGTGCATATAAACCTGTATTGCTGCATTCCTTAGTCTAAAGTTCACCTCATTCAACTGTTTACTTGTGTTGGATTAATAAGTTAGTAATACGTGATATCCCATCCCTCTAAAACTCTCTGCTATTGACTATGCATTCAGAAGTAAGTGTACGTGCACACTGAGTTGGTTTTGTGGCTGGCTTCGTGTCAATTTTGTGCATGTTATTTTCTCTGTTGTGCCAGAGTCCATTGGGAAATGATCGAACTCCTCGGCTCAAATGGTCAGATCTGTAAAATGTAAACCACAACTCTTGGTTCTCTAACCAACTTCATATATATTTCTGTGCGCAGGTTCCAGGAACTTGGAGGTGGATGCTTGGGGTCGCTGCTGTGCCAGCTATCATCCAGTTTTGCCTCATGCTCTTTATGCCCGAGTCTCCTAGATGGCTTTTCATGCAGGTCTTAGACTTTCATTAATGCTATTTTGTTCATTGTTCGTGCTCTCTTATCTTATCGCCCCTTGTCCATCTAGCTCACTCTTCTCACTTCTCAACATTGCAGAATGAAGACACCAAAGCCATTGCTATACTCGCCAGGATATATGACATTGATCGATTGGAGGACGAGATTGAACACCTCTCTGCTTCTTCCTTGGAAGACCGAAAAGAAGAAAATGCAGTCACTTACTTCGACGTCTTCAAAACTAAAGAAATCAGGCTCGCATTCCTCGCTGGCGCTGGACTTCAGGTAAGAGCATACACTACCGCCATCATTGCTTGCATAATTTGTACTTTAGCCTAATCAAAATCTCATAACGACAATGTTGTTGCAGGCCTTTCAACAGTTCACTGGGATAAACACCGTAATGTACTACAGCCCAACAATCGTCCAAATGGCTGGCTTCTCATCCAACCAGCTCGCCCTCCTCCTCTCTTTAGTCGTGGCAGCCATGAACGCTGCAGGAACCATCCTCGGTATCTACCTCATCGACCACTTCGGCCGCAAGAAGCTGGCACTCTCGAGCCTCTCGGGAGTCATTGTATCCCTCATCATCCTCTCCGGTGCATTCTACGGCCAATCCGCCTCCCCATCCAACTCCCTCTTCGGATGGCTCGCCGTGATCGGCCTAGCCCTCTACATTGCCTTCTTCTCCCCCGGGATGGGACCCGTCCCATGGACTGTCAACTCGGAGATCTACCCTTCTCAGTACAGAGGCCTCTGCGGCGGAATGTCGGCCACCATCAACTGGATATCCAACCTGATAGTTGCTCAGAGCTTTCTCTCCATTGCCGAGGTCGCCGGCGCCGCCACGACGTTCTTGATCCTGGCAGGGATAGCGGTGGCAGCGGTGGTGTTTGTGGCGGCGTATGTGCCGGAGACTAAAGGGTTGACGTTCGCCGAGGTGGAGCGGATATGGAAGGAAAGAGCTTGGGGGAGTGGGTACAACTCCGAGAGCCTTCTCGAACGTGGAGACGAAGATGAATCGTCGCCGCCGTCGTGAGAAGATTTGTTATTTAAAACTGTGTTATTGTGTGCATAATGTGAGAATTTGCAGGTAGAATTGTTGTATTTGTAAGAGTGATAATACTTGCGATTGCGTTAAGAAAGAGATGGTCTTGGTTTTAAACGGTTGGGATGTTGGAACGGCGATCTCACCGTCGATCGGCGACGGAGACTGCGGGCGGCGGCAGTGGAATGGCTCCCTGAATCCTGATCAATGGCCCTTCTTCCGCTTAGCAATAGGAAATTTGGCGGTGAGTGACGCGGGAAACGCTATGGGTTTCGGAGTTGGCGGGCCCGTGAATTACAAAATGGGCCTTTTGTTGAGCCATATTTCTATTTCGCTCCAATTCATAACTGCCCGGTATGGTTTTGCCCTCGTTTGGCCCAACTTTTATGTCCGATATCCTTCTTGATAAATTATTAATTATCAATTACATGCGTCATTCATTGGGGAAAAAAATCTATTTTTGAAGCGGTATAATATATTTTGTATTAAAATTATGATTTAATTATGATTCTAGCCGTTTTCTTTTGCTAAAATCACCTATCAATTTCGGGTAATCAATATTTTGGGTTTTACTAACTAATATGATAGGGTTTCCTGAACATTAAAAAATTTAATTTTACTTCATTTTACAGTTTTGTCACAATAACTTGAATCTCCTTATTGACAACCATTAGAAGTCACAAAAATCACTAACTTAACAATTATTTCACCAAATCAAATCTACTTTAACAACGACTCAAACAATAACTTAACAATCATTTCACCAAGTCCTAATCGAACTTCTAGCTACAAATTAAACTGTACAATATAACGAATTAATACAAATTTCCCGTTGTACGTATTTGATTTCCAACATTCTTTCGTCATTAGGATGAACTGATTATCATTCTCGTGCGCATACAAATATTCTCTAGCTAGTTTCTCATCAACTCCATGGATGGAGTTTCGGATTAGCTTTGCTTCTTTGTTCGTTCGCATCACATCCATGCGTATTTGTTTACGTTAAAGTTCTGTTTGTTTTCCTTCTTTGTCATTTTTTCCATTTGGTTCGACGCAATTGCTTACTTCACTATCAGTTTATAGTGACGGCGATTATCGGTGGTCAGGAATTGATCACCACCGCTTCCCGTTTCTCCTCATTTCCTTATCCGGCGCCGCACACTAGCTCTCACGTCTCTTTTGTATTGCCGGCGGCGGTGATGCGCTTATCACGTTTGTATGCTATTTTTAGGCCTTGAAATTTTTTTTAGTAGAATTTTTAGGCCCTGGTTTTGATGCTGTTTTCTCGTGTTTTTTGGTTTTGCTCCATTTCTTTTGTGCTTTGTTCTCATTCTCTTCGTCCCATCTCTTCATCGGAAGATGTTGTTCGAGGACTAGTTTTCGGTAACCATCAATTGGTTCAAATAACTTGTACATATTGGCCATCTAAAAATTGGTACAAAACTCATTAAATTTATACGTTTCTAGAAGCTAGCTCGTTATGGCGCACGGAGTAAAGTTAATCTCTCTTTCAATATCTAATTTGAGAGTAATTGATTTACGATATGGTATCCGAACTTGTTTGTACTTGAAGTGAGGTGTTCAAGTCCTCGCAACCTATAATATTAACCATCATCTTAAAGCACATGGTGTGATCAGCATGTGCAAACTTCAAACCATGAGTTGAATGAAGAGAGTAATTTTCTTACTGGCTAGGACGATATGTAGTACTTTTAAAGACCGACGTTTAGCAATCCTATAAAAAATGGTTAAGATCCATATATGAACATTTCTTGAAAGTTATTGAACCAGTTGATTTACGACAAATATTTCAAAGGATAGAATTTATGGGTTGAGTGTTAATGGGAATGTGGTTGGAATGACTCAAACATTTGTCCTTATTCTATTCATTTTGCGGATAACACTGTGCAGTTGCCTCCTCGAGAGGGCATTGCAGTTGCAGACAATAATAATACTCTTCCCTGCAAAGGGTCCAGCCAAAGGGCAAATGTCTTCTTCCCAAACCCTCCCAAGCTAGCTAGTGTTCTTATATGTCATCAATTTCACTAGAATTTAATGTATGGTTTGATCCAAATATTAAAGAAGAGTTGTGGCCTTTAGCCTTCTTGGCACTTTGGTGTTTAAGTTCAACAAAGATGGTTTGGAGATAAATAATAGAGTAGGTAGCCAAACCAAGGGGCTTTGCTTAGGCCAATGGAGGGCCCATAGCTAGCTTGGAAATTGGAAGGCTTGAATCCATATGCGTCGAACATTTTTCGAGTGATTTGGTTTCAATATATGAGAATGTGTACATCAGTCGACTCTATTTAGAGACATACACGATTATATTAGGATTGTTGAATACATCGTGGGTTTGGTAATGTATATGGGCTTTTTTTTTGCCCTTAATGACCTTCCTTTACAAAACCTAACAATTCCTTTTGAAGTAAATGAAGGAACAAGTCACATCTCTATTGAGAGGTTCTGAACTTAATGAACTTCTTAATAAGAAAGAGGGAAATTTTCATTTATGTATGCTATAAGATATAATGACCAACTAGTGATAGAGTATCTATTTGTTTTCTAAATAAAACTACTGTGGATCTTCTCTCTGTATCTTTTCAAAATATTCCGTTATCATTGATCATGTTTCGAGTCATTGTTTATCTTCCTTGTGCATGGATGAAATTTATCTATATAGTCAAACAAACATTGTCAATTAATGGTCATTGGGGATCGGACATGGTGATAACCTAGCTAGTTTTCACAACCTCATTCGCCTGATGTGTAAGTAAACCTCAGCAACTACACATTGATTACGTTATTAAATTCACGAGAATGAACTCTTCGAGAGCGCCAATGCATGTAGCATAACTGGCATCCACCAGGGTGTCGTTTAGCAGATATCGTCAGACGTTCTTCTTAAGCGCGCTACAGGTGTTATCCTTTCTTTTCAATTCCTTTTCTGGCTTATAACCGAAACCACTTCACGTCTATTTATGCTCATATCTTCGCTTCCTCTCCATATCTCGTCCTTCTCTTTGTACCCCTTTTTTCCTACAAATATCTCTTAGTTCAATTCGTTGATGTTCTCCGTCTGTGTTTCTGCATACTGCCTGAAGGTAAACAATACAATCATTTATGTTGATTCTCAGAAACTCTATCTATTAAAGTCGAGATTGTTGTTGATGGTTCAACTCTCTCTCTGTGTACAATCCTTTTCGGTTCTTCCTTGAAACTCACACGAATCCTCATCAACCTCGAGCTTGATTTCAATTGATCTTGAACCTAGCTAGTACTAGATCCCAATTCAAGTTAATTAGGGCAGAACTCCAAAGTTGGATCATGGTCAAAATTTGTTTATCACAACTTTTCTTGTTTAATTAAAATCACTTATATTTTTTTTTTTATTTGGCTATATTTTCTTCTATTATCTATGCTTTTAGCTCTCAACTTATAAGCATTTTAAATTAAATTCCTCTATCATCATGATCCACCATCTCACCCCATCACTATCAACTTCAATTCCTTCCTTCATTCCCCCTTTTATTACATTCCTAATTTGCCAACTTGCATGGCTTCCCATTGTTTCCTCTTACTAACGTGGTCATGCCTCATCCGCTCGATTATTGTCTCCCCTAATCATGCTCGTGGCACTCTCGAACTCTCTCAAGGTTTCATGGTTTACTTGTATAGCAGCAGGTAGCAACATCCCATACATTGTGCAATCAGAAGTCGATCAGTCGTCAGCATCAGTCGTACAGGCCAATAATGTTAGATCGACATTAGATGTGTTAATATGTTTGAATACCTAAACTAGCTAACTGTTTAGATACATGCGTGCCAATGATAGGCAAGAAGGTCAGTCGTTTAGAGTTGCCCTCGAACCCACACACAGCGGCGGATCCAGAACACAGTAGTGCACTGGGCCGGATTTCATTAGAAATTAGATACCGTAAAAAGGATAGTGATTTTATATTTTTTTACAATGTCAATTGTTCACGATGGTGTTTTAATTTAGCGAATGCATCAATAATGGAGTCTACATCCATGCCAATAGTATGCTTTGTTTCAAATAAAATACTTGAGCAACCGGCGAGTAATTCATCGTTCATTTTGTTGCTCTAATCAGTTTTCACATGTTTCATTGTTGATAAGGTTCTCGCCGTAGTAGCTGTTGAAACGGACATCGTCAATACTAAAATCAATCGACTAATCAATTTCCATTGTGTGTCCATCCCTATATCCAACAACTGCTCTAGTAAATTTTCAATGGAATAAATCTCATATTTACACTTTAGACTTTTAGAAATTCAGGTTCCGTTGTTTTTGTTTAGACGAAATCTTTAGTGCTAGAATTTATAAGCTAAATTTAGAGTAGTTATTTGAATATGTTCATATGAATTATTTTTCTAGTTACACACAATCTTATTATAAAATAACACTGAACCGAATGTCTAAAATCGAAAAATTCATAAGGACTATACTAACTTTGGATCCAGAGGAGGGCTGGGCCGGGGCCTGGGTTGGCCACCCCCTGGATCCGCCAATGCCCACACACGTGTTGATAGGTGTAGCGTTAAACATCATCGATGAAACAAACACTTGCATGAAATGAATTTCTTGATTCCTTTCTCATCGGTTTGGTATGTTTGCTTGGTTAAACAAGGACAAGGTATTAATGTGGATTGCTTGCAAAACCATTCCAAGTTATTCCTTGATGTTGATGGATAGAGGGAGAAGTGGAAAGATGGGGAAAAATTAAACATATCGATTCACGAGACTCGAACCTAACTCTTAGAGATTCCAACATTGGATAGATAAGAGAGAAATTGATACATTTTGTTTTCATGGGCTTTGATCCCTTCTTATCAATTGAATTCAACTGGGTTAACTAGTTGCCTCTTGCCTAGCGGAAAGGGTAGCAAACATGACTTGAGCATGCAACCCAGTCATTAAACTCATCGCAAGATGTCTTAATACTAGAATACCATGTTGTGGGAGAATCATAGTACCGTTATGGTACATATATTAGTGTCGATTGTACGATGAAAAGTGAATTCGTTGAATTTGAGATGGATTCTTTAAAATGAGTCGAGTATTAGAGAATTCACGAACTCTGTAACTGTTCGTCACCCGATTGATGCATGCATATACCAAATCGCAAAGCCATCCATACTGCATATCATAATTTATGATTATATTTCTCCGTCCCAACCCTATAAACACATACTTAATATCAAAATGCACAACGCAACATTTAAACCAAATATCTTATTATTATATACCCTAACCGATCACACATTCTATTTTGAGTCACAACCATTGGATCAAAGTGCCCCTAACCCAAAGTATAAATGCCTAACTTCCCCTGTTTTTTCAGCCATATGCTCATTCCTTCCTTCTTTCCACGCAAACTTTCTATCTCTATCATTCTCTCGCTCTCTACCTCTCCCTTGCAAAACTACACAAAACACCCTCTACTTCTTCTTCATTCCAAATTAGTACCCAAAGTTTCCTATCTAAACAACAAATTAAGATGAACTACTGGCCGACGACGGCACTTTACCTCACGGCAGCAGAAGCAGCAATATCCCAGCTATCCCCACCGCCCCCGCCGGCCGCCGTCGCCGACAGACGGAAAAGCCCCTCGGATGCGCACGACTTCCCGCAGGAGCTGGTGACGCCGTCGGAAGTCACCATCCTGATCGTAATCCTCTCCATCATCATCTCCGTCATCGCCCTCAACTGCGCCATCCGCTGCTTCCTGAAAGACTTCAGCCGCGACAGCGGCCGGAGGCGGTGGGAAAGGAAGAAGGCCGCAGAGCTGAGCGCCGCGGTAGCGGCGGTGACCTCCACCGTGAAGTATAAGGGCGGCGGGGACGAGGAGGAGGTGACGTCGGCGTCGGCGGCGGAATGTGCGATTTGCTTGGCGGAATTCGAGGAAGGGGAGGAGATCAAGGTTGTGGGGAACTGCCGGCACCGGTTCCACGGCCGGTGCATCGAGCGGTGGTTCGCTACTTCGAGGAATTCGTTGTGCCCGACCTGCCGCCAGTCGTGCCTGCCCCCGGCGACGCAAGCGTTGCCTGTAGTGACTTCCTCACCCATCGTCGTCAACGACGCGACGATGAGTGAGGAAATGGGGGACCGCGACCGCGGTCCATAAATTTGTTACGGGACCACATAAGTCTAGTTTAGTGTTTTTTTTTTTTACACACAACTTAATCGCGATAAGCCATCATCAACGAATTTCGTTAGAGAACGAAGAGACACGAAGTGAAGATTACAATCTGCTTTCGATATGTCACCTTATCATCATCTCACCTGTTGTTTTCTATATAGTTGAAGACCTTTAAGGTTTGAACTGACGGGCAATAAATAGGTATAATTTCATGCTTAGTCTATCCTTGGAGTTAGGTTATAGTTTGGTTATTTTCCGCATCCTCTTTTCCATCTTATGTACATGTATTTTGTAGTCTATTACTCTGTAAAAGTGAGAGAGATGAATAAAAGTGTATTCGTTCTGTCATCAGAAATGTTAGTAGGCGGGAAATGACGCACTGCAATTGCAGAATTGCTCAGTTACTTTCCAATTTGCCGTGGGGTCTTCATAACCACCAGAATCGAGTAGACGTTCAGTTCGATTCGGATGGATCGAGTCGATTTACTTAATTGATTTCAAGAACTACAATGGAATATGATAATAGAGACTGAATCGAGCTACATGTCGATTCGACCTGGTTCCACACCCAAGTTCTAGCCATGGAAGTTACATACAAACTGCAAATCTGGAATTAGTTCATGACGATTTCCAAAACCAAGTAAAAAAAGTCACGACGTGCTCCATTGATTGCCAATGCATCTCGGATTAATCCTCATACTCGCAAAGCATACATTGAACAACTAGCTAATGTTCGATGATATCGGTTCTTTTCCTAACATGGCTCGAGGCAATTATTAAATCTGCTACATGGCTCAAGGCTATCTAAAATCGCTGGTCATGTGTTATAACTATAAGCTTATCTCATTTGAGCCTCCTGCTTGGTGGGGGACTCTGTTTCCTGGGTATGGGTGTTTGAAGCACCGATTTGATCTGCTATTGCAGGTTTCTGTGCTTGGGCCTCCTCGATCATGGCTTTCGTTTCCAGAACCTTCATCATCTCTGTCATTGTCTGCTCCTCCCCCTCGAGTTGCTGTTTCATTAGTATCTCGGCTTGCGTGTTGATTGGCTTGAAGTAGTCGTCGATGGCAGCCTCCTGCATAAACAAGCACACATTTAGCAACTGATCATTTCTTTTCGCCGTCATATCAGCTAAGGAGCTTGTAAACAAATTCGTTACTCAAGGAGGGATCCAGTACGTGATCTACAATGGGCAGGAACGGACAAACCAATGCAAGCTAATCGAGCAGTCAATATAAATATGGGAATGACAATTCAAGACAAGATATTCCCACAGTTTTTTGCTCAATATGTACACTCAAAGAATCTAAGGATGGATCACTATACTCACAGTTTCTTCGAGCTTCTTATTCAACGCTTGCATATCCTCAACCATAGCGCGAACTTCTGTAAGTATAGTCTGCTCAGGAATCTTTCTCAAGGCCAACTTTTTCTCTTGTGCCTGCACAAAGGAAAGTCCTTTCAGCTTGAAGGAAACTGGAACTGAAGCACACACACAGACAACACACAATGGAGTGACACGGGCATATAGGAAGACAAAGATAGAGAATAACAAACTGAATAATGTGTTGAAGGAGAAGGGATTGGAACTATGGAAAAAGATTGAACGTGAAAACAACCAGGGTGCGTTAAAGTCTGTTCAACACCCTCATAACAATGCCACAGCATGAAATGGGAAACAAGAAGTTATATTTGCTTCACACCTTTCTACATTGTCTTGTTCCATACAATCATTAAGCAGCCTTAAGTAGGTAGCAAAAGAATGGGTAAAACATCCACTAAGTTAATCAAGTCTCCCCATCGTCACTAAGCACCCTGTCTAATACTCAAAGATCGATGGCACCCTGAGCTTCACATGAACATTTCAATGCATATGCTTAGTTTACTGCTTAACAGTTGACATTACCAAAAGGCTTCGAATCCATTGCACTGAACCAAAGAATATAAACCAATCTCTATTGACAGTAAATGAATCAGATAAAGAGACTTCACCATTTCCATCTATGTAAAGGTAATTTCTTTACCAGTTTTCAGCCAAAACTAGACACACTAGTGTATCATTTCATCCGCCAGAACAGCATTCTCTACTCAAAGACCACCAAAATCACAGCAAGGAAAACAAAGCACCCGATTGACACAGCAAACAATACCAATATCATTCCTTTTTTGGCATTTGAATCAGGAAAACCAACTTCACTAGAGTTAGAACTCACAAACTCATCAACATACAACGATATAGGACATCCAGAACTCGAGTGGGCAAGCAGACAAAATGGCTACAGAAGTAAACCACTGACAAACTTAACTAATGGGAGTGACATACCTGTTGGAGACGCTTCTCCAGCATCAATCTATAATTCCGGATTCTACGTTCTTCATATCCTGAAAGCACCTTCGCATAGAAAAACGCTTTCCTCCCAAACTCCAATAACTTCTTCATCGCTGTTAAAATCTTCAAATCTACCCAACAAATCGTATCTGCAAACAGAGAACACTTGGACAATAAGGAATTCCGCAGCTCAAACTCCCGACCCTTTTGCCCGCTCGAAAAAATCCAGAGAAAGGGAAAAATACCAGAAATTTGATGGCGATAGCGATAATCGAAACTGAAAGCAGAGCCTGAACTCCGCTGTTTCTACACCTTCCGTCTATTCTCACCTTCCCCTCCCGCCTTTCTTCAATTGGCGGGAAATCGGGATTCGCTTCAGCGTCTTCACCGGATCTCTGTATCGGATACGCCGCTTACGTATAGATTCCGATCGCTGTATCGTCGGCTAGCTTTCTCAGACGAATTTCGGAGACCCAATCGCCATTCTTTCTCCTCTCGAGCAAAGCAATGGATCGTCCTCACTCCTCACTATTGCAGGAGCTCCGAGGTAAAACGACATCTTCTTCTGATAAAAAAACGACCTAATGTGTCTGCTTTCGTATATTTTTAGCCCTCGTAAATTTTCTTCTTCCAATTTTGGTCCTTAACTCAGCAAAACTTGCTCCGTGACCTGCGTTTGATCTGGTGGGCTTTAATCTGTGGGCCTTGCTAGCCATTCCTTCCTCATTCAACAATCTTAATTTCCTTAATGAACCTAATGGGCTTATTGTCACAATCACTAATTTGCAAAAAAGAAAAGTCCAAGAAAAAGTAGACAATGCAAAGAGAAAGAAGTTGGTGAATGGTGATGGATTTGTGTTGGTGACCACTGACCATTTTATGTTCCCATCACCATGCAACAGTTAGTTAGCAATTTCACATCTAGATGTTAGGGGTTCGAATATATTATATATTATATCCAAGAGCGAAACAGTCACGTAGATATTGTATCGAGCATATGAGATTTGACATCAGATTCTGTTTATGAGCTCTTCATTTCATATTCCTAGCTCGAACCATGCATCACATTGGCTTACTATTTAAGATTGCTCAGGACGCTTCAAAGTCCGATTGGTTTTGAATACGGGGTAAGAATGCGAACAACGAGGATCAATTATCCGAGAATGTATAATTAATTAGATCTATTAGACCAAATGCTCTCGATTCCTCGTGGCTAAATCCATAATAGCCTACAACTGATCGAACCCAACGACACAAACCCGGTTCCATAAGAGCCGATCCGAGATCTTGGGTGCTGCTACGTGGCATGCAATAATGGGGTTAGGGGTGGGCAACGGGACGGGACGGGATACCCGTCCCGTTTTAAACGGGTACCCAGTCCCATTTGGAGGCCAAAGTCCTTCCCATGTCCCAAACTCATATGGGAAACGGGTACCCATTACCCGTACGGGACGGATAACGGGTACCCATAATACCCATAAATACCCAAAGTTTCATTCCCTTGACTGGCTTCATTCCCTTGATTAGCCATGGAAACTATAAACCAAATCAACATAAACCAAATAGACAGATGCTGGAAATTAGAAACATAATTAGTAATTAGCAGAACAAACCTAACTAGTAATTAGAGTCCAGAATATGTACTGTAAGTAGGAAAGAAAAGAGAATGGCAGCTGCATACCTAAATAGATAACAAACCTAACTAGTAATTAGAGTCCAGAATCTCGCTGTTGGCCTGTCGCTGAGGCTGGCGTTGCGGCTGCGCTGGGTGGAGGACGCTGTCTCACACTCTCGCTGTCTGACTGTCTCACAGTTAAGTGAAAGCCGAAAGGGAATAGGCAGCTAGGCAGGGTAAGGGTCGACTAAGGTTAAGGGCCGAAATAGCCAAGGCCCAATGCCACATTTCTGAATTAGTGAATTGGGTTGGGGTGTTGGGCTGTGGGCTATTTTTGGTAAATGGGTATAACGGGTACCCACATTACCAAACGGGTATTTGCGGGTAACCCGCGGGTACCCATATTAGGAATGTACAATCTCAAGTCCCATCCGTTTATAATAATACGGGTAATATGGATACTCGTAACCCTTAAAAAACGGGACGGGTACGGGTATATCCAAATACCCGTTTCCCGTTGCCCACCCCTAAATGGGGTGAAAGAAGACAAAGGTCTAGCCAATAAATGAGACAGGGAGTTGAGTGGGCCAGTGATGTGGGTGCAACTAATTCTGAGCTGTCCAGTTTAGGGAGTAATAAATACGTTGAAACATGTAAAAAGCCCACCAGAAAAAATGAAATTTTGCTCGACCCAAGAGCTCAATTATTAGGCCCGAGAATGACCAGCCCACGTGGGTTTGCTGGCTACCAATTTGTCTCGATGCTTTCCGCATACATACCATCCCCTCCAATGGCCCGATCCCACGTGGCACCGAACCTGACCAATCATGCAAGCTTATTGTCAAATACAAACAATGTCATTATCTCATGCATGCCCATTTTTCCATTGCTAGGGCATTAGATTTCTCGAGGATGGGACTCTTGGATGGATGCCTTTGGATTGAAGAATTTGTTCGAGATGGTGTTGATTTGATTTGATCATGAATTCATTGGGGGAGTGAGAGGTATCGGAACAAGCAATTCGATTAGAGGTCTGGAATCGTTTGTTCTTCTACACCATATAAAATACGTTATGAGGTCGATATGTACTGCTGGACCGAGAGCTTCGTGTGTGTTTGAGTGTATAACGAAATAGACTTTCTCATCAAATCCTACATTATTGTCAGCCAGTCATGCTGAATTGAATGTTCAATCTCGAAAGGTATATTGATATGATGATAATGTAACGACGATAACATTCACCGTAATCTACATTAACAACCTTGAAATCAGGAATCGCTTAGCGAGGGAAACATTTGTCCTATGTACTTCTTTCACTTGCCTATCGTAAATTAGTTGGTGAACTACCACACCCAACCCCCAACCCTAATAATAATGGATGGGCAAACCACTGTGTTTGGGCCAACTAACGTGACTTTTTACCACCTATATATGCTTTTAATGGACGATGCATTGGAACTAACTAGAACTATATACTCATAGTAACTAAAAGGGATTAAACTATCTCTACTTTACTGTCTAGGTATAGTTTACATCGAGCATTCACCGACATTAAAAGATCTTTGTAAGTCAAAGTAACAAATCACACAGAATAGATCGAGGGACGCTGATCGACCAGATGCCTCAATATTAGAGGATAGAAGAGAGAAAGTAATAAGGTTGCACGTTAGGAACCTTTAAACCAAATAAGTCTCTGGATTCGAAACCCAACAACGTCACAACTACTTGAACGAATCTACTAGCACAAATCGATAGTCAGTTTTAAGTACTGTTCAACTCTCTAGCGAGAGAAACCATGAAATCGGTTTTTGTGGCTGTGAACATGAAATCAAGCCTGGGTTTTGATGGCCCATAGGGTTTCACACAGCCACTCAAAATCAGGAACCAAGGGATTGATACTAAACGATACAGGTAGGACAGAGCATATGTATCTATCTATGTGAAACAAGTTGATTAAATGTTTTCAAGAATATGAGATATGTGGACTAGCTCCATTGTAAGCCACGAGAGAGAAAAGAACAGACCATGTGAGATACAAACAACAAAAAATTTGGCCTATGTTATTCTTGTTTGTGGTGCATCATGCATTGGACAGCAATGTAAGCAATTATATATATATATTAATTGTTGTTGTAGATAACATTTGGATAATTAGTTATTTGGATTGGATTTGGCAAATCCGCAATTAAGATTTAACAAGTCTTAAATATTACCTAATGATGTGTTAGTGTATAATTAGTATCGATGCATTATAAGTATTGTCGATGGTTATTAGCTTGTGGATGGTTATTAGCTTGCATCTAGAGCTTGAGAGTTGCATCTAGAGCTGTCAATTTGGTTTGGTTTGGTTAACCAAACCATTAACTATGATTGTCAGGTCATCATCAACATCTTGCTAGGACGAAGTAGATCCTGGCCTTTGGCAAGTTATGGCATGATTTCATTCTATGAAGCAGATCCTTGCGCTTAATGCCCGCATTACTGTGGCTTTTAGTCATCGTAGATACAACAAATGTGCTGACTGGGTTGCTAAAGAAGCTAGGATTGGATCTCTCCCTCCAGAGTGGATTCAGATTCTGGACTTGATCTCACCTCTGTTGTAATAGGCCGAGCTTGTACCTCAATCGTTATGGAATGAAATCTACCAATTGTAAAAAAAAACCCATTAACTATGAAAAACCAAAAACCAAATCCGCAAGAACCAAAATCAAAACCATTAATGCCCTTATTGGTTTTCGGATAAATTCAAATATACCTTCTTTGATAAAAAAAACATGGTGCATTGCATTTCTCCCTGTAGCATGTAAATCGGTTTGTTGATTACGATTGTGTCGTCGTTTCTATATCCGATCTCATCACAATCTAATAATTGAATCATGATATCTACCAATTATTATGACAAGGGCTTTAATTTTTTCCACACTATACATTATAAAATAAAAACTCTACACAATTCATACTTGTACACACGTTGATTAGGATTCATTGACCATTATTTGTTTTTCGTTTTTTGTTTTCGTAACGAATCATATGTTGAGATACATGAAATGGTTGAAAGTTTCAATTCATACATACAAAATTATGGTGTGGCAACATCATAAACTGTAGAATAGACGGCCGATTAGGTTGGCAAATTTAATTAAATTTCTATTGAATAATGAAAAACAAAATCACTGGGTAATAAATAATAAATATAATAAAAGCTAGCTAGCAATTTTCTTGTTGCAGTTGCCCATTCCTTTCTCCGTCCACGAGAAGGATTCGTCGTTTGGGACACCTTCCATCCATAAAGTCATAAACAATACAACACACAAACCCTAAACGCCGGAGGGCAGCTGGCCGAGTGTTCACATTTTTTCCACAAACAAACATAAAGCTTGACCTGAAAGTCGATGAAGCGTAGTGCGATCGAGAATCTAACCGATTTAAACGTGTAGATAAATAACCGTTAAGTGATGTATTTTTCTCATCTACGAGGTGTTTTTCTTATCATAACTTATAAGAGTTTCGTAGGTATTTGAAAGCTTCTCACCAATTCATCTTCACACGTTTATCGTTAGGAATCTAGTGATAAAAGTTAAGAATGTTCATCAACACTTGCCCTAATACGAAATCTCGAATCGAATCGATAATAATAAGTTAAGACTTAATCTCGAAATTGGATCCAACCAATCCAAAGCCCATCTATAGCAGAAAATAAAAATAAATGGACCGGGGATGGGCCCATATAATATTGTATGGCGTGGAGACACTTTCCGTTCTCAAGGCGGTCCAGGTTTTCAGTTTGCCGCACGTGGTGGGGCCCAGCCACCGCAGCTCCTGCCGCCGTCGGTCGAGTGTGCTCTCTTCCGTCCACTCACGGCACCCGTCTCCGTCCAAAATAGACTGAGACGGAACTGTCAACTGAGACGGCCTTTTTTTCTTCATTTTATATTTTCCTCTACTTAATTAATTAATTAATTGTGTCCCTTCCCTCTCCCAATCATCGGCAGCCACCGCCAGCTGTCTTTCCGGCACCCCGCCGCAACCGACGCCGTCATCCATCCATACACCCGTCGCCGTTGCAATACATGCTATATCCACAAATGAATCACAAAGTTTGACACAAGCTCTCGCGCTTTATGGAGCATGGAATGCGTCATTATAGTTCCGAGTTACGCTAACTGCAAACAACGCTACAAACACAAAAATTGGTGGACTCGGTACATGCTCATGCTTGCTTGCTACATTGTGTGTGCAAGTATTACCTAAGACATTGTGCTCGCGTAGCTTTTCTCGCCTCACACTGAGACATTTGCGTCGTGTGATTTTACTACTTGCCATTATTTTTTGATGTAAGAATGTCACAATAAGCTATGATTTTATGAATAAAATGTATGTATCGTCATGACAGTTGTGAAGGATCAAAAGTAAATGGATGTTAGGTACAATATTCCCACCACATTATACACTTGTTGTGAGAGGAGGGGTAGGACTAGTTGGTAGGTATCATTGGATAACTTTTCTTAATACAAGCTACAAAAACTGATGAACGGTTTAATCCATTAACGTATATACGATGCTTGAATTTAGAAGGTCATACATAATCTAATGTGTTTGTTGAGACACTTGATTGATACGAAAGCCAAGTCCTCCCACATTCACCTTGATCAAATCTAGCTAAACAAATAACTAGGGTTTATAAGAAGAAGTTCTACAATAACAAGGCTCAAAATGTAAATTGACACAAACATAAACCCTAGAAAACAAATCCAACCTCGCTACCAATAATTTTATAACTATTTGTTTGATATGACCAATAATTTTATAACTAACTACCACCAATGTATTATATTTCTTGAAAACAAACCCGTAATTATTATAAAAAAACCCAATAATTACCATTACCATAATTTGGTATCTTTCTAGATTTTAATAATATTATTTTAATTTCCCCCTCTAAAAAAAAATTGGTTGGCGGATCTCATGATTGGATGCCAGCTTTATAAGCACCATTCCCTTCTCCTCTCACAGCACAACTCCACAAACATAAAGCCTGCACCTTTTTCCGGGAAAGAACCAAACCCAGTTGAGAACACGGAGAGAAATCAGCAGAAACCCCAAAAAATGGGAAGAATCCCTCGCCAGATCATCAATGGAGGAGAATCGAATTCTCTCTCCTTTAGGGTTTCCACCGAAGCCCAGAAGATCAATCAGAGCTTTGCGGACGACGATTGTTCTCCTCACGCCGCCGACTCGTTCTACCCCGAGACTCAGCAGATATGGGAGAAGCTCCAGAGATCAAGTGGCGACGGGAGGAGCAACATCGACCGAAGTTTGTCGAGGAGCAGGACGAAGAAGAAGAACCAGGTCCTGCTCGAAGGGTATGTCGATTTAAGCAGAACCAGCAGCAGTGGTGCCACCGATGATGATTTGAAGAGGGCAAAGAGCTTGACGGACGACGATCTCGATGAGCTGAAAGGGTGTTTGGATCTTGGATTCGGTGGGTTTAGCTACGACGAGATCCCCGAGCTTTGCAATACGTTGCCGGCTCTCGAGCTTTGTTACTCCATGAGCCAGAAGTTTCTTGATGATACTGCGCATAAATCTTCTTCTCCTGCCGAGGGAATGGATTCTTCTTCTGACGGAGTTGCTGCTTCGGATCAGGCTGCGTCTAGTCCTATTGCTAACTGGAAGATCTCCAGTCCTGGTGAGTTTAATTTTGATTCTTGTTTATTGCTGGATTGCATTGGTTTGGGGAGTAGAGATCTGATTGTGGTTCGTTTATGCTTTTGAGTCATCGGGATGAGTTGGTTTTGGGCTATAGATTAGAAAATTCTTTAGCTTGTTGATGTCATGATCTGTTTGTATGGTCATTTCAGTACAATTAAGATCATGATGCTTATAAGGGTTATTTGGGATTGCAGAATTTCAGCTCTTCTGATTTTGGTTCCATAAATCTCACTGTTTTGCTCTCTTGACTTGTTAATCTGCAGGTGATCATCCGGAAGATGTGAAAGCAAGGTTGAAATATTGGGCACAGGCTGTTGCTTGTACTGTCAGATTATGCAGCTGATGGGTTTTGCTCAAGGCAGAAGATTGTATGCAATGTGTGGGAAAGGGAATCAGGGAAATAGGCTGTGGAAGGCGATGGATAGCTTGGAAAGTCGGGAGCTTTTGCTGGACTGATTCACTCCAGCTTAAGTTCTTGCAGGAAACTGGTGATCCTGCACTTTCTTATGCTGATGTGGAGCAGCCTGAATGATATCTAATGATGGCCTTCACGAAGAGGAAGGAGGGAGAGGGAAGGGTATGTTTCAGGTTTTGGATTAACTCAACCACATGCGAAATGATTCTTGACTTGAACTCGGTGGAAGCTAAGATAGATATTTATATATATTCTTACTGTGACTGTTGTACTCAGTACATTACTGGAGAATAATGAATAAATCTTTTTGATGGTTAATTTGGTTCGATGGATTGATTCTCTACTAGTATCCAGTCTGAGCTGCTGCTTATTTATATGCAGTGGTGAGACTTGCAACATTAGAGCCTCCCCCAACTACTGACTGACTTTCTGTAACTCTGCTGAGGTAACTTGTCTAACTGGGTTCACTCTATGATTTGGTTTCGATTATCATAGGTGGGTGATTGATGCAAATTTTTGCTCATCGATTCTAACATTACTTTGTCGAGTGGCCATTGTGGCCAGAGCTACATGAGGAGCAATTCTCACTAAAGTGGGAGAGTTGTTAACTTGAAGTTTAAGTCCTGTTTGTCTCATTGATTATGGGATTGTTACTTACTACTGTTTCTAACATGGTGATCCATCGGATTGGATAGACCAACCATACAACTCCGATGGATGGATGGCAGGGAAGAAGTCCTGCAACTGATATTCTCTTTGCTGTTTGTTTTGGGTTTCAGTTTTCATAGATGGATGATTCCTTTTAGTTTCTTCGCTCTCTTTGATTTCTAACATCACTGTTACTTTTCTAGCAGCATTAACTGACTAACGACTTCTGCAGTAGATGTAAACGTTTGCCCATTTGGCTGATAGAGCTGATGGATGGGTGGATGATGTGAAGGAAGTTGCTGGAACTACATGCATCCGAGCTCTCTGAGCTTTTCTTCCTCTATCACGCCTTGCGAGTTTTGAATGTTTAAAGTTTGGATTCCAGAGTTCAAGCGTGGAGCGATTCATCCATTGCTCTGGAATCTACCAACTCACTGCCGCAGTTTCTTCCATCAGTTAAGAACTGTTTAATGGCAATCCAAGCTGGTTTAGATGGGTAGATTCAACTTATCAATGATTAAGTTAAGTTTTGCACAGAGAAGCAACTCTGGTAGAAGTTAGGTATTTGATATGGTCACATTGAATAATTGCAGACACCTGTTGTACTTAACGTTAGCTTGCTTGAGGAACATGATAAGCTGTTCCTTGAACTCTTCTTCTTCCTTGCAGATGTTATGAGGAGCTCTTGTGTGGCTATTTATATGATCTGTATATAAGTTTCAGACATGCTCTGCAATTGGGGAAATTCAATTTGAATACTTGCAATGAAATGTGATCCATGATTTGATATGGCTGAGTTGGAGTTGGGTTATCCTTATCTAGTAAGATGGATGCCATGAAATTGAAAATGACACGGGAAGTGTTCTTGACGTTAAGCAAATCTATATCTCCCCACCACTTGATAATTTTCCTTGTCCCTCATCACAAGTTGGAAAATCGAATCCACTTATATAAGTAACTTGATTGATTAGTCATATGAATGTGTGGCTGGCTACTCATATGCATTGGAGGTTTGCCAGGTCAACCTCAATCTCCAGCACTAGCTGAGAAAGATATTGGCAACTATCCGAATATGCCCTCTGACAGGTAAAAGCAAAAGATGCTGCTTGTATTAGCATGCCAACGCATAACAGAGGGAATAAAACATCTAAATTCAGATACAAAAGGAATATCTTCGAAGCATCTAAGTGTCATGACAGTTCAGCAATGAGCTGCCACTAAAAAGGCTGATTAGTCTAGTGCCACCAGAAGAAGGAAAAAGACAACAAAAAGGAGAACATTGTTTGATATATTAGGGCAATTCATGTTTAGGGGAATCATATTTGATATTACACAACCTCTGCCTTGCTGCTGGCTCTTAACTGGGGTGAGCAATGATTCGATTCATTTCAGACTCGCGAATTGCAGCACAAGGAAACAAGGGACCAAATATTTGATGTACTGAAGAACCAAATTGCAATGAATAGAAAATCGGACCAAATACAATCAAATTCAGAAGAAATGGACTTTTCAAATTAATTTTGCTCGTCAGTTTCTCTTTGTTTTCGGTTCGCTCGTCAACAAGTTGGTTATATCTTTCTCAATCTTGAGAGGTGAAGTGGTGGGGGCATATCGCTCCACAACTTTGCCTTGTTTGTTCACCAAGAACTTGGTGAAGTTCCATTTGATGCCATCTCCCAGGAACCCTCCTTTCTCTGCTTTCAGGAAATTGTACAATGGTGCTGTGTTCTTACCATTCACATCAACCTGCACATAGAGTCACAGACACATAAAGTTTTGCATCATCTAACCAAGTCACGATGAGTTCGAACCTTGCGGTCTAGCTTAGCCAGCATGTTGATGTACCTTATCAAAGACGGGGAACTCGGCTTTGAAAATGGTGCATACAGTTTCCTGAATCTGCTCATTGCTCCCTGGTTCTTGTCCACCAAACTGGTTGCATGGGAATGCCAAGATCTCAAGCCCTGCCACATTGGAGTTTCAGAGAGGTGACAGAGTGTTAATTCAACCCCAGCTTACGTACCAAAGTGACTCGTGAAGCAAAATGATTCTCAACTAGCCATCACACTAGATACGATTCTGACTCATCTCGACTGATATCGCAATGAACCATCATTATAACCTGACCCAAAACCCTACTTAACCCCACGAAGTTCATCAAATCGATAGTGTTCGACCTGCAACACGTAATGACCTGCTTGTGACACGCAATTTGACCCAACTCGACTCACTTGCCACCTCTATAACTGGAGTGAGTAAGAGCTGAAAGACCAACTATCAACTAACCTTGGTCTTTGTACTTTTGGTACAACACATTCAACTCCTTGTAGTTTGATTGTGTCAAGCCACTGCAATCAAGTAAATGCAAAGTTAAGGAACCACTACCACTGCTACAGTCTACCACTACAGAGTTTTCATGATGCTAAGGAATACCATTTGGAAGCAACATTGACAATGAGAAGAACCTTCCCCTTATATTCACTAAGTCTCACATCAATCCCTTTCATGTCCTGCAACAAAATCAATGCTCAAACATTGTAATTAATAAACAATCAGCAACTGCAATTCCCAAGATCACAATCTTTCATCCTGATTTTGAGAGGAAGTTCAATAAGGGTGATCTAATCAGCTTGATCAAGGATTGGGATTTTGATCCAGTTTGAAGTTAGATTAAACCAGTATTTACAAAATGGAAAAACCAGAAGGAGAAAAGAGAGTACCTTGACAGTGAAGTCATAGATGGAGCTGGATGATGAAGAAGAGTCTTGTTGTTGAGCAGCCATGTTTATCACAGTGGAGAAGGAAGGTAGATCAGATTGGTAGGTGTAGAAGAAGAAGACGGCAATAATAAGAAATCCCAGAGATACCCAGTTGCTCAAATTCATGATCCTCTTAAATAATCTAACATATATAGTTTATATAAGAACATGGGGAATGAGAAAAAAAGAAATCATTAATGCTGAACCTAACACAGAGAAAAATATGAAGCCGCCATTAGTCGACTTTTCCTTTCTTTCTTAGTTCCTTAGTTCTTATAATATTTTCATACTTGACCGCTTCTGCCCAAGGGTGCCGTCTTGCCGACCTCTCTAGAAGGAAAAATTAGGAACGAAACAAAATAATATATATGCAGACGACGCCACGATGGTGATGTTCTCAAATGACTCTGGTTAGTAAGGTTAATTGGTGATTTGATGTGTATAAGTAATGGTTTATCAAGAGTTGTTATGCTCAAATATAACGAAATGAAAGGAAATATAAGAACAGAACTGGAGTAAGCATGTGATCAATTATCTTTTGATCCGGTCTAGTTTCAAAGGGATTCAATAGAACTGAATCTAAAAAGAATTCTAAAGATCGAATCGAAACTATGACCAGGTTCGATCAGATCGAGTTCAAGTGTTGATATGGTGTGAACCAAATCGTAGCCGGCTCCTAAATTTAACTTACAACAACATATATTTTTCTCTTGCTCCCTAACATCCGACAAACTAAGAACCTAAATCTACTACAGCTTTGGCCTCACATTTAACAGTTCCCTTAACCTGAACCTGAAACAGCAGCAGTTTCTTGCTGGCAATCCTCAGTTTCTTCACCAAAACTTGGTGGTTTGGGGGTCAAGCCAAGGAGCTTGAACATTTGTTGATCAGCATCGTAGTCATTGTTAGGAGTAGTCAGCAGCTTCTCCCCAGTGAAGATTGAGTTTGCACCGGCCATAAAGCATAGTGTCTGCTCGGCCATCGAGAAACGCACCCTCCCAGCTGATAGCCTCACCATTGCTTTCGGCATCACTATACGTGCTGTCGCAATCATCCGCACCATTTCCCATATTTCCACAGGCTGCAGAAGGAAGAAGAAAACAGACAAAACATAACCATTATGTTAGCTTCAACACATTCGTTTGTAAGTGCAACGAATTCGTGGTAGTTATCAGTTGGGTCTCATTAAAGAACTGACCTTTTGGTCTTCCAGAGGTGTGCCTTTCACTGCAACAAGAGCATTAACAGGAACACTCTCTGGGTGCTTAGGAAGTGTTGCTAACGTATGCAACAGACCAACCCTGTCTTCCTCTGCTTCCCCCAGTCCGATTATGCCTCCTGTTAAAATCGTAACATAATAGTCACGCCATTTACCTTATCTTTCTTGGCCCTTTTTTAGAAACGAGAACAAGCACAGCTGAAAATGGTGCCGCACTGCTGCATGAAAGCACCAGCTGTGGACCGATTTCTTTCAAAGTCTAAGGCAAGGAGCTTTAACCGAGTATAACCACGTCAGCATTGATAACAGATGTAGCAACTCGAGAATCAGCATGTAGAATTGTAGATAGATGTCTAATGAGGAGTCCAATAACATTAAAAAAAATGAAGCAAGTGAACGGACTATGAACTCCATTTGACATTTCTAGCTGAAAAATATTCTATCAGCTTCAGCTTGATATATCTAGTTGAATTGTCCAATGAAAATAACATATTCTAACTCATAATAAAGAAATAGCAACATAAAGTCCCATTCGTGCAAAAATCATGTGTTCATATTATTGTAACAAGTTGAGTGACTAGACAACATTGGCAACTTGCATTTTAAGCTACAGTTTTCTAGGAGGATTTGATAGATCACCTGAGCATACATGAATCCCGGCTTTCTGGACATGTTCCAGGGTTTTAAGACGTTCATCATATGATCTTGTAGTGATAACATTGGAATAATACTCTCTTGAGGTATCAAGATTGTGATTATAAGCTGTAAGGCCAGCCTTCTTGAGTTCTGCAGCCTGCTCTTTCTCTAGCATTCCCAAGGTGCAGCAAACCTCCATTCCCATTCCCCTTCAATTGCAGACAGTTCTATATCAACTTAGATCACCTGATCCTATGCTATAACTAGCAATGTTACTTTGTAACTACATTGTTGACTAAATTATAATGTGAATGTTTACCTTATTTCTTTTACATAATCTAGTATCTGGTTGAAGTTCGTCTTCCTTCCTACTGTATCTCGCCAGGCTGCACCCATGCAAAAACGTGTGCTTCCAGCCTCTTTAGCCTGTCGTAGCACAGCAGCAGTAATAAATTACAAATATTAAATAACAAAAGAAGACTATTGAGTCACTTTTCTAGATAGAGAATATACCAAACCACCAGTAAGTCTAAACTTCTTGTTTTCAGAACACATACTAACTATCCACAACACTCAAATTCTTCCAACATGTGCTGCTGTGACTGGTGTATCACTACAGTACAAGTCACGAGATAGAGAAGTGTAAGTTGGCTGTGGAACAAATGCTACGATCAAGTCCACGGCCTTGGCTTCCAAAATCGACTAAGAAAACTGGTAGCTGCAATCAAAGGCCACGGAAACTGACTGACAAAAGTGAAGAGCTATGATAGAATGACTCCTTTCTCCTACCCGTTTTTTGAGATTGAACACTCTCTTCAGTAAGATTATGTCACAGATTAAAACTTCTCCACTAGTTCACATCAATTTCCCTCAGTTCCAATCAGACTCATCATCCCAAATATCGGTTTCACGTTAGCAATATGGATACCAACAAGGCAACAACAAAACATATGGTCATTTTCACTCGTGAAACTAGTACTGAAAAGCCACATTCATTGCCTAAGTGTCACTAGACCCCGAAAACCAACTATGAAGAATTTACCAAAGCTCCAAAATTGACCCCAAAATAACAACCCAACCCATATAAAAGAGAGAAAGATGTACCCTTTTTGCAGCTTCCAGAACAGCATCTTTGTTCATGAGCTTCTGGGCTTTCAAACCAGTCTGGTAACGAGACGACTGAGGGCAGTAAGAACAGTCCTCGCTACAGCCACCGGTCTTAATCGACAGCAGAGTGCATTGCTGAACTTCCCTGAAGTTATGCGCATGTCTATGAACCTCAGCCTGTGCAAAAAAAACATGAATTAGCTACGAAACCGAAACTGGGCAGTTACTGAGCTAATTAAGTACAAGTGAGCGGAACCCAGTTGAAGAGTAACTGACGCCATGGAAGAGAAGATCGAGTAGAGGGGATTGGTAGACGTCGGTGATCTCCGGTCGGGTCCAATCTTGGCGTGGGCCTTCTCTGATTGCTCGCTCGGCTTCAATTGCAGCGGCTGAGGAAGATGAAGGGGAAGCAGCGGAATGCAGGAAGGAGGTTGGATGCCTGGAATGGCGAAGAGGCCGGAAGATGGATCGAACGGAAAGCATTGCTTAGCCGAGTTGAATTTGCAGTGTCTTGTTTGAGATCTCTTCTCGTTCCTCCTTTGTTAGCATCGAAGAAATCTATGGCGCAAAAGCCAAAACTAAACTGTTACTGATAGCAAAGTTCCCACCTAATTCAGTTTTGATTGTGGTTACCCGGCCGGTTACGGCGGTCGAACCGATTTCCGATTTAACGGGCCATTGCAACGAGAAGGCTGCCCAGGGCCCAGCTAAATGGATCAACGCAAATCGTCTTGGCCCATTGCTACCGTTTCTATCTGGTTAGGCCCACGATCATATTAATACAGTCTTGAAGAGACGGCGGTTACTATAAAAATCCACCGATTCTCCCCATTTCACTTCTCTCTCTCCGATCGACGATGACGGCGGCCGCCCAGCACCACCACAATCCACCGCCGTCCTCCTCCAAACCGCCTCGCAACTCCCTTAACCCCACTTCCGCTGCCGCGCCTCCCTCATCTGCTGCAGCGCCTTCCCAAACCCTCAATTCGAACAACCCTACCTCCGCCGCCGCCGCAGCCGAGACCGCGCCGATCGCTCTCCACGACAGGAACCACCCGCTCTCGCACGCCACGCACCTCACCCGCCACGAATTGCTGAAGCGGAGGTCGCACCTACTGAAGCAGGTATCGCGATGCTACCGCGACCACTACTGGGCGCTAATGGAGGAGGTCAAGGGGCAGTACCGGGAGTACTACTGGAAGTACGGGGTCAGCCCTTTCAAAGAGGAGCGGTTAGAGGATGGAGGGGAGGGAGAGAGGGAGAGGGAAGGGGGTAATTTCAGCTCTGTGGAGGCGATGGATGAGAGCAATCATGGAGGCAATTTGCCGATGGGGGCGGCGGCGGCGGCGGCTTGTGGTGGTAATAACAACAATGGCAATTTGAGTAGTAAGGGGGAAGTTGAGATGAAGAATTGTCAGAGCAGTAGGTGTAAGTCTCCCGGGTGTAGATTGAAGGCAATGGCTTTGACGGCCTATTGCCACCTTCATATACTTTGTGATACCAAGCAGAAGCTCTACAAGGCCTGCACGTTCGTCATCAAGAGGTTTGATTTTGCCTTAAATCGATGCCCCCTCTTCATTTTCAATTGCCTTTGTTGTTGCTTGTGTCTAAAGTCAGATTCTTGCTAGTTAGGAGTTTGTTTGTTGTTTGTACCCTCATGCATTTCAAGTTGCATTTGCTTGTTCCTTGGGGTTTGGTTTATAAGTTATTTTGTGATTGATTCGGATCTGAATGTGGTTACTCTTGCCTTGAATGTGTATGTTGGAAAGCATTGGAAGGTAAGTTTTGTTCTGTAGCCTTGGATGAACTTTTTCATGATGGAAAGCTTGCTGCTTATTGTTTTAAGTCAGGGCTATTAGTGACTGCTAGCTTGGGACTGTTAGTGGTTCGGGGCGTTGTGTTATTATAGGTTTGTAAATCCAACTGCAGAAATCAAAATCCAAACTTTGTAGAGCATGAGTTGCAGTGATGGGGTTGTACTTTGCTGTGGGAGTATTTTGTTACTGAACTACATTTGTGATCCATGGGGGAAGATGTTGCGGGTTTGCATTTGGTATTGATTTTCGGGTGCTTTGCTTATTGTTCTTCTTCCTGAAGCACGTTCTATTGAAGATATTCTTTTCCCATTGTCAATAACTCTGTGTTTGGCATCTTGTTGTCTACAATTTGTGTATTCTTAATACGAAACCTTGTCAAATTTATAGACGATTTAGTATATAGATGATTGTGGCACTAACTGGGATGTAGTTGGTTATATCCTCAGTGCTCAGGCGGGACCAATTACCTGTGGGAAGCCTATACTGAGATCAATAGTGCCTGCTCTGTGTAGCGTCCACTTCCAGAAGGCTCAGCAGCAAGTGACTCGTGCATTGAAGAAAGCCGGCCTCAATGTTTCTTCATCAAGTAAACTCGCTCCAAAGCTTCACGTCATAGTCGCGGAATACGTGCGCCAGATTCAAGCCAAAAGAAAGGCTGCAAAAAGGGCGAATCTCATCAAAGATGCTGTCGCCTGTAAGGAAGTTAAGACCGAAGTTGGTAGTTGCTCTGCTGTGAAATCTTAGAGCAATACAAACTCAGAACCCTGTGGCGCTCGTCCAATACGCGATCGTGCTACACTAATAGGCCACACGTCATCTCATTCCCGACTTTTGCAAAATGGAATGCGAGCGGAGTGCGCGTCCAAATCCTTCCTAAGCCTGTGTGCGAGCTATCTTCATGGAAACCCTGTTCTGTAATATCAGGATGCTTTTCTGGGGAGTCTTATTGATCTTGGTAGTTGGTAGTTTCTTGTACTCGTAGAATGGAAGACTCGTTTTTGTACAGAACCCTCATCTTGAAAAAGATCTCTTGAATGTGGATATGGTGATTGTTTGTTGCCTCATTTACTGACATGCATTTATCCCAGTGAAACATTAAAACCCTTTTGGCAAGGTTAATCTGATTTCAATTGTCAAGAAACTGTGAATTTCATCACACATAGGATTCTCTCTGCGGTAAACTCTCGAGAGCTCCTCTCTCTTTTCCATTTGACTGGAAATGATATATCAATATTTATCATTGTGTTTAATTTAATAATGTATATCAATATCGTGTGTTGTGTTTAATTTTATAACTAAAAATGAATATCTATCATTGTTAATATTCAGAGAAAATGATTCATTATACATCCTAAAGTATTTTATTTCCACATATAAAAAAGAGAATGTCTACCGATATTAGTATTTAGGGGGAAATTTAATGATTTAATTAATTTGTTAAGTTAAAAATGATTCATTATACATCCTAAAGTATTTTATTTGTGTAAAATGTTAGAATTTGTTGGAAAGATACATGGATGTTATAACTCTTATTCATGGTGGTCTATTCACGTCGTTTTATCAGGAGTTAGGAAATCATATACCAGAAACAGAATGATATACCTCCATTTTTTTACCCGTTATTTCCAATGATGTCAACTCGAATCGAGTTCGAGCAAATGAGATTACCGGAGCAATATATGATAGTACATACACAAATGCATGTTGAAATCACGAGTAATCAACGGCCATGATTCAACTGATTGATTTGACAATTTTACAGGAACATTTGTTCTATATATACATACAAAAATGGATTAAGGTTTGAAAAACTAGTACTAAAAAGTGCATGCAATTAAAGGCCTAGAGACTAGTTGCAAAAAAATCGTTCCCTTGGTGTTTTGATTTCTTTTCCATAATCTCATTGGTTGTTTTTAAACCCAAAATTTTGGACCATTTAGAGCTACAAAGAAAGATCAAACAGATTACTGCCCTCCCTCATACTTTAGCCTCCCTCTGCTTCCTTCTTGGTTTCTTTGAATGAGATTCCTTCTTCGAAAATTTCTGCCTTTTCTTCTGAGGCCTTGATTTCACATTCTCGCCTTCCTCATTAGGAGTGCCACTCGGGATTTCTTCCTCGTCGGAACTCAGTATGAAATCCTCGACGATATCATCATCTTCTTCGTCTTCCTGTCCTTTCTTTCTTTTCTTCTTCTTCTTCTTTGCCTCATCCCTGGATGTATCAACCCTGCACCAGTAAGTAATAAGCAAAGTTAGCTGTATGCAATCTTTTCACACCAACACTCCAAATTTACAGATGAGAGATAAATTCAGCCAACATACTTTGGTAGACCACTCGGTAACCAAGACGAGTTGAACACAGCTGTGGCTTCCTCGTTTCCAGGACCATCATCATCATCATCAACAACAACATCATCGTCGTCGTCGTCTTCATCACCTTCAGATCTCCGTTTGCCAAACACTGAGGAACGTTCTCCAAAAGTAACACTGAAAATTGACAAGAGAGTTAGAGGATGGCTGACAGCATACGCACAAGGATTACAATCTCAAAAGGTGGGAAGTCAAGAGGCATTTAAACAAAACCTGGATTCCACCAGTGAACTACTTCTTTGCTTTGCTCTTTGATGCAATGTCACAACATACTTCGACAAAGGACTGGGACCCAACTGTTTCTCATTCTGTTTCAAGATCACAACAATCTACTTCATCAGAATTCAGAATTCAACTTTGCTGCTCCGTTAGAAGAATCAGAAGAACAAAAATTGCATACCTCAATTTCAGATGCAGCTGCAGGGTCATTCGGTAAAGTGATTGACGCACGCTTTTCATTTGTGAACTTGGAGTTGGCCTCAATCTACAACAGGAAATTAGCTGCAGTTAATAATACTCTGAGGAAGCTGTTCATCATTTGATAAATTAGCTGCATAAGTTAATACCTGTCGTATAAGCTGCCTCATTTCTTTTCTGAATCTATCAACTTTGGTAGCTTTGCAGAAGCTTCTTAGTCTTACAGCCGGAATAAAAGACAGCTCAAAGAAAGCCATTGAATAGCTCCATTGAGCTAAATGTTCGGCTATTTCTTCAACTACAGAATATACACAGGCCTCTTGAAATGCTCGTGTTTTCAGCGTAGGCTTGTTTACCTTGGTATAGAATTTTTTAAAACGTCAACAAAAAGTAAATGCCGAAAAGAAGAATATTTACTCTTTTAGCCCCAAGACATATATATACCTTCAGTATTGTGCGCAAATCAATAGCTTTGCCAACACCTCCAGTTGGAGGCCTATTCAGTTCTTTCATTTCTAACATGTCCAAGAGGAGAGTGGAAACCGGTATGAATGTTCCAGTAGATGCAGCAATGCGGTTGAGCATTCTTACACACCTCAATCTAAGAGGAAAGTATCTAGCAGTTGGAACCAGTGAAGCCACTCCGGAAATGATTTGAGTTAACGGATAGGCTAGAGGCTTAAAATCAGCTTCCGAACTGTAAGTACAGACAGCACCAGTCCAAAGTTCAAGGCAATTCATGAATTTCCATTCATAAACTCGTCGAAATGATTCCTTGTGAAACAAGAAAAAGGCATAGTTTAGCGTCTAAATATTCAAAACCACTTTAAAGGAAAACAGAACGGCTAGCAAGAAAAGATTGTTGAAGGGATGGAACTGCATTAAACCCATTTCTCAGAAAAATCAGGTTGTCCTGTGCGAACCAACTGATATACATGATAAGAAAGTTAAAATAGAAAAAGAAAGAACCTTCGTTTTCATAGTGATAGCATCTCTCAGAATCATTGCCAACTGCCGGATGTAAACGAAAGCTTGTTGATACGCAGTCGGGAGGTCCACCCGAAATATTTCAATAACACAGTTCCCAAGAAATTGGATATGCTGCAACTTTGCAGCATTTATGAACTGACAGTTCAGAACATATGCCTTGTACATACCCTTGAAGCAGTCATCTGCACATTCCTGTCCAAGCCGTACGCATAAATCCCTCAGGAACAGAGTAGATACAACTGGGAGGGCACCGCCTCCTGAACCCCAAAAGTGAAGGGCAACCTGACATGAAAAAGGGAAAATCAATGCTTATTTCTTCTAAAAAAATGAGATGTTACCCAACGAGAAATGGCAGATAACACTCCACTTAATAGTATGACACATTCCTTTGAAACAACTATACTGAGTATTCCAGCAAACTGCTACATAAGAGTTCTAGTATGAAACAGAAGCATATATATGACATGTATTCAAAGAACAACATATCAGCCAGAAATCCATGGGTCAGCTTATAATGGTAATATTTTCATAAGAGAAGACACCAAGAATAGTTATAAGCTACATGAAGAAAAAACAGTGAGAAAAATCATCAACTTTAAGGACTCTGAGTTTCTTATACCTTGACATACTTCCGCAATAGACTTGGGAAAGCAGCCAATAGCAAAGACGAATACTTGAGACGCCGCAAAGTAAAAGCTACCATCTGTGCATCAGTCATTTGGTTCAAAACATGCAGGGCATTTCCCAGATATGACTTCACCAGGTGACTGTATTTCTTCCATTTCCGGGTACCCATTACTTTTAGCATCACCTCTTTCTTCCCACCATAAGAAGGCAGGTCCAACATCTTGCGAAGAATTCCATCCATTCGACTCAGGACAAATACCATTATTTTATTGAACACAGCGCTAGACATGATACTTAAGTTTGATGAAGAGTCATCCCCACTATCATCACCATAGTGGCATGCAATTCTGAAACCTTTCAGAAGAGAACGAAGGGCACCTATTTTACCACCATCTAGCACTGCCTTAGTCCAGGATTCAACCATTGCGATAGTTACAACGGTTTTAGATTGTTTCTTCTCTTCCTTCTCCAACTGAATATGTTCACCGACTGCCTCATCGTTATCTATGGTTGGTTCCTCCAAATCATTATCAGCATCCTCCTGCAGAAAAGCTCAGATTGTAAAAATCCACCATGCTCTCACTTAAGCAGAAACTTGAACACGTTATGCCTTTCAAATTAACCTCAGCATCCTCGTCATCGAATTCAAGAAGCTCCTTATCATGTTCTTGCAAGAACTGATAAAACTCTGGGTCCTGTCCAGTAACAAGAAAATAATGATAAGTTAACTATAAAGTACTGTAGAAAGCACCATCAAATCTGATAACAAAACTAGCTAAAGAAGAAGATTGGTGCTTCGATAGGTAGATGTCCCTCCACGACAGGATGCGATAAACAATAATTTTCTCGACTCCTAACTAGCTGACTAACTCTTAGAATCTATCAAGTAGCCCTTCTACTGTATAGTTTCTAAAAAACTTACTAAACCGCAGCCAGTTCTAATCTAGCCCTTCTGCTTCCAAATATCTATAACATTTCAACCCTCCAATATACAAACCCGCAACATTTTGAGGGGTTCATATCTACTACGTCAGCTCAACCACGAATTCACAATTTACTGAAATCCATCCCCAAATTTGGTCTCTTGCATCTTGATTCTAACCATTCAAAAACCTATAGATAGTATCAGAACTTCACCTACTTGAGAACAGAGAACAAAGACTTTGAACTTCATTTCACAAGCGTGACACAAACTTTCCACGAGAAGAAAAAAAAAAGGACACACTAACCTTTTGCTTAAGTCTTTCCAAAGCATCTTTGTGCCCTTTAGCAACCATTTTCTTCCCCATCTCTTCCTGCTCCTCTTCCTCGTTAGTCTCATCTTCCAAATCCTTGACTGCCAGAAGCACAAACGACTGTCTTTTTTCAATAAATGGAGAATCCAAATGAAGAAACGAAGTAAACAGTCACCTGAACAAACCTTCGTATTCCGCGTCCATGTTGAGATATGTTTATCAGAGAGCTGAGCTGAGCCGAGTATACACAAGCAAACGCACTAGCGGAGAAGATATGAAGGCTTTTTTGTAGTTTCGCTACGGAGGAAGGAGCTCAACTCGACGAACCCAAGATTGGTTTCCAGCGTTTGACGAGCAGATGAAAGGAATCGAAACTCCGCCGCTGCCGCTGCCGCCGCTGGTTTCGCTTTCCGGTGATGGACCGCGGTTCTTTTGGCCGACCGGTAGCTTAAACCCTTTCGTTTTCCTCCCCATTTATCTGAAGGATAATTAAACTTAAACCCTTTCTCTTTTGGACGAATAACACCTTTAATCACTAAACTACGATTTCTAACAATTTTGTCCATGTACAATGTGCTTTTAACAAATAAGTTCATAGTATCACGCAATTTATCATATTTAGTCCCTTAATTTAAAATCTTGGACATAAATCTTAGTAATTGAGTCTGACCCATGTTTAGTAATCAGGAAAGATAAGAACTTTCGTTAACTACTTGTATAGTTCGATAAAATATGGAGAAAAAAGCCCTTTATAAGAGTGTCCTGTGTCTTGTATATGTACATAAGAATCATGTCAAAAATTTAGTGATAGTATCAAACTTAGTACACAGATTATTGTACTGTCACTTTCTTCAGTCTGTACATCAGAGACTCAATAGATCTCTGTATTCTAACTCCATCACTCTCCCTCACTTGCTGGGACGCCTCCTTCAAGCTCCGAATCCCACGGCCCAAGCTGGCAATCGAACGAGCCGAAGGGAAAGATTCAGCAACACATTCGATCCCGTCTCCACACATAAGCAACCCAGAAAGGGTCATGATGCTCCCTCCGAATGTAGCCCAAGGCAGGAACCCGATAGGCCTGACTCTTCGTTTCCTCATTATCTCGTAGAAAGCCGTTCTCATGGCTGAAACGCTCGTCTTCTCGACGGAGGTTATGATCCCATGGGCCACTGTTCGGATCTTCTCGGCAGAGACAGCTGCCTTGGTTGGCCCGCTCTTGGTCAAACCGAATGACATTACCTTCTGGGTTTGGGTAAGCACGAGCTTGAGTGAAGCAGGGAACTTGAAACTCACGACCTTCATGAACGTCGATGCAGGGACCACTTTGGAAAGAGACGAGACTCCAACAACAGCTGTCGCCCCAGCGCCAACTGCTACCACCGGTTTGTTGGGGAATAGCCACCATCTCTTGTTGTCATCCTCCTGGTTCGAAGCTTCTCCTCGAGAGTTACAATCCGTGATGAGTTGTCCGATTAGGCCTTTGATTTCAAGAGGTAATGGAGTGTCCCAGTGTTTTCTGAGACCGGCCAAGGAACTGGCGTCTATTACAGCTACTATGGTCTTGAATTTCTCACCCTGGCTTTGTAGAGCATGAGCAAGGAGTGCTTGAGACTTCTCTTCAACTGGGAGATCTGAGAAGTTGGAGTTTGATTTCTCAGGCTGCCTCAATTTTCCCATTGGTAAACGACCAGTATTGTTTAGGGCAATTCTTAATCCTTCAACGGCTATCCGGAAGGTGCAGACTTCAGATACGATTTGAGTGTCCACACTTTCCCCTCTATTGATATCATAAAGCATCTTCTGTGAACAGTTCAACGCCTCTCCAACTGATGGGAGATCCATGAATATGTTATGCAGGTCAAGAAGCAATGGGTATATGGATTGAGCAAATGCTGGCACCAGGAAAGTGGTTTCTGGCTCGATTCCTTTCGACACTGAAACAGAAGAGCCCGTCTTTGGTAGAGCTGCATCCATGTTGGAACGCAATAGCATTACCATCTTCGACTGGACATCAGAAAGGGGTAATCTTTTTGGACTCGAGGAGACAATTGAAGCTGCCTGGCAAGGGATCAAGCTGCTGACCAGTCGTTCAACCGTGCCTGTTTTGTCAGCTTCGTGAGTAGGATCCGCCGTGGTGAGGTTTCTTGTGCAGGGTGCCTCGAGTACAAAGAATGATGAACCAATCTCTTTGGCAGTCTTATTGGCAGTCCAAATGTGGGCATGAAAACCAACCCCAAATATTTCCCTCAACACTAAGTTGCCTGCTATGCTTTCGTACTTCTCCTTATTGATCTTCTGAATGAAACATTGTTTAAGTACACCAAATGATGAAGTGGGGACCAAATCACCATTGTTAGCTGCCAACTGATTCTCTTCTAGAAGAGTTTCAAGGACAGTTGGATCCCCAACCTGAGAGATAACAGCTTCAGGCCGGACCTCCCTAATAAGGCACTCGACATCTGCAGCTGATCGTTCGGACAAATTCTGCACAGAAAGAATGTAAATAACTGAACCTGACTTGGGATCACGGACAGCATAAACAAATCTTTTTGTGCCTTCGGGTATACGAAGCTCCTTGACCAAAGCATCAGAAGCTCTTAGATCATTGAATTTGAGCACCGACAAAGGCCACAGGTTTTGTATGATAGAGATGAAAGCAAGTGACATCGCATCAGTGTTCAGCCACCGAACTAAACCAGTATCAAGAAGACACTATACCCTTCCAGAGATCAAAGAGCTGCCGACCATTCTTTCATCAACAGAATTCCATGATTCATCACTTTCATATCCAAAATCTATCTCTCATCAAGAAAACGAGAACGAAAGCTGCCCCTTCCAGTCCCCAGTTAGAAAGGAACCAGCACCACCAAGAAAACACAGATAATTACTGATGAAGTGAGAAAAACTTGGAAGAGAACTTGGTCGAGGGGATGCCAAGCTACAATATCTGTTATTGAGCCCTGGTCAACCAACTATGAACCGGTTTCCTAGGGCTTATACATTGGTTGGAGAATGATTGTTTGTTCTGATTCTGACACTCCACTAGAATCAAAATAAGCTGTCACAAAATAAAAATATTTGTCAAGAGAATCAACCACATGACTTCAGGGGGGTAAAGGCAACACCTAGAAATGTAGCAACTCTTGGCTATGGCCATGATAGGGCTTAGCTATTAATAAAGCCATCTAGCACAGAGTGATCCTTCAAACAAAAGGGAAAAGGAATAGAATGGGGAACAGAAGCCCTTGTGCTATCCAGATTGATCCACTTGTCAACGCATATATGCAAACAACACAGATTCATTCATGAAAGCAAAATATAGTCCGAGATAAGTCCATGCATACATTTGCAAAGACCAATTCACCAGCTCTCTGAAATGGAAACTAAGAACGAGAATTTTCAACTGCGATCAATGACCCTTGTACTAATTTAAGCTATCCCACTACTAAATGTTAGCAATCCACATGAGCAGTTCAGTAAGCAGGCACGAAAGCAAGCACATGAAAAGATCATACAGCGGATTTATTTGATTCCTAAGAATGGAATAAGTTTGGAATATGACAATGACGATGCTCAGCTTAATTCGAAAGGAGGACAAAAGATCAAGAACCCTTATAATTCCGGGCATAAGAGAAAATGACGACGGAGGACTGCACCGAAGTTACCTGAAGCGAGCCGTTTGAGCTCGCGGAGATGTCGGGAGGCCACCTTTGAAGGAAAGACGGCGGGATGGCTGGAGTCCAATTGGAAAAAGTCTCGCCACCGCTTCTTCGTTTTGTGCGGCGGAAAGTGCAGAGGGATTGAGATGGATCCAGCGGCGATCGATTCACCGTCGCCTGCAGAGCAAAGACGGAGCCGACAGCTGCAAGAATGGAGAAGGATTAGCAAAATTTAGGGTTTTGAGATTTTGGGGCTGGATTGGGGCAGACGAGAAGAGGCCGGAGACCCTGTTCACTGTTATTTTCTTTCATCGGTGTTCTGTGTGTGGCGCTGAAAAAGGTGGTTAACTTACAAATTAGTCACCAAACATACTTCCATGTGCTATAATAACCACTGAAATTAACTTCGGAAGCAATTAAGCAACAAATAAGAATTTCACTCAATTAAAACCACCCACTTTCTTATTTTATATATGCACATTAACATTATTTAGTGAATGTGACAAATAGGGCAGAAAAAGGTTCAATATAATGCTTAAATTGTTACATATACGTGGGTTTTAGAGCTAAAACGTTATAGGCTAACGTGTTTAATGTGCTTCAAATAAAAGAGAAAATAAAATAAAACTTTACAACAGACGTTTTTTTTCTCTCTCTCTCTTCCAGTACCAATCAAGTCGCTAGCGACTAAAGAGAAATAATTAACATGATAAAAACATTTTAGTAGTACCTTATAAATGACGCCCAAACTGTTATATTAGGTCGAGTATGGGGCCGCACATGATCGAAAATAATAGATACTAACAAAAAGTAATAGAGTTGGATTAAGAGGTAACATACTTAAAAGTACATAATACTATCAGTATTAATTACTCTATTTCTGGTATGATCTCCAAATCTTGCAATGGCTTCGACTTCATCGTAGCTGCAGTTCTTGTCACACCACCACCATCAGGATTGGAGCTAATAGGATTAGGAGGTGGTTTTAAATTGTCCACTTCCCCTTCAAGCATTTGTACCACAAGTTTCATTGGCGGTCGATCAACTGGGTTCCACTGAATGCACCACAGCCCTGCTATTGCCATCTTCTTCCTGATCTTGCCATCTTCCTCATCCTCCTCAATATCAAACTTCAGTTCCTCCTTGGACCTGCGGAAAAGGCTATAAATCCACTCCGGAAAGTATATCTGATTGGTACCATCTGTTGTAGTGACATCAACATTATTCCTCCCTCCAACAATTTCTAGCAACAGCATCCCAAAGCTGTACACATCGGCTTTATGCGAAACATTCCCAAAGTTCCTAGAGAACACTTCTGGGGCAATGTAGCCGATGGTCCCTCTGGCTGTTGTCATGGATATGGCACTCTGATCCTTTGCACACAGCTTGGCCAGGCCAAAATCCGATATCTTTGGGGTGAAGTCCCGGTCGAGGAGGATGTTGCAAGGCTTGATGTCGAAATGCAGGATCCTCTGGTGACATCCGTGGTGAAGATACTCGATCCCTTTGGCTACTCCAATAGCAATATCTTGGAGCTTCTTCAGCCCAAAGCTGGAATGTTGATTCCCCTTGTAAGAGATGTACTTCTGCAGTGAATCATTTGGTAAGTACTCATACACTAAAGCTCTCCTGAACCCATCGGCACAGAATCCGACCAGCCTAACCACATTGACATGGTGGATTCCGGCCATTGCTCCCACTTCATTCACAAAGTCCTCTCCATTTCCTTTGGAGATGCTACTGTTGATGCCAAGTACCTTGACAGCTACTTCGATTTCATTGGATAGCTTCCCTTTGAACACTGTTCCATAAGTACCTCGACCTAGTTCAACAGTGAACTGGTTGGTGATTCGCTTAATGTCGGCGTAAGAGAAGCGTGTAGGCTTGACAGCCTTGTAATCGTCCAAGAACTCCTCAACCTTTGACCGGTATTCCTTTTCCCTCTGACTATAATTGTATGCACGGTGAAGTGCAATGACCAATACCGCAATGGAGACCGAACCCAGAGTAACCCCAGCTATCCGTCCCTTCTTCAAGGCCAGAACTGTTGAGCGTGAAGCAAGAGAACATATTAGTGGAAGAGAAGGTTAGGCAAAAATAATGATGGCTTGTTGAATGTACCTTTACTGCGATTAGCATCTCCAGAGCACTCAACTTCTGGTTTCAGTCTGCCCTGCTTCAACACACAGCATTCCCTTTTTACCTTGTAACATTTGCGGCATCCTGGTTCAGACCAGCTCAAATAAGGATCAGCTAGGCCTGTTGCTGGAAGGTTGTACATCTTTTTACAAGACACCAATTCAACGTCATCTAGGGTGCGTACTGAATAGTAGGAATAGACCCCATGGCCAAGGCAAGGCTCTGGCGACAAAGAGCTAGGCATCTCATGTGGGAGCTTGGAACAGTTGAAAAACGTGTTAATAGGGATTACCCCAACCATTTTGAATGGTGAGGTTGACAGTTCAAGGTCTCGGAGTTGTCTGGGAAGACACCCATCTGGGCTTCTCAGATAAATTCGTTGAGATTCATAGTCAATCCTCTGGACGATGAAGTTGACGGAGTTTGGCAGATGAAGCAGTGTTTGGTTGGTTTCAGACCTGCAAGAAAGCTCGAACCCAGGATATCCCTCGTACCCAGATGAACGCTTGTCCTTGATGGTGAACGGGAACCTGATGTCAATGGTTGTGTCATTGCCACAGCTTGTTGTGGTTCTGCAGGTGCTGTAGAGTTTTGGTGCTGCAGCTCCATGATTTGCCTCTGCCGATGGTGAAATTAAGCACCACCATAACCACAAGTAGAAGAAACATGTTGGAAATGCTTGCCTTGGGAGGAAGTTCAACATTTTTTACATTGATAATTACCTAGTGAAACAGGGAATAAGAGCACTTTGCCTTTGCTGTAATCTCATCCCAATGAGATTATTAGATCAAAGAGGGTATTTCAAATTTCCATTATTTAATCTCAAATGTATCAAAATGAAGCAATTTCAAACACTCAAAAAGTATGAATATTTAAAAACTCACCCTACATAGGTTGGTCACATGTCTTTTCTTCACTTTTCCGACATAATCCATGTACAAATGCATTGAACCACTACAGCTTTTGTGAATCACACAGTAGCAACTAACAAGCAAAACAAAAGGCATGCAATTAATACCAATAACACCCAATTCTAAATACACATGAACTGGAGATTTGCATAGACTCACCATACTTATTCCTATATTAAACAGTAATTACGGCCTTTTATCCATAAAACTCTGATACCACATAAAAAACTAGTTCATCCCAAAATCGAGATATTCGGGAGAATCAAGAATAAATTTTCTCTCATTTATATACCCACAATGTCAAAAGGTAAGACAGTTACTTCATTTTTAATATACGAAACTCTACTACGGAGGCTTGAATGCCAGACTTCTCACCAGACTAGAGCTACAACTTAAACTAAATGGAAAAGAAGAAATAGCTAATAAACAGTCAGATGCCAGCTTGTAGTTCAGACGCTCATAACTTTCACACACAACAACTCCGAAAACGAAAAATGCTGCCTAACCTTTTTGTACATTAAGTAATTTTTTTTCCTGATCAGATTCCATTAAGAATTTCGAGATCACAGGCTGTTCTGTAATTGTTAAACACAAGTGGGCTTAAGCACCTGACTTCCCACTCCCAAAAAGTGGGCAGGACAAAAAAGGTGAACATTCACATGATGGCCATAATTTGACAGATCATAGACTGGACATCGAGTAAAATATCCACACAAAAATTATGGAGAAAGCTTACAGTGAACATGACTGGTGTGTTACTGGAAAAAGGCCGGATGGATCACAAAGATAAACACGGCTAATATTGCCACGAACCAGAAGATGGCCAAACTTGTGCGCACCTGTGATCATCTCTTACCTAGCTCCACCAACGTTGCCTCCAAAATTCCTCGACTCGCCTTTATCAACAACAGGTACTTTAACCAATGTGTCATGGACAACATCAAGTCCAACAATGACAATCTGCACAGTCAAAGTCAATTATGTGACTGACCGGTGACGTGACAATATCAAGTCCGATGATGTCCACTTTCCATCAAAATAGGAGGTGTCATACACTTAATTCCAAAAATCCATTGATGAAATCAACCCAAAGGAAACTCTTAGTTTGAGAAATGTGACATTACGGGGCAATTCTTTTTTCTTTCTTTCCTTGGGTTTCTTCTCTCACTAACATAGGAAGTGGGAAACACCACCATCCTTTGTTAACAATTAAAAAGAGCTAAAGCTCCTTGGTGGGAAATTTGGCTGATCCGACCTCCAAAAGTAACTCTTGGATTGGTTTATGGCTTTATGCAGGTAGTCATGTTCACAGTAAGGCTTCCCCTCCTCCTTCACATTGCTGCAGCTCGACTAATCGTCTCACCATTATTCATTTTGCTGCTGCTCCAAGCTTGTCGAGCTACTGATGGCCAGGTGGACTGTGTAGCTTCCTCTTGTGGAAACATACCCATCATTAAATCACCATTCCGACTCAAATCAGATCCTGAGAGCTGCGGACACAACAAGTATACCCTCTCATGTGAGAGCAATACAACAGTGCTGTACCTGGGATCGGCAAGATACTATGTACAGGCAATTGATTATAACAACTTGACGATCCGGTTGGTGGATGATGGTGTGATTGGAAACAACTGCTCCTCCTTGCCCACTCACCCCCTGTCTGAGAGCAGCTTAACTTCTCACCCATACTCCGCCACCCATTTGAGAAAGACGCTATTATTCATGATTGGAGAAGAATCCTTGAATGAAGCTTTGGTTCTGGTGAGCTGCGATAATGCTGTCTATTCTCCACTGTATCTGCAAACAGCTTCTTGCATCAACATCGGATCGAAGAACTCTTCAAGTTATGCGCTTGTTGGGAATGCTGTGGTTGCATCAGATTTGGCAGAGACATGCACAGTGGTGATGGTGGCTATGCTACCAAAGACCAAGAAGAGGAATTACCAGGTTACATTTCAAGAGGTTCACCAGCAGCTTGAATATGGTTTTGAGCTTTCATGGCAGGAGTATTCCTGCCCCCACTGCCGTCGCCCATCCCATTGCTACCCTCTCACGTTTGGCATATTTCACTGTAATAATGGTAAATATCATCACATATCCAACAATCATCTGTTGTCTTTGCTCTTCTTTTTCTTTCCCCTACACAATTATTATGCTCCTTTCATCTCATACTAATGTTTCGAGTGCCTTTCTTTCTTCATGTAGGACTACATGACTATATTTTCATATACACATGTGAGACATCCCTGCGTCCCTCCTGTGTCAGAGTATTTCTATTTAAGGCCCTTGCTTACTCTGAGTATTACTTTCTAGTGTAAGCACTTTGTGATGCTCCTCCTTCGCCTCTCTTTTTATTTTGTGCAGCATTCTATGGGCCTTGGCTGATTGCCCTTGGTAATGCTTCTCTCAACTTCCTTATTATTTGACAGCTTCGTGTCAATTCTTTCCCTTCCCATCTACATTCATCAGCTCCAAGACTGACTATTTATATGCATACTCTACAGTGGCACTAGTTGTAGCATTCACCCGTGTCACTGGAATTCCTCTTGTGATTATATTTCTGATATACAAATGGCGAAGGAGGCATCAATCAGCATATTATAACATTGAGGAGTTCCTCCAGAACCAAACCCTCATGCCAATCAGGTACTCTTACTCAGACATCAAGAAAGTCACCGAAGGATTCAAGGACAAGCTAGGTGAAGGTGGGTTTGGCTCTGTCTACAAAGCAAAGCTACGTGGTGGCAGCTTTGCAGCTGTGAAGATACTTGGGACCAAGAAGTTGTCCACAGCTGGAGGAGGAAGTGGTGGTCAAGACTTCATGAGTGAGGTTGCTACCATTGGTAGGATCCACCATGCCAATGTGGTGAGGCTGATTGGCTACTGTTCCGAAGGACCAAAGCGAGCTCTTGTCTATGAGTTCATGCCAAATGGTTCACTCGACAAGCACATCTTTCACCACAAGCAAAGTTCTTTGAGCTTGGAACAATTGTACCATATCTCCCTTGGAGTGGCCCATGGGATCGAGTACCTGCACCGCGGCTGCACAATGCAGATACTGCATTTCGACATCAAGCCCCACAACATCCTCCTCGACCAAAGCTTCAACCCTAAGATATCCGATTTTGGATTGGCTCAGTTGAATCAGCCTGGTGGCGATCACAGCATCGCCACTATGACAGCAGCAAGAGGGACCATTGGGTACATGGCACCCGAGATGTTCTATAAGAACATTGGAACGGTGTCTTACAAAGCCGATGTATACAGCTTTGGGATGCTGATCCTGGAAATGACAGGTAAAAGGAAGAATCAGAATGCAGCGACGGATCGTTCGAGCGTTTACTTCCCCTCATGGGTTCACAACGAGGTGTCTACGCCCGGGACTCCGATTGCAGTTGGAGAAGTCACAGAAGAGGAAGACGACATTGCCAAGAAGATGGTGATTGTAGGATTGTGGTGCATCCAGACCAATCCCGCCAATCGTCCTCCGATGAACAAAGTGGTGGAGATGCTTGAAGGCGACTTGGAAAGCCTGCCGCTGCCTCCAAAGCCTGTTTTGTATGCCGGAGAAACTGTAACGAGGAATGAAGAAGAATCATCGACTTCTTCATATATGTCATCCACGTGTACACAATCAATTATCAGTACAGTAAACAATAATGAATCTCCACAATGATGGTTGATAATAATGCAGCTCAAGTTCGCTTCTTCTTGTGAAAATGACTATGTCAAAATTCCAATTTGATCTCATCTCCCCCTACAAGAAAAAGGTTCGAAACAACTACATTTACCTGAGAGAACTGGACAGCGACGGCGAGCTGGTCCAGCAACTTCGAAGGAGTGACGGCCGGCCTCCTCGCTCCTGTCTTGACCGCGGAGACTGCATAGTGATTGAGTTGGAAGTCAACGGCGGTCAGTTCAACGTCATCGGACTGAGGGACTAACACGGAATGCCGGATTGAAGATTTATAGGGTTTTCAAATTTTTTGGGACGAAATTTGGGAGGATGGAGAAGAAGACTAGGGTTCATTGTTCTTCAATCTTTATTCGTTTTTTTTTTTTTTTGGCGCGGGCTTAATTATCGCGGGAATCGGTTCTGCCGATGCTCAACCCGACCCGACTATTTGGATTAATTATAACAGGCCCGGCCCAATAAGGTTCGTCAGCCCAATAGTTTTAACAGGTAGTTTTGTTCAATGTGTTGGAGTTGGAGCTATGAGACTATGGACAAATCATGTTGGAGTAACTACTTTCTTAAGTGGATGTGTTAAACACATTTAAGGAAAATCGATGTATCTTTCGATTGCATATTCTTATTAGTTTTAACGTCTACCATAATAAATTCATACGACAAACTTTTTTTAACTTGAAACAATATTATATATGTTGTTTGCTACTAAATTTATACTCATTTCTACAAACGTAAAGAAACATAAATGGAGTAACCAAGGAGTCGGGGAGAAGTGGAAATTAAATCATAACGTGTACCACCAGTCGTAGTTTAATAACTACAATCGGCAACAAATTGTAACAATTGGGTTGCACTTACTGGAAATTTATTAATTTATGACACATCTCCAAAAACTTATTGGTCGATTTCCAATCAGACTTCATGATAACATTTGAACTTACATTTCCGTTGATAATAATCGTGATTGCTCAAACTACACATGCAATTAATCAAATGTATTTTTGAGCATGGTTCCTTGTTGCTCAATTTATTGTATCATTATTAACTAGGAATCATTTTTTACGACTCCTCATCCCACTTATTAATATCATCGATACTTCTCCACGTTTGTAATTCGTAAGATTTTTCATATAATTTGACTTATTTTTAATAAGCACCAAACCATTAAAAAAAACTCCTATCAAACACTTCCCAATACAAATCATTTATCTTTTGAGAATTCTCAATCTTTCTGCGTATTCTTGGCATAAAACACTTTTATTTTCTCCCTTTTCCTCCCCTTCCGTCAGGGGAAAAAAGGTTGAATTTTTAAGTTAAGAGCTCTATTCAATTCGTAGTTCAAGCTTACATAGACGGAGAGGCCGGGAGAGATATTCTGAGCGAAACGAGAAACCGAGACAGAGGGAAAAAGGAGGTCGGGGAAGGGCAGAATTGAGGAGCGCCGTGGTGGGAGCTGCGGATCTGGTCCTGAGATTTCCTCCCCGCCGGCGAGCTTGTTTGATCCCTCCGGAGAATGCGTTGTTAACGGAAGCTATCACATCAGAGGTCGTAATAGTTCCTCCTTTTTTTCCCGCGTTTCTTCACCCTTTCCGTTCCTTTCGGTTTGTCGGCGGAATGTTTGGGTTGTGAATTTTGGTGGCGGGGGCGAGCGATCTGATCCTTTCGCCGCCGCCGGCATTCCTGGTTCTAGATCTCACAATGCCGCCGTTACCAATCTGTGAATTTCCTGTTTTGTGTTGGAAATCTGGTTTTCCCCATATCCCCAGATAGATTAAGCTCGTCTTATTGGAAAATGGGTTTATAACTCTATCTGCGGGAGCGTAAATGTTTGATATGTATTGTTGCAGATTCGGTTTCTTAAAAGTATCCGTGACGGGCATTTTGGTGAAGCTATGAAAAACGGCATGATAGAATGCAGCGTGTGCCATTCCAAGCTGGTGTCTCCTTCTTCCAAAACAGTTTCGAGGGCTTATGACAGGCACAAGAGCAGGGTGTCGTCCAAGCTGAGAGCCCTCAATGTGTTGTTGGTTGTGGGTGATTGTATGCTAGTTGGCTTACAGGTGATTGATCTGGGTTTTTCTATTCTTGCTCTTTTGAAATGTGAAATTGAGCTGGCAGTATATTATGGTAAACAGTGTAGGCGGGTACTGAGATGCTTTAGTTGAACTGGTTTTGTAGACCTCTTTGATGATTTCAGCTTATCATGCGTGCATAATGTGTGCCTTGTTGGAGGTTATTGTTGCAGCATGTTTCTGTTGGAAGTTTTCACATCCGTTCTCATCTGCAGACTTGTATGGTAGAGTTATACGGATATGTCTCATACATTGTTAATCCTAGCTGAGTGATATATCCCACACAGGACGAGTGTCATATGATTTTGCGGGTTTGTCCATAGTGATGGACGGGGGAGCTGCCTGGTGACCATAAGGGTATACCAGAACTTGTAGCATTAGCATTGTTCTCACAGTTCATTGGTTGGAAAGATGTGATATTTTATTCTTAAATCCGATAAGTTGAGACGTGGGTTCTTTCTCATGTTGCTGAAATCCTTTGTCCGCTAAACATCTATGCTGGTTAAGCTTAGGCCCAGTGTGTAAATCATTGATGTTTTCCTGCTGCATGTTCCTGCCTTCATTACGGTATTTTTGTTGCAGGCTTACAAATTACTGTAATTTGTTTATTAATATACTTAAGTTCCTAATTTTCTTGCGTACCTTGCCTCTTCTTGCAGCCTATATTGGTGTATATGTCCAAGGTGGATGGAAAATTTGAGTTCAGCCCGATAAGTGTAAACTTCTTGACAGAAATTACGAAAGTCGTATTTGCAATTGTTATGCTTATTTTACAGGTTGGTAAAAATATTTCCCTCTAACCTTGATTGATGCTATTGGTATATATTTGCTTCTTTATTAAGTCATGTAATGGTTGTGTAAGATTGCTTAAGACGTTTCCTTTGCTTGGTGTAGTTCTGGTATAACTCAGTTGGCCACCTTTAGGATGTATTGATAATGACACTCTCTGCTTCATGCAGATGTTTTGATGCATGAGAATTAGTCGACCCATAACGTATAGTGCTTAGCAAACCACAAGTTTATTTGAAACCCTGGAACTTCAGCATTAACATGATGAACCACAGATCACAGATATTGCTGTTTGTGATTTTATGTATCTGCTTCCCTCTGAAAAGGTTGATCTTGCTATATAAACATGATAATATTGCTTTACTTCTGTGGGTTAGAAATTAAGGACTGAGGAAGGTTATGGTAGTAGTGTGACTGGAAAAGACAAAAATATAATGGCTAGATTCCAGAGGTCTGGGCCGCCTGAGTATCTTGTTTTGTATGTTCATTATATGTTTATGTTGAGTCATGGTATATATTTACCTGATGATGGAAGATTTCCCCTGATTCTGCAGGCTAGAAGTCAGAAAGTCGGGGAGAAGCCACTTCTATCGATCTCTACTTTTGTACAGGTATGTGTGTGATATTAGTACTAATCTATCGTAGATGAAAATAATATTTCAGAACACAGGCTTGATTTTTAGAACCTCCTCTCTGCCCTTGGCTTTGAAAGTGGAATGTGTAATTTGTCTTCATTTTATGGTGTCAAATGTGACGCTGAAGTTGAATCTTTACCTTCAAATACTTTTGAGGCTTTTAACTAATCCTTGTATAACCTGGATGTATATTTGTGTTTGTAGTGGACTCTTCATTTTGTTTGGTCACCAAGTTAGGTATGTTACCTTATTCTAATCAATATTTTTGACAGGCAGCTCGTAACAATGTCCTTCTTGCGGTTCCTGCGCTTCTCTATGCTATCAATAACTATTTAAAGTTCATAATGCAGGTAAGGGGTCTATGTTATCTATCATGTGGATCTACTTTATGATTTATTTTTCATAAAATAAGAAGATGAATCTGCTATGAAATACGCACAGCAAGTGTTTATAATGTGGCTGGTTATTAATTCTGTCTTTAGCTGTGAAGTACTTTTAAAACCTTGGAATTGATGGGTCATAAAGATTATGTTCGTGAAACCATGGAATATAAAAGTAAAATAAGGAGCTATAACTGAAGTAGCAGGAAGAGAATATTTTCCAAATAATTTTGGTAAACAGTTATGGTGATCCATTGAACTGGTTTTTAAGGAGGCATGAGAAGGTTTGGGGATGTTGAAATCCATATTTTGCGAGTTAGCTAGGTTTATGCAGTTTTCATCCGCAGATTAGCTTCAATGTATTCTTTCAATGGATGGCTATGAGGGTTTGGTGTCTGGAGTTTAATGTTTCAAATTTACTTTTTTGCTCCCCTTTTCCGAACAAGCTGTTATGAGTCACTTGGTTGAGAACTTTTGTTTATTTTGCAGCTTTATTTTAATCCTGCAACGGTGAAGATGCTTAGCAATCTGAAGGTACTTTATATTTCAATGCTTACTTGTGTTATGTGATCTATATTATTATCATCGTAGAATCTTTTGGCATCTGTGGGATGGGTCAGTTTGAAAAAAATGGTTTTTTTGGTAGTTTAGCTGTAATTATTTGGTGGAAACAATATGCTGAATACTTAAATTTTGGAAAGAATATGTTTGTTTTAAAATTAATTTTTGCAATTTTTTTCTTTAATTATGTACAAACTTGCAGGTTCTGGTCATTGCTGTTTTGCTGAAGTTAGTAATGAAGCGTCGCTTCTCTATAATTCAGGTCAGTTCTATAAGCCACAAGCTCACCTCTAGTAATTGTACTTCTATGTGGGCCCGCAGCTTCTGTTGCTTGAAAATCTTAGCAACTGGATCATGATTTGTGACAGTGGGAAGCCCTTGCTTTGCTGCTCATTGGTATTAGCATAAATCAGTTACGCTCATTACCTGAAGGTACTACTGCCTTGGGCCTTCCAGTTGCAACGGGTGCTTATATGTACACATTTATCTTTGTAAGTTCTAATAAACTTCCTTCAACAGTCTGGATTCAAGATTGTATTCACTCAAGTCTTTTTGCTTATTGGTAAATTTCTGAAATTCTGTTAGGTAACAATCCCATCTCTGGCCTCTGTATTTAATGAGTATGCTCTGAAGAGTCAATACGATACCAGCATATATCTTCAGGTAATGTACTACTGCAAAGGACCTTTGGTTCTTATATTTAAATTTTATGTATCAATGATGCTCTTCATTTAGGCTCCTAGAATATCGCTTTCAAGCTTTCTATTGTAGTCTATGGCAAGTAGCACAATTTTTGTGGAGCATTTTCATTAGCTTGTCAATCTTGTTCAAATTAAATAACTATATGAACATGTGATAGAGACACGACCTGTGTTCCTAATTTGTTATCCTCGTTGCTAATATATCTGCAGTTGAAACTAAATAATTGGACACATATATTTCAGTTGGCTATGTGTTGACTCTTAATATTTTTTTGGTTGCAGAACCTGTTTTTATATGGCTATGGTGCTATATTCAATTTTCTGGCTATACTGGGAATGACCATCGTTAAAGGTATAATCAGGGACCAGTTGCTTGTCTATGGGAATTTGGCTACCCTCAGTTCTCTGTTTTTGCATCTTATGGGCTATGGCACAGTTACTAACATCTTGCTGCTTTGATTGTAATTGATTTCTCAGGTCCCAGTAGCATGGATATCCTCCATGGTCATTCAAGAGCTACAATGCTTCTAATATGTAACAATGCAGCCCAAGGAATTTTGTCCTCTTTCTTCTTCAAATATGCAGGTTAGTTCAGACTTTTGCCATTTTCTTTCTGCTACATATCCAAATTACATCACTGACTGGGTTGGGATTTCTCTATTTCCAGACACTATTCTGAAGAAGTACTCGTCAACGGTGGCCACAATCTTCACGGGCATAGCATCTGCGGCACTGTTTGGTCACAAGTTGACAATGAACTTTGTGTTGGGAATTTCAATCGTGTTCATTTCAATGCATCAGGTGAGTGATTTATCAGACTCAGTGATGAATTCTTGGATACCTTTGGTTGTTAATTAAGCTCCAACATGTATCTTCTGGGCTCTTTTCCTTTCCAGTTTTTCTCGCCTCTTGCCAAAGTCAAAGATGAACCCCATAATGGGGTTGTGGAACTGAAGGAAGAGGACCCCCAAAGGTACAGTCTTTCTTCTCCGTGTCATTAGTTTCTGGTAGAAATTAGATTAAGTTCTCGGATTTTACGGTGCCAAGTACAAACTCAAGTGACTTGTCTCACCGGAATTCATCTATTCTTTCGTCTGCTGAGCCTGAATCTGAATGCATATTGTAATGGGGGCTCTCTCAAAGAACTCAAACATCTTGCATTTGTTGCATTCAGGTCAAAGGAATCGTTCATAAACATGGCAGCCGCCGCGAATGAAGAGGTGGGTTTGTATATTATATATCAATCGACCTGATACGAACATGTATCTTGACTGGTTCCAACATAACATTATTATGTTCGCCTTGCCAGATGACTCACCGCGTAAGCCATGACGAAAGGCAGCCTCTACTTCCTACCTAAAGTTTTGTAGAGTACATACTACATACATGAAGGTACACTTCCATCCATCTATCTCCATTCCTGCCCAAAAAGAGAACCAAAACCAACTCTCGACTTCATGGAACATGTAATTTGGTTTCAGGCATCCCTTTCTATAAGGGGAATTCTTTTGGCAGATGGTGGACTTAGCACAGAGTGATAAGTTTGTCGTCTCAGACCGCAAAATAATCGAAAAAGGAAAAGAAAATAGATGAATATTTTACAGTTTGGGAATGGGGGGATACTATTTGGCACCATTAGCAGAGAGAACCCGTTAGAAGAAGAATGTGTGAAGTACACAATGCAGATGGCTGTGTTTTTGCCTTTTTGGAGGGCTAGGTGGGTTTTACCTGTATTCATCTTGGACAGTAGATTCATATATATATCTTTGTTCTTTTTCACCTTTCTTGGTCTCTATTTCCTATTATTATTTTCTCAGAATTAGAATCTTGTGACCTTGTTCACTGTTACAATGTCCATGTAAAAAAGATGAGAGATTTGCTCTCCTGTATTCTGTTCTTTTTTTTCTTCTTCAATCATTGTGGCACGACATGAGGACTGTTTCGTTGTAATGGACGTTCTGTTTATAGACGAAATGTATCCTTTGATGAAGCCCTTCGTGCGCTCGCTTGCTGCAATGTTATGTTTGCTTGGGACGACTGAATGTTTGTTTGTTTTAGACGCTAAATTCAACTCCAGCGGGATACTTTGAATACTCATCGTGATCCAGAGACACCCCGAGATTATGTTTTCGCCCTTACAGGTTGTGATTCTTATTGATCCATTACTTGCAAGTCGACATGAATTGACTTGTCTTGAGGTCTGAGTCGCCAGACCTACTTGTGCTTGTTCATTTATGGTCAAATGCAACACTTTCTCGTGTGCCCAATACTCGATAAATTGTTTAGAATAAGACCCAATTTGTTAGTAATTACAAAGTTTAGTGACCAGTTTGGCATTAATTCTAAAGTTCAGTGATCGTTACACCCCGTGGGCGGATAAGACAGAAAATATATGCACCACGGAGTCAATTATCCGTCTCGTCCTCGTCTCCGTCTCCTCCATTATCGCAGGAGGCCGTCTTTGTTCATACTTCATACTCAGCACCTCAGTCAGCAATTTCCCGCCGCGGCCGCCGACGGATGCGAACCAGAAAACAAAGAACCAGTTCCCTCCGATGAACTCAACAGCCAACAGCCTCCGCTTCTCTTCCCCTCTTTGTCCCCGATTCCAATCTCCCGCCAAATCCCCCACCCTCACCTCCGCTTCCCGATTCTCATTCGTCCGATGCTCCTTCCCCTCATCCAGCCGCCGCCGTTCGCGCCGCTCCGGCAAGAGGAAACTACTTCAGACCTCGACTTCCACCGCCCGCCCCTCCCTCCACCTCGACGACGACCTCGATCGCGCAGCTTCGGCTCAGAGCCTCGAATTGGTCCTCGACCTCGACCAGCTCTCTTACCTCGCTAGTTCCAACCTCCGTCGGTTCATCTCTTCCGGCAGGGACGCGTACGCCGACCTCAGCACCCTCGTGTCCTTCGACGAGAGCAGAAGGATTGTCTTCTCCTGCCGGAAATCGACCGTGCGGTTTACCGGCATGGTTTTGCTCTGCGGATTTGTGTTTGTTTCGGCGGTTAGGGTTTTGATTGGCCTGGGGCTCGCGTTCAGGCGGAGTGTAGGGTTTAGGCGGGAGAAGGTTGTCGTGAGGAGAGACCGGAGTCTCGGAGGGAGAGAGGTGGTGGTTGCGACGGCGGCGGGGGCGACGGAGAGAGATGGCGTGAGGCCGAAGAGGAAGAAGTTTGGGGTTTTGGATAATCCATTGTCGTCCCTGAGTCGTGCTGTAGGGGAAAATGATTGGAAGAAGTACTTGGCTCGGAGGCAGAACACTTTACCGAAATGGTGGCCGGCGGCGGCGGCGGCGGCGCACTTATTATTGGAGAATCAGGATGAGTATCAAAGGGAGGCCAAGAGATTGATTCGAGGTTAGCTTTCTTTCTCTTCCAGTTGCTTTTTTTTTTTTTTCAGTTGTCGATCTTGAACATTCATGGCATTGAGGTTTTAGGAATGCAGCTATGTTGTTAGGAAGAACTTTTCATCTTTGCAGTGTCACCTAGCTCGAATTTAAATGCTTGTGCAGTATAAACAAAACCAGCAGGACACTCAAAGATGGTTGGTCTACCTTTTGCACATTTGATGGTGGTCCTATTGGTTTCCTTTTTGAGCTGAACTGAGCATTGTAGAGTCCGCAATGGAAATAGTGTGTCCCAAGAGTTTCAAATAGGCTCCAATGATAGAAAGTTCATAGCTTTATCATTTAAGATCTGAACGAGAGCAAGGATGTGGTTTGTTAAAACTAAGAACTGATTTCCATAGTGGCGTGATGTGGATTTATTTGTTATATCAGCTATTATGTGTTTCAAGACGAGATAATATGCGTGATTGATGTGCTACTAAGAACTGAGAGCACTGAACAGTCTTGTAGGATTGCTTCATCCATACACAATGTTATTTTAGTTCTCGAGTATAATAACCCTTGGCATTAAAGATGTGCTGATGTTATATCCTTGGTCCAATCTCACTTGTTTCTGTTGGTAAACAAGTGCCGCATTTCTTGAAATGAGTTTGTATTTATATTAATCGGCCCTTTTGCAAGTCACTACTCATGAACTTGATTTCCAGCAATCACGGACTATAGAACAAGCGGAAAGGATTTTGCAGTGGATGACATAATTCAAGTTAGTGCCTTTCCTATTCTCTCCCTTTATTTGAAACATGCTGTGAAGAAGTAATAATCTTCATTTCACGGGATGGGATTTCCTCCCACGATCCTAGAAAAAGTGAATCTGAAACATGGTCCTTTTGTATGGTGATCTGATTCTCAATATGCGATGGTCTCTCTCTCTCTTTCATGCATGTGTGAGCAGTTGCGTCGAATATGCAGGACATCTGGAGTGAAGGTTAGCTTTGACACGACAAACACTCGCGACGCACTCTTCCGTGCATCAGTTGACTTCGTTTTAAATATGTGTAGCAGGTATATGTATTTCATACCTTCCATCAGCTATGCCAATTTGAGACATTTAGATCTTGCTATTCTTATATATTGACATCTTCTGAAAGCTTGCAGGAATCCAAGTTACGAAAGTGTACCTGAGATTGATGCTGAAGATGTCCGCCAGTTCATTGCTGGACTTGCTGACAACATTGGGCTTGAGAACATACGTGCTGCTAGAATTGTGTCTGCTGGTGTTGCTGCACGTACTCATTCGTGTTTCTTGCAGGCTTGGGTAATTTCTGCTCCTTTCTATGAATTTCATCATCTTATAAATTTTAACATGGATTACGAGTGAGAACGACCCTTCATTTGCTGCCAACGTCTTGGAAAGCTAGTTTGTGTATTTTAGGAGGTGGAATGAGATCATATATATTGCGTTCTTTAACTATCACTACTTCTATCTATCTGGTTGATGTCTGTAACATAGTAAAGATCTCTTTTAGTCAATTGAAGTGATCAACTTCTTCTTGTATAGGCATATATCTCTATATTGCTGCTTTATTCCTGAAAGTACGCAATACTATCTAAGATGAAATTGAACTGAAGGCTTAGAATATATCAATTTTATCTGGAGGAGTCTGTTGAGTAGTAGGTTCCTGCTTTAATCCCAAGAGGTTGATTAAGGAGGGTTTTGATCAATGAACCGCGAATGCAAACATAAGGTTTCTTTTTTAGTGAATGCAACTTCTTTCCTTTTGTTGGGTTGCAGGCTTTGGATGTGCAAGGGAAACACTCTGAAGCAGTTATGGAATTGTTGAGCATCTGTTCTGTTCTCCACACATTTCCTCCTGATGAGTCTTCGGTTTGTTTTTTCCCTATGTTCTTCCTTTTCTTAATTTTTCCTGGTACTTTCACTCGTCTGCTGATCGACAGTGATTGGAAGCTCTTGTTTATTCGGGGGATTGGTTTTGCGTTCTTGATGCTATCATTTACGTACCTATCATCCAACTTAAGTTTACACTTGACTCCACTGTTGTTTGTACCATGTATGGCCTACATATTTTTGTTGTCAATGTTATGGGCTGTTATATTCCCAAAATATCAAACCATACTCTTCTGGATGTTTAATGCTTAGCCAAGCTTTCGACTGTCACCATTATTATAATGCCATTGTAATTATGGTGCTAGAGGGTGGAGCAGTTAGATCTTTTTATCCCAATGGTATTATAGCTCATGCAAAATTGGCGGTTGCCCCGCCAGCTGTTGGATATTGAGTGTTATCTTTTTGTTTCCCGATATTTTGCAGCCGGAAATGGAGATGGTAGCAGAGGGACTAGGAAAGCACTTAAAGGTCGAGCAGAGGGAACTTCTGTTGGACATGTTCTGCGTGGCTTGCAGCTGTAAAGAGAGCCATAGAAGTGCAGCAGATGCTCTCGGCTTGGTTCGTACCCCTTCCTCCTCTCCTTAAAATACCTCCTTTCATACAATCCATCCCTTTAATTTCACCCCCTTTGCGTTTGTTTGATTCGGTTGCTCATTGTTCATGCATTGCTGTAGACGCTCTCATCTGAAGCATCTGAAGTTGGTGGTCTTCAAGAAGACAGCAGCAGAAGTCCGGTAGAAAGCTGATCGCAGGCAGATTTCTTAACCCGTTAGATCAAGAAGACAAAAATCGAAGACACAGACCTTTTAGGCTGTTGTCTATGTATATGCTATTTGCCTTCTCTCTCAAATGGCATCTTAGAATCTGTTCCATTTTCTTTACACTTGCGAATAATCATCTTTAGGTTAATCATTCATGATAATTATCTAATAACAACGGTGCTAGTTTACAGTTTACACACTGCACCTCAGTGACTGCAGCCTTCTCTCCAGACCTCAGTTGTTCCTCTAAGCTCGGCCGTAGTAATGGAGCAGGATACAAGGTTCGTCGTCCAAGCAACAAAAGGAGCCTCTGTTTACTTTGGCTTGCTGCATTTTCTTGGCCAGAGGCAATGTGATGAACTCTGCATGAACTGAGCAAAGGTCCTCTTATACACAACCCCCAGGCTCCATAAACATCTGCTTCCCCAACGTAGATGCCTGGGCTAGCATTACATGGGCTTACAGAGCTGTCAAATTTGGGCTTGACATGAACCAAAGCCCAAAATCCAGCCCACTAAGAGTTCAACTTGACTCCTCTAATTGACCCAAATTCATCTCCCCGTTCTGTTCCCCTCGCCGCCGGTCTCCACTGTCCGTTCCCGCGAAAGCATCCCAGGTTTTGCGCTGCTCTCTCGCCGCCAGAATCGAAGCTGTCGGAGCTAGCCCTGAATGCTCCGGGATGGAAGGATTAAGCGTGGTTGCAGCCAATTTGAAAGTCTTCCTCCAGCCTTCGCAGAGCAATAATCTCACTCTAGCTATCTTCCGCGAGCTCAGCGCGTTGCTCTTCAAGTTCGTTTCTTTACTCCTGTTCTGCTCGGTTTTCTTGTTCTTGAATCGTGATTGCGTTCACCTGGTTTCCGCTTCAATTCGGTTACCTTGCTTTGTGTTTTGATGGTAGAACTGTACAAATGGTTTTAGATTGCCAAGTTACAGCGGCCAGGGTGTAGAGCTTTTCTGTGTGCGTTTAGCCTGATTCGCGGGTTGGTTGCGGGAAGTTCCAGTTATTGAGAGTATCCATTTGCTGGTGTGGCGATGGCAGGTACCATGATGAATTCGACGGTGTCTTGTTAGCTTATAATGTTCATGCTCCGGAGAATAAGGGGCGAATCCTTCCCGGTGTTCATCCGTTCATTGCTGTGAGACTAGAGGCTAAATTGCTTGTCTTTTCGCCTAAGCCAGACATGCTTTTAGGTATCCTTTCGCCATCGATAGACGTTGTTCCTCTTTCCTGGTCATATGAAGATTGGTTTTTAAGTAATTTTGAGCTAATGTGTTGTTCTGAATACTACAGAAGGGAAGGTGGTGAAAGTGGCTGAGGAGTCTATTCATGTCATTGTTCTTGGTTTCTCGTCGGCTGTAATAACAGATGAAGATATCCGCAATGAGTTTAAGTACAAGACGGTATGTTAACCAGTTGTTATTATTGAACTTGTGTATAGTGGCTTTTTTCTTCTTCTTGGGAGAGACATTGTTGCTGTTGGTGTTAGCTTACTTGGGATGGTGGCTTCTCTTGATGTAGAAACACGGTCAGGGTTTGTATGTCAACAGATCTAACAAGCGCCATGTGATTAAGGCTGGAACTATGATTCGTTTTGTTGTCAAGAGGTGAACTTTTGCTCTCTTAATCTTGTGCTAAGATTTTTTTAGTGATCAAGCAGTTTTACTATCCAAAAAAAGTCATTGAGTATTCTCCTAATCTCAGTATCTAGTAATCCCTCCTAAGATTAGGAAGAGAATGAACCATAATCATCAATGCAGAACTTCAGATGGGGAAGATTTAACATTTGATTGTTGATTTTATGTAGATTGCATGAATGCGATAGTTCATGTGATTTCCAATCAGTAGCTCAGCAACCTAAATCTCGTCATTTCTGTTGCTCCTTTGTTTTTACTGTCTTACTACATAGTTGCATAAGTATGCTTTATAATTAGATGAATATGAAAGATATTTTTGTGTTTGTTATTTTACACAGTATGAATGAAGAGACACTCCACATCTATGGATCATTGATCCCTGCTAACACTGGAAGCATCAAGATATTGGAGAAATCATCAGAGCATACCAACACAGAAAGCGTCACAATCAACAGGTTTCTCTCCAAAATCTGCTGCCAACACTAGAAAGTAGAATCTCTTCTCACTACAACTTAATCAGTCTCTCTAATCCCATTTCCTTGAAACTTGATTTGTGTAGCACTCCCAAGAAAAGGAGAAGCAAAGAGCAAGAAGGAGTGGCACAGATCACAGAGCATGGCAGCATTGTCAAGGATGCTCCTTCACATAACAATTATGATCGTGAAATTAAGAAGCCGCGAAGAAGCTGATAACTCATTGAAAGCCGGATTAATGAAATGTTGTAGTTTAGCCTGTTATTTGTAATTTATTGCATACAAATGGCTGCTTAGAAGGTTATAGCCAATTCGCTCAAGTCCTGGGAAATCTTTCTTCGATCTTACCCTGTTTATGTGCAATGTGCTTCAAGATACGAAAAGTTGGTCGTGTTAAGAAACTGAGGGTTCAGTTCCTTTTATCATTTGACATTGATGGACTGAAGCTTGATTAAGCCCATGTTCAAGTTGTTTCAATCCTGATCTGCTCAGCGTAATTGTCGAACCAATCACTCCCTATCAAGTGCCATCTTTGTGGTAAAACCTCATTATCACTATGATGGATATTCATCTGTTGAAATCCAGTTGTTTAGACATTGCTGTAGAGGCTCCCATCTGAAGCTGGGCAGATTTTTAGACTCATTAGACGAAGGCGGCGAAAATAAAAGACAGGCCTTTTAGGCTTTTGTATATGTATACCCTATTGCCTTCTCTGGCAAATAACAGCTTAGAATTTGTACAATTTTCTTAAACTTACATATAATCATTGTTAAGTTAATGCATTCATGATAACAATTCAATAACAACAATGCTAGTTTTGGTTTCTACCACTCGCTGCAATTCCAGTGGCCACAGCTTCCGATCTAGACCTCAATTGTACCTCTTAAGTTCAGCAGCAGTAATGGAACAGGATCCGAGGTCAAAGTCCAAGCATCAAAGGGCTTCTGTTTCTTCGCCTTGTTGGCACCATGGTAAATTGGCAAGAGTGTCACTTCTGCAATCCAGCCTGAACCTTTGGACACCATCTTATAGAAGAGTTCCAGGCATCGCATTGCTCTTGGGACATGCTATCTTCTCCGTGTTCGACGATCTCATTTCACCCTTGAGCCAATCTTCTGGCCCTCAGCTCTAGAGAGTTAGATATGCACGTTCCTCCCAATGGAAGAACTTGATTCAATAATGTCTCATCTCTTCCTTCCCTTGACTGGCAATGAGACTCGGACCATGCAGTCGCAGAGCTTTTAGTCGAGTAGCAACTCAATGCAATATCACCACAAGTCTCCACAAGAGCAGGCTCCATCCTTGAAATGATGAAACCGATTCGTATCCCTGACGAAAATTTCCCTGTCCTCAAACTCAGAGATGAACTTTATCACAGCATGGCAGTCTCCACATATCCTGAGGTTCTTGATCACTTGAAGTGGAAACCCACGACTAGTATTCAGAAGTCCCAAAGCAACAGCCAACTTCTCGCTATGGTCGCACAACATCTCCTCCTTATCCTGCTCCTCCACATCCTGCAACACAAAGTCTGTATGCGGCAAGTAACCCGACTTCTGCATCTCTACTCTCAGTTCACCCAACTTTTTTGTTATCTCAGGCATCTGAGGATGCAAATTATCACCAGCCAGTAGCATGTGCACTTTGTTCTTGATCTCAATCCAACTACATCCAGGATTCTTCCTCAAACCCTTGCTCTTCATCATCTCTCTCACTGAATTCACCTCAACCCACATCGATTTAGACGCATAGATGTTGGATAAGAGAACGTAGTTACCGGGATTATTTGGTTCCAATTCGAAGAGTTTTCGTGCAGCAATTTCTCCTATAGCTAGATTGTGATGAACTCTGCATGAACTGAGCAAAGGTCCCCATATACAACCAACAGGTTCCATAGGCATCTGCTTCACCATTGTGTATGCCTCGACTATCCTTCCAGCACGGCCCAGAAGGCTGACCATGCAGGAATAGTGCTCTAATCTTGGTTCAATCCCATAATCTTTCGACATGCTATCAAAATAGAACTTACCTTCCTCGGTCAACCCACCTTGGCTGCAGGCAGACAAAACAGAAGTAAAGCTGATGAAGTCAGGTTCCTGACCACTCTTCTGCATCAAGTTGAAAACTTCCAATGCTTCTTTAGTCTTTCCATGCATGGCGTATCCACCTAGCAATGCGTTCCAGGAAACCAGGTTTCTCCTAGGCATCGAATCGAAACAACGTCGAGACAATTGTATTCTGCCGCAGTTAGCATACATGTCGATCAATGCTGTACCAACATAGACATCATTTGAGACCCAGTTTTTCAGAGAGAAGCAATGGACTGCCTTCCCGTGCATTAGTGCCGCAATGTTCCCGCAAGCTGGAAGCAAGCATGGGATTGTCACCGAGTTTGGCTTGATTCCTTCCATCTGCATCTCTCTAAAGAGTTCCAAAGCTTCCATGTCTTTTCCATTCTGTGAGCAGCTTGCTATCATTGAAGTCCATGAAACTACATTCAAATTGAGTCCTTGTCTCTTGAATTGTTTAAATCTCTTCAATGCACCTTCCACACAGCCAGTCCTAGATAGCCCTGTGATCAATGCATTGCAAGCTCCAACATCCATCTCATGCAACTCTTCGCAGACTTTTGACATCTCATTTGGACGTGCGCACTTCCCATACATATCGACAAGCGAGCTAACGACCCAGTTATCTTGGGATAAACCTTGCTTGATCACACAGCCATGAATCTGAACCCCACAGGGTAACATCTCCAAGTCACCAACTGCAGGAAGGACGCTAGATATGCTTGTCCCATCGGGCTTAAACCCTTCCGAATGCATATCACGAAACATCAAGATAGAATCTTTGAAATGTCTGCTGTGATTAAATCCGGCAATCATCCCATTCCAAGATACCAAATTCAGCTCCAGCCCCATCTCCACCGCTTCTCCAAGCAGCTCTTTCGTCTCCTCCACGCAGCCCTTTCGCGCATACCCCGAAAGCAGAGCGCTACAAGCCACCACATTGGGGCGGGGAATTCTATCAAACACCTTGCGGGCTTCCATCAGTCTGTCGCACTTGAGGTAGAAATGAACCAAAGACGACAGAAGAAGCGAATCCGAATGGTGCCCATTGACAAACGCCAAGCAATGAACTTGAACCCCTGTCTTCAAAGACGACAGCCCAGCAGTCGCCTTGACGACACTGGGCAGCACATAACAGTCCGGTGAAATCCCCTGACTCAACATTTGGGCGAACACGCGGATCGCCTCGCCGTACTGATTGCTCCTCGTCAAGCTGTAGATGTGGTTCGAAAATGAGACGGCCGCGGAAGTGGACGCATTGAGGATGGGACCCGCATTGCCGAAAGTACGGTGACCAGGATCGCCGGAGAATAGCTCGGCTGTTGAAGAATCAGCGGACACGGTTGTCAAGGTGGAAGCATGAGTATTCAGGGGATCAGTGAAGTCTTCCTTGTTGGTGGAAGTGGAAAATGATTGCTTCGATCCTAATAATATCTCGAAGCTCGAGTTCAACCCTCCATTGGAGCAACATGGTGGTCGTTTCCCACTAGACGATGACAGGATTCGGACGGCAAAAGCGTTGGGCAATCTCATCTCCGGTTGCCCGTTTGTTTCTCGAGAAACCACCGGAGGGAAAAAAGAAAGAATTCAGTTCACTTACAGAAGTGGGCTTTTGATATGTGCCAGCCCAGCTTCATATACTTCCTCAGATGTACATGAAACATATGGGCCTATTTTGGGCTTTAATACAACAAAAGCCCAAAACCCAGCCCAGGTTTTCAATCAGCGATTGGACTCCTATAATTAACCTAACTCCATCCCCGTTTCTACGGTCGCCATTCTCCATTGCAGCCAAAGCTGCTTTGATTTTCAGCTTGCTCTCTCGCCGCCGTCTGCCATGGTAACCCTTCTCTCCTCTCTTCCATCTACCTTCTGTAACATCGACATTGCTATGGAGTTGTGTTCGATTCCGTATGAATGCATCTTATTTGATAAGCCATTCTATCCATGGCTTCTAGTGGCTGTTCTTCTATGGCTGCTTCTTTGTTTCGAAGCAATTGATTGGGAGTTGAGTGTAGAGATCCCTTTAGGTCTTAAGGCTAGGTGAGATTTGGGTACTTTTCTGCTGATTCTAAATTTCTTTGCTATGTTCTGTTTCATCAGATGGCGAGCTGAATGTATTGTTCCATCCGTCATTTAGTTTGCTTTTAGCTGAATCGTTCCTTTGCTTTTCTCATATTTTGCAGGCCAAGAGAACCAAGAAGGTTGGGATTGTCGGCAAATACGGTATGTTCTGCTCCCCTTTCGTATGCCTTTCAATTCACCTTGTTGTTTTGCCTCATCAGTTCAACCAAATGGAGTTTTTCGAATGTGGGGTTTTGTTCGGTTGGATGAGTTAGTCATGGGTTGATGCATTATTCAGTCTTCATTGCTGCCTGGAATGATGAATTTTGTCTTGTTATTGTTTCCTTTTGAGGGGGGTTTCTGTGTATCTTCTCTGGAACGACGTTGATAGAACTCTGTGCTTGTTTTTAATGCAGGCACCCGATATGGTGCTAGTTTGAGGAAGCAGATCAAGAAGATGGAGGTGAGCCAGCACAGGAAGTACTTCTGCGAGTTCTGCGGCAAGGTAGTAATGTTCCATTTCTGATTACTCTCATCATTGCTATTGCTGGTTTACTTTTTGCTTGGTTGCTTGAACATCCAATTGATGGAAGCTTATATCTGCTTGTTTACCAGGATGCTGTCAAGAGAAAGGCCGTCGGTATCTGGGGATGCAAGGATTGCGGCAAGGTGAAAGCAGGAGGTGCTTACACCATGAAGTAAGACTACACTCCCCACTCTTTGAATTGTCTCTAATAATCGAGTCCATCCCGAGTTAGTTCTAATCTGTGGTGTGTTTGTTCTGTTGCAGCACCGCCAGTGCTGTGACCGTGAGGAGCACCATCCGACGTTTGAGGGAGCAGACCGAGAGTTAGATGTCTTGTTTGAATCGTAACCTCGTTCTGTTACTGTTATGGGATTTTGATTTCGTTGTATTAGTTGAGAACAATGTCGTTTCCGTTCTGGTTTGTTTACTTTAGAACGTTGTAGGACCTAATGAAAGCTGGTTTTTTGGGTACTGTTTTAAGAGATATTGATCATTGTAGACACCACCTAGTTGGTTCCTCCTTATGTAGTGTTTTACTGCAAATTTGGCTATACAATACTCATTTTCGTGGCTGATGCTCTATTTGATTTCCATCCATATTTCTCAAGTATGGTTGCACTTGCATCTGCTGCAATAATGATATGTGGATGGTGTGGGAGGGTAGGGGGAGCTAATTGCTAATACACAAACACTGTTATGGTGTTTAAGTGGTTCGCTGTAAGCCTGTAACGGACTCTATCCATCAACATTTTACGCGTAAAATCGATGTTTGTGAAACCATGTCGAAGATCGTAAAATTGATGTGTGTGAGTGTGACAACGTCACCTAATGGGTTAGCTTCTTGCCCTAAGCATTTTCTATTTCCTCTCTTATGATTCGCGGGACAACGTCACCTCCCTTCGGAGCGGGCCCGCTCGATCCGACCCGCTGCGTTCCGGATCATAGGCACCCGTATATATGTCAGGTTGCCATTTGTTTACGAATCAAATTAACAGACAAATCCCCCGCTAAGCATTTCTCTACACTGACAATTTCCCTTTTCCTCTTCCATTTCCATCGCCGCTCTCTCCATTCAATTTCTCCTCCGATTTCCTCTCCGCAGCGAGCGCAGCCCCGCCTTCGTCTCTCTCTCGTTTTCTCAGGTACTCTCTCTGCTTTCTGTCTGTTAGGGCTGCAATTTAGGGCCGTCTTCAACTAGTTCAACTTCCGCCGGAGAGCTGCAATTTAGGGCTGAGTTGTTGCGGCTCTCTGATTCGCCGCTTCTTCTCCCGTGTTTCAGTTCCCGGTTCTCCTCTATCCGGATCGCCATCCCAAGCTTTCCGGATTCCACTTCGTCCCTGCCGTGAGAGATCCACCCGTCGTGCGTGCATTTACTTCCCAGTCGCCGTCCGGATTTCTCGAGGTAGTTTCCTGCTCCTTTCGGTTTTCGCAGTTTTTCCGATTGCTTGCGAGATCTTAATAGTAAGTAGAGCGTTGAATTGTTTCCTGATCTGTATAGCAAAAATTGAATTCGTCTTTCTCGCGTTTGTTTGTTTGTTTGGTGCAGTGAATCGTGACGAGTTTCTTCTGATAGCCTATCTCGGTCGCTGCGATGGTTTCATTTGAGATGAACGATCGCAAGAGTGAGTTGAAACCTTACATTTGTTCATTTTCTTCGTGATTTAGAACTGCAGCAGTTTATGAATCGTCTAGGAGTTGGAATGAAGATGAATTCTACGTTCATAGTGTTGATTATTATGAGTCAAGGATGATTGCGAAGCTGTGTGGCTAGGTTCCCTGTAAAGAGCCATATGACGTCTATTGAGTAGTTGGCCATTTGTTTTCTCACTGCTTATTGCTTAATGAAGTAGCTCATGACCCTCCCACTGTAAAATGCGTTGGTACAATTGGTTACGGGAAAACAGTTTGTTGAACGGTTTGCTTCTTTATATGAGCTCCTGTTTGTTTCCAAGTTAGGCTTCACTTGCTTGACACATAAATGGATTATCCGAAGTCATGACGGGACTAAAAAGAACAGAGGTAGTGTATGTTATAGAAGGGAACTACCTGTTTATAGCTTCTGCAGGGTAATCATTGATCTTTGTAGTGAATTGGCCAACTAACTCTTGCCATTTGTCAGTCTCTGCTATAGATGTTAGGGAAAAAGTGGAAGTCCTTCATTTGTGCACTAAGTGCGGCTGTGCCTCCAATTCCTTGTTTTCCTGGGTGATGCAGAAATTGGGCTAGGATTGACAGGATTTGGCGTCTTTTTCTCCATTCTGGGAATCATCTTCTTCTTTGACAAGGGACTACTTGCCATGGGAAATGTATGTGATTCTAATATTGCAAGTATCTTCTTCTGTTCCACTTTCTCACAATATTATACATATTTAACATTGACTTGTTTTGCTGTGCCTTTTGGTCAGATCCTCTTCATCTCAGGAGTGAGTCTCACTATTGGACCAAAGTCGACCATGCAATTTTTCATGAAACGCCAAAACTATAAGGTGAAACTTCCTTTCTCCTTTTTCACTTGCTTGCCCCATGTGTAAGCCTCATTTCGGTGTCATTTATGACTACTTATACTATGCTGATTCCCATGCAATCACTATAAGAGCTAGTGATGTGAACTGTTTGTCTTCCTTGTGGACTAATGCTTTCTGGTTTGATGGTCATACAGGGAACTATCTCATTCGGTTCAGGTTTCTTCTTTGTTGTGATTGGATGGCCTATTATTGGTATGATTTTGGAGGCATATGGGTTTGTTGTGCTCTTCAGGTAATTTGATTCTTCATTTCTTTGTATAGGCGATGTAATGGATAATTGTACACTGTTGAAGATGCTGATGGAAATCTTTGTGCAGCGGCTTCTGGCCAACACTAGCAGTTTTCTTGCAGAGGATACCTATTCTTGGGTGGGTACTGCAACAACCAGCAATCAGATCGGTATGTGGTTTTCCCCCAATTTAGACATTTCAGCTCACTTTTCGATTAGCTTCTGTGATGGATACCCTCTCCCATTGCTTGGACCTTTAGACTCAGGATAAGGTGTGGCTCTTTGAATTCATTGTACCTGTCTTTATTGTCCAATGCAAACAGGTTTATCATCGACAGTGATTAGATAAATACATCAGACATTTAGACCGACCTCTATAACTTTGTATAAATTTTTGTTCTGATGTTAGAAGCCTATGTTAGTGGTTGCAACATATGAGGGCCAATTTAGAACAACAAAGAACGTAGAATTACATAGGCATAGTCCTTGACTTTGATCAATAGTTAGTGTAGATGTGCTTTGACTTTTGGAAATCATGAGTTCCCTTGACTATGATGACTTGAGCTTTCATCTGATTATTATGTGTGTACTGAAACACTACCGATGTCGAAGTAATGAATTCTCCTATGCTTTACCTTTGGGGGTTGCATCTACCTCTTATTCCTTTATGTCTCGTTCCTAACAAATCTTATCCTTCCTCTAGTAAGCTCCCACTTGTTATCTAATTGAAAACAAATGGACCTGTATCTGAGTAGACGCTGGCATCCTTTAGAGTCTTGTCTATCATTCCTTGCATGAATCATAACAACGAACTAACACGCTTCTGATGTAGCGTGATAGCGTTACCTAACTCGTTTCTTACTAAAATTGCATTTGCAGTTCTTTGATCGGTACAGGGGCAGAAGAGTACCTGTCTAAATCTTCAAGCATTCTGCTGGATACAAGTCTCGCTTTGAGGTCAATGAAATGTAACTGTGGTGACTCCTGATTCATAATATTTTGCTTATGGTGCCTGTAGTGGTAACTCACGAAACAGCTTTTGGTGGCGGAACTCAGTCAGTTAGGCTTCAGAATAGATTCATATGTGTACGTCCTTGTAAAAATAGAGTTGATTACCGAGAACGCTGGTATTTCCTCTGTTCTTTTGTTTCGGTGTGGTCTTTGCCTCTTTGCACAGCAATTACGGAGTTGCATACAGTCTTGATTTTTGACAGAAATGAGAAGGAAAAGAAATGATAGAAAGAGATCTATTTTCTGTTAAAGTTGTGCTGTGAGAGAAGCAAAACAGAGCATTATTTTGGTTTCTTCCCTATTCTCTTCATGACATCTCAGGGTATATATGGAACTGGAATCACACGCAGTGGATACTTCCTCGCGATCGACGCCCCGACGGTTTCCGTCATGTCAAGGCTCTCTGGTCTCGAATCTCCGGGGAGCCTCCAGTTAAAATGAAACAGCAGGTTCGCCAGAGTCAGCTTCACTACCTCCATTCCGAACCCGTACCCGGGGCACATCCTCCTTCCAGCCCCGAACGGGACAAACTGGAAATCGTTCCCCTTGTAGTCGGTCGAGCAGTCGACAAACCTCTCGGGGTAAAACTCCTCTGCATCACCCCAGTAACGAGGATCACGACCGATTGCCCAGGCGTTCACGATGACTTTCGTCCCCATCGGGACCATGTAGCCACATAGTTTCGCATCCTCCCTGCTCTCTCGCGGAAGAAGCAGAGGACCCGGAGGGTGCAGCCTCAGACCTTCTTTCACAACGCAGTCCAAGTACTCCAACCCTTGGAGGCTCGCCTCGTCCACGTCGCCCTTCTTGTCAAACGCCTGCCTGACCTCATCTTGCGCCTTCTGCATCACTCTAGGCTGTTTCATCATTTCCGACATGGTCCATTCGATCAGGTTGGCCGACGTGTGACCGCCGGCCAGGAACAACTCCAGAGTCACCGCCTTTATGATCTCCGTAGTTACGGTCAATCCAACCTGGTCGGGATTCTCCTGAAGATTCAGCAGAACATCGACCAGGTAGTCCTCCTCGCCATCTTCCCTGCTCGACCTCGACGACGATCTCTTCGATCTCCTCTCGTCGATGATCGCGTCGATGATCGAGCTCGCACCCTCACGCATACTCTTCAGCTTCCCTTGGAACCCGGACATGACGGGAAGAAATGTAAGAGAAGGATACAGGTCCGACATCCTGAAACCTGACAGGACATCCGATATGTTGTCAGCAACCGTCAGAAACGCCTGGTTCAGCCCTCGAATCGTCCCGAACAACGCCCTGGAAATCACGGCCGCCGACAGGCTCTCCACCATCCGACTAAGATCCACCACAGTTGTTGTCGTAGCGCGGCGGAGATCCAGTACGAGCTTGTCCACCTCCTGTCCCCTGATCCACCGGAAGGAGTGGACGCGCTTGGTGCTTAGCAGCTCCAGGGTGCAGATCTTGCGGAGCTGGCGCCAGTGGTGGCCGTAGGGCGCAAAAGCGACGTCGTTGCAGCCGTCGTAGAGGACGGAAGGCGCCAGGAGGAAAGGCCTGGAGGCGAAGGCGAGGTCGTGGGTTTTCATGACCTGTTTGGCGGCTTCAGGGGTGGAGATGATGACGTGGGAGAGCTGGCCGAGCTGGAGGTGCATGACGTCGGGGCCATGGCGGCGTGCCAGCTCGGCGAGGCGGCGGTGGGGGTGGAAGTGGCCGCCGTTGAGGGCCAGCTGGTGGAGGTTTCCGATGATGGGGAGCCTCCATGGCCCCGGCGGCGGCGGCGGGAGGGTGGTGGTGGTGGGCTTTTTGGGTCGTTTGTAGTGTTTTAGGAGGAATAGGATGGTGATTATTGTGGTGGTGAAAGTGAGGAGGAGGTTGGAGATCAGCCATGGAAGGAAGGAGAAGAAGGTGGAGGAAGAGTTGTGTTGCTGGCTGCTGGCTTCCATTATTGTTTTGGATTCAAAAGGTTGAGAAGATATGGAGTTGTGTGGAAAAATCAAAGCTCCATTATGTACGCTAATGACTATATACGTCTGTGAAAACCGTACCGTGGTTTAGATAATGATTTCAGCACAAAATATCATATCGCTCATTTCTCACGTACAATTTTTGGGTACGGTTTAACAATTATTGTGTAAATATGTACTCCCTAATTAATCACGTCGATAACATTAGACTTAGTAACTAAGAATGAATCTTGTAATGGAAAGTAAGGTTTTGCATCTCATTAAATTCTCACGATTTGAAATATGATTATGATTGGATCGGATATTTTTGTATGTTCAGGATTTCGAAAAAAGTGCTTATATAAAACCTTACAGTTCCTTTCTAAATTACTCTACTTGATATAATAAAACTTGTTTCTCATGTTTATGAATTAGCTATAACTCACTTTACCTTAATAAACCATGTGAATTTATATACATATACATATTCTTTTATCTTGTTCTATTGGATTGTTCATTCCATTACAACGTTGCTATAGTTCCCATGGCCTTACACGACAAATGAAGCAAATTTCCAAAGTCAGTACAGTTTTCCTTTTTGAGAAATAGACTGACGTTGAATTATTATTTCCTTTTTGTTTTTTAGTTCGATGAATTATTTCCTTCTGTTATACGCACGTAGTCATGCAATAATGTGATCCAATGTATGTATATGACGAAAATTCAAAGAGGGAGGCTCTCACATTAATTATTAGTCGACTAATAGTTATACAATCTGCACATTTTCCTTATACTTTATGTTTAAAAATGCTCGGATGAAAATTATAGAAAATATATATATATGCTTATTGAATTAGGAAATTGGACATCAAGGCCCTCTGATCGTCCCGAACGCCACCCTGGAGATCACAAGGCCCACCACTTCGTCGTCCTTACCATTCGGGCAGAGCTGTTTCAATCGTGTTAGTAAATAGTAGGGTAATGGCTATTTTTTATCCAAACCTTTTTTGGATTCTTTTTTATTAGCCAAACCTATCGAAATACCAAAAAATTAGTCAAATGTTAACTTTTAGTTAGCAATTTTATTAGTAATATTGATTTGGCAACATGATACTAACTTGGAAGAGACACATGAAAGTCAACATTCCAAAATTTTAGTATTTTAACTAAAAAAAGAGTTACAAAAATATTAAAGATAACGTGAAATGACTAATATTTTGATGCATTACGAAAGATTTGGCTAATTAATAGCATTCTAATAGGTTTTGATAATATAAAAGAATCCAAAAAAAGTTTGGATAAAAAATAGACATTACCCTACTCGACCTCGACGACGACGATCTCTTCGATCTCCTCTCGTCGATGATCGCGTCGAGAATCGAGCTCGCACCCTCACGCATACTCTTCAGCTTCCCTTGGAACCCGGACATGACGGGAAGAAATGTAAGAGAAGGATACAGGTCCGACATCCCGAAACCTGACAGGACATCCGATATGTTCTCAGCAACCGTCAGGAACGCCTGGTTCAGCCCTCGAATCGTCCCGAACAACGCCCTGGAAATCACGGCCCCGGACAGGCTCTCCACCATCCGACTAAGATCCACCACAGTTGTCGTAGCGCGGCGGAGATCCAGTACGAGCTTGTCCACCTCCTGTCCCCTGATCCAGCGGAAGGAGTGGACGCGCTTGGTGCTTAGGAGCTCCAGGGTGCAGATCTTGCGGAGCTGGCGCCAGTGGTGGCCGTAGGGCGCAAAAGCGACGTCGTTGCAGCCGTCGTAGAGGACGGAGGATGTGGATCACTGGCCAAAATCCCGAGTAGTCATCCAAGCACAGAATAGTTGAAGACCATACCTCATCCTGGCTTCAACTCTAGCTCCTCTCCCACCTTACACTTATCTACTGCTGCTGCTGATGATATGCTTACACATAGCATAAGCAGAGAAGAAGAATAAAAGGGGTCAGCTCATAGCTGAGTGAGATAATCATAGCATCGTGAGTTCATAACAGAGCATACCTTATCATACATCTAACAATCTAGCCAAAACACTAGGATCGGACCTCAGCCATCCTCATATCCCAATAGGCAAAAGACTCAACCACCTTGACTTATGCATATACATCTTATCATGTTTTAATCATAGGCGTCTGGCTACTCCCATGCTAATTACTCTCCCAGGAATACGGACCAAACATCTCGTGGATGTGGTCATATTGGACCCACCACTGCCGGTGTAGTCATATCGGACCTGACATCACTCTGGGTGTGGTCATATCTCATGATGAATCAACGGTCAACACCACATCAGGGGTGTGACATAACATATCATAACGGAGTAATAGCATGGGGAGCCCTAATTACTATGTAATTGACCATTAGACCAAATCACTCTTATTTGATATCCTTATACATGATTCAGATTTCATCTTGCTTAATCATAATTCGTTACTTAGACATGTTCTTGGCCAGACCACAATTGGCTCAACATAACCAGGAGTCGTATAATTGCACTTCCTCGGGATAAACCCTCGTGCAAGTCATCCTCCTTAAACATAAAAATATCACCAGGGAATATATATTTTCCCACATGTGCATCCAAATACAACAATCATGAAAAATCATACCCAATCACCTTTTCGAACCATCATAAGGCAAATCAACAGTCAAGCCCACAATTTGCAACATATACGAAATCATCAGCATAAACAAGGTCCATCTCGATTAGGGCAAGTCAATAATATCATACAGTAGTCCATGGTTCAGCATATAGCACAAAAGATCATACACACCTAATCATGCCATTCTAGTTCACCTAGGTCAATTCTAAGCATAAGTATAATTATCGTGATACGACAAACCCGGTATGTCGTGCTAATCCCTCACCAGTTCTGGTCGTTCAAACACCGGTTTACGCTTCCCGTACTAAAATGTCAATTTCACAAACGAACCCCGAATTAAAATCCGAGACCGTCCTAAATATCCCCTGCAGTATCCCCGTAAATATTAGTTCTAGGCTCCGGGTCAAATTATTAATAAAAACACATCAAACCCTGGCCGGAGCTAAATTCAACGATTTGGACCCCGACCTAAATAATTGCCGAAATTCAGGGATTAGAACTAGAGGATTGATTACCTCGCTGCAGGAAGCTCGTATATGAAATTTGGGCTCAATCCGACTTCTGGATACTACGAAACCCTAATTTGGCTTATCGGGAATTCAAAAAATTCCTAAACCAAAAACTGTTTTAAAGCTCTAAATCGATAAATCACGATGTATAGATGAATTAGGTATTACTTACGGGATTTTTGGATCACTAAAACTTAAGATTTGAGCTTTGAGAATTTCCGTGCTCACCTCCCCTGCGTGCCCTCTGCTCCAGTTCTCTCGGTCCAGGAAAATAAAGAATGAAACGATGATGATGGAAAGAAAATGGACCGGGCAAGGGAATTAAATGGATCGGCCGGAATATATATATATATATATAATTAATACGTATACTTATCCGATCGATTGATAATCCGATTTTCGCCGAAATACTATCAAAACGCTCGATTTTAAATCGCGAAATTTCTAGCAATCGAGATATGGTTTTTGTCGGAACGGGATGTAACAAATTGACCCAGAATAAATCCGCCCAAATCGGTGCTTAATGGACTCAATCATCGTTGGAGAATAACCTCAGGCTGAATCCGTGATCTGTAGCCTTCAATACCCAAAGAAAATGGCCTTTCGTCGCCCAAGAAATTACGAAAATGCCATCCGAAAATAAATTGGCCCAAATTGATGCTTAACAGACTTATCATCCGTGGAGAATAGGATCAATAGACTTTATTATCGGTGGAGAATAGCCTCGGCCTGATTCCGTGATCTGTAGCCTCCAGAGTCAAGAGAAAATGACATTTCGGATAAATCGCTTGAAATATGTGATGGTACCCCTTTGGAATCTGCCAAAAATTGACCCGGAATAAATATGCTCAAATCGGTGCTTAATGGACTCAATCATCGTTGGAGAATAGCCTCAGGCCGAATCCGTGATCTGTAGCCTTCAATGCGCAAACAAAATGGCCTTTCGTCGCCCAAGAATTTAGGAAAATGCCATACGAAAATAAATTGGCCCAAATCGATGCTTAACGGACTTATCATCCGTGGAAAATAGGATCAATAGACTTCATTATCGATGGAGAATAGCCTCGGCCTGATTCCGTGATCTGTAGCCTCCAGAATCGAAAGAAAATGGCATTTTGGATAAATCGCCCGAAATCTGTGATGATACCCCTTTGGAATCTGCCAAAAATTGATCCGGAATAAATCCGCCCAAATCGGTGCTTAATGGACTCAATCATCGTTGGAGAATAGCCTCAGGCCGAATCCGTGATCTGTACCCTTCAATACTCAAAGAAAATGGCCTTTCGTCGCCCAAGAAATTACGAAAATGACATCCGAAAATAAATTGGCCCAAATCGATGCTTAACGGACTTATCATCCGTGGAGAATAGGATCAATAGACTTCATTATCGGTGGAGAATAGCCTCAGCCTGATTCCGTGATCTGTAGCCTCCAGAATCGAAAGAAAATGACATTTCGGATAAATCGCCCGAAATCGGTGATGGTACTCCTTTGGAATCTGCCAAAAATTAACCCGGAATAAATCCCCCCAAATCGGTGCTTAATGGACTCAATCATCGTTGGAGAATAGCCTCAGGCCGAATCCGTGATCTGTAGCATTCAATACCCAAGGAAAATGGCCTTCCGTCGCCCAAGAAATTACGAAAATGCCATCCGAAAATAAATTGGCCCAAATCGATGCTTAACGGACTTATCATCCGTGGAGAATAGGATCAATAGACTTCATTATCGGTGGGGAATACCCTCGGCCTAATTCCATGATCTGTAGCCTCCAGAATCGAAAGAAAAAATGCATTTCAGATAAATCGCCCGAAATCTGTGATGGTACCCTTTTGGAATCTGCCAAAAATTGACCAGGAATAAATTAGCCGATATCAGTGCTTAATGGACACAATCGTCGTTGGAGAATAGCCTCAAGCCAAATCCGTGATCTGTAGCCTTCAATACCCAAAGAAAATGGCCTTTCGTTGCCCAAGAAATTACGAAAATGCCATCCGAAAATAAATTGGCCCAAATCGATGCTTAACGGACATATCATCCGTGGAGAATAGGATCAATAGACTTCATTATCGGTGGACAATAGCCTTGGCCTGATTCCGTGATCTGTAGCCTCCAGAATCGAAAGAAAATGTCATTTCGCATAAATCACCCGAAATATGAGATGGTACCCCTTTGGAATCTGCCAAAAATTGACCCGGAATAAACCCCCCCAAATCGGTGCTTAATGGACTCAATCATTGTTGGAGAATAGCATCAGGCCAACTCCGTGATCTGTAGCATTCAATACCCAAGGAAAATGGCCTTTCGTAGCCCAAGAAATTACGAAAATGCCATCCGAAAATAAATTGGCCCAAATCGATGCTTAACGGACTTATCATCCATGGAGAATAGGATCAATACACTTCATTATCGGTGTAGAATAGCCTCGGCATGATTCCGTGATCTCTAGCCTCCAGAATCGAAAGAAAATGGCATTTCGGATAAATCGCCTGAAATCTGTGATGGTACCCCATTGGAATCTGCCAAAAATTGACCCGGAATAAATCCGCCCAAATCGGTCCTTAATGGACTCAATCATCGTTAGAGAATAGCCTCATGCCGAATTCGTGATCTGTAGCCTTCAATACCCAAAGAATATGGCCTTTCGTCGCCCAAGAAATTACGAAAATGACATCCGAAAATAAATTGGCTCAAATCGATGCTTAACGGACTTATCATCCATGGAGAATAGGATCAATAGACTTCATTATCGGTGTGGAATAGCCTCGGCCAGATACTGTGATCTGTAGCCTCCAGAATCGAAAGAAAATGGCATTTCGGATAAATCACCCGAAATCTGTGATGGTACCCCTTTGGAATCTGCCAAAAATTGACCCGGAATAAATCCGCCCAAATCGGTGCTTAATAGACACAATCATCGTTGGAGAATAGCCTCAGGCCGAATCAGTGATCTGTAGCCTTCAATTCCAAAAGAAAATGGCCTTTCGTCGCCCAAGAAATTACGAAAATGCCATCCTAAAATAAATTGGCCCAAATCGATGCTTAACGGACTTATCATCCGTGGAGAATAGGATCAATAGACTTCATTATCGGTAGAGAATGGCCTCGGCCTGATTCCGTGATTTGTAGCCTCCAGAATCGAAAGAAAATGGCATTTCGCATAAATCGCCTGAAATCTGTGATGGTACCCCCTTTGGAATTTGCCAAAAATTGACCCGGAATAAATCCGCCCAAATCGGTGCTTAATAGACACAATCGTCGTTGGAGAATAGCCTCAGGCCGAATCAGTGATCTGTAGCCTTCAATTCCAAAAGAAAATGGCCTTTTCGTCGCCCAAGAAATTACGAAAATGCCATCCGAAAATAAATTGGCCCAAATCGATGCTTAACGAAATTATCATCCGTGGAGAATAGGATCAATAGTCTTCATTATCGGTGTAGAATAGCCTCGGCCTGATTCCGTGATCTGTAGCCTCCAGAATCGAAGGAAAATGGCATTTCAGATAAATCGCCCGAAATCTGTGATGGTACCCCTTTGGAATCTGCCAAAAATTGACACGGAATAAATCCGCCCAAATCGGTGCTTAATGGACACAATCATCTTTGGAAAATAGCCTCAGGCCGAATCCATGATCTGTAGCCTTCAATACCCAAAGAAAATGGCCTTTCGTCGCCCAAGAAATTACGAAAATGCCATCCGAAAATAAATTGGCCCAAATCGATGCTTAACGGACTTATCATCCGTGGAGAATAGGATCAATAGACTTCATTATCGGTGTAGAATAGCCTCGACCTGATTCCATGATCTAAACATCCAGAATCGAAAGAAAATGACATTTCGGATAAATCACACAAAATCTGTGATGGTACGCCTTTGGAATCTGTCAAAAATTGACCCGGAATAAATCCGCCCAAATCGGTGCTTAATGGACTCAATCATCGTTGGAGAATAGCCTCAGGCCGAATCCGTGATCTGTACCCTTCAATACCCAAAGAAAATGGCCTTTCGTCGCCCAAGAAATTACGAAAATGCCATCCGAAAATAAATTGGCCAAAATCGATGCTTAACGGACTCAACATCCGTGGAGAATAGGATCAATAGACTTCATTATCGGTGTAGAATAGCCTCGACATGATTCCGTGATCTGTAGCCTCCAGAATCGAAAGAAAATGGCATTTCGGATAATTCGCCCGAAATCTGTGATGGTACCCCTTTGGAATCTGCCAAAAATTGACCCGGAATAAATCCTCCCAAATCGTTGCTTAATGGACTCAATCATCGTTGGAGAATAGCCTCAGGCCGAATCAGTGATCTGTAGCCTTCAATGCCCAAAGAAAATGGCCGTTCGTAGCCCAAGAAATTACGAAAATGCCATCCAAAAATAAATTGGCACAAATCGATGCTTAACGGACTTATCATCCCTGGAGAATAGGATCAATAGACTTCATTATTGGTGGAGAATAGCCTCGGCCTGATTCCGTGATCTGTAGCCTCCAGAATCGAAAGAAAATGGCATTTCGGATAAATCGCCCGAAATCTGTGATGGTACCCCTTTGGAATCTGCCAAAAATTGACCCGGAATAAATCATCCCAAATCGATGCTTAATAGACTCAATCGTCATTGGAGAATAGCCTCAGGCCGAATCCGTGATCTGTACCCTTTAATACCCAAAGAAAATGGTCTTTCGTCGCCCAAGAAATTACGAAAATGCCATCCGAAAATAAATTGGCCCAAATCGATACTTAACGGACTTATCATCCGTGGAGAATAGGATTAATAGACTTCATTATAGGTGGATAATAGCCTCGTCCTGATTCCGTCATTTGTAGCCTCCAGAATCGAAAGAAAATGGCATTTCGGGTAAATCGCATGAAATCTGTGATGGTCCCTTTGGAATCTGCCAAAAATTGACCCGGAATAAATCCGCCTAAATCGTTGCTTAATGGACTCAATCATCATTGGAGAATTGCCTCAGGCCGAATCCGTGATCTGTAGCCGTCAATGCCCAAAGAAAATGGCCGTTCGTCGCCACAGAAATTACGAAAATGCCGTCCGAAAAAAATTTGGCCCAAATCGATGCTTAACGGACTTATCATATATGGAGAATAGGATCAATAGACTTCTTTATCAGTGGAGAATAGCCTCGGCCGGATTCCGTCATCTGTCTCCTCCAAGATCGAAAGAAAAAATGCATTTCGGATAAATCACCCGAAATCTGTGATGGTACCCCTTTGGAATCTGTCAAAAATTGACCCAGAATAAATCCTCCCAAATCGGTGCTTAATGGAC